TAACAATTCAAGAGGAGTTTGAAAACTTTCATCATGTCCATGATTAACAGATACTATAAACCTTATTGTATGATGAATTTGACATTGATTAATTTATTAATGATGGTCTATTGATTGAGCAATATCCAATACATGATGAGGAAGAAAAAGAATTGATTTTGAAATTTTGGAGAAATGAAAGATTTCACATATTATTTGAACCATTTTAATTAAAAAAATCATAAAATCGAACATTTAGTGCTTTATCCTCTTACTTTGGAGCAGAGGTAGGAATGTTTTTTGTATTCTTAAGCTTTTTTACAACATGGCTATTTTTGCCTGCCATTCCAGGATTATTCATAGGAATATTTGATTTTATTGGTGAAGATTCAATGAATACCATAACTCCAATTTATACATTGTGTATGGCTGTTTGGGCAACGATATTTTTTGAGTTCTGGAAGAGAAAATAAAGTGAAACTATGTACAATTTTGATATGCACGTTGCTAAGGAATAACGAAGAAGGATTCCTTAATACAAAGGAGCCTTTATTATAGAAGACGTCACTCACACCATTGAAATTATGGATACAAGAAATGTGTAATGGAAGTATTTTAAATCAAACATTCCCCTAGTATTTTTGGCAATCATCATAATTGGTGGTGAACAATTTGGGTATTATTATCTCAAACAAATTAATGAAGGAGATCAACTTTATGATTCATTATGGGCATGCGTTTTAGCATTTTCAATTCTTTTAACGAATGAGATCTTTAGCATTTTGGCAAAACATACATTAGTTTATGAAAATCATTAATATCAAGATTAAAGGGAGAATGTATATATTCTAAAAGTGTTTGCATTCACATTTTTGAATGCATTCGGTCGATTATTCTATAGAAGTATCATAAAACCAGATTCTGATGAATTAGACTTATTAAGCATTTCATTCACTATCACGTGGTCTGTTGTTCATTTGATTAGATACACTCTTTACCCATTAATATCATTTTCATTTATAAGGATTAAATTTAAATGGGATTTCAACAAATATAAATAAAGCAACTAAAAATAAATAGCTGCAGTATAAAGAGTCAGTATCTATGATACTGAAACCAGTGCCATAAACAAATAATCTGATAAAGGATAATCTTCTATATACTTTCTATCTTAACTTGAATTAAATAGAAGAATGATTGATCCTCCAAATCATGTTGAATAATTTACCTATTTTGTAAATCTTGATATTAATATAGATAATTCAATTTTGTATGGCCACTATGTTTAGTGCTGGGTCTTAAATAATCCCTATAGCTATTTTGATTTTTAATATTCTTAATATTGAAGGTCTCCTTTATGGATATAGAAAATTCGTAAAGAGACCATTAGCTACGCCAAAGAAAAGCATTGGTGTGTGGAATGATATTCTGTAATTAGTTGGATATATTGGGATTGTGTCAAATTGTTTATCTATATATCAAGCTAATTAAAAATAATTGAATTCTTTGATAGGAGAAGATTCAAATTCCTCTAACGATTCAAATAATGTATTCAAAACAATTTAATTAGCTTGGACTTCGAAACTTTTTGTTCCTTATTGTAGCAGAACATATTGTAATTGGAATCAAATTTGTAATCGAAGGAGTAATTCCAGATGAACCTGAATGGGTTGAGATGGTACTCAAAAGAGAAGAATTTCAGTCAGATAAGAATAAGATAAAGTAAGGGGAACATTCTAAAACTTATGAAATCAAAACAAAAAAAGAATGAACTTTGTTTTTATATATATAATTATTTTAACTGATGAATAGCAAAACTAACTTAAGATAAATGATATCAAAAAGAACTCCTTTAAATGAAAGAGTAAATAGAAACCCTTACGATTAGGATGTTAAATATACCAATAAATCATTTACTTCTGGTAAAAAATAATCAGCTAATAAAATAAACTCGATCATTAGTGACATGCTGTCAAAACGTTAAAGTTCATAAGATATCTAAAATCCAAAAGCATCCTTGATTAGATTAGACACTAGTAATCAAAATACATCTTAGAGATCTATTTCACCTACCAAGCTATATCAAATGCCTGAATCACTCAAAAAAATATATAACTAAATCCATCAAAAATTTGCTGATTCATCCAACTCTAAAAATTTGACTAGACCAAAGTCAAAACTTCTCAAATAAAGAACAGAAGAATCCAAGATTTCAACTCAATGCACACCCACTTCAGATTACACTGAATAGTACTTAATCAACTTAGTCAATCAAGAAGAGTGTGTCTTTACTATTTTGGCTGTTGTTACAAAACAAAGAAAAGTAGTAAAGTTATGTTAGAACTTTCTGAATGCTATCCCCCAATCTTAAGGAGATTGTAAAGATATTATTCAATAGAAAATTGTGTGTAAACAAATGCTATTAGAAAGAATGGGCATTTTCGTAATAATGCTCTAAGCATTGACCCAAAATTATGAAGAGGAATTATAACATATTAAGAATCTCTTACTTTATATACACAATGGTATGGTGATTTATCTAGAGTTTTTAATCAAACAAAATCTAACTGAGGATTAGAAGCACATTCTTTAAAATAGACTAAGTAAAATAAAATAAAATAGAAGAGCAAACAAAGCAGTTTAAGATATTACTTAATTGAAGAAACATGCCAATGTTGTTCATTCATTATTAATCTTATTGTAATCGTTTGAATTATATTTTTAGCATAGAAAATTCTAGTGATTTAAAGTGTGCAAGACTTGAGAAATTACTATAAAACATCGATTAGATTTCATTATAATAAGGGACTATGCTAATCAAACAATAATTTGATAAAGTCATTTGTGAAATCAATAAGATGAGGTAGACTATGGATACAAATGAAACTGAGAAGACTCTCGAATAAGAAGAAATAGAAAAACATTTGGAACTTAAAATACCTTACTTGCCAAAATTTAATGGGTATACTTTGGTGATCGATTTGGATGAAACTTTAGTACACTATCAAGAAGTATTTTTATATGATTGATCAAGTTAGTAGATGATGGTTAATTTTTAGTTAGACCATATGCTGAGCAATTCTTAATTGAAATGAGCAAATATTATGAAATAGTGATATTCACAGCAGCATTGCAGGATTATGCAGATTTCATTCTAGATTTGATTGACAAAGGCAACGTTATTTCTCATAGACTCTACAGATAGCACACTACATAAATAGATGGAACACATGTTAAAGATTTGACATTTGTCGGTAGAGACTTAAATACAACTATCATTATTGATAATATGGCTGAGAATTTCTAGCACCAACCAGAAAATGGTATTTGCATCTAAAGTTGGTATGGAGATGAGGATGATAGGGCTTTATATTAATTGGCCCCAATTCTCTCTCAAATAGTTATTAAAAAATGCAAAGATATCAGGAATGCTTTGAGATGTCTTAGAAATCAAATGCTTGAAAACATAGAAAATGGGGTTGAAGATCCTCACTTGCATTTATCATTGAATTGATATTCTTTATGTTATAATTTTAAATAATTAACTTTTATTTTCTTAAATATTAATATTATATATTAGTTATGAATCTGTTATTTTGCTTATTTTTTTATGTCCTTTTTGTCCAATCCCTAATTAAAGAATTTAAGGCTAGCCAAAACTTTTTATTAATTGAAATTTTCAGCGATGAATGGCCGGACATGAAAATCGAAGTAGTAGAAAACTTAGTTATTATGGGTGAAATTGCATAGGAAAGTACTCAATATTTATCTATGTATTACAAACTCAAAATTGGAGTATAATATAAATTAGATATTTTTGTCTTGCCTGATAATAATGTTACTATTCAAGAGGTCCCTTAGAGAGATTGTCCAAATAATTGTTCCAATCAGGGAATCTGTTAAAATTTGCAATGCCAATGCCAATCTATGGCAGCAGGGTATAAAGTGCTGATATAAATGTAGAGATAGATGCGAATTTGAAGTTGCGTAATTATATAATAGGACTCAATATTCTGTAAACTTAAAGTCACATTAAACATTGATTGTTGCAGTCTTTTATTATCAGTCTGAAATGATAGATGATTAAAAGTAATAGTTTATAAAATTTTGAGTTAGACAAGAAATTTCCAAATTTAGTCATCTTCCTCTATAAATTCACAGATTTTTCTACTTTACCCTTTTTAAAGTCCTTAATCAAATATGGTTGACAGCAAATTGATCTACGAGGGGTAGTTGACATCAATTCCTTAGGAAATCGATTATTCTAGTAAGTTCTAAAGGTATCATATTGAAGCCAGTTACTTTACTTTTCTCTTAGTATTGAAAAACAAGAATTCTGAGAATTCAGATGTCGTTCTTAAATATCAGCTATTGGATAACGATTAAAAATTCCAAGATTTTATTTTGGTCGCAATTCTGAGTGTAATTTCCTTCATCATATTGCTGATTATAATTTATATAGTTAGAAGAAGGTGTTAATATTTATCATAGAGTAAAATCAAAGAAAATCAGGAGGAGGATTTCTCAGATAACATTCCAATCTAATTGATGCCGATAGTAAATCCAGTCAAAGATCAAGATTGTGTAATTTGTTTAGATCCATTAGATGATAGGTTGTGTAGATAAACTCCATGCAAACATATCATGCATGATAACTGTTTAAAATAATGGATTTAAAAATAGTTGAGTTGTCCCATGTGTAGGGAAACATTTAACGATGTAGAATACATACCCAGAGTCTTCAAGTCAAGAAATCAGACTTCCAATACATTAATTCTCAGTCACCAAGGCCAATCTATTGTATAAAGTGAACGTAATTCAGTTCGTTCTATGATCATCACTCGTACAAGATAAAGTAGATTGGCTGTGTTTTAATGAAATATGATAATTATCATAAATCTTCTAAGATTTTACATGTACTTGTTAATTATTCAATCTATTATTTATATGGATTCAATAAATTTATATGACTAATTTAATATATTTCTACATTCACTACTAAACATTAAATAAATTAAAATCTTTTTTAATGCCTCCTAAAGTTGACCCAAACGAAGTCAGATTGATCAATATTAAAGTCTTCGGAGGAGAAGGTGGTCCAGCATCAACCCTTGCTCCAAAGTTGGGACCTCTCGGTCTTGTAATTATAATTGCATAATATAAAAACAGAATCCTAAATAAGTTGGTGATAAAATTATTGCAGAAAGTGGAAAATGGAAGGGTATCAGAGTTATGGTCAACTTGAGATGCCAGAACAGAAATGCAGATGTCACAGTCATCCCTACATCAAGTGCATTATTAATCAAAGAAATTGGAGTATAAAATATTCACAAATTAATTTATTAAGGGTTATGAAAGAGACAGAAAGAAAACCAAGAATGTTAAACACAATGGAAATTTGACACTCGAATAAGTCATCAAAGTGGCCAGAGCTGTAGAAGAGAAGTCTCTTGCCAAGACCTTCACAGGAACAGTCAAATAAGTGTTGGGCACTGCATAATCTCTTGGTGCTACAGTTGATGGACAACCAGTCAAAGCAATAATTGGAAAGATTAATTCTGGTGAACTTAAAGTTGAAAAATGATAGTGAATATTAATTATTTCATATTATACACAAAATAATAATATCATCAGTTAAAAAAAAATTTAATAGGATTTTTCAATTGACCACTACTCTTAAAGTTAATCTATCTAATTGTCTCCCTAAATTGCTTTAATTCTTCTATATAAATTATAGTAAGTATATGTAATTATATATATCATTATTTGATGTTTCAAAATAATTATTTTATTAAATTTTCTAACTCTATTTTTAATTTTCATTCAATATCTTAGAGATACTCAAAAGCCAATATAAGTCTGATCGTAATCAAAGTTTAGACATCTTTAATTTATTTGGAGGGGGGGAATGAGATAATTATTCCTATTTATTAATTAAATAATAAGAATTAGAGATTAAATGATTTGTAAAATTTATGAATAATCAAAGAGGAAGTTCACATTTTCATTTATCTATATTATTCATTAAGTGTTTTCAGAATTCTAAACTTATTTTTTTCATCATCTTCAACATCTTCTTGATTTTCTGAGATAAGGTCTGTCAAAAATTGCTTATTCTTGCTTATTAAAAAAGTGGGCTAATTCTTTTCTTTACAACGAAAACATGAAAGGTTTAAAGTAGAGAATTACTGACTGGGGTGATCCTAAGAAGAAATCAGATTCATTTCTTAATTAAATGTATCTAGTGCTGATGCATTATCCAGAAGGTTCATGATTTTAAGTTTATTTTATTCTAATATTCTTGTTATGGCTTATTCTTGGCTATTTGATAAATTCATATGCTGTTCTTCTGCAATTAACTTTTAGAATTCATGTTACTCCACGCTTATTTTTGTCAGGTTTGAATGCCTAGATGATATATATTTATACGGATCATCAACTACAAATAACATAAATTGAAATGTTTAATTCAAAACCTTATCCCTTTTAACCTTCTTATTTATCCGACCCTGTTTTTTATAAACTTAATATATAGCTTTAATAGTAGAAGCATTGTGTCCTGTTATCATTGAAACCTTAATAATACTATCCCATATAGACTTACATGTGAAGTTGAGTACTTGTATTCCTCAATATAATTAATTATTAAAGCTCTCTCGGAGGAGTTTATACTTTGATATTTTTATCTTAAAGCTTTCTATTTTTTAATTTTCATCATAAAATAAATCTCTACATAGAAGTAGCAAATATTGCAATCTCAAAGAATTTTCACTATTTAACTTCTGACCTATAATAGCCAATAACAAAACTCCATATTTGAAACTCAATTTACTGAAACAGTTACAAATTGTAATAAAATTAAATCGCATTAGAATGCTCCTAAAGTTTGAATTTGGTGTATCAAGAATGACTGTAAATAAATTTGTTAATTTTCTTTTCTTTATTTTAGTTATTTCAACCATGATATATTATTGGAAACTAATTTAAAATTTTTAACTAAAAAGAAAAAATATGTGCACTTTGATATTTGATAAAATGAGAATTTAGTGATTCTAAATATGAAATTTACCCTCCATTGTTTATATTGATTATCATAAACTGAAACTCCTATTATTGGAATAATTTACTTGTCTAAATATTAAATACTCTTTGAAGAAATCTAACAACATATATAGTAGCTTTGGATTCGATGATTACAATATTACATTAATAATACAATTTTTGTAAGGTTGCTTTGAATTATACTAATAGCTTTTTATATATGATTGATTTATTTTCGCTTAAGAAATTACTACATTAATGGACATTAATAGAGTTCAACAGTTAGTTTTACGTTAAAACCATGAAATAGTAGTACCTTATAATTTTACCATAATTAGTTGAAATTTAATTGGGGATGATCTTATCGTAATTTGTAGTTCAACATTGCATTCTTTCACTTAAAAATCATAGTGTTAATTTCTTAATAGCTCAAGAGAAAAGCAGCAACAAGCCAATGATTATTCTATATCTGAGCAAAACTAAGAGGCTCTGCAAAGTAATTATTATATATATAATTAATTAATCAAAATTGATAAATAATTTATGAATTTATAATTAGTCAGCATCATTGAATAGGAAATCAATATAAATAATTTTGTTAAATAGTTGAAAATAACAAGAATGATGTAAAGTTGTAAGTAAAATGTGAAAGTATATTTTATTCTAAATCCACTCAATCTCAAAATATTGTCATTCCGTTCATATTCTTTTAATCATCTTTTAACAGTGATCAGAAGTCTTGTTCATCAGTTCTTCCCTTTAAGACAATACAAACTATTAACTGATATATATAATTAAAACAATATAATTTTTTCATAAAAAAAATACTCGTTTTCTTCAATTATTCTCAATTTTTAATATTATGAACTGAATTCTCAGATTCTGTATGATACCATTTAATAATAGAAAAATACAAAAGTTAATATCATTAACCTCAATAAATTTTGATTAGAAACTCTTGGAACTATATTAAATCAAAATATAAATATTTCCTATCCTCTCTTGAAATGCATGTGTGCAGATAATTTGATATTTGACTTCATTATCTTATTTAACATAACTTTTAAATAAGATGGATTAAACTCCTGCCTTTTTGGGTATTGAGTTGAATAATTTCAACTATTTTTAATACAAAATTTTATTATCTTTATAATTGATAAAAAATTACTTATCTATTAAATTCGAAAACCCTTTATTTAGGATTCTAATTATCAGGGAGTGATAAATATTCTTAGATGAAAAAATCTTCTAACCAAAGAAAATTTTATTTGCTTAAAGGAGAGGACTTCCTTTTAGGCAAATTTACTAATTTATTTGTAGGAAATAGCTTAACCTCTTCATAAAATTCGATTCCTGTGTTAAATTTTATTGACTGTAATAATCATAATCTGATTTATTCTAGATATTTAAAGTGATTATAAATTTTATTTTATATAAATTTCATATAAATTTCATATAAATGATATTTCTATCAAAATGAGAAATAATAATTTGCCAATTACAATATCAGCAGAGCTGATTCATGATTACATTTTTAATTCTGATGACCGAATTTCTATTCCCCAATTTAACCATTTTATAATATATTCAATAGATAGTATTATAAAATTAAAGATAAAATTAGAATGATGCTTATTTTGAAGCTTGATCATTTATTAATTACTTATTTTGTTAATAATAATTATTTTTAATGATTTTATGATTTCATAATTAAACTGCTTATTTTTGGAATATATTTTAAGCTTTGCTGACATCACCTGTAGTGAACAAATTTTATAGATTGTTGACATCTAATTTCTATAATAAATTAAAAAATTTTAACTTAATGTTCTCCTAACACCGAATCATCAACAACAAGACTGTAATTTCCATAATATTACAGGATCTTTTATACTTTATTAAGATTATCACCACCTGTAAACACTGTATTATATCCTCTCTCCAATCCTCCAACAACTATTTTTATAAATCAATACTTTATACCAATAGAGAAATTTGTAACAGTTTAAGGATCTCCAGATATGATAACATGTTGTGATCCAGATACCTTTTCACTCAATTTCACCAAGTCTTAATAAGAATAACTCTATAATTGTCCATTCTTGATCGCAGCTGCAATTGGACCAGTGCTTGATGGAAGTGAAAGCCTATTAAAATTTCTTGAAGCATAAACTAGAGATTCCTAATTATTCATTATTTTTATACTCTGAATTTATAAGTGCCTGGGTAAGAATAGAATCCAGTATGAATTAACCATTTAAGATTGCTAAATTTGCTACTTTTTAGAATCTAACCAGATTAAGCTTAAAAATTAATAAATCGAATTTATTACTTTATGAAGTCTCTGGCACTAGATTTTTAAGTACTTCAATAAATTTAGTCTCGCCTATCAATTGATTTGGAGAAAAAACAATCCCTTTAGGATTAATAACTCCAATAGTATTTTCAATCTCATTTTGATCATTAGATCTGAATGGTATTACTGTAACTCCAGCTTTTGCAGCTCCCACAAAAGCAGCAGCTGCTTCACTAGTGTTCGATCTGCCCAATAAGAACAATAATTTATCCCCTTGTTTCCAACCTTGCTCTATTAATCCATATGCAAATGCACTTGAATGGGTCTCAAAATACAATTAACCTTTACATCAAATTCTCCAAATGTCCAAGTGAGATTTTAATTCTCAAATCTGAATCCATTTTTCAGAGGATTGGCTTTAGCCAAATTTGAGAATCCTTATTAAATGGATCGTAACATTAATTATATAATAATTATTATTATTATCTATTTAATATTTAAGTAATTAATATATTTTTGATAAACATTTATTTTTAAAGAAACTTTTCATAGATCAGGATGCTAATGTTGATTAATAATAATTATGTTGATGATGTTTTGAATTGACTCATAAATTTTTTATAATATCTCAATAAACTGATGTTGATTATGACTCCAATCATATAAATATTTATTTATTAAGAATTTTCTACCATTATGAAATAAGGATTATTGTATACAAATCTTATGAGTGACCTTTACTTATCAATAACAAAATATTTCAGATTTAATCTCTCTTATTAATTGCCTTTATTACCAATTAAATTTAAAATCTCTGTCTTGGCTTCTAAATTATTTATATACCTAAATATTTAAATAAAATTAGAAAATAATAATTTATGACTCAAACACCTCTTATTTCTGTCACCTCACTATAATTATTTTGAAAAACCGTTTAGGATGCTTTGAAATATCTTTGATATATCACGATTAGACTCAATTCGATTCTATTTAAGTAACTTGTGTTAGGGACCAACGAAAATTATTTTCAAGATAATCCCGAAAGGTTACTAGATTAAAACCTAGCCAGCACTTGAATTTTTCTGAATCTATCAAACAATTAAGAATAAAGATATTCTAGTATTATTTTAGCATTGAATCACAACTAAATTTGGTTTATTATGATCAGTATAAATATTAGTATATATTAAAAATTGGATTATTCTTTTCTGCTAAAATTAATTACGATCCATTGTCGTATTAATTACTTATGAGTGGTTCAAATCAAATTAATGTGGTCGATTTAAGATAATTTTTTAAGAATGCACTCAGAATCGTTTTAATTAATTAATCTTGTTTTTTATACTATGAAAAGGTTCCTTTTAAAAATAAAGGCATTTTATATCAAAGACTTCTTATATATCAAAGAATCTAGGAAGACAACTTATAAATTGGCTGTTTTATTGATACTCTTAGAAAACCTTTAAATGCTATCCATATACACACACAATTTGACTACAATATAGTACGAACAATTTCCAAATTAAGTTAGATCCATGATAAATTATGTTAAGTAAATCAGATAATCTATATATATAAGGATATACACTTTATTTGAAAACTCTATTACTGCAAAAATTATAAGTGTTATTATTGGATTTTCAATAACATCCTTATTGATGCTTAAAATGCTTTTGTTAATACTCAGCTAGGATTAATCTCTAAAATCGAAGTTAAATCTTCTTGATTTACCATTAACACAGGTAAAAATAACAAAAATATTAGAAAAAATAAATTTATCATTTTGAGGAATGTTGGCTATCAACCTTGCTTTCCTGGTATATTCAAATTAATCTTGAGGTTCTGTAAATACCCCTGCTTTTTTGCGCAATTAGCCTGATCTCAGATCTGATTAGCCATAGTATTAATTATTTTGATATAGACAATCTAACCGGATTTGAAGAATTTGGATTGCTTCTCAGCTTCATCTTAATAATATAATAATTGTCATTAGGAACCCTCCTGCATTACCATTAATTCGAATACAGGATAAAAAATTATGATTTTTTAGGTAAAAAATAAGGTGTAAAAAATGACATTCTATATTTACTGAGACTATTGTAATATATTATCTCATGTATTTAGTATGATATTTTTATCCGGAAGTATATCAGATGAAATTGTGATTCAAACTTTAGGATTATTTATAAATAGTATATAGACAATATATACATATAAATAACTAACCTACATTGATCATAAAATACTATATATCTCCTTTAATATTAATTTTTTAATGCTGCTTTATCAGCTTGCATTAATATTATGTTAATTTGGATAATACAACATTAAAATTAGTTTATCACTTTAACTTCTTTTACTTTATCCCTTGATCATCTTTTTACTTCATTAGCTATCTTTCAGNTATATTAAAAATTGGATTATTCTTTTCTGCTAAAATTAATTACGATCCATTGTCGTATTAATTACTTATGAGTGGTTCAAATCAAATTAATGTGGTCGATTTAAGATAATTTTTTAAGAATGCACTCAGAATCGTTTTAATTAATTAATCTTGTTTTTTATACTATGAAAAGGTTCCTTTTAAAAATAAAGGCATTTTATATCAAAGACTTCTTATATATCAAAGAATCTAGGAAGACAACTTATAAATTGGCTGTTTTATTGATACTCTTAGAAAACCTTTAAATGCTATCCATATACACACACAATTTGACTACAATATAGTACGAACAATTTCCAAATTAAGTTAGATCCATGATAAATTATGTTAAGTAAATCAGATAATCTATATATATAAGGATATACACTTTATTTGAAAACTCTATTACTGCAAAAATTATAAGTGTTATTATTGGATTTTCAATAACATCCTTATTGATGCTTAAAATGCTTTTGTTAATACTCAGCTAGGATTAATCTCTAAAATCGAAGTTAAATCTTCTTGATTTACCATTAACACAGGTAAAAATAACAAAAATATTAGAAAAAATAAATTTATCATTTTGAGGAATGTTGGCTATCAACCTTGCTTTCCTGGTATATTCAAATTAATCTTGAGGTTCTGTAAATACCCCTGCTTTTTTGCGCAATTAGCCTGATCTCAGATCTGATTAGCCATAGTATTAATTATTTTGATATAGACAATCTAACCGGATTTGAAGAATTTGGATTGCTTCTCAGCTTCATCTTAATAATATAATAATTGTCATTAGGAACCCTCCTGCATTACCATTAATTCGAATACAGGATAAAAAATTATGATTTTTTAGGTAAAAAATAAGGTGTAAAAAATGACATTCTATATTTACTGAGACTATTGTAATATATTATCTCATGTATTTAGTATGATATTTTTATCCGGAAGTATATCAGATGAAATTGTGATTCAAACTTTAGGATTATTTATAAATAGTATATAGACAATATATACATATAAATAACTAACCTACATTGATCATAAAATACTATATATCTCCTTTAATATTAATTTTTTAATGCTGCTTTATCAGCTTGCATTAATATTATGTTAATTTGGATAATACAACATTAAAATTAGTTTATCACTTTAACTTCTTTTACTTTATCCCTTGATCATCTTTTTACTTCATTAGCTATCTTTCAGATAAGAGTGGAGTAATGAATTTAAGGACTAATAAGACTTTTTAAAATAGATGTATTGGAATACAAAATTATAGGTCTAATTTAAAAAGAGATAGTAACATTAGGATTAATAAAGACTATTTTAAATTTATACAATAGTTAGAACACATCTACAAGAATGTAAATAAATCAGAATGAGAAAAATATTAAAAAACTCTACTTATACATAAAAATGCTTTTGCTCAAGTTTTTAAAATCAAAACTCTATCTAAAATATTGAATAATGTAAGGAATTTTTGAAATTATGGTTGGGCTAAGTAATCGAGGATGATTTAAAGGAGGATGGTACTATTTAGAAAACACTAACATACATATGCTATCTAAATGACATAAAAAAGGCACCTATTTCTGCAATTTATGAAGTAATTAGAATTTCGAATGTTGAAAAAGTATATATTTTTGATTACATAGCTTTCTTTGAGATTGTAGTCGATCATACACTAACTTTAAGAGAATTCATTATAAAGATTTAATTAATTAATAAAGAAGGAAAACTTAGTAAATTAAATATTTGACTTTAAAAAAGCTTGTTTATTTGAAGAATCATTAAAAGTTTTAAAACTGAATTTTTTTCTTATCGTCAAACAAGAAATTGTAATGATTATAATAAATATAAGGAATTTTATGAAGTTCTCTTTTCCCCCATTATAAATGCAAAAGCTGTTTAGGATAAAGGATTAGTATTAGTGGCCAATATTAATCATTTAGAAAATTAAATTTAACTAATTTTCAGAACAAATCCTTAAAATGGAGAATGCGATACTATTTATAAGTTATTTTAAAAATACATAAATTACAACAAGACAAGGCCAAAATAATATAGAAGGGATGGTTAGTTGACGGCTGAATTTATTCAATCAGTGGATAAAATTATTTATGATTAACATAGCTGCGTAGTTCAAATTACTTTACTCTAACCAAGAGGGGATGTAATTAGATATACAAGATCATTTTAATAATTAATTGAGTTTAAAGATGATGAGATACTGAATTAAAATATTAAGAATTTTATCCCTTCAATTATTGCAAATGGCCATGATTAATATTTAAATAATTTTGTTGAGACTGGAAGAATTAATGTTTTAAAAAGAGAATTAAGAATTATTTTGGTTAAATTAAAATCAGGGTTTGTTATTCCTATCAATACTAGATTGAGAATTGAAGTAAATCCATTGGAATTTGGAGCGTAGGCTCTTATGACATCAGTTAACTAGACATATGGTTATTTGATGCTTAATGAATAAGGATAAGTTGAAGAAATAACAAAGAATATATATGAAGATACATTTTACTAATATTTAGGATTAGATTTAGATGCTGTTAAAGGATTAGATTTTTTACTTTTGATTCCTGAGTTATCAAAGATTTGGTAAAGTTTATTTGATGAAAACTTTGATAAGTTAGACTTATATTAAGAAGGAGAATTGGTCATCCCAATCATTGAAAAACAAACTCATTCATCAATATTTTCATAGAATTATGGAAACAAATAATAACAAAACAAAAGACTAGGAGAGTATATGAACAAGTTTCCAGAAAGTGCCATTAAATCTTAGGTTAATTTTCATCTCACAAGTCTCACTACAATTAATTTAAGGTAATGCATTTGATTATTCAAAAATAGAGTAGTTATAATAGAAATTCCAGAGTATCGATAAACCATTAACAAATAGTATTAAAATTCATTATAGCTAATATAAGTTAAGCAATCTTAGTCATAAAATGATGTCATATATCAATCAGGATTACCTAGCTACAAATCACCTTTGTATACTCCTGCTCCATCTAAAACTTTGATGAATGAATGTGATTTAGAATCTGATTATCTAATTGAAGAAAGAAAAATGGTAGAAGAATTTAAGAATTAATTAGCTTCACTTACTAGGAATAACTCAATCTAAAATAATTATTTGAAAGCACTTATAAATTAAGAATAATAATGTTAGATCTCAACAGATATTAAAATTATTATGCCTTCAAATATTACATCATGTAAAGGCGAAGAGCTTGAACAGAAATAACTTCAACAAGAACATTTCTTGAAATAATAATAAAATGGATCTGTTGGCACTAAGTCTTCTTAAAACAATAACAATTCAATTAAGTTATAAATAAGTAATTGCTTATAAAACAATAAATAATTGAATTTTAGGATTAAATCTTTTTTATTCATATTTTATTCGCTATTGCTTGTTGGGTTTATTCTAAACTTTTGTCTTTTGTTAATTAATTTTGAAAAAGTGGATAACAATGTAAATTTTGAAAGTTTGCCCTATAAATTTTCTTACTACTACAATGAATTTGTTATTGCAAAAGTATATCAATCATCAAATGAGTTTAACTTTAATAATCTTCTCCAAGTCTCAATAAATTATTATCAATTAAATTAGAAATATGTTGATAAAACAGTCTCTCTTATGCCTTTCATCGATACAATAAATTAATAAACCATGAAAAGAAGAATCATAAACCTTCTATAATAAATGTCGGAGGCTTATCATAGTAATTCAAGTATAACTATTGAGGATTTCTTTAATAACACATATGCTTTTCATATTCTATTAGATGAATTTGATGGTGCTAATTCTCTTTTGTAAATTTAGGGTCTCCTTAATTTGTAACTTAATAATAACAATATTTAGGTTTATTTTTGAAGAAGTAACAATATTTTTACTATTAATTTGGTATGCTTATTTTTACATCTCAATTCTAAAGGTGAAGGTATCATTTTATAAATTATTTTGTACTTTTTCAAGAGATTTTATCAAAGATTAATTTATCTAATTTCATTCATTGCATAATTAAATAAGTCATTCCAAATTTAAAAATAGTGAGACTAACGAAGAATCATTTGAAGCATCTATGATAAGTCAATTTCAGAAAAATTCAAGATAAGGAAATCTAGAAAACCAGGTTAGAATTGGTAAATAAATTTAAACTTCATGTAATCAATCTATTTATGTTTATAGAGATTAGTTTAAATTTGTACATATTCATATTTACCATTTTTATGTTCTTTTCTTTTTATTCATTATATTATTTTGGAACTTACATTATGTATAAGCAAGTGCTGAGTAGCATAGAATTAAATGATTCGAAAAGAATCTATTATGAAAATATAGCGAATGATTTAATTTTTGCTTATGCACAATAAACTTTTTACTACAATAAAACGATTACACAAGAAATGAGCTAATATTAAGATAAAGTATTGGGTGAATTTAAATAAAGAATTTCATAGATCTCACAATTAGAAGACTAATCAAATTTTCTAATTAATAAAATATTATTAGATGAAGTTTGTATAGTTTATCAAGAAGGAATGTAAAGCATCGTTATGTATTTAGTATTTTACTGAATACTGATTATTAGAATCTATTTACCTTTGAACAGTGCAAATCGATGCCTTCTCTATCAAAAGGTTTAATTTTCGTTGTGTAAGAGTTATTTTAGAACTACAAAAGCATTGTAGAGGATACTGAATTGAAATATTAAAATGGAACTTTTACATTTTCCAATTTATAGCTAGTTGATACACAAATAAAGAGGCTATATTCACAATTTGGTTTTTAAATTATAATAGAAATTTTAAGAAACGATATTAAATATTTCATATCCTAAATAATTTAATTAAATATATTAACTTTTGTTTTAGCAATTATTTTAGCTACTATCACAATAATAATTGCAAAATTATCAATTGAAAAGGCGTATTAGCAATACTAAGACAGTAAAAAAATATTAATGTTGTTTCCATATGAAAAACTTATGGAAAATGCATATGTTATCAATTTTATAACAAAAGATTTTAATATTTCAGCCTGATGTTCTTTATATTGCATTTAAATATACTTAATATAACAATTATTTATATGTTTTCTATCACAATAGAAAATCTTTTTATCCTTTCTTAAATACTAAAACTAGGAGGTGCATAACAATTTTTATTTCATTTTACCAATACTTTTTCTTTGATATTGAAATGCTCGAATTTATAAATCTATATTATCATTTATATTGGTTTCTATTGAGAATCATATTTTTTTTTGTGAAAAATTTATTGATAAAAAAATTATTTTTTAATTCATTCATAAAAATGCTTCTATTTGATTTTTATATATGTATTTGGCTCAGATTTAGTTAATAGTTATCATTAAAATAATTAATTTATGTCATCAGATTCGGATTAGCATAAAAAGGAAGAGGCAAATCGGATCTATGTGACAGGATATTCAACTAAAGAATCAGAAATGGATATAAAGAGTATATTCGCAAGACATGGGGAAATTCAGGAGTTTTCATGGAAGGGACGCTTTTGTTTCATCGTAAGACGTGGGAGTTGGCATTAGGGTGCAGGCTTATACCAAGCCTGAGGACGCAGCAGATGCTGTTAGATTGATGAATTAGTAGGAAGTCAATGGAAGAAATTTGATTGTGGAGCTGGCACGAGCAAAGAAAAAGGATGGAGCCTGTTATTAGTGTGGAAAATAGGGGCATTTGTAAGTGAAATGAATATAATTTTAGTGCTCGAAATTGTCGTTTAAATAGACGCTCTTATTCTGACTCCAGGTATGAGAACATGTGACATTAGGCGCCATTCAAAGAAGAAAAAAAAACATAGAAAGCATAGATCATCAAGCTCTTCCTCGAGTAGTGAAAAGAAAAAATCAAAAAAGAGAAAGAGAAAGAGCAAGAGCTCTTCTTCAAGTTCTCATTCACGTTCAAGTGATTGATAAATAAAGATTCAAATATATTAAAAATCAAAAGTAAATTATATATACATATATAATTGTCATTCCTAAAACCTTTGATTGGTAATATGGGATAAAATAGTAGTCATAGTGCGATCCTCATTTGCATTTTTCATGTCTTTTTTGAAAGTTGGCATTTTGGATAGATTTCTCTTAATATTTTGTTAAGTGGTGTCATTATCTCTGATAAACAGTCTTTTATCCACTAGAAAATATTAACTTGATAATTACAATCAATGACTCCAAAACATTTTTCATTTTGCATAAGTAAATTGGTTTGAATCATGAAGGTTTCCAAAACTTTGTGTCCAAAAGTAACAAATATTCTGACAGAATCTTCAGCACAGAAATTGTTGATCTTCTATGCAATAACATCGCTTTCTTGTCTGACAAAGGTTTTGATCTCAGTCTACATGACTCTCGTTTTTAAGAACATGTCATTTAGATTTACAGTCTTAAAACATGAGGCCTTGCTTGATGTGGTGCCATTATTTTCTTTGCATTATGGTGATAACGGCTCTTAACATAACAATTTTCTTTTAGGTTTTTGGTTATTAATAAAAAATTAGTAACAATTATCGGACAAAAAAGGATCTAATGATTAAACATGAACAGAGAAATTCCATAGCATAGTTGATTGGTTAATTCTATTAATTTCTAATTTGGATTTCACTACATTATGTGATCTATTCTTAGAATCAATTTTGACACCATCTAATATTTATAATATTAATTATACCTGGACATATCATTGAGTAGTCAAGTTAAAAGTTATTTTTATTGGGAACATAAATTAGGATATGATATTGATTAATAAGACTGTAGTAATCAGGTATCATTGGGATATTAAGTATTTAACCAGTTGAATTGGCTAAAACATCAAAATCATAGGAAACTTATAAGAATCCTTTTCGTTAGGCATGGACTCTAACTTACTTGAACATCAATCCTGGACAATTAAACAATCCCTATTCATTTGTTATACCAATAATAGGTTCTTAATCAGCTTAATCGGATTAGAACACTTCCAATCTACAATTTTCAATGTCTTTATGTTGTCCACTTTTTAGTAGAATATTGTAAACTCTAAATTAAAGAGTAGTTTCTACACAACTTACTAAATCGAATACAATTTTCACATCTGTATTTCCTTATAAAAAGATCGTCCTCTTTTAGGAAAAGCAATCCTTTTTTGAAACATCAATAACATATTCTTACTTGTCTCTTCCATAAAATATAAATGCCTATTCATTAGCATCATAGGTTAATGTTTCAGTTATGTTCTTAGTAATATTAATAGTAGCATCTTCAGGAGCTTTGACCATGCATTTAATAAGATCTGTTCTTTCCACTCTTGTAGACACATAAACAGTGTCGGTGTTCTCATCGAGTAATTCATCTACATTTAGTTATGATTTAGTTGTTTGTATGCAATTCCCACTTATTTCTATTTCATATTAGTTTGTTTACTAAACTAAATCAATAAATTTAGCTTCTTCAAAACAAGTGATTGGAATTGTCTAAGAAAATAATTTAACAGTGAATTTCTTTTCAGGTGATTATACTTTCTGTTTTGAACCAGAAAGATCAATTTATGAAACATTAGTTTAAGTCATCCATGCCTGAGATTTTGTAGGCGAAAAGTAAACTCTTACTGACTTTTCCATATCTCGAATATTTTCTGTGCTTTTGTAAATATCTAATTTAGACGCACTCTTCTAACCACTACTTGCTTATTAACAAAATGAAGTCCTTATTACAATCTACTTTGTTGGAGTTTAAGCTGATTACAAAGTAGGTGCTTCTCTCTAACGGACAGTCACTTAAAGTCCTTCCAAAATGCTTTTTTGCATTCCATCTTCACAAACTGGAACCACATGTTTGATTGGACAATCAACATTAACTGTTAAATTAAATTTCTTTAAATGCAGCCATACTAAATCTCCAATCAACTTAGGTGTGATTTATTCTTTTGAAAATTGACGGGAATACAAAACAACTGCATGAACATCTGGTTAGAATAGTTGAATCTATAAATAGTGATCAGGATGATTGATTTATTAACGAAACAACTTAATGAATGGATATCTAAGTTATATATTTCGAAAACTAATACTTTCTATTTATTGTTTGTTTTATTTCATCCAGAAGATCATAAAATGCTTCTTTTGTCTCATCTACACCAGTGCTCTTGAACTTTGGATTATAACAACTCTATATTGAAACTGCCATTTGATTTGACTTCAACGAATCAAACTCACTTAGATTAGCAAATGAGGCTTTCTCTTATAATGATGCCAACATATTTCTTAATAATTCTTTGTATTGCATTGTAATCTTAGTTGTGGTGGCAGGTACCATATTGTCATTGAAAAAACTAAACTCATTCATATTCTATACCTAACTTTAGACTTGAACTTAAATCTATTTGGAGATTGCTAAGAATTTATACTGCTGGTTGTTTAGAACATAATTTTATAATTGATCGTTAAAAAATTAAAAGATGATTTTGCGGGGTTTATAAGCTCTATTTTCTTAACATTCTTTTATTTCATTGCATTAACAAAGTCACATCTTTGATCAAAAGGATAAATAAAATAGCTTGAATAGGTTCATTCAATCTTATCTGGTGGTGATATCCACTATTAATTAACTATTAGAAAAACAAGTATTATAATTGTATCAAGATGCTATTACTACATTCTTTTTACTTTGTTTTATTAATGATTATGTAATTATATTATTTATGATACAGATAAGATTCGTTATTAATAATCAAAATAATTATCAGAATGCATTTGTTATTATCATTTTAGTGTCTTATTAGTTAATGAAAACAAGGGAGGATTGAATATGATACGAAGTTAATTATTAATTTTCATATCACTCCAAGAATTTAATATAACAATTTGTTATTTTCTTATCTTCTTTCTACCTTTGAATTTAATTTATTCTTATAATATGTTCTACTGACTACGCAAAAATATATTCATTTAATTATATTAAAAACACAAACATTTAAGAAATTTCATAATTTTCGTTGAATGCATTTGGATCTCCCAACTATCAAATAAAGTAGTTTAGCATTTGCAAAATAATTTCATGAAATGAATAAAATTGAGATCTATAGAGATTTTAATTATTAATTCATTATTAATAGTAATACTTTCATAGATTTTCTTTTTATTAAGCTTAACTTATCGGAAGTTAAAGATGCATATATTAACTCTATAATTAATACCGAACTTATTTTTTAATCAGATTGTTGATCTTATTGTATTAAAGTAATTTATTAAATTTGCACTTAATTTTATGAAGGAGCCTTAAAAAAACTCAATCTTAAAACTATGGCCTCACTATTAAAAAATTTTGAAATCTTCAAAATATTCTTAATGGAAGCAGAATGATTTAATTTGTAAAAGGAGCATGTTTTATCATACAGCCATTGCCTTTAGTGCCTTTTATGTTTTAATCAGACTAATAGTAGAAATTATCAGAATAGAGAACATGGTGAGTATTTTTCAATTAACCCTTTTTATTGTCTTAGAGATCATAATAACATGCATCTACACATTTTGTAAGAAAATATAGTTTTACTTCCTTGCATAATACTGCTTGATTTCAGTTTATATCTTGATAACAGTATAAAATGAAGAAATAAATAAGATCTACATATTCCTCTATTTGATACTCGTTAATAGCCATTCTAACCTAATAATAAAGATTTTCCTCTATTTATATTTTATCTTCACAGTCATATTTTTTTACAAGTTTGAACCCCTTGAGATATGTCTCATATGTTCAACCGCCTTTATTCACAATTATTAGTTGGAATCTCACTTCATTGCCAATTATATTAAATAGTTAAAGCTATTATCTATAATAGAGCAAATGCCTAGTGCAGTTTGCATCTTAGATTAAAACACTAAACAGATCACATACTCCAATTAATTATTTGAGAAATTAGCCTAAACTTTATAAGTTACAGATGAATTGGCTCAATCCATAAATAATCAGAGCAAAGAATAATAGCAAATAGATTTTATAAGGAATCTCAATTTAGAGGAAATAAAAAATGATGGATTCTAGATCTCTGACTTTATCCCATAAATAAATGATGAAGGTATAACAGATGACCAATATAAGATAATCAATGTGGATTTTAAAAGATAGCCATCATAAAATACATTATAAAATGTAAGTTTTATGTGTCCGAATTCAGCCTCATTAAAGAAGAAATCCAAAGATATCTTTAGCGATATCAATACAAATGATTATTTACTCAATTCCTCTAGAAAAAGTTATGTAACAACCATACATTTGTAAATCCAAATAAGTCATCAACCTAAATCCTTTATTTTGTCGGCCAAAACAAAAAGAAGGAAAAAATCATCTAATAATATGAACCTTAGCAAACAGAGTTCAAGAAATTTGGGTTAAATTAGTAAAGCATAAGAAATCTAAAATTCCATTTATTGCGAAAATCTGAAATTGTCCCCAAATCATACAGAGACAATCAATCATAATTTAGTGGAACATAGTGAATAATATAAATTCATTCATGATGGATTTGGATAATAATCGTGTACTAATCATAAAGTCAGACTGATGGTTAACTTGATATAAATTAATGATGTCTTAAATGAGAAACAAGATTACCAAATCTATTGTATTAATGAATTAAGTCCTTTGCTTTTGTAATATACAGTTAAGAAACTAGAATAAGCCAAGAAAACTATAATGAGATCATTGTCTCATGAATTAAGAACCAGTCTAAATGCAGTGAATGGTTACATTAGCGAAGCCTACGAGAGAATAGATAATATTCAGCAACTCAACAAAAACTTAGAATTATCGTTGAAATACATTACTTTAATGTAATTAAAACTCTAAGATTTTTTCGATTACAGAGATATTTTGGAGGATTAATTTGAATTAAAGATTGAGAAATTTGATTTAAATTGCGCCATCAATTTTTGTGTGGATTTAATCAAAGTATAATGTTACGAGAAGAAACTAAATCTTAACCTTGAGCTGCCATCTGAGACAATAATAGCCATTGGAGATAAAAATAGATTCTAGTAAGTACTGATCAACCTATTAACAAATGGAATTAAGTTCACTTCTCAAGGAGGAATAACAATTCAAGTAAGTAAGGACTTTTAACTGGATTCAATTTCATGCATAGAAGAGGTCAAGGAGATCAAATAACAACAGCTGGTGCAGATCAGAATAATCGATAGTGGCATAGGAATGAAGGAGGAGTTAAAAGGAATACTGAATAAAAAAGTATATCAAGATATTATTTAGTTTCTTTCGGTAGATGATGATCCAAAAATTTCAAAGGATTCAGTTGGGATTGGATTAGGTTTGAGTGTTTGCTAATATATAATTAAGGCAATGGGTCCCTAAGGTTTGAATAGTTTATTTTTGGAATCTATAATTGGAGGAGGATCGTAATTTTACTTTTTTTTAAATTATGATGCCATAATGAAATATCATAATGATGAAGAAGATATTCCTGAGTCGGAAAATAAGGAATTAACTTAAGTAAGATTGAGTCCTACGAAGAGAAGTTTGTTAAAACGGAATGTATTAGTTTGTCTATTTATTTTATTAGGCGACTTATCCGAATACAGCTTGCAATTCTAATGATATATTGATAGTGGATGATGAACATTTCAATCTTGATATTTTAGCAAATATTATTCGAAATTTGAATTCACATCATAAGAAGTACGAAATTACGATGGCTTTTAATGGTTATTAAGCTTTGGAGAAGATCTAATAAAAAAGAATACAGAATTGTTGTTGTCTTGGATTCAGGGCAATTCTGATGGACATAAATATGCCAGTCATGAATGGATGGGATTGTGTCAAACAAATCAGAATATTCGAAGATTAATATCAAGTTTAGAGGAAAATTCCAATAATAGCCATCACTGGATATGGAGGAAAAAAGGATTTAGAAAAATGTTTAAAATAAGGATTTGATTGTGTATCTACAAAACCTACGAATAAATAAAAAATATTGAAGATATTTTAGGACTATAATATATGATGGAATAAATGTTTGTACTATTGTCAATTTATTAAATTCATAAAACACTTAATTATTCATTTTTGAGAATATTATGTGTATTTTTTCCATAGTATATATATATATATATGAGAATTGAAAAGTGAATATTAAGAATTTGATACATAAGCAAACTATAAATTTCAGTGTAATCTATTCTATAAACTATCAGGTGATTAATTGATTTCTAAATCTTTAAATGATTCTTTGCTACAAATAGCTTCCGAATTGTTTTTAGCTTCATCAAATTCATCGGGTACATCTAATTTTAAATTCTCATCCTACTATTTTTAATTTTCTTAATTTTATTCTATTTCAAAGGTCATGTAATTCTTTTAGACCAAACGAAACAAACTCTAATTCTGCATAGCAAATTACATCAGTTATTTGTTTAATTACCAATTCTAATTTTTATTTTGGTTAATTTTTTAAAAGTTCTCAACTAAATCTTCTGCATTTTCAGCTCCCAATTGAGCTTTGAAAAACCTTGCCAATTTAGCAAGTCTTACATTAATTGGTACTAAATTTAAATAGCATACAATTACTTGTTGATGTTGCAGCATATTAATATAAATTTTGATTATCTAATTTCGCTTAAGAATTAGAATATTACTATAATTGATTTATTGATCTATTTTATTTGGCATTTGCTCTTAGAATATCAAATAGTTCTTTTTAGTCTGTCATATGGTCTTGAAAAACAGGGGAACTAAACGTATTAAACAACACTAATTAATCATCATCAAATAAGAATAGTTTTAAACAATCGATTTCATAAAGTTTTTTCAGTATATTTGTCAAATCCAAGTCAAGTTCTATTTTCGATTTTGCTATTTAAGATATAACAAGTTCTTTTTCTTCAGATATTTGAAAGCATTTCCCAAAACAGGTTTTCACTAATTTGCGAATCTGATATAGTAAATATTTATGGAATGAATAATTTATTGTGTAATCTAAAATCTATAGATTAAAATGCATTTATACATGTTGTAATTAAATTTTTTAATTTTTGCTTGAATTCAATCGATTAGGAGCTAATGATTAATTAATATTGGTTTGCATTCTTTTTTATACAGCTTTGAAATCAAATTTGAATACTGAATTCATGAGGATTTCGAATGTCTTATGGTGATTATAGAATTTATAAAACATTTTTATAGCTTGCATTACAGCTAGACAGAGAGCGGTGGCTTCAGATACAGCTGACAAAATTATAGAAGGAAGATCTTGTTAATTGACAAAATAATAGGATGTGTCAGATGATGCTCTATTACAATGTAATTATATAATATACCTCAAATAAAATGTGCAAAGGGATGCTCCTGAAGTAATTGTTATGGGTTCTTATCTTCTTTCTTATCTTTAAACCATTGAACTATTGTAAAGTATTTCAGTGTCTTCAATGTTAAATAAGTCACTAAAATATTAAATTTTCCCTAATGTTAACATCAATTGGTACTCAAATCCATCTATAAAGGCTGCATATAAATATCCTCATTATCTCCAATACCTGTAGTCAATCTCCAAAATATATTGTTAGAAAAGATATCAGCAGGATTTGTTTAATTAAGGGATTGCTTAATCTTAGACCCTCTAATGAACATATCCACATTCACTCTATTGATATCTTTAATGTCTTACCCTTAATTAATAAAGTCCTCAATTTCCTTAGAAGATTTACAAGAACTACTTGTTTTATTGTTGCAAACACTCAGAGTCAATTTTAAATAAGCAAAGTAAGGTTCATAGAATTCTCCCTATAAAGTGAAATTTCCATTAAAGCAAAGCAAACTTTATTATTATTCTTCAGTCATTGAAGCAGAGTTAAAATTAAATTTCTAGATTGATTCCTAAGAACATTTAGTTTAATTTAAATCACTATAATTTCTAGTAAAGCCAATCTTCCCTTCCACTCTTTGCTATTGTATATATTAAGCGGATAAAGTAAAATAACTAAACAGATGGAAATATATATATTAAATACTCCTTAACTTCTGTATTATTAGTTAAAATCGTTCCATCTAATGTTGAAATTTCAATTGCAAAGAGAGTGTTATCATTACTTAAGATAAATTAAGCACTTTGATCACTTTAAGTACCAGCATATATGGCATTTTAATTTTAGATACTTCGTTAAAATACGCCTATAACGTAAAATGATGTAAACACTAATAGCAAGATGCTGAGAAATCCACCTAAAAGTAAGCTAACAAAAAAACCTATTGGAGTTAAGGATTTTTCCTTATGTGAAATATTAAATTCATAAGGATCAACCAGCAAATCCGCTCTCTTTATTAGATTGCTTAACATGCTTTAATAAAAATTGAATTTTTTTGATTAATTTATAAGAATAATCATTATATTTAAAAAAAACAGAAAGAGAGGAGATCGTATATTATATTCGGGGCATATAAATGATTTTAGAGATTGTTTTAGAAATAGTTAGTTTATTAATATATGAATCTGCAATTTTTACAATTTGAATAAAAAATAATAGCAAAATTAAAAGAAAAATTGGCATTAGATGTTATATCTGAGTTTAAAAATGATATTTATTATTTTTCATGCACTTGGCTATTCCTTTCTTTACCTCATCTAAATTATATTGATGTATTGATATACTTCATTAATTACTGATTTAACAAAGTTTGGATATACTTTCCACAGAAGTAAACAATAATCTAGAATTTTCTCATTGTACTTATATTCTCCATTGTCATCAATAGTGAATCCTATTTCTGATAATTTTTAATGGTTTTATTTCATATGATTTTTCAATTAATTAGGACGTTTATATCCTTTTTAACACTTATGATAAGGACATTTGAAAAAGTTCTTTTCAGCACTGTAAGATTGCTATTTAAATTGCTTAATGCGAACTTCCTCAAATAGACGCTTGATCTTTTCTTCAGTAGTGCAGTTTTCTACAACAAAGTTAAAAAATTATACTTTTTTCTAGTGATTCTCTTTATCTTTAGATAAATTCTTCACTTACTGAAGGAAATAAGTTTTAAAGATCTTTTTCAGGTATTGAAGGTGGATATTCTACTTCCTCCTAGTTTTTTTCTGTTTCCTATTTACCTTCGGCTTTTATTGATGGTTTTTTATTTAATTCAGGTTGCAAAAGGATGTTTGGTTATTCTGGACCTGGGGCCTAATTATCAAAGGCTGTAAATTTAGTTTTTTGTATTGAAAAGGATTTGAAGAATTCTTAAAGAGCTTTTTTGGCAGTATGGAGATTGTTTCCTAATTTCAAATACCATTCTTTCAAGAATTTGAATTAAATTTAGACAGTTTAGCCTTCAGGTTTATTATCTATTTAATAAGGTTATTTTTTACTTGCAATATCTAAATGGAGAATTTATATTTATTTTTTAGTTTATTCAGATTTTTACTATTTGATTTGAGCTTTCGTAAGTATTGTAACGACATTATCATTACCATTAACTTCAATTTCATCGGTATCTTCTAATTTGAAATCAATTCTTAATTTTTATTATTATTAATAAAGCTATTATTATTGCAAGTATAGATTCATATTTTAATCATCCTCTTTTTATTCTTTCTAAGACCTATCAAGAGTTATTATTTACAACATCCTGCTACCTAACTAGAATTTTAAAATTATGTCTTATTGATCATTAATAAATGTAGTGCTATAAATGGTTAAAAGAACAATTACTTGATGGCTGTATTGGATTATAAGATAAATGTAACTTTTTCTTAGAATATGCCTTTTGGTATTATGAATGAAATATACTTAAAGTTTAGGTACCAGTTGGAGGTCTAATTGCACCAGGAATGCTTTGATAATTACCTGAAATCCTATTTCTAGAAATAAGTCCAGGGTTCCTTTGAGATTGATTAAATGATTCAATAAGTGTTTATAGATTTTTATCTTGAGCGAAGGAATTTTAAAACTTAGGAAGCATAATGAATTAATATAATATATTAATTTATTTAGAATTCAATAGGTATAATAGATAAGAGGAATATATGAATGTGAATATTATTATGTTATTATTTTTTTCAATTATTGCTTTGACTCTTCTGCTTGCGAACGTAGATCTATTGGACATCTGGCTAGACAGATAGACTTGAAAGTCTAGAAATAATAAATAATTTAATATAAACGCCTTCTATGATCTAAATTAATCTTCATGAATGATTTTAGGTTATTTCTATTAGTGAATGAAGTATTCTGAGACAAGCCTAGGGATTGCATCATGAATGGGTAGTTCTATTTGTTTGGAAAGAATCCATCCTGTTCAATCTGATAGTCCATTTTCAAGATTCCAGTTTCTTCTTTAAATTTGAGATTGGCACTGATTGACTCTTAGGTTTTCTGCTTTTCCTCTTCACTCATCATTTAATATTGAAAATTGACTCCAATTTATTTGGCATAGCCCAATCTGAAATAAAGCCAACTGTCGAAATGGGATGGATTTTGTAGACTCTTCAAACTCCATTATTTACCACCCATAATACTTTTATTTTTCAAAGACATAGTCATTTTGGATTTGTCAATAAGAACCGCGTTTAAATGATCGCCCACTTAAATTTTCTCAAAATTAATGTAATAAGTGAAAATGGAGAAATCCTCAATCTTGGCGTATAAGTGAATGCAATACCACATCTTATTCATAAATTACTCCTTTCATCCTCATGACATTGATCTAAGTTAACTGTGAGAGCAAATGCTTTTATCTTTTAAATTATTGGAAATCTGCTTATCTCACTTGATGTTGGGAGGTGATACATTTGTCACTGAAGGCGAGAAACTTTTGTAAAATGACATCTAGCCTTCCTTTGGCTATGTTTTTTTTACTTACGATAACTTCAAAGATAAATCCAGGTTGGAGAATCTAAGATATTGAAAGCCTCTTTACTTCATAGACTGCCTCACAATCCATACTTTCATCTGGAAACCCTACAGATGCAAATCCTAAATCTAATGCCTTATTTATATAAGGGATTATTTATTATTACTTCTTCTTATCTTTTTAGTTTACTGTAAGTGGTAATCATGTCAGATTTCCTCTGATACACACTCTCCAATAACTAATTGGCTTATGTTTCAATATCTTAGATGGTTTATTATTACATTAATATATAAATTATCCATAAATTAAAGTAAAAAATTGTATATCAAGACGATAACATGTTTTCTTTGCCAACCTAAAATATTCTTTACTTTTGTAAGACCTTAACATCACTTTGATTTCTGTGTTACATGAGGGTTTATCCAGTGTTGATGAAATTGATGGTGTCTGCAGGTTTTTAAATTGTATCATCAGTGTTATCTAGTAGTATTTCCTCATCTCTAAACTTGTGAATGTCTTCCTCATTGATTTCTAAGTGATCTATATCTGATTATTCATTTTCCTAATATTAGTTATCTTAATCCAGGTTGTCTTGATTTAAATCCTCTCTTTTTGAATTTTCGATCTCAACTTAAGCTGGCCCATCTACAATGTAATTGACAACAGAGATGACTGGATCTTCCTGAACTTAGCGATTACTGGCTTGATTTGATTATTTGGCAATTGGTTTACTAGATGAACATGCTCCCATTTCAAAATCGTTAATTATTTTAAAATTAAAAATATATATTATGTCTAATAATTTGTCAAAATTAAAGGATAGCAATAACTAGACATATCGTTCCTAGCATCCAGGAATAACTATTCTCAATAACCGTAGTATTATTCACTGTTGTTCCATTGCAAGCCAAACATTTATTGGTGGTCTTGTCCCAATAATGGCTTTTGGCACTGTTGATAAAACAAGTATCTTCAGTTAGATCTGAAATGTTGGCTGATTGACATGTCAACTGTATTTCCGCACAAACCTAATACTCAGTTTCACTAAAGGCAACCAATGGGAGACAAGTACTACCAGAATTCTTGCTTTGACATGTGTATGGCTTGCAAGAACTTGCACCACCATTACTAGGTTTAGGTGTCCATTTACAAATATCTGATTTCTTTTTGCATCCTTTTTCGAATGAATTGGCATCTTCACATTTAGTCATTACAGAGCAAACACTGTCATTCCATGTGCAAACACCATCAGTTCCATCAAATCCACAACTATTTTCAGTCTTATATGATGCACAAGTAGACTTAGCCACACAACTAGATGTATCAGCTAAACAATTGGCTAAGGTTGTACACTATTTAACATCAGTGATATCACTGCATACTTTCAATCTGCATTTGCTATTCACTGTGTCATAAATACAAATTCCATCTGATCCATATTTACATAAGTCACTAACAGTATAACCATCACATTTTTAGATATCAATGCATTTGCTAGTATCAGTTGTACATTTAACATTTGCCAATTAGCAGTCTGCATGAGTAGTCTTTATTATATCAGTGCATTTTTAATCTCTGCATTTTAATGTAGTTGTATCCCATTAACAAAACTTACTGTCTGTTGTAACCTAACAATTATCTTGAATGGTGTAAGTGGAACATGTATTTGATAAGTCCATACATGTTTTTTTGTCTGAATTTACTGTGCATGTCTTTTTCTCACGGTAACATTGAAAATGAGTCGTGTAATTCATCTATGTGCATTTTGTAAACTTCTCGCATATTGTATTATTGCTTTTATCAAGATTTCTTACACAATCTCCATCAGTACCAATATAACATCCAGTTTATTGTGTTTTAGCACAACTTGTAATTGGAACACATTTTGTACCATCAGTTGTACACTTGTTATTCGCTAAATTACAAAACTCATGAGTTGTACCAGGCAAACTAGTGCAATCCAAAAAAAGGAAGCATTAACTATCCATCCATAAACAAGGTCCCTCTTTAGAGATAACACAACTGAGTGACAGTTTATAGTCACTACATTTGGCTGCCTAAGTAATGCATTTGGTTCCATCAGAAGTACAAGTATCCAATTAGTCGTTGCATTCTGAATGACTAATGTAGACAATGTCAGAGCAAGTCTTAACTTTGCATGCAGAACTCAACCAAATGCATTTCTGTTCTAATGCATCAGTTTTGCAAGCAGGTTCTGTTTTCATATCAGTACATGTTCCACTAGAAGAACATCCTGCCCCAGTTGTGTAGCATTTATCTAGATATTTGCTGCATGCATCATCAGTAGTCATAGATGTTGGGGCATTAGCACAAGTATATGATACACATTTGCTGTCCTACCAAATACACGAACCTAATTTAGTACACAACTGTTATGTAAATGCTTCTGTGCATTATTTCTTAACACATTGAGTTTATCCAACATTAGCAGTGCAAATACTTAAAAATTTATTACAATTATCAGACGTATAGGTATCAACCTATGCATTATCACAATCATAACTAACACATAATTATTTCGACTTATTCCAATAGCATTATTATCCTTCAATAGTAGAAACACATTGAGTGACATATTGATATGATGAGCATTGAGTTTCTCTCGTTTTGCATCCAAGGTTGTCATCATCAATGGTGCAAGTGGCTAAGAATTTGGAGCATAGTTGATCATTGGTGTAATCATCAGAAGCCTGAGAACAAAAGTAATCAACACATTTACCAACATCTTTGCCATCCACTTAAGTGACAAGCCAAAGACAATTTCCTTACACTCCTATTTTGCATGTGTCTTTAAACTTATAATTGACGCATTCATCAATATTTTTACATGTATTTGATATACCATCTTGTGTCTCTGCCAATACACAGTTCTCTTTATAGTTCTGACAATCATCAACTGTTTTACCGTTTCCATTTGCACAGGTGTATTCATAACAAGTACTTGTTGTTTCATTCCATTTGCACTCCATGCTTTGATCCAAATTAGTTACACATTATGATTTCGTTTTTTAATCACTACAGTTCTTTCCTGAATCAACACATCCTGAATTGGTTTCGTTAACAGTGCAATTTGAGAGTTTTGAACGGCATTCTTAATTTGTTTTTAAAGTCGTAGGTAAATTTTTACAAGCAGTAACAGTTTTACATTGAGGTTTAGTTGCATCACTTTCATCATAATAACAATATTGTTAAGCACTATCAATGTAGCATGATGTCTTAGTTAAGTAAGTATCGCAAGTGGATAAAGGGACACACCTTTCCCCATCCGATGTACACATATCAAATATATTATTACAAGCATCAAATGTCTTACCCAAATAAGCTGTACATCCAGCAAATGTTTGACATGAATTCTCATACATAGCACATCCTTAAACTGGACATTTAGCCATTGTGCTTGCTAATTTACAATACGTTTCCTGTTCTCTATCCTTGCATTGACCATTCTCATATTTGCATTGTATTCTTTTACAATCGGTTTCATTCTGAATTTCTTTACAGGTGCAAGTCTTGTCCAAAACAGTATCACACCTTATCAATATCACTAAGAATACTAAGATTATTTTTGTTAACATTAATTATTATTTGAATCAAAATAATCTCTGATTTACTATTCAATTTATATACATTCAGTCATCCATTTAATACTTATAAATTTTTGTAAACAATCAACATCAGTTATTCTCTATCATAACCATTCATTTCCATACTCACATCAGATCACAAATTTACATTGTTTCATTTATTATAAGCTTAATCAATATTTTATCATCTGTCCATACTTTGTTTAAACACCATTTATACTTATATTGTCCTAAATTCATATTTGTATCGTACTTTAGTTATAAGACTAAATTCACTATATTTTCCTGCTTCGATCATCCAATTTATTTTCCTGAATTTCGATTCTACAAATCTTAAACAACCACAAACTAACGGTTTCATTACAAATTTAATACTTTGTCGCTTTAAAATGAAGAATCTTAATAAAGTATATTGTCAAACACAATTGGTTCTCGAATAAATACCACAAATCTTTATTAAATTGGTTTAATTTAATTACTATCCTTTTATGATTTTATTGTATTACTGTAACAACCACTTTTGCCGTTTTTCTAAATCATCAGTTTTTAGATATACTGTATCTGTTATTTATAATTCTATTTAAGAACCCATCTTATCTATCTTCTTTGAGTCTTTATTTAATTGCAATCCGTTAAGTTGACTAGGCTACTTTGTCATTTTTGTTAGGTTTTATTCCACTAAAGTTACTAGGTTACACAGCAATAGGGATTTATATCCATTATATATGCTAGTTCCTACCAAGAGATTATCTTTTTCAAATAAAATCTAATAGAAATAATAAATATCAATTTCTTTAAATTATAAAACTAACTAATATTCTAATATTAATTTCATATGACTTGCTTAATCTTTATGTTATAGGTTTATTTATTAATATCTCAAATCCTCAATAATTTTCATATAAACAATTTAGAATGATTAGATTAGTAGAATTTACATTTCTGTATAAGTGAACTAAAGGCATATAACATGAGTAAATGAAAACATCATTTATTACTAATCCTGGATTAGATGCCTAATTTTTTATACTCTTTTAAATAATAAGATTTTATTAAATCTAAAATAAATTGAAAAATAACAAAATTCAATTGTTTCTAGTTATTAGACATAATCTATATTTATTTAAGTTTTTAACGGATACTTTTCTTACTAGTTTATATATTCAATATTGAAGGAATCAAATATCTTCATAATGTATTATAATCATTCATATTTTTAGGTTTAAATTAATACAAAGAGTTATTATTAAATTATGAAAAATTGGTTTTTAATTTTGACGTTATTAAATTGTTTAGTCATAAAGAGATATACAATTTAGATGCAATTACATCTAAACTCGGATATCAGCTATGTTTCTCAAATAGTTCGTTTGTTGGATTGGTTAAAATTTTATAATAATTTTTGAATGTAAAATTTAATTATTGATAGGTACAAAGAATTTGCAAATAAGGTGAGTGAGTTAAAGAATATATAATGCAATTAGAGTCTAATGTTGAAAGTGTTATCAAATAAATAAGACTATGAAATTGGATCAATTTAAAATAAGATTTTGATCAATATGATAAATTTGAAATTCTTCAATTTTCAATACACCCATATTAACAGGTAAAGTTATAAAGAATAGAGCTGTGAATACTCTTTGCGATCCGATATGATACTTAAATAATTAACATCATAATTAAATTAATTAAGTTTTCTTAGAAAATGATAATTAAACAAATAAATGCAAAAACTAACAAGAATTAACAGTTGTATCCATCATTTTAAATGCATTAGAAAAATGAAAATGCAAACTCAAACATTTATTTTGCAATCCTTCATTTTTGTTTTAGTATTTTTAATTGTAATCTCTTCCCAGATGATTAACAAGTTTATGATGGATGACATAATTGAAAAATTGACTAAAGAAATAGAAATAAAAACCAATCTCAAATAGATAAACATTTAATCTCAATTTATCAAATATTAAGCTCATCACCCTTTGGAATACGGATTCAAATTTCTGCAAAGCTTCAATAAATTGAATTAATTGACATTAATAGACCAAAAAACTTCAATTCATCTTTTGCTAGAATGTCCAAAGGATGAAAAAAGTTTCGAAATTTATGAAAAAATTCCTTAATTTTGTTACATATTACCAAAGAGCAATACGATAACCTCAGATAAAACATTAATAGCCCATATAGTAGGATATCAGGCTTTATTAAACTCATTATTTTTGCCAATTTCTCTATCTGATTTCCAAGAAACATTGTTTTTCACTTTTCTTTCAGATGAAGAATATTTTGCAATACTTCCATCGAAAATGATTCAAGCAGTGTACTTACCATCAAAAAGACCATGGTACCAGGAATAGATCTAGAAAGTGTAAAAGACATAATAGAATGATACAATTTCGATCTCAAGTATATATCAAAATTTTGAAACAAAAAAATATGAATTCACAATAACAAAAGGATTAACTGACCAAGAATAGAATTTAGGTGGAATATTTGGAATCGATTAAACTTTGGAACATTACAAAGAGTTATTATTGTATGATGATTTGAATGTAATTCTGGTTGATCTCGAAGGAAGAATGCTATTATCAAATCTAATGATAAAATAGGATATAGATTTATCATAAGAGAAGAAGTACATTTATGATAGTGATGCAACTGGATTCGATGAAAATGATTGGAATTAAATTGTGAACGAAGCCAAAAAATCAGGTTAAGGGATTATTGAATGTGATGAAAATGGTGTTAAATAATTTTGTAGATATAATACATTCTTTAAGTAAGATCTGATAATAATCGTGATAAACATATCGAGTTAGTTTTACTTGCTTGTGTAAAGTATCTTTATTATCACAATAGATTTTAGAGTTTGGCTCATATTACTACAAATGTAACCAAGGCCAAATAGCTGCAGGATTAAATAATGTCTGAAATAACCTAGTTTCTGTATTACTGTGTCTTTGTGGCTATCATTTTATTGCTGCTCTCAATAATTATCATTCCAATATTTTTTAGACCATTACGAAACATTCAACAAATGATTAGTACTCAAATGGTTTCTAAATTCACAATCCACTATGATCATTTCTTTAGTAGTAATAGGAAGAAGAATTAATTAGCGTTCTTTTCTGAGAGTTTTAATGTTTTCAAATAGAAATTATTAGATTTTACATAGAGTAAATCACAAGATTGCTATATTATTGAGAATTTCAAATATCCAAGATAACAACAGATTATTGTATAAGAATTAACTTCTTTCATTAAATTTCAATTAATTGTAATCATAATATCCTATGAGATAGAAAGATCAGATAAATAATCTGCCTAACTAAAATATCCAAGTTATTTAATCCCCAAAACTAATCTGTGATACTTTTCTTGATTATAGTTGTAACAGTTAAAAGAGCGTGATTCAAGTATCACCGAAGGATGTAACATTTCGTATTGATTTCTAAAACAATTAAACTTGAACTTATTATTATAAATTCGTGAAATAAATATTTGTAAATCTAAAATTGATCTTGACTTTGCTTAATCCATTGATAAAATGAGAATAAATTAAGATTTAAATACATAATTATTGATTATAGATTTAGAGTAATATTAACATCATCATTATCTATCATCAGTAACTAATAAATATGGATAAAAGAATGGAATTCACAACCAGAAACATCTTTTAAGTTAAAAATGATAAATTAATATATTAGGTAAAGTCAAATGATATCTAAGAAATATGTAGATGATGATGATGTTTATGGAATAAAACCACATAAGATATCATCATCTGGAATTCATCTTAAAACAAATTGATAATATGAGCTATTCAAAATTCATTATCCCATTCACTATCTTTGGGATTAGGTTATTGTTTTTTGAAGTATTATGCATCTTTAAGCATCTATTCAAATAATGGTAACCTTTTCATCAATTAAACCTACCCATTCGTTATGATTTTATTGGCAGATGGTTTATAGACTGGTTTGAGTTTCTTGGTAATCAAAACATCCCATTGGAAGTCCTTAAACCAAGCATGTTACTTTAAAGTCTAATATGATCCTCCTAAGCGTAGTTCAGGTATACGGTTGAGCAATTGTTCAATAAAAACCTTCGCAGACTTATCAGACATATAAGAGGGATAGGATAAAGGTTTCTTAGTGATTTCCTTGTAGATTTCAAAGGGATCTTCTGCATCTTCTCCGAAAGGCAAACCACCGCAGACAAATTCATAGAGGATAACTCCAACACTCCATAAATCAACCATCTAATTATATCCTTTTCCACTTATCACTTCTGGTGCCATATAATGTGGAGTGCCAATGATAGTGAATGTTTTCTATCCGGGTTAATTTAATTTTGCAGTTCCAAAGTCTATCAATTTCAAATAACCAGTATCATCAACCATAAGATTTTCTGGTTTGTAATCTCTATACATTACTTAATGAACTGTATGTAAATATTCTGTTTGCAATATCATCTAAGATATATAAAACTACGAATCGTTTTTATTTAATAATCCAATTTCTCGAATAGCATCGAATAGTTCAATTCCAGGAATGTACTCATTTAACAAGTAGATATTATTATCGTCTTTGAATGATCGAAAGAAACGCATAATTAAAGGGTGATCTAAAATGGATTACACTCTTCTCTCATTAGCGACATGTTTCCCTATCCCAAACTACTTGATATTTGCTCTTGTCATTATTTTTAATGCAAATAATGATTATTCATTCTTAAACTAGCACAAATAAACCATTCCAAATTGTCCACACCCTAAAGTTTTTAAATAGTTCAGATCTTCTAATGAATAATCCTTCACTTTATTAACTTAATTATTAGCCTATTAGGTATATACTTCCAATATTTGTTACTAATATATTAGTATTATGTTTACTTATTCACCAAACTATTTTTTTACTATATTATAATCAATGGCTGCTATTATGCCATCTTCTAACATAAAATAATCCTAATCATGGGTTCCATTGGATTCCACTGTTTTATCCAATAAGATTTTGCCCTTCTCGCAAACCGAATTTTAATTAGACTATTGATATATTCATATCATTACATCACTGACTTTTCCATCGATCACAATAATCAATTCTCCATGTTATTAACCTTTGTTAATAATTATGTCCCCTTTTTTCAATTTTCTTATTGTTAATAAATCCAAAAATTAATCTGTTTAAATTATTAAATTAATTTTAGACTGCTGCAGAATCCATTTGCATTGATTCTTATAAATTATCATTTACACTCCATCACCCAATATTTTAGTTAAGGTTTCTCTCCCCAAAGCCAAAAGTCGTGATTCTTCAATTGCTTTCACTGTTAATCCCCTCACACAATTATCCTGCATTAGAGCGTTTTCTCCAAAATATTCCCCCTTGGATAACGTTCTAATCAATAGCCCATCGTCTGTATACACACCGACTTTGCCCTTATTTGAAAATAAATCCTCACCTCAGCTATTATAAAAAGCGAATCTGCCTAATCTCCCTTATTAACTATGATTTAATTAGTCTAAAATTTCTAAGAAATCAACACTCCGCCAATAGCATCCTTCTACTCTTTTGTTAAATGATCTTATAATTGAAACTTAAAATTACTAAAAAATGTTGCATTTTCCAAATATTTTCTATTTCTCTCATATTCGCTTTTCATAATTTGTTCAACTGTTCTTCGAAATGTAGCTCTATCTATACCCCATAAATAGCAATCCTCTAACGCAGTGCATGTGGCACTCCTAAAAATCGATTAAATCAATTACCTTGGCGCATCATATAATAAAGCTAGTTCACCCAATCCATTTCCTGATATCAATTGTTTTTTGGCCTGTCCATTAATGAATACTTATATTTTACCCTTTTCTAAATGTCACAGCAACTTATTACCTAAGATAAAGAATGCATTGGCACCATCTCCTTATTTGATAATAGATTGTCCTTTCTATAATTTGCAATAAAACATCTAACTAGCTAAATGATTCCTTTTGTTAAGATATTCTAATACAGTTAAGCATCATTCAAAAAACTGAAAACAAAATGGAGTTTCAAACACATAACAATAAAAATAATATCTGATCTCTGTTATTATTTTTGACATTAGACATAAGTCTCATAGATATGCTGTGCTCCTGAAGATTACTGTATTCCAGCTACTCGTTATGCTTTCCTTTGAGGTATTTATACAATCTCCTCCTAAGACTTTTTTCTCTGTTTTGGGTCCATTAATTAATCAATTTAATATAAACTCTAATAAATCATTCTTCCTCATCTCTATTTATTAATCAAAACCAGAATGGCTAAGTGTAGATGTTTTCAACAAGTTCACTTCCAGTATTTCTGATTTAACCATACAAATTATTTCTAAATCCGTACTCAATTATAGAAAACTATTTTAGAAATTATAATTCGATATATATTCCATAAATGTAAATTCTCAATTCAAAACCCAAATGTATTGTATTCACAATATTATATGTAGAGGAATTTGTCATCATCCTAATACTTGTCATAAACCTCCTTTATGCTCATATCTAATAACACTAAATTGTACCTCCCCTCAGAGCAACTTTACTATTCACAAACAAATAAACTGCTTCAGCCTTGTTAAGGTTTAATTTGCTTCTTATTAGAGTGTTTAGTTGAAAAACTCTAAAGTTTGAAAGGAAGAGATATCTATATTAGTGAAAATTAGAACTTCTAAACATCCAAATCTGGAAGTCGTGAATTTTTGTCTTTTTCAATGATGATAGGAACTCTATCTTGATAATGTTTGAGAATATTCTCACTCTCTTTCAGTCGTTGTTCTTTAGAATACTGTTTTTTAAATGACTCCTTTTGCATGTTGTTATTAGTTATTTTATTAATTGTATATTTATATTATATTGAGAACCATATAGATTTATTTCATTTTTTAGTATAATAAAATATTTTATAAGATGAGTGCCAGTAAAAGCTGTCTTAGACGAGTAAAATCATAAAAGCAATTATTACAGTAATTTCTTAAATAGAGAAATTAGGTAAGCAGATTATATCATGTTATCACAATGTTAAAATAAATTAATATCGATATGTACAGATGTCTAAATGCTTTTGAAATTAATTGATCATAAGAACCTTAGGTTTGAAGAATTAGCGCAAATAAATCTTCTTAATTAACAATAAAAATTAGAATTTTCTAAATATCTAATACTTAAATAAATTTTATCATATTTATTATTTTTATTCCTCTGACTTTGGTTTGTCGTCACCAACCCAAGCTTCTCTTCTTTTTTGATTATATTAATTAATGTAACAGTTTTAACATAATCCTTCTAAAATGAAATATATAAAATTTACATGCGTACAATTTCTGATGGCCACAGATCCAAGGCTTTTTAGTCCTTCCATATTTATGGTAGCAATTACTACACATACCTTTAGCATAATGTTCCTTATCAGGATGTCCACAATTATTATCTCGTTTACTACTAAAAGCTTAGCATTTGATTATTTACATCTTTTTTGACTTAGCAACAACTGGTACCTATTGTTGATTGGTTTGTTTTTCTAAATTTTACATTTATGAAGCAATCAACTAAAAATAACATGAATTATGTCACCATATTTGAGAAAAGAGTATTTTAAAGTAAATTGAGCTAGTCTTACTTATCGTTTAAAGCATTATTCAAATTCTTATTGTTGCACATCTAGAAATTTAGGCGAAAAACTTAAATGAATATTTAACATGAATACGATTTGTTCCTGCTAACAACTGATTAATAATATTCATAAAGATTTGGTAATTAATAATAATATTATTATACAAATCAATTAATTCCCGTTTTATTTTCAAAATCTGACAGGATCAACTGACAACCATTTTGTGAACAACTTATTAAATAAGTTTAAATATCATATAATAACTAACAAGTATTATTTCCCAACTGATGTATTAGTTAAGATTTACTAATTTAATTATTTAAAACAGAAATTAATGAATGATGAACTAACCAGAAAGAGTGAATATTTAAAAGGTTTAGTAATCATTTTTAATAAATTAATACTAAATAACACAAAGCAAGATCTTTCTCCTTGTAGAATCCTCACATCTGCTATGATTCACTTAATTCAAGAATCTAGTTAAATGTATTGAAAATTGAATTTCTTTATTGCTCATATGGAATAACAATTCAAAAAAATGGTGAGAGAGTAAGAATTTTAGCATCTTACTCAAATAAAGAAAATGCAATTTAAAACATTAATATTAATTAATAATAATGGAATATAAAATATTATTAATTTCTTCATCTTTTTTAGTATTTAATCTTATATATTCTGTATACTATTGAATGCATGAGATTTCAAGACAGCATTCAATTGAAATTCTAATCTATAGCTCATATTTTTAACAATTATAATATAAATTTAATTTATACTTATTTTTTATGAATTAATAATTCAAATGGCTGAAGTAACGTCCAACAAAAGGCTTGGCCTTTCCAACTTCAAGAGAAGGAGCCACGCTTACTTACATTCCCAAATATCAAAGCGTGGTTTTGTTTGGGGGGATATGTAATGGAAGATTAAATGAAATAATGATTTTTGATATTCAAAAAGATGAATGGAAAGTTTAGCAAACTCAAGGAAGACAACCTTCACCAAGATGTTATCATAGTGGTTTTTATGATGGTAATTGCTAAATATTTATTCCGTATAGAAAGTTAGAATGTCATATACTATTATGGTGGATAGGCTGATAAAGGTAGATCTTTGACAGATTTTTATTGTCTAAGCTTTCAAAGTTTTGTTTGGAAGAGACTATTTTTATTGGAAAGTCCTCCGAATAGACATAATCATACAATGTGTGATTTGCCTGGAATGGAAAAGATCATATTTGGAGGAGCATGTCTTCCTGAAGATTTGATGTATAATGATGTTTGGATATTTAATTATTCAGCCATTCAATTTACAAATCAGCAAGAAATCCCTGGAGCAGTAGCAACTAAGAAGAATTGTAAAGGAGAACATCCAGCTCCAAGACAAGGACATGGGGCTGTAGTGTATTAAAATAACATGTTTGTGTTTGGTGGTAAATGCTCAGATGAAACTACTCAATTATATAAGTTATCTTTGGATAATTATTAATGGAAAAGAATATTGCATTTAGGTAAGGCACCAGGCACAAGGGCCTTTTTCTCAACTAGTTTGATCAAAGACAATGTTATAATATTTGGTGGAATTGATAATGTAGCGAATAAGGTCCTAAATGAGACATACTTGTTAAATTTGACTGATTATCATTGGAGTTCTCCTTTTACTGCTGGACCCATTCCTTCTCCCAGATATTCACATTGTAGTTGTTAAATAGAAGACATTATTCTAATAATGGGAGGAATCGAATAAACTTATTGTTCTATGGATATGTATTTTTTGTCCTAAGGATCTATTAACTAAAATGCTGAATGGGAACAATTAAAAGAACCCACTGAATTGGAAAAGCAAACCAATGATGCAGCTAATCAGATAATTATGGAAGGCAAAATGTACTTGAATTAAATAGAAGAAGCAATGATGAAAGAGAGATAAAAAATAACTGATCTTCAAAAAGAGGTTTAGAATTTATAGGAGGAAGCAGACAATCTAGATACACATATCAAAAAGTAAACAGCAATAGTTATGGGTGAACATCAAAAAGCATCACAGAACAATAAAAACAAAGAGATTGCCATTGAAACCATCTTTTTAATGATTAAATAAGAATAAACACTTACAAAATAACTCAATTACAAATGTTAACAATTAGAAGAATGCATATAGAATTCATATCCACTATTACATACTCTTGACTAATTCTATTAATCAATTCGATAAAGTATATTAATACTCTATATTAAAAGTTTAAGGTTCTGATCCTGCTGATCTCAAAGTCAAAAAAATGGCTGATCAATTTGCCAATGATATTCAAAAGGCTAAAGAAGCTTAACTTGAATCTCTTAGTAATATTTATGCAGTTTATTAAAAATTTACAGCATTATCAAATAGAAATGAGGTTGAATTGAATTAATGGCGAGACAATGTGAAAGATATGAACAATGATTTTGAATAATTAATATTTGAAACTGAACATGATTGAATTGTTATATTTATATTTAATCAATGTTATCAACTCATTTTTAATTAAAATATCCTGATAATAGTTTTCTAAATGACTCACTAAAATCAGCCCATTCTTTTCTTAATAGAATGCCATCCCCATCTTCATCCATATATTCAAAGATTTCTCTTACATGTACCATCGACACTGCAAATGTATTCAATTATGCAGCACATTCCTTAGGTGTTAATTGCCCATCACCATTATCATCTAATAATTAATAGATCCAATTAAACAAGCCATCCCATCTTTCAAACCTTTCAAGTATCCAAAATCCTATTTTTCTAACAAATAAATCTTTATCATTTTTAGTATGTTTTGTCTATTCCTCGTAGTGTTTCACAAAGGTCTTGAATCCATCATGCAACATCTGTAATCCTCTATCCAACTGCAAATGAATCAAATCTCGATGATTTCTTTCATCCCTATTAATGGCTGTAAATTGAGCAGTGATGTTATAAGGATTAGACAAGGCCCCATGAAACTTTTCCCATTCCTACAAATCCTGGATCATTTTAGGTCTTAAAACCTTATTGCAAAAGTTAATCCATTCAGTTCTCATTATTTTAGTGTCTATATTTCTATCGATTAACATTCTCAATGAATCTAATTTCTATCGATCCCCTACATCGTCAATCATATCAGCAAATGATTCATATTCACTCTTACTTATGTAGTTATTACCTTCATAAAGAAAATTGAGTACCTGTGACATCGAATAATTGAAAGAGCATAGTTTCAGTGACTCTCCATTTAACATCGTTTCTGATTAAATAATTGATCAAATAAACATTTTCAGCATGTTCAGCAAACTTATTATGTTTATTTAATAGGATATTCAGGAAAACTTCATAAAAATGAATGGCATGCTCACGAGTGATTCCTCTTCCTTAGGAGAGAGTGGGTTGGCTAAAATAAAAGGAAAAATTACAGATCTTCGTCTAGATCGAATTTTTTTGGTCTTGGTTTCATATACATATACAACAGAAGCAAGACAACGATAAGAACGAATGGCTTAAGTAGTTTGTTCCTAATTTTCATTGTAAACAATTAAAATAATTAAATATATATTTTAACCAAAAACTAAATGCCTGCTTTATATTATCTACATAAATTTATGTTAATCATTTCAATAAATCCTTAGTATACTTATCTGACTATCTAAGATTCTTTAATATTTTCTTCTTTATTTCCCAACCATATTTCCCAGATTTTTGAGTTGCTTTGTTTATCTTTTTTTAAAATCTGTATTGAATGATTTCAACTTCCCTATCAAATTGTATCCTTTCAACTTTTTCCTCTATAAAAGCCACTTCTTCCTTCTCCTAGAAATACTATCCAATTATTTCCTTTAAATAATTTATATATTGCATCTAATATTTATTTATTTTATGTATATATTAAATTTGATTCTATATCAAGTCAAATACTTGTCTAATAAATTTGGGTCTAATCCTTCCATCTACATTTTCATTTTTAATTATTAATGATTCACCCCATAACTCAATAGTTTTTTGTATTTCTCCAATCTCTCTAAATTTTTATTACACTTAATTCATACCATCTTCCACTTCCTCTTATTAAACTTATTCCTCTTAGACCTACTCTGGTTATTATATTTGCTATTCAAATTAAGGAGGAGCGGCAGCTGCTTCATAAGAAGCTTCCTAATTAGGTACAATCTACTAATAGTTCTAAGGAGGAGGAGGAGGTGGCGGTGGTGGAGGAGGAGGAATTGCATTATTTTGATTATCTACAATTACTACAGCAGAATACTTTATGGTTCTACAACCTGAGGCTAAGCCACTTATTATTACTATTGAAGAGGAGGCACCACTAAACCATTATAGAATTCTGGTGGTATTGATTCTAGTTTCTTTTCCAATAACAGCACTTTCGACTCGATCTCATCCAGAACTACTTCCATCTCAAATAATTTGTTTTCATTGAAATGACCGAATCTGTAATTATAGTCGTACTTAATACTTATTCAAAAAGTCAATGTTCTAAAGCATGTATTCATTCAATACAGCAATAGTATTTTTGTATGGAATTGGCTCAAGTTAGCTCAAGTCTATAAAGCTTTCCATTTATATAATACTATATAATATTAATTAATCTTAATGAAACAAGTCTTTAAGTTATTTATTTATGGAATTATCTTAGGGAAGATCTTTCAACTTACCCTTAACTTTAAAAAAATTAAAATCTTTAAATAACAATACGAAGATATATGGAAATGATGTTTGAATTGTGCCATAATAGTTATTATAGTGTTCTTAATCATATCAATTCACAAATAATTTGCAACTCAATACTAGGTATATTATTATTTAGTTATATTAAAGAGCAAGATGTCGATTATTATTATAAATGATATTTAATTAGAATAATTAATTAATATAGAAGTAATAATCAATTGAATTCATTCTATCCATTTCGTTCGTTTGCCTTCTTCAAAATAACATTATCTTTCATTAGGCATGTCTTTACCCTTATAAAGTGCAATTCCGTGTTGTTTACCATCTTTCCATTACCCTTTATAATATTTACCATCTGGCCAATAAAACTCCCCATAACCATCTTTTTTATCATTTTTATAACTCCCAATATATTTTCGACCATCATTCCATCTAAACTCCCCTTATCCATTCATTTTGCTATCCTTCCATTCTCCTTCATATTCCTTATCTTTCCATTTAAAGATTCCAATCCCTTCCATCTTATTGTCTTTAAACTCACCTTCATAAGTGTCTCCATTAGCCCAAGTAAAGATGCCCCTTCCTTCTTTTGATCCATTAAAATATTGACCTTCATATTATTAACCGTCAGGCCAGACTTCGTTACCATATCCATGTTTCTTATCATAGACGAATTCCCCTTCAAAATAAGCACCATTATTTTAAGTAACCCTGCCTTTGCCATTCTTTAACCCATTCGTGAATTAACCTTCATAATATTCATGTTCTGGATGAATTAATCGACCATAACCATCAATTTTATCTTCCTTCCAAGATCCTTCATAATAAACTAGATTGGGGAAAACACAACGTCCTTTTCCATGTCTCATTGATTTATGCCATTCTCCATCATACTGAGAATTATCTTTAAGTAAGAAGGCTCCTAAATATTATCCTCTTATATTCATTTAGTAATTAAACTCAGGGAGAGTGGATAAGTATTCTTCTATCTGTTTAGGAATCTTGATAGATTCTATAGGAAATGCATTTTCTGGTTATTCTTCATATTACTCGTCTTTAGAAAGTAAAATGATAGATTATTTAAATTCTGAAGATGAGTTTTCATTGTATATTGACACTGTTTGAGCTATAATTTAATCTGGAACTAAGATTTCTCTTTTCTCCTCATCTGTTGCTTTGTTGCAGGTTTAACAACATTATTAACCCATAAAATTAATATATTTAGAATTTCAATTATTAAACTATTCATCAATTCTAACACATGTGTCTTCTAGTAATCTCAGTAGCTAATCAGCCATAGATTCTCTTTGTTATTTTTCAGTTCTTAATTCAGTTTGAATTCTTTAATGGATATCTTCTATCATATTAAATATTTTCTTTTGTGTCTCATCCCTAATTTGTCTTTCTACATGTAACATATCTTAAAATGCATTAATTTAATTGTCTATTTGTTCAATTAAATTGTTTTATGAATCTTCTCTGTTCTGAGTTTCTCCTTCTAATAAATACTTCAATTCGCTCATTTACAAAGTAATGCTTTATAACAATTTGTTAGTTTTATCTTTGCAATTTCCATTATTTTATTGTAAATTTGAGTTAAGACTGTTGAACCTCTCTTCAATTTATTTTAACAACTACAATTCTAATTTTCTTTTATTCTAATTACATTATTAAATTCAAATATTTACACTTTTTTCATCTTCCACTTGCTAAGTTAACTATTCTTCAAAATTGCGAAGGTCTTTCTATTTTAGTTCATCAAATAATTCTCTATCATTTTTTTCCTGATAAACCTAATCTTATAATTTTAACAAATGATCTTTCAAAGTCTTGAACTTCTGCTCTTCCTTAGGTCTCTCTTAATTCAAAAGAGACTCTATTCTTTGGATGTGCTATTCGACTAATTCTTTCTTGTCATTCTTCTCTTTATCCAATCCTTATTTTAAATTAGACCATTTCTCAGTCAATACTTTTAGCCTATCAGTCTATGGAGATTCTAGAGTGGATTAAGAATATCAAAGTACCTCTCCTAGCCTTTTCAATTGATTGAAATTATGGATTGTTTGAATATTTCATTTCAAATTAAATACGTTAATATTATTTATCATTGACCATGGTACTATTTTAACAAAATTATGTAAATTTTCATATTATTAATCATCAATATGTAGTTTAGGTTTGAGCGATCTTACTATAGCACTGCATCCAACATCTGTTTAAAATGGTAAATGATGTACACCTTTTGGCAGATTAGTTTAGTCTGTTCTACTCAAGCATATCACATCACATATTGATGCCAATTACGATATAATCTCTTGTTACTCTTCATTAAATATTTCTCCTCTTAAAGTGACACATCCTCTACTCTTTGAGTTTTAATTGGCTTTTTAATCAAATAATTAATTCAAAATTTGCATTTGTGACTATTTACTATTAGTTTACTCCTGTTAACGAGGTTGTCTCATTATTTTTGTGATAAATTTTGGTGCCATAAACAACAATGCAACTAAGAATATAATTACTAAAAGGAATGTAATTGCCATTTAATAAATTATAAATTATTCTATAAATTCTTATCTAAATCTAATTGTATATTGTTGTTTTGTAGCCAGCTTCATGTAATTAATAAAAATGATATTTTAGAAAACATAGAAGCTTGAATAAAATTAACAGAGATAATTAATCTCTTACTTTTATCATCTTTTCCACTTCTTGTATGCACCATAATGTAATAACAAAATATAGAGAATTTGACAATTAGAGTAGGAACTTTATAAGTTGAATCAAATCACTTAAAGTTTAAGAAGGAGAATACTTTAAGAATCATTTAAACTATGTTATCCAATTAATTTTTGGAGCTATAATTACTTATAAAGATATTGATATTTCATAAGCATATGCTTTACATCATCGTCATGGTTCTCCATTCAATTTTTTAATTGTGTTTAATTGATATNAGACTGTTGAACCTCTCTTCAATTTATTTTAACAACTACAATTCTAATTTTCTTTTATTCTAATTACATTATTAAATTCAAATATTTACACTTTTTTCATCTTCCACTTGCTAAGTTAACTATTCTTCAAAATTGCGAAGGTCTTTCTATTTTAGTTCATCAAATAATTCTCTATCATTTTTTTCCTGATAAACCTAATCTTATAATTTTAACAAATGATCTTTCAAAGTCTTGAACTTCTGCTCTTCCTTAGGTCTCTCTTAATTCAAAAGAGACTCTATTCTTTGGATGTGCTATTCGACTAATTCTTTCTTGTCATTCTTCTCTTTATCCAATCCTTATTTTAAATTAGACCATTTCTCAGTCAATACTTTTAGCCTATCAGTCTATGGAGATTCTAGAGTGGATTAAGAATATCAAAGTACCTCTCCTAGCCTTTTCAATTGATTGAAATTATGGATTGTTTGAATATTTCATTTCAAATTAAATACGTTAATATTATTTATCATTGACCATGGTACTATTTTAACAAAATTATGTAAATTTTCATATTATTAATCATCAATATGTAGTTTAGGTTTGAGCGATCTTACTATAGCACTGCATCCAACATCTGTTTAAAATGGTAAATGATGTACACCTTTTGGCAGATTAGTTTAGTCTGTTCTACTCAAGCATATCACATCACATATTGATGCCAATTACGATATAATCTCTTGTTACTCTTCATTAAATATTTCTCCTCTTAAAGTGACACATCCTCTACTCTTTGAGTTTTAATTGGCTTTTTAATCAAATAATTAATTCAAAATTTGCATTTGTGACTATTTACTATTAGTTTACTCCTGTTAACGAGGTTGTCTCATTATTTTTGTGATAAATTTTGGTGCCATAAACAACAATGCAACTAAGAATATAATTACTAAAAGGAATGTAATTGCCATTTAATAAATTATAAATTATTCTATAAATTCTTATCTAAATCTAATTGTATATTGTTGTTTTGTAGCCAGCTTCATGTAATTAATAAAAATGATATTTTAGAAAACATAGAAGCTTGAATAAAATTAACAGAGATAATTAATCTCTTACTTTTATCATCTTTTCCACTTCTTGTATGCACCATAATGTAATAACAAAATATAGAGAATTTGACAATTAGAGTAGGAACTTTATAAGTTGAATCAAATCACTTAAAGTTTAAGAAGGAGAATACTTTAAGAATCATTTAAACTATGTTATCCAATTAATTTTTGGAGCTATAATTACTTATAAAGATATTGATATTTCATAAGCATATGCTTTACATCATCGTCATGGTTCTCCATTCAATTTTTTAATTGTGTTTAATTGATATAATAATAAAAATAAATATATTTAATTAATTAATCGCGCTAATTCTTGATATTGTGCTCCAAGGCGGAAAAGAATTAATAATAAATATTATTAAACATGAAAAATAAAAACATCAATGCAGCTCCTGACCTTAATCAAATGCTTCAAAAGAAAGTTAAACTTTGCGAAGATAGTCAATGCACTACTCTTTTTAATGAGAACTCTAATAATGTTGAATCTTTCCCTACCTTATCTAAAATAGCGTCTAAGTATCTGAGTAGACCATCTCTCAGAGAAAGGTTTTAATTAATTAATGAGACTGGTAACTTATAAGCAAGCAAATATTATTCTTTAATTTAAATCTTATCAGCTATTGACACTCAGTTATTATTCCTTAAATAAAGAGTATTTTTATATCTAATTTTAGAGAGAATCCTTATTTTGGCCAAATATTGTAAAAAGTTGCTTTGACTCTACTTAGCTATAAGTTACTACTAGATAACTTTTAGAAATCTTAGCTGTTTGGCAATAATGCTATATCATAAATTGGGAAAAATTTGAGAAGTAAAATGGAAATTACGAGCTTCTGTTCAAATTTCCAGATAAACAATTGCCTAATTCTCAAGAATTGAATTCAAGAAAAGAGTAGTTTAAAGAGAAACTTGAAGCCTATTTACAAATTAATGGAGATTACATAGAACCATACAAATTACCCTAAAAACCATCACTTTGTAATCCCATCATTAAATAAGAAAAAAATCAATAAGTTAAAAATGATTGTGTTCAATTTAATTAATTTATTAACATTTCCAGAATATTTTAAGATAAGGAAACATCAAATGAATCCAAGCCTCTATCCAATGTATCTTAAAAATTGATTGATAAACTGAGAGAAAGGAAACTATAAGAAAAACAAAAGTAAGAAGAATCCCAAGATGAGAAATAGTTATCCTCAAAAAAATAACAAGTCTTAATTGCTACTATGCTACATCAATACTATTAATAAAGAGATGTATCTAATATGTTTTTTAGTAATGTACTCAAATATATTCATGAACGCAATTCAAATGTTCTTATGAGCAATGAATAAATAAAAACAATCATAAGTATCTATTGTTATCTATTTAGCCAACCTTATTTAATCTGTAGATAATTGGCTCCAATTAATTGATAATTCTGGAGGGTAAATTCTTAGATTAAACAAGGAAATTGATTTACCAAATATTATCAACTAATTACAATGAATAAATGTATATGATCTCTAGCTTCAGTATTTATTAATATTCAATATCTTCAAATTTTCATTATAATATAATAGAAATTTATTAATAAATATATAAAATATTTGATTTAGCTTCTTCATTATAAAAAAAATAAGATGGATTCAACTAGATTTGGATATATTTATGATAATTCTGACGCCGATAGTTAAACATAATCATGGAGTACGGATGATGCCAGTGGCAGAAGTTCAGTCCAAGATTTGACAGAGGAAATCAATAATAATCTGGAAAACCGAATTTGCCAATATTTGAGTGATTTGAGCATTGAAACATTCACCAGTCCCACTCTTAAGGAGGATAACTATAATCATAACCTAAAATAAAGGATCGTAAGACATTTAAAAATATTTATAGTTTAAAAGTTTTGACTCTTTCATGCCAAACAAAGAAAATAGTATGCTTTTAAAGAAAAGAAAGCAACACATCAAATTAGGGGAATGATTTTACTTTACTTCGTATATCAGTTTGTATATAAATTTATTTTTATTACTATTATAAAATTAAAATGAATAAATCAGAATTTGTTCTATTGTCTTGATCTATATTATTTCTTACTTAAATTAAGTAAGAATAAGCATTTTTAATTTAATTAAATTTTATCATATTTAATTAGGAATTAATGGGATGCATTTAAAGTTAAAACAAAATGAAAACACCTCAAAAGGCTACTTTACCAGTTGAAAGGCATGCTATTTAAAAATGCTATTACACTAACACATTATATATTAATGAAATAGGACAAAAGTATCAAATCATTCGAGAAGGAAAAAGGTTAACTAAAGTACCAATTTTGAAAAGATTATAATAAAATCCACTATACCTTAAAAGGACTAGTTCATAATCAGATTTGAGCATCTAATCCAAAAGTACTTTCTGAACTTTAAATTCCTATGAATTTTTATCAGCCACATAATTTACTTTTATAAATAATTCTATAAAAAGAAAATAATTTTTAATAATTAATTATCGAGTCAATTTCATTCTTCTTCCCAAGGTCCTATCTATATGTCTTAAAAGGAATTGTTAATTTTATTTTAAATCGTTGATAGTTTTCGAGGATATTGTACGGAGTAGATTTTTTTCTCTCTGCAAGAACCCATGAAAGGTTTGGTTAATGGTTAAGACTGTTTTATAATTAGACTTTTGAAAATTGCTGATTGCTAATAGTTTTCTTTCTATTGAAAGATCCTTGCTTTATTTTGGATTATGAATTTAATTAATGATGATTGTTTATTAGTTGTAATTATTGTTTTACTAGTTTTTAATACTTTTTTTGTTTATTGTTATATGTCAGTCTTAAAACTTTATTGATTTTCAATTAGTTTGCATAATTGTTATAAGTTTTCATCAATATGTATCACATGTAAATTCGGGAATGGCTTCTATTCCCTTTGAAGCTGGAGTTTAATTTATTTCTTGGAATTCAACATAATTTTATTACTCTATGAATTTTTTTAATTTTTATTTAAAAATGTAAAAAATCAGAGATAATTCATTATAGAAATGGTATATGTAGCATATAGACTTCATAATCAAGTAGGAGATATATATCAAAATGAAAATTTGAGATTAACGGATAAATATTGGATTGATGACTTTGAACTAAATAGCCTTTTGTTTTATACCATGTAAATGTCGCTGGTAAACTACTATTTCAAAATTAATATATTGTCATCATTAGATGACTTTTATTAAATATTATAAATTAAGGAAAGTCATAAAAATTATTATGCAAATTTCAAGGTCGAATTTGGTTTATATTCTATATTTCATCTCCAGATTCCATAAATAATGGATTTTAACCCATTGAATATGATTATATGATTATTAATGGCTTAAATAACAAATAAGATTTTAACTCTTAGTCTAATTTTAGTATATGCTTCAGCATAAATTTAATTGTATACTTCCACCGAAAATTCTGTTGAAAAGTATTTAATCACATCAACAGAGTAATTGGTTGTCATAGGATTCGAAGGATAATAAGTATGATTTTATCAATACTAATGTAGGAAGTTAGAGATTACATATTTTGTAGATTAAAAGAATGTATATGTGAAGACATGGTTTCTAAAGGACAAAGAAGCCACCCTAAACTAAATTAAATCTAAACAACTGTAAATTTTGAATGCCTTAATGAAAACACAATTCAATTTGAAAGAAAAGAAAATGGTTATTAACCTTATGTTTGGAACAACAAGCCTCAAGAAGTAGAATCTAGACCTTATTAATCTCAAAAAAGAATAACATAAGCTTCTACAGTAACTTACACAGATAGTGATATGACATCCTCTATCACAGTAGGCTCAGAATTGGAATTGAAGTGGAAATTTAACACTGATGACACTATAGAGATGTGTGTGTGTTTGAATAAGAAGGCATGGGTAGGAGTAGGATTTGGAAGTGGGGTATTTATAATTATATTGATTTAGATGAATGGAGTAGACATGTTTGCTATAAACATTATAGATGGGGCTGCTGAACTACTCGATTTATACTCTACAAGTGAAGATACTCCTCCCACTGATACGACATAAGATATTACATTAATTTCTTCAAGCATTACAGACACTGCAGTAAAAGCTAGAATTAAAAGAAAATTGAACACTGGGGATTCAAAAGACGCTGTCTTAGCCAAAGGATCCTCTTATACTTGGAGTTATGCAAGTTCTTCGTCTCTCGTGATGGAAGATCATAAGAATAATGTCGCTGAATTTAAAATTACTCTAAGCGAGTCAGGATCATAATAAGTTAGTCAAGGCAATTTATTGTAGTTAGTCTTTGGACTAATAGCACTAAATCTAATTATTTGAATTAAAAATGTATTCATATTCACATGTAAATTTGTTTAATTTTATTAATTTAATTTCTGTTAAGCATTAATTAAATTTGACCTTGTGTGAATTTCTAATATGCTACTTTTGAATTAGTCTTCTATTTTATTATTTAAGTTTAAGATCCTAATTCTCTGAATAATCCTACAAATACTCCGTTAATATTATTAAATCCAATTAATTTGTTTAGTTTGATCTAACTATATACTAAAATATATAGCATTCAATTCAATTATTTTATTAATAAAATGAAACGATAAAATTCTGCTAATGGTACAGGAAGTCCAAGTCGATATTTCTCAACGACCTAGAATTAATTTACAGACATACTTAAGTAGATCACATAAAATTGCAATAATAAACCAGTCAAAAAGGCACTCAGTCCAAATCCAAATGGGTAATTGCAGAAGCGAATAAAAACTTAAACTAGTTGCACAAAAATAGCAAATCAAAACAATTTCAATAAAAAAGCTAGTTCAAGTGTTCCCAAAAATAGAATTGAGTATTTTACTATACAAGAATAAATTGGATCTGGGAAATTTGGTAAAGTGTACAAATGTATTTTAAACTCAACCAAGAAAGTGTATGCTATAAAGATGATTGACAAATAACAATTAAAGAAGAATTAAATGAATCAATAGTTGCAAAGAGAAGTGACTATTTAATAAATGCTAAGGCACCCAAACATAATTCAGTTAATCGAATTTTTTGAGACTACGACTAATTATTGTTTAGTAATGGAATATGCTAATGGAGGAACCTTATTTTAATCATTGATGAGATAAAATAATAAAAGGTATTCAGAACCTGCTGCTTCAAATATGATAAAACAAGTTGCTTTAGCAATATAATAAATGCAAAAATAATCCGTAATTCACAGAGATCTAAAACCAGAAAATATATTATGGTGTGATGGAATGCTTAAAATTAGTGATTTTGGTTGGTCAATTCAGGACAAAAAAGAAAGAGATACACTGTGTGGAACAATAGACTATTTACCTCCAGAAATGGTCTATGGACAATCCTATGACAACTCAATTGATTTATGGTCATTAGGAGTCCTAACCTTTGAATTAACAACAGGTAAGACTCCCTTCTAAATTTAAGAAGGATTTGCATTGTAATTTCCAGACCATTTGTCTGGAGACGTAAAAGACTTAATGAAGGGATTATTGACAGATAAAAAAAACAGGAAAACAATAGATTGGGTATTAAACCATGTTTGGTTATGTTGATACTCTATAATATACTTTATAAATTAGATATCAAAATTTTTAATCCCTATATTTTAAATATCATATCCATTAAACTCTATTGTTGCATATCTGTTAGATCGAAATTTTATTCTTTTTAATAAATACAATTGTGAAACTATAGGGTAAACATTAAAGAAAAAGGGTAAAGTAGAAATCTTCATTTTTGGATGATTAGACCTATAGTGAAAAATGTATGTAACATGTTAATATGTACCTTAATGTACAAAAAGTGAATTACAAATTCGTAAAGAATGTGAAAATCAAATAAGTGTAGTCCTACATTTTTTGAACGGATTCTTACTTCTGAGTTTCTCAATTTGTTATAAATTGTCCTGTTATTGGAAAATATTTAGTTTTATGAAATGATAGACTAAATTTTTTGTTAATTCAATTACAGAAGTCAACTTCTAGTCCATTCTATAAGGCCCAATTTGGCGTTTTAAATTATAGAATTATCTCGACTTATAAAGAATTAAAAATATTTATTTAAAATGAATGTGGAGGATGATAATTCAAGTTGTTCAACTGAGGATGATGAAATTTAGGAATAGAGAGGTGGTTTTCGAGAAAGATTTTGGAATATGATATCTTCATTAGATGGAGCTTTATTCAATAGTTTTGTGGTTTATGAAGGAACTTGTAAAATGAGAAGCTTATTGTTGCAATGCTTGGATGATTCATTGAGATAATAATTATATCTTATAAATTTGGGGTATTTGCATGCACTATTTCATACTTATGAATATGTGAATACCCCACTTTATGCAAGGTATGTTAATCGATATTAACATGACCCTGATTATATAGATTATGTTGTTGAGTTGCTTAAAATTAAACATAACATTTTAGAATAAGAAGTTGATTGGTATATAAAATATATGACAGAATGTCTAGAAATTGAAAACAAAGTAAAAGGCGGATTGCATTTTTACCCTGTTTTAGAATAAGATCCAAGAGAAGCTCGTCATACACGTGCAGTAATTAATCATGCATTAGAACAATTAGAAACTATTGCTTCTAAGATCAACTTAGATAATGCTAAAGATTATATAAAAGATAAAGAACGTTATTCATGGTGTTTGGCTGGAATGATCACTCTATTACCTCAAGAGGAACAAAATCCTTTTAAACAAAATGGAATACATCAAAGATGGCAAAAAGCTAGAATGATGATCTAATAAGCAGACTCATAACAATGAAATTCAATCATATATATGTCCCCTCTAATTATTGCCGTACCAAAAAACTCTTTCTCCTTATATTTTTGAAAATACAATATCTTAAAATTAAGATGCCGATTATTTAAGCCATGTGAATGTTTTAAATGCATTTCATAGTTGGAATAGATTACCAGCCCAAATCCTTCTAAAAAATAATTCTTAAAGCTACAAAAATCTTGTAACTTATAAAACTAATATACCAATACAATATTTATTTATACAGGACTGTTTATTTGTGAATCTATATGTTTCATATTTTTCATTTTTGTTATTCTATTAAATAATAACAGTGTCAATAAATAATTATTTTTATCTTGCTTGGAGATGCTAATGCAGGAACAGCAATATTATTTAAATTTATTGAAAATGAGCAAAACAAAAATTATGACTAATTACAAATCTAAAGCCATTTTGCAAAACAAGATGTGATTTAAAATAATTAAACAAAGGATTAAAATCTTTTGATTCCTATAAATTTAAAATTATTCTTTTTCTAAAGTATATGAGGCCTAAAATACCATTAATTTTTCTTTATTTTTCATATCGCTTAGTTACAATACTCAAAATATGTATTGATATGTGTATTAAAACAAAATAAGTACAAATGAAATACTATTACTAAATACATTATTCTTTTTTTAGTATTTTGCTGTTTTCAGGTCCAAAGTCAAATAATCATTATAATTAGACGAGAAACTTTAATTTTGCTGCCTTGTTCATTTAACATTATAAAACACTTATATTTCAATTTTTGAATTATAAATTGAATATTAAATGACAACGAATTGGCAAGAAAACCATGTAAAGTGTATTACTAGTTTTTTAAGGTACCAATAAAATTAAATTTGAATGATGATGATGATTCTTTTGAAGAAGAAATAGGTATTCCCACATTTTTTAAGTAATAGATAGATTGAGATAGTAAAAAGAAATGCAACAAAAATTAAAATAACAGCAAGCAGCTATTTTTGATCATAATAAAAAGGTAATGAAACTATCAACATAGGCTGAATAATAAAGATAACAAATTGTTAAAGATATCCTCCCGAAACACAAAGGATTGTAATTAGCCTATGATTATGACGGAACCTTTATGTTAGCTAAAGATTTCTCATAAGTAAAAAATAATTAAAGAGCTCCTGAAATACAGTACTTATTAAGCAATATATCATAGTAAGATTACTTAAGTAGATACCATATTTTAACCATAGAAACCTGTTTAATAAGCAGTTATAGAAAATGAAAAAGTAAAAAAAGAATAGTTGCGACAATCAAAGGCAAAAACTAATCCTCCATAAATCTTTGAAGCATCTATTCAGAAACCATTTGATAGTTTCACACCGAATCAAGGAGTCAAATTGATTTATTAAGATTAAAATTAAGAGATTGTAAGGCAATAAGACATTTAAAATTGGGGTGATGGATAGAGAATGACAAAAAAGTAATTTGAAGCTCTTAAAAATGAAGGTTTTAAACAGACAACGTATTCGATGAAATAGTAGATGCTCTAAAAAATAAATTCTGACATTGTGGAACAACAAGAGCCGAAAAATACACCGATGATAGCAGAATAAACCAATTAAATAAATGAATTAAAGATCTCACAGTCCTATACTAATTTAAAGTAACCTCAGACACTATAAACAATTTAAAAAATCCCTTAAACAGCATAAAATAGAAAAAAAGGAAGTAAAATTAATGTAGTGGATAAATAATTATTTGATCAATTACTTTCATGACTCTCTAATATGATATTTATCTATTAAATTTATCAATATTTATTTATATTTAATAAATTATAGGTTAACCTTAGTATATAATTATATTTTTATTATCAGTAAAAAATATTTTTGACACCTAAAACTCTGCAATTAACATCCATTTCGAATTTAGATGGAATTTATGTATTATATTTCTAAAAAAAATATAGATTATAGAATTGATAAATTGGTTCAATTCTATTACAAAATACACATTTTATTTTTAAATTGATCAAATTATGAAATTTGTCAAATTACATTTTTACTTTCAATAATAGTTTAAAAATAAGAGGTGATCTCTGCGCATGATTATTTATTTGATATAAATTATTATTACTAACAATAATAATTTATATTTCGTATATTTAAGTAAATATATAAAGAAAAATACGGATAATAATTTCGAGGACAAAATAACATATCTAAACTATATTTTTTAATTGGAATAGAAATATTGATTTTGAATTTAAGAAATATTTTAATTTATAAAATGAAGAATTTCCTATCATATAAAAAATAGGTATCACTCAATTTTAGGAAATCTTTATTGATGAAGCCAATCAATTGATAGTTTAATAGAAATCACCTCTGCAGTACTAATGTTCGAAGGTTATTTTCTACATACTTCCAAGAATAGACAGGCTGATATTTGTTAATAATTAAGTTATCAAATGAAATATTTAAAGAACGAGGTTAAGTTAAGTAATAAATTGGAAATTTTCTTCGAGATTAATAAGATTAATAATCAGAATTAAGTTTAGTGTTAATGAATAATAATTGGCAATGTTTTATTAAAATTAATTACAATCACCTCTTTGAGAAATCTCCCCAACTATATCCATATTTCTGCATGTGCTTCAGATATTTTTTAAAAGTTATGATCGTAACTAAAATGAAATAGCTGAACAAGAACGGCCAATAGACGGGAAGATCAAATATTACAAAAAATGTTGCAAAATTTGATAAGAATAGAGCAATGGTAAGTTATTCCCATAATTAAATTTCAGGCATCGATCTAATTAGAGGTCTGTCGTCATTATGCTAAGGAAGTTATACTTAATGAGATATTTGAAAGAATTACTATCGACATCTTCATCCTCGTCCTCAATATCAGGAAGCCCTAGTGGTGTAAAGTATCTCAACAAAGATTAAATTATTTAGACTCCGAGCATATAGGATACAACAAAATAACTTTAGGTTTCAACAAGTCTGCTAATGTAATAAATGAGTAATAAGACACAAAATCCCCATCTTTTTCCTCGATGCATAATCCATCTATAAATCAATGAGTAGAATAGTACTTGTCTATGACCCTTCTATACTTTAATGAAAATTTGTGATATACTCTAGTGTACGCAGGATCAATGTCAGAATTCATTTGAGTTTATTTAATTAAAAAATGTATTTGAGATTTCCACAAAGGTATTGTGAAAATCAATAATAATAAGCATTTTGTAGAATAAGGGAAATTAATATTGATGGTTATGTTAATAACAAAATTTGAATGTTTTTCAAAGAACTTGTTATTAATCATTATCTTATCCAAATTATGGGACATTATTTTGCTTCTAATTTATGGCAGACTTGACATTTTCATAACCACCGGCACTTAAGATAGGTGGTAACAACTAATAATCAAACCCCCCTCCTCCACATTGAGCATAATCCAACCCTTTTTCTTCCACTTCTGGAGTCACATTGAGTAATCCCAAAATCTTTAATACAAATATCACAACTGCATGCAATACGACAGACCATCCTAACCAAACTACAGTACCTAGGAGTTGAATTCCCCATTACTTAGCTCCATGTCCATAAAATATTCCTTTTTCAGTATTAAACCATCCTGGAAATTGAGCTCCAATTAGCCCACACCCTCCATGGATTGGGAAAGCATCAACTGGATCGTCAACTTTAAATTTATGCATTAAGATTCCAAATCCCCAATATGTCAATCCTCCCAAAATTCCAATTACAAAGGCAGCCCATAATTCAATCCCATCGCAAGATCCAGTTACTGCAACCAATCCTGCCAAATTTCCATTGCATATCATTACTAAACTGAACTTGCTCTTCTCATTTCTATTTTTATAGTAGTGTAAGACCATTAATGTTAACCCTCCTGAAGCTCCTGCTATGATTGTATTAGTTGTAGCTCTTCCTGCAGCATAAGCCATTGTACCTGACAAGGCAGTGGTACTTCCAGCATTGAAAAATATCCAACATGTGTAAAGTGAGAGAGTAGATAAACATATGTATGTTGTATTGCTTGGATTAAATTCATTTGCATATTTTTCATTCCATCTGTTTTTCCTTGCTCCTAACATTACTGTCAACACCAATGCTCCCAATGCAGACATAAAGTGAATTGTACCACTACCAGCCAAATCAATGTAGCCTAGATCTTGAAGCCAACCTCCACCCCAAGTCCAATGAGCACAAATAGGGTAAATAAACGAAGAAAATGCTACGCTCAAAAAGCAATAGCCTATAATTGACATTCTTTCCACTGCTCCTCCAGATACAATACTATTAGCTGCAGCTCCAACTGACGTTTACAAAACTTATAGATAGCATATAATAATGTACCCCAATGAGAGTAATTCTTAGTTCCAGCAAAATTACTTCCAGCATAGTAGTCTGTCCCAGCAAATTTTCCAGATCCCATACAAATTCCATATCCAACCTAATATATTAATATTCAATTTACAAGCCACCAGCAAATCACCGCAATACATGTATTTAGATAAACTTTTATCATAATCGATTGCATATTTTTATATCTTACACACCCACCCTCTAAAAATGCGAATCCAAGTTGCATCAACAAAACCACAATCCTAATCGATATTATACAGAATGTACCCTGCAAATTACGTCCAAAAATAGTCTATTGTATTTTCTAACAATCCCAATTTGTCTTCAACTGAAAAATCTGTTGACATAATAAATAATATATTAAAGTTAATTTTTAATTCAATAAGGATTAATACTCATAAAGTTTATAATGATAGTGTATTTATATCAACACTCTTACAGAAATTTTACCCAAAACCAAGGCATTAATTTATATATATATATTTAAATTATAAATGGGAAATTGTTTTGTATCAAAACCAAAAAAAGAAATCTAGTCTGAGGATTAAAGCCCTGGAAAGGAAGCTTTGAACTTATTTAAATAGAAGTAAAAATTAAAGGAGGATACTATCACTGAGCAAGTAAAGAATGGAGGGACGATGTTAAAATAAGATTCTAAACATGCATCAGACGTTATTCAAGGCTAAGAAGATGTAAGCATTTTTCATTTACATAATAGCACATCAAATAAAGAAATGAAAAAAAGAATAAGAAGTTTGTGAATGGGATCTTGTAGAAAGATGAATTTGTAGAGAATGTAGAAAAAATAGAGAAGGATAAGAAGCCTCATGATTATTAGGTTATTTTGAATGCTCTTGGTTAACACTATTTCTTTGCCCATATAAGTGATTAGCATAAGTAATTATTTAATTATGAGCCAAGAGAAGACATAGTAATGAAAATGTTTTACTGCAGAGTTGCTGGCAATGAATTTGTATTTTAGCAAAATGATCAAGCAAGTGCCTATTTTATAATTGACCAAGGAGTATGCGAAATAATTATAAATGGAGAAGTAAAAAAATAACTCTCTACTGGAGAAGGCTTTGGAGAATTGGCATTATTGTATGGAGCTCCTCGTTCTGCTTCAGTTAAGACTAAAGACGGTATGTAATTACATTGAATTTAGAGTGTTTTTTTTGGTGTATTGACAGAGGCACTTTTAGAGCAGCAGTAGAAGAACTAGTTTAAAAAGAATATGATGAAAATAGAAAGTTTATTGATTCGATTAAATTTTTTGAATGGATGACAGTTGATTAGAAGGATATGATAGCAGGAGCGATAATTACATAATAATTTAAGAAAGGTTAAGCCATTGTGAATGAAGGAGATATGGCTAGTTCCTATTTCATAATCAAGTCAGGAATGGTTAAAATAATGAAAGGAGGCAATGAATTGAGATAGATGTCTGCAGGAGATTCATTTGGGGAATAGGCTCTCTATCAAAACTCGGTGAGAGGAGCATCAGTGATTGCAGTAGATGAAAATGTTTGTTGTTTAGCTATTGGAAGAGAAACAATTACTAAAATCTTAGGAGATAAGATATAGGTGATAATGTACAACAACCTTTTGAGATGGAGTTTTGAAAAGAATCAATTGCTCTGTAAATTAACCAAAATTCAAATTGAAAAGATTGTGACTAAGATTTAGACAGTAAATTATGAGGCAAATCAAAAGATCTACACAGCGGATTAGAAATGCGATAAATTGGTTATAGTATTAGAAGGAAAGTTATGCAATGTAAGTATTTTAAATATTGAAAATTAAGAAAGAAAAAGAGATAGCCACAAAAGGATAAATGGTTGGGGATCAATTTTTACCTAAAAAAAATAGAGATAAATTGGTTCCTTATGATATATTCTTGAAAGAAGGAGGAAAGGTGGCATAAATACCATTTGATGTATTTTTAGAATGTATAGGAGGTGAATTAGATTAAGTGATTCAAAAAAACGAAAATAATCATGAGGTTAAATATATGTAGAAGTAAATCTCAAAACAGCAAGTCGATTATTTAATCTTGGATGATATGATTCATATAAAGAAATTAGGATAAGGGTAGTTTGGTTCGGTTTATTTGTGCAAAAATAAAAAGGATGGCAAATTGTATGCTTTGAAATGCATCATAAAAAATTAGATAGTAGAATAGCATCTAGAAAATCATCTAACTCAAGAGAAAACTGTTCTTGAACAAGTCTAATTTCCATTAATGATGAGATTTTACAAATCAATGAAGGATGATAATTTTATTTACTTCTTAATTGAATACATAAAGGGTTTGGAATTATTCGATGTGATTAGAGATATCGGATTGTTGAATACTTATGATTCATAATTTTATATTGCTTCTTTGCTACTCTGCATGGAATATCTGCATACTCACCACATTGTCTACAGAGATATTAAACCAGAGAATGTGATGGTAGATCATCATGGATACATTCGTTTGATTGATATGGGAACAGCCAAAATTTTGAAAGGGAAGGGCCGCACATTTACTATTATAGGTACTCCTCATTACATGGCTCCGGAAATATTAAATGGAAAAGGTATTATAATAGTAATGCATTAAGGTTATTCATATTCAGTAGATTTGTGGAGCATTGGAATTTGTCTTTATGAATTTATGTGTGGAGGAGTTCCTTTTGCTGAGGATGCAGAAGACCCATATGAAATATATGAAGAAATAACAAAGAAACAGATTTCCTATCCAAATCATCTTAAAGACAGAAAGGCTAAGAAATTTATTGATTAATTATTAAATAAGACTCCAGAAATTCGTTTAGGAGGAAGTTACGCAGCTTTGAAAGCAAATACTTGGTTTGATGGATTGGATTGGGTATAAGTGATACTTAATAATTTAATAGGATAAACTAATGGATAAAGAGTTAAAGCCTCCATATATTCCTCCTAAGGATAGGTTAATTGGGGATAAGGAAATAGTAACAATTGAGAAGTAGAACAAGATCATATAGAATGAAATCAAGAATGTAAGTTATGAAATAAGGCTTAGGACCTGGGAGATAAGAATTTATATAAGAAAGAATTAGCTAAGGATCCTAATTGGGATGATAAATTTAATTGATGATTAAATATTATTTATTATAATTAATGATTTATTATTGATAGTATTACGTCATGGGAGAGCGTTAAATTATGTCATTAGGATTTAATTAATAAACAATTTATGAAATCTGAATAAATAAAATTCAATGAAATCAGCAGTGATATTAGTTATAGGCTTGTTGAGTGTTTTCACTTATTTGAATAAAGAGGAAAATAATACTCGTGTTGAATTTTAGAGTTGGAAAACTAAATATGGAAAGTCTTATACAGGAGAGTAAGAAGTTTTCAGGTTCTTAAATTTTTAATTAAATCTAAATAAAGTAAATAACCACAATTCTGATGAAACTAAAACTTACAAAATGAGAATGAACCAATTCAGTGATTTATCAGAGGAAGAGTTTGAATTGCTTTATCTAACTCATTATACTCCTGATGAGATAATCGAGTAATACTAGATTAATGATGATTAAGAAAGTTCAATTAAAAAAAACGATAATATTAAATCTTCAGTTGATTGGAGATCGATAACCTAAGTGAAAGATTAAGGAAAATGTGGTGGATGCTGGGCCTTTGGTGCAGTAGGGGCAGTAGAGGCTTGGTTCTATGTGAAAAACAAAACCTAAGTTGTGTTGTCAGAATAGCAACTTATTGATTGTGACACTCAGTCTTTTGGATGCAATGGAGGCTATCAAAATTTGGCCCTGAAATATGTTGCTAACCATGGATTGAATGATGCCAATGTATATCCTTACACTTAGAAATAATCAGCCACTTGTTTATACAATACAGGACCTTATAAAACTAATGGAGCCTAGGGCGTAAGTTCGAATAATTTCAAATCATTATTGACAGAATACCCCCTAGTTGTAGTTGTAGATGCCTCCAATTGGCAATTTTATGGAGGAGGAGTTTTTAATGATTGCAACAAATCTGTAAATCATGCTGTATTAGCTGTTGGATTTGATGAGAATGATAATTGGTTTATCAAGAATTCATGGGGGACCTCTTGGGGTGAGAAAGGATTCATGACTCTCGCCTCTGGCAATACTTGTGGCATTACTTCTTATGCATATAGAGCTATCTGATATTTATAATTAATAATCTTTTAATAGTAATTATATGTTTAATTAATTAAATTGGAGAGAAAAACATGCTATTGAGACACTTCTAAGTTTGCATGAGGAATCTCAAAATGAAGTAGATTATGACAAAGAAATGCAACGATTATTCAAACCTCAAGAAAATGCATTGAGTCATAATAATAGCTATATTGTGTAAAAACCAAGATCTCAGCTTCTGAAAATCATTTGTCCAAAATCAAATTCAAACTAACATTTTGAGTTTAGAGGCAGGTCATTAGAGAAATAGTCAGAAAGAATAATTGTTCCTGATCAGTACAGACCAAAATATTTATTATAATAATTAAAAACTCAAAGGAATCTACGTCATGTATCGGAATATCGTACAATCAATGTACCTACGATTTAAATTGTGCAATCTCTCTAAACCATAAATCTAATTGAAAGAACCGGTATAACTTAATAGAAGAAATTAAGAAAAAAGGATGTTCAAGTACCGAGATTTATTTTGAAATCAAGATAAAAGCTATGATGACAATAGTTGATAACTTATTTATAGCTATCAAAAGTTTTATTTCTTTTTTCTCTCATAAACTGGTGTTTTGATGTCCTCAAAATCTTAGGAATATAAATCCTTTGATTATGATTTTGATGGTCTTGATTGTTTGCTTTTCGATCTTAAGATTCTTTTTCTTTCCAATTCCTTATCATAAGCAGCAGTATTATTGTCTAAAATCAATTATGATTAATCTTACATTCTTCTGCATCTTTCATTCCTGATTAAACCCAAGGGATAGGCGGCTTTGATTCCCTTAATGAAACTTCCTTCATCTTAATAGATTCTTAAAGACTCTTCAATTTGCTGTCAGTTGGTTCCAAATCTAAAAGAAGGTAATTATGAGAGTATGGGCAATCCTTTTACCCCTTCTTACATCTCCCTTCTTTAATGAATTCTGGACACATCTTCATAGACATGTCCTTGACCTTGCTCTTAGCCTTCTAATCTTCTTTATCTTCAATCTTATTAATCTTTTATTTCATCAATTGTATATCATTCAAATTATCCTACAATTTTGCTTCTATTTTCTTATAAAGTAGTTCAATCTGTCTATTAATAAACTACCTGGTATCTGGTTCAGGATCAGCATCCAAATGAGTCTATTTAGCATACATATATAATTTCTAAGCTTCTTACTTATCATCAGGATTCAATTTTACAGTAGATTCATAGACTTATTTAATTGTGACATCAGTATCTGGATCAATTTGCAATTATTTCTTAAGATTCATTTAACTAGCTTCAAATTCCTTTTCTTATTCTTCGATCTCTTATTTAACAATTTCAATTGCTTTTAATATAACTTCAAATGCTTCAGAGAATCTCTCTTTATTATACAAAGCATTAGCTCTGCTCAAACAACTTAACTTAATGTTATAATTCTTGGCTTCTTTTTCTTCCATTCTTCTTCTTTATTTAAATTTAGGTCTCTCCTTTATTTTCTAGTATGCTTTTTTTGCCTTTCTTCTTAAAATTTCTAAACTTGCTATATTCTTTTTTTTCATTGCACATTCTGAACATAGAGCCTTTTCAGAACAACCTATGCAAAGTTTCATTGTGTTTCCTGCAGGATTCCATGCTTTAATAGCTAAATTTCCACCTAGTCTTTCAGTTACAGCCTTTAGAGTTCCTCTCAAAGCAGTTTTTCTTGCTCTTAATTCCTATCTGAATCTCAATTCATATGGATGATGAGCGAACATACATTCTGCTCCAATGGGTGTTACACCTGATACATTTGAGTTTGGCCATCTTGTTTGAATTGAAGGACAATCCTATCCTAATGGACACATTTAATCTTTAACAGTTAATTTACGTAGATCATAAGACTAAGATTTGTTAAGAGCTTGAAGTGAAGTGTAGTAATGAGAATCTTATTTGAGCATCTTTTTAAGATTATTCTGTGATTAGTACAATGAGTCTTCATATGATTCCAGTTGCTTAATAAAAAGATAAACTTCCAATAAGAATTTATATTCAGGTTTATTTTAATATTCAGGTTCCATTAATTATAAGTTTTCATGTGGTACTTTCTTTAGTTCGTCTTCATCTAAACCCATATTTTATGCATTAAAAATAGGATGTGGTTTTGGCTATTTCATTTTGACTTCAGGATCTCTAAATATCAATTTAAGATCTCTTATATTAAAACTAAGAGCCAATAGTTAATAAGATTTCCTATAATCTCCTTTTCTATAGAGTACTTAAGATCTCTTGAATATACCAAATCTATATATCGAAGGTACTTTCTTGAAATTATCTCCAAATTATGATAAGAAATGCTTCAATGATCCACTTTTACCAACATTAGTTTAGGCCCAATTATGAGTTTACAAGATCACTCGCTTCAATTTTTCTGGCATTCTATAACATACTGCAGGTTAGAATGTGCATTCTTTAGCGTCTGAGAAGGTCATCATAATGTTGCATCTCTCTGATTAATAATTATCAGAATCCCAAACTGACGTTTTTGGTCTATCTGCAAAGAGTTATGCCTCTTTAACTAATCGACTTTAACCTATTACTCTTTAATTTAATGTCTATCTCGTACATCCAGGTGGACATAATGAATCTTTGTGCACTACACACATACTCTTTCCATTGGTTGGTACCCAAAATCCTATTCTATTAGTTTCATCTTTAATGTAATCATATTTTCTTCTAACATATGATTTCATCATTCCAAAGAAATATCTCTTCAATGAACTAGGAAAGGACTTCTTTCGTAATTTCTTACTTTCTCCATATTTCAAATGAGGAAAGTTTTCTTTTGTTGCTTCTTTATGGGAAATCAACATTTATTTATACATTGTGGATAAATATTCATTAATTGTGGGTACTTTCTCTTCGAATCTCTTCTTTCTTAATTCTAAATACTTTTTGGCCATTTATTCAATATATTTATTAAGTTTGAATTCAGCTTGTCTTTTCTTTTTTCTTTCTTATTCTTCTTTTCTTAAAGAAGTTTGTTTCTCTGAATAATATAATTCCATATGTTTTTCAAATAAATCTGCAATCTCTTCTATTTTCATTTTTGTAGGAACTTCCATTTCTTCTAAGGTTATCACACAACCTCCTTTTTAAGAGAGATGCCTCATTTTTTGTTTATTTTCTTCATCACTATCAACAACATCATATTCCAAAGGATATTTAGCCACTTTTGTATCACGAAACTCTTGTAATAACATTTTCCTCAAGATCTTATCATTTGGGTACATTTTCTTTAAATCCAATAAGGTTTTGCCAACTTTTAACCTATCCTTAGGTTTCGCTATTTCAGTCACTCTTTAAAAATTGATTTCAGTTTTCTTTTTTTTCATACTCTTCTCCATTTCAATTTTTCGTAATCCTAAATTGACATCTTCTTAATCTTTTTTCATTTATATATACTATGTCAATAAAGTTTTTAAATTTTCTTCACTTTCATATGTTACAATCTCTTATTTAGAATTCTACAGAGTTTATTTCCATATTTTAATAATATCATCTACATTATCAGTATAAAAGCCTTTAAATTTATAAAATTAATCATTTATCATTTCCATTGAATCTTAAAAATACAAATCAAAGTCCTCGCCCTTACCTTCAGGTTTATTGTTTTATATTTCACTCCAATATTATCTTAATCTATCTGGATATCTAAAATTTTTATGATCAGGGTTTTTAGCTTTGTAATGTTAGATAACAGCTTCAACAAATTATTCTCTTTATTTCTTTTCCTTTGTTTTCAAATCATCCTCCTATTAAATCAAAGGTTTAGGAAATAGTCTATTCAATACCTCTTTACTCATTTTCTTGTTTTTCTTCTCTTAATTTTTTTTTTATTGTAACAACTATGATTGTCTCTCTTCTATAAATTTACTGATGTTGGCATTTTATTCTTCAGCTTCCCCAAATTATTTTAAAGTATATTGAACATCCTTCTCATTAGCCTAAGCATAAAAATGCAAATTTCTTTTATGTTCTAGTTGTTTCCTTATTATCTCCTAAAACACATTAAATTGATGAATTTACATTTTCAGGTTCTTTTCCTGGTTTCTTTGGAGGTGGCTTGCCTGCCTAAGATCTTGCAGTCACTTTCCATAAATCAAACAAAGCTTTGTCTGAATAAGTTGTTACCCTTCTGGTATTACGATATTCATTCTAATAAGCTAGGAAATTAATCTACTTGAAGTGTAATAAATAAGTCCTTTCCCAAGTTGGTTGGCTAGTAGACTTCTGGAATGACTGGTTGTCTTGATGATTCAAAATCATTTTGATATCCTTAAGTTTATTCAAAATAAGATTATTGTTCAGGAAATCTAATAAATATTTGTTAGACAATTACTCCTATAAGAGATCAACTCCAGCAAAATTATACTGCTTATGCATAATTTAAAATTCTGTTATTAATAATAATAGCAAGAATATATTTAATATATTTTTAGAATACACTCATTGATTTAGAATTCTTGTCTTATCAACAGTATTGATTGTAATAAACGATATTGATTTTAATTATTTTTCACTTTTACTTTCAAACCAATAAGAATAATTTATGTCAAGATTTTAAATACAAATTATCTACCATCCAAAGAAAAAATAAAGTAGCTAGATTATCATTTTATCATAAAATTAATTAGCAATTAAAATTTATGATTATATCTTCGAAATTAGAATTATTTGAAGCTAAATATAATATATTATAGTTATATCTATAAAGTACATTCAATTTCAGGCTTATTTGTAATGTAACCTATTGGGAAATCACAAAACAAGTAACAATAAACAATTATTTATAAACATGTTTACGAGTTGTAATTTTTGTTTGACCTTTGGTTTGATTCAAATTATATCTATGTAATTATATTTCACATATCCTATAAAATAAACTATTGATAGTGAAATATAATTAAGTGAAATAATGGATAATTTTTTTGAAGATGAAACAACTTAAGTTCCTTCTTAGGCCACATAGTTTGATTAAGATCAATTTTAATAAGCTTAAGTATGAGATATTACATATGATAGTATGATGTATATAGTGCTTTTTAAAGTGAAGCACCTATTCCATCCTAGCAATCAGTTGTTTATGTGGTATTTAATCTTTCAAAAATAGAGTCCAGAATAATAAATTAGAAAGGACAAATTAAAAGTAATTGAAGAGGAAAGACTTGCTTAGATAAGAGAGAAGGATTAACAGGAAAGGATATTGAAATAATAAAAAAAAGAAAAAGGTCGAGAATATTTGCAATAATTCAAAAGGTAAATTTGAAAATTACACGAAATAGTTAATAAGAATCAGATATTTAATAAAGAAAAGTGTTGAATAAATAGAAATAAGAGATTTGGTTTGAAAACAGAAAGAATCATAGTTAGTATGTAAGATAGTGATTCTATTCAAGAAAAATTCATGGGACTAAATTGCATCCAATATAGCTTTAAAGGATGGTGAGTACCCAGGGTAAAAAGACGTGACAAAAATGAGATAAGCAATTCTTAACAAGAGAAATGATTTGACAAAGTGAAGCAAAGATTTTATAATATCAATATATATTTATTATGCTTATTCTGTTATCAACAATTTCTTTAGAGGAAATCTACATGCTATTCCATAAATGGAATTTCCATAATTTGTATTTTCTTATTATTTATTTTTTATTTGCTATTTATTTATGTACAATTATATATCTGTATTTCTTAATAATTAAGATTCAATTAATCATTCTCTAGTGAATAAGTATTAAAAAGATTAATCTGAATTAATAATTTTTTCAAAATTCACAGTTAAAGAAAGTAAATAACATGAATGAAGAATTAAAGAAGGAGTTAAATTGAAATTTGATGAATATATCTAGTATTTGTGATTATAGTTTTATATAATTTAATTAAGATTGTCTGTGTTGTTATTCGTTATATAATTTGAAAAGGATGGTTGTAAGAACCAATAAATCTTAAATTTATATCATATAAGTCAAGTAGAAATTGTAACATTATATTGTATTAAAAAGGCGCCAACTTAAATTGGTAAAAGAGTGAGATTGGAACAAATATAATAATAATATTAAATCTTAATTTGTGAATGTAAGGAAGACGTAGCCAATAGTCAAAATCTACTGCAGAGGATAATTTAAATTGTAATGGAAAGCAAGTAATATCATTGGATAAAGTCATCAATACCGATGAGAATTAGAAATAATAGAAAACGAAGAAGCAATAGAAGGAAATATCAACGAAAAAACAGAACTCAACCAATACAGAAGACTTATCTGGAGTGAGTATTAAAGAATCCTAAAATGGGGCATATAATTTGAGATAGTACACTCGAAGAAATTATTTGGATTTTGGGAGTGAAGCAGGTGGAGATGACAACAATGATATAGATTTTGGAGTGAAAAAGCAATTAAACAAGGAAAGAAAGAATAGTGATTTAGATATCAACGAAACCATTGAATATGACAAATTACCCAAAAATAAGTAAGGATTACTAAAACTGTTATCAAAAGTAGAAGCTAGTATTGAATCTTAAAAATTAGAATGGTTTAAAGAGTATTCATTATATTCTATAATAAAATAGATAAAATGAATTACCAACATTGACTAGTTCTGTACCTGAAAACTCTATCCCCATAAATGCTGATGTCCTATCATTTAATTTTAAATCCTTAATAGCTTCACAACAAAAAATAGCTGGCAAATTGTTTGATGGTATTATTTCCTCCTAAGAATCAAGCCATTATGATGGATCCTCCTTGGTAATTATCAACATCTTAACCATCCAGAGGAGTTGCCATTGCATACCAATCTCTCAAAGATGATTAATTAATGGAGTTGCCTATCCCCTTATTATAAAAAGAAGGCTTCCTCTTTATTTGGACAATCAATGCCAAATATCGTATTGCTGCAAAAATGATGAAACAATGGGGCTATCAATTAGTTGATGAATTGATTTGGGTCAAAAAAACTGTTAATGGTAAAATCGCCAAAGGCCATGGGTTTTATTTGTAACATGCAAAGGAAAATTGCCTTATTGGTTATAAAGTAATTTAAATTATATATATTCTAGGGCAATAATAAATTAAATTACTACTTAAAGAGTGATGTTATCTGGAGTGAAAGAAGAGGCTAATCTCAAAAGCCTGAAGAAATCTATGAAATTATTAATGCAATGGTGCCTGGAGGTCATTGCTTAGAAATCTTTGGCAGAAGAAACAATCTTAGGAATAATTGGGTAACTATTGGAAATGAATTATGATTTCATATATAATTTTGAGTAACATTCAACTAAATTCAATAAATTCTATTTTTAATAATTTATCTATAAATTTCAAAATGATTACCTACATTCTTATTCAACTAAATAACCAACCTTTTTAGTGAGTAATATGTAATACAACTGATTCTTAAATTTAATAGATTACTTACTTAATAATAGAGATTATCCAAAATTACGAAAGATTCAATTAATTATTCCTTTATAAAATACAAAATTCAAAATAACAACACTTAGTTTTCAACAAAAGAGACTAGAGAATTTGAAAATTCTTAGTTTCTAAATAAATCGATTATTTGTTTAATAATAATAATAATAATAATCTAATAATATATGAAGTTTATATAAAAATAATTCATAAAACCATGCTCAACCTAAACTTTATTTCTTAGCTAAATGAATTTTAGTGTAGGAATCATTTCTTTTATTCGGTTTTTTAAACTGTGGTGGGCTCAGTATACTTTTTGAATTTTCTTTTAATTTTTCTTTGTTAATGTTCTGTTAAGGACTAGTGTAAGGTTTGAAAGGGCAATTCTAGATTTCTTAATTAATTTTATGTTGATTTTTAACTTGATTAGTTTGTTTAATCTAATTTAACCATCGTATTTATCTTTCATAGAATTCTTCTTTTTTAGTTGGAACTTAATGATGTGAAGCATGCTTAATTGCCATTTTCTACATAATCTTATCAACACTAGGAACTTATTTATTAGCAAAGTAATTTCGAGGACTTGAACGAGCAGAAGACTTAAATGCAGTTTGTGTTTAATTAATCACATTCAAATCTAATGGCATGAATATTTTAGATTTTTGTCTCTCTTTTTAAGCTTACAAGAGATTTGAAAAGTTTTAGAAATGTTGATTCAATGGTAATACGTTGGTCAATTTTGATTCGTTTTCTTCTTCTCCTATTATAGCATAATCATGTATGAACTGCATACAATAAATTTTTAACAACTATTATTTTTATATATAAAATTTTATGTATCACATATATTAAGATAGTGTTTTTTCAATTTCTTTAAAATCATGTTAAAGAATAGTTTTAATGACAAAAATTCTATCTATTGGAATCCTATTTGTTGTTATACGATAGTTCTCTGAATAGGAGATTAAGGGCTATATTTCTTCTTGAATTCAAATAGATTTATATAGTATATACATTCATAGATTCTACTTTATTGGATAAAAGAATTAATTATAATAAGTTTCAACGTTATCTCCCATAATATATAATATTAATTAATTAAAATCATCCTTTAACCTTCTTAATTTTTTTTCCCTCCAAACATAAATTTAATCCAACTGATGCAGGCTTTTCTAAAACAGATTTGGCTTTGTAGATTCTTTTGAATTTGCCAGTGTCACATTTCTTATCATTTTCTCTGTCAATCACTACTTTAATTAAATCTTCTGATACTTCTTTAACTAGTTTTTCAGTTACATGCTAAGACTAAGTTAAATTATATACAGTTGAATATGAAAAGTCTGGACTGCTATTGATTTCGATTAACCAAACATGAAATTTATCATCAATCATGAAATCATACCCTAAAATTTCATGGGAATTCTTTCTTTATTCTACTTAATCTTGTACACTTTATAATGACCATATGATAGCTTATTCAAATTAAGGTCTAATGATTTCCATGAAGTTTACTTAATGAGTTTTCTAAAATTGTAATAGATTTTACCATTAAATAATCACTAAATTATTCTTAATTCCACATATTCCCTTCAATATCAGATTTATAGAAGTTTTCTCCTTTTTTCTAAATAGAATTATTTGTCAAATGGGACATCTTGTTTTCTAAATCTTTAGGATCATACTCTTCAGCAGTAAAACGGAGATATGCTTCATCATAAATCCAAATAGTCAAAGGATTCCAATCAGTAATTAAGACCCATTATCTGATGTCCATCTTCTTACCAAGTACAATCAATGGTTTTTCAATGTATTTTTGAATTATCCACTGTGCTCCTTTGGATGCAACATGATCTTCAATTTCAACTAGGTTTTTGTAACATTGGATTCCCCTCCCCCTAGATAATCCAGCAGGTTTAACAATCCAAATATTTTCAACTCCATTTAAATAGTATTATGGAAATCTATTTTTAAATGATTATCTTGTATAAGATGTATAGTTTACAAAATATCAATAATTTATTATGTAAATTCATCTACATCTTCAATAGAATCATCCTATTCTTTTTCTAATTTACTCTTCTTCTTCTTTTTCAAAGGTTTAACTTCTCCAATTTTAGCCAGCCAAGCTTAATGTTTTTTTTAGGCCAATGCTTAAACATTTAAATCATCTTTAGAGAGTATGTCCCATTCCTTTTATGTGATGACTGCAGTCTATTTCTATTGATCAATGAGTTCATTAATATCTTGCAACATCTTCCTGCATACAGACAACGCTACTATAGCTTATGGTTTGATTTTCTCAATCAAATTAGCATCCTTCTTTTTGAATAGATGCAAGTACATTTTTAAGATTGCTTCAGCCTAAATAGATAATAGAATTACTTTTGACAATTTGAATTCTTCTCTAAAATTTTCGAAATCCTCCTCATCAGATAAATCAAATGCTCTTGGATAGAATGTATTTTTATCTACATTATTAAACCAAATTAAATTATTTAGAGACTTACATAATCCAACTTTAGTTGTTAAACATATAATCTTAGCAAAATGATTGACAATCTAAAAGTCTTATAAATTATTATAGTCGATTTCTGAATTATGCAATGTGAATTTGAAATCAAAACATGGACTTCCACTGTCTGGATTCTTTACCCAACCTCTTTGTATTAATGCTTTAGCTATATCTCCATAACCACCAACCATAATGAATACTTTGACTGCATCATCAATACGTTACTTTTTTTTCCATTATTTCAAGTCTGTGATGAATGGATATTTCTTCAATTTGACCTTCTAAGCATCTTAATCATCTGATCCACTATCTTATTCTAATAAATCATCCTTAGTCACAAACTATGCTACTTCAGACAATTAATTTAACACTTTCTATTTTACACTTTATTTAATTATCTCTTATCTTTAAATCATCTCTTCTTTCTTTTATTTTTCTTGTAATTACCGTGTCTTTATGGATTCCAAATATCTTGTATATAATTATTACTGATACTATCGTTATTTCTCTTATATTCTCATCTTTTATTCCAGCATTAAATCTTCCTTCTTCAAACTTGATTGTCTGTTCTTGCTCGATTCTGGAGTGTTGATACTTGGCAATGACACTTATTATTTAATTTCTTTCTGCTCTTCCTTCACATACCGAGATTTCAATTTAACTACCAAATCTTATTTTCTCTTTTATGACATTTCTTTCTCTTCTTATTCTCTCATTTTTTTCTCTCTCAACTATGCAATTATGTCCTAACATCAACATGAATGATTACTAAATTACGAGTATGAAAGTCTTTTTTAGTATTTTAATCTTCCATTTAATAATTAAAGTTATATAAAATTACAAATGCTTTATCTGATTATTGACAATAACAAAGATCTTTAAATTGAATTTTATAATTTAAGAATACTTTTGAATGATAGCTGAATAGTATTGAATAATTTCTACATCACAATATTGATCAATTAGAAGGAAATATATTCTTTGAATTGAATAAGAGAATATGATTTATAGGAATGTTATAAATTTATAGATAATACAATTTAAAGAAACTAGTATTTAATCAATTTTGATGGAGATGATATTGGTTACAAATAAGATTAACTATAAGATAAAAAAAGTTAGTAAATTATTTAATAATCATAATATAAAGTATTATCCATATAAAAAGTTAATGGCCTCTTTATTTATTCTAAATTATTCAAAAACAAGTGGAACATGAAGACGTTGAGGATGATGAAACTATATCACATGAAGAAAGTTTATCAAAACCTACGAATTTGGTTTTCTAATTGGATATATAGAAAATATAAAAAGTGGAAAATAAAATTACAATAAATTCAGATAAAATTTATTAATATATATATCTAAATAATACAGGTTATAGTAACATATCTGATTGGAATTGTTTGCAATTCTATTGTTTATGTTGATTCTCATGAGATTGATTTGGCGGCTAAGAGAATTGGAGAATTAGATAAATGAAAATATATATTATGTTCTTATTTATCATAATCATGCTTGATTTGGGTATTCTTTTTGAACAACAGCTTTGAATTCGTCCCAACTTAATGATCCATCTTTATCTTTATCAGAATATTCAACCATTTCTCTTAACTCTTGATCTGTATATCTTTCTGAAACCAAATCATTAATTCTCTTGAAATCCTCGTAAGTTACTTTACCTTATCCAGAGGAATCGAATTCTTAATATAACTTCTCAAGCACTTATTCGTCTTCTATTGTACTATGTTATTATATATAAGTTTAATACCCTGAAAATCCAAATATATTAAGAAATTCTTCAAAATCAATCAAACTAGATCCATCTTAATCAAGATCTTGAATCATGTTCACTATTTCTTCTGCTGATTATTCCATTCCTAATGCAATGATGGCATTTTTCATCTCATTTGGACTAAGTTAAGATACAAATTATACGAAATAGATCCGCTCTTGTCATCGTCAAAGATATCAAAACACTCCTTTATTTTTAATACTTCTTCCTTGCTAAGTCCTGGCTTAACATATTTGGATGCATCAAATCCAGCTGGTTGTTGTTAAACTGGCTATTAAGCTGGAGCAGGACCCTTTCCTTTAGCAGGTGCTTATGTTGGGGGAGGAGGTTGAGTTTTTGATGCTTATTGTGTTGGTTAAGCTGCTGACTATTATCTGGATTGATTTCTACTCATTTATTTTAAAAATAAAATTAAGGATACACAAACTTCTCACTATTATATTATTATTTTAAGGATCCTTGTATTCATATTATAATTTATTAACCATTCTTATCCTATATTACCTAGTTCAATTACCACTTTCCATTTCCATTTCCATTTGCAATTATTCTTTTTTTCACTAGCCTATTATTGACTTACTGTATAATAAGTCAGGAAAAATAAAACAGAATAACTGAATGATAAACAGAACAACTGAATGATAAACAGAACAACTAATAAGATTAGACTCTTAATATGACCAAATTAGACTGGTATTAGAGTATGGATATCTTGAATTTAGATTGGATACTAAGGAATACTAATTTATTAACTTATTACATCTTAATTGAATATTAGGTGATATTGAAAATAAATGAGTAAGGAGTAGATAGATATAAGGCAGTTTTATTATGTACATTGTATAAAAATGTGGAAAATATTAAATAATTTTGTATATGCAAAAATAATTAAGAATTGCCACTCGATCTTCAGCCTTAGCAATGGCTTAAACAAATTATGTTAGAGGAGAATTGAATTAAGAATGTGAGATAATAAAAGTATCGAATGAGGTTGGTGATGTGAATTTGTAAGATCCTTTATATTAAATGCCTACTGTAGGTGTATTTACAAAGTAGGTTGAATAGTATTTGTAAAATAATGTAACTTAAATTATAGACTTGAGTAGAAGGCAGATGTTGCAGTACATTCCTTAAAAGATCTACCTACTATAATAGATGCTTAATTGTATTTAGCTGCATATACAAAATTTGAGTAGAGAGGAGATGTGATGTTACTAAATACTAAATACAATTATAAGAGTTTAAGTGAATTACCAGAAGGATTTAGGGTTGGTACATCATCACTAAGAAGGCTTGCAACAATTAAAAATAGATATCCAAAATTAAATTTAATAATATTAGAGGAAATTTAAATACCAGAATCTAAAAGCTAGATGAAGGATAGTATGACGCAATCATTCTAGCAAAAGCAGGCATTTTAAGATTAGGTTTAGCTGAGAGAATTTCTTTTGATTTAGAGGAAAAGGAGTTTCTACATGCACCTGCACAAGCAGCCTTAGGAATATAATGTAGAAAGGATGATATCCAAACAATAGATAGATTATAAATTTTAAATGATATAGATTCATAAAAGAGATGCGTGGCTGAAAGAATGTTCCTGAATTTATTAGAAGGAGGATGTACATTACCAATTGCAGTTTATAGTGAATGTAGAGAAGTTGGATAAGTCTATATTAAGGGTAGAGTTTTAGCTGTTGATGGCAGCTAAGTAATTGAGGACGAGGCTTTAGATCATTATGAAAAGGTAGGATAGATATTGTGTGAGAAGATAAAGGCTCTTGGAGGAGTGGAATTAATTGAAAGCTTAAAATAATAATGAGTGTTTTTGTATTAAATATAACTTATCTAATATGACTCATTTAAACTTATTGGAATATGGACTGATTTTATTCATCGTGAAGTAATCGTTTGCATAATTTGTTTCTTTGCATAGTTTTCTTGGGTAAGTGAATTTAGAGGGAGATAGACTGTGAGAATTCTAAAGGAATAGTCTATATATATTACAACTGAATGCCATCCTAATTCTTGATTTGAAGTCTATGGAAATTGATATTTCTAACGAGGAGTTCTGTTCATTGTATTTAATTTATCAATGATGTCCTCTAATCAATGAATACTCTTAAATTACTTTCTAAAGGTGGTGAATCATCTGTTATTTAGTTAACATCGAATGCTGGCTTAGATACGGCACCTGTTTTTTCAAGGTGCTTCTATAACATGATACTATTATTGGGTTTTTCTTGGATTATGTATACTAATGAATAACTGTTGCATATACATTTGTGGGGATTGATAGTAAAATGCTCATACACCTTGAGATGCTGATTCTCCTTTCTTACAGCCTCCTACCATATTTTCATTTCCTAAGGTTTTATAGAATAAGGTTACAGCAACAGGACTACGATCTCTCTTGTTATTTTTACCAGTCTCTTGTTTAGCCATTATATTTATTAATAATGAAAAAGATTAATGTTTTTGTAGTTCCTATTCATGGGACAGTTCTTTACCCATATTAGAATTTGAAACTCAGATTAACAGAATTGTAGTTCTATGATGCCAAAGTGAATAATAACTATGTTGCTATTGTGCCAGTGGTTGACCAACAAGTGGATGGGATTTAGAGAATTCAGAGATTCAGTTAGTATGGTACTTTAGTGAGACTTACAAGTGAAGATTACACGTAATAATTTGATCGAATAACATAGAGTCTACGCTTCAAATAAAATTTACCAAGCTTTTTCATTTGCTAGAATCAAAATAGATTCTATAATAAAATCCACTCCATATTATATGGTTTCAGCTGAAGTCTTGGGGGATGAAATAGCTGATGAATAAGCATTATGGAGTAGTTAGATAATAGACCAATTAAAGGAATTAGCAAAAGTAAGAATTTTGGATAATTTTAGTAATATCTAGAATAATTCTAAATGAATCCCAGTCCGCAGTTCCTACAAATAATACAAGAAGAGAAGAACATAAATAAATTATTCTTTACTATAGCCTCGAATGCTGATTTACCATATAGTTAGAAGCTTAAATTATTGTAGATTGATGATCATAAAACAAAGATCAATTTATTGATACAATATTTAAAAACTAAGGTTGAAGAGTTTGCGCAAACTAAAGCTCTGGAATAGAAAGTATCAAAGGATCTCATGCAATAAATGCCTAAATAGGTGAATAAGTCTAGTAATCTACCTACTAATCTTCCAGGATTCCCATATTAAAAATAAAAAAATAATGACATCGAGAAATTGTAAGCCAAAATTAAAGAAGCCAACCTTCCAGATCATGTTAGAGAAATTGTTGAATAAGAAATGTAGAAAATTGAAAAAGGATAAATGGGAGTAGATTCCAATGTAACTAGAAACTACATTGATTTAATACTTCAATTACCTTGGAATTAATAAGTAGAAGAAACCTTGAGTATCGAAAAATGTAAAGAAACACTTGATGCAGATCACTTTGGATTAACTAAAGTAAAGGAGAGAATATTGTAATTCTTGGCAGTAAAGAAATTAAGAAAAGAGAGAAAAGTAGCTGATTCAAATGGCTAAGGATCAATCATCTGTTTCTTTGGTCCTCCTGGTGTTGGTAAAACTTCACTTGGTTAAAGCATTGCCAAATCTCTAAATCGTCCCTTTTATAGAATTGCCTTGGGTGGAGTATCCGATGAAGCTCAAATCAGAGGACACAGACGTACTTATGTTGGAGCATTTCCAGGATCCTTTATTTAGGCTATCAAAAAAGTAAAATGCAAGAATCCAGTGATTTTATTGGATGAGATTGATAAATTGACATCTAATCATAGAGGAGATCCTAGTTCTGCCTTATTGGAAGTCTTAGATCCTGAGTAAAATAGTCATTTTATGGACAATTATTTGAATATAGAATTTGATTTAAGTAGCGTATTATTTATAGCAACTGCCAATCAATTAGAAACTATTCAACCAGCATTAAGGGATCGTCTAGAATTAATAGAAATTGTTGGTTATACAGTTAAAGAGAAAGTAGCCATTGCTAATAGCTATCTGATACCTAAATAACTTTAAAAAAATGGACTAGTGAATGACTAGGTTACAATACCTTAGGAAATTATTCATAAAATAATAAAATAACACACTAGTGAAGCAGGAGTCAGATAATTGGAAAGAGTGATAGCCAAGATTTATAGAAACATTGCTCTCAAATATGTGACAGATTAATAAAACTTCAAAACCATAGTTGTAGATTAAGAAAGCTTAATTGAAATATTAGGACCATCCATCCATTCAGATAAGCATACTACTCCTTTGATATCGATACCTGGAGTATGTAAAGGTTTAGCATGGACTCCAGCAGGAGGGAAAGTGTTGATGATTGAATCTGTGAAAATGGAAGGCAAAGGAAAATTTGAAATTACTGGTATGTTAGGAGATGTAATGAAGGAAAGTGTAAGAACAGCTATTGGATGGATTAAAGCATATTGGCCATAAATTAAAATACTAAGCAAATCAATTACAAATATTAACTTTGATGCTCTTGATATTCATGTAATCTCTATCGATTATAATTATAGATTCATTTTCCAGCTGGAGCAACTCCGAAAGATGGACCATCTGCAGGAGTAGCTATAACAACAGCAATTGTATCATTACTCACAGGATTGAAAGTGAAAAGTGATATTGCAATGACAGGTGAAATTACTTTGACAGGGAGAGTGCTACCAGTGGGAGGTATAAAAGAGAAAATCCTTGGAGCTTTTGAGAGTGGAATATTTAGGTAGAGATATAATATAATATTCTAGTGTCATAATTCCGCATAGGAATAAAGCAAATTTGGTGGATGTTGAACCTGAAATTAGAGAGAAAATGTCAATTCATTTGGTGAAAACAATAGATTAAGTGCTTCAAATCGCTTTAGAAGGAAATGGTCCCAATTTCAAAATGATTAATCTGGCAAATTTATGAAAGTCATTCAATTTAATATTATTCTAAAATATTTGAAACTAACATATAATATAATTTATATTTAAAAGGAGACATTCTTATTTAGTGATTTCTCTAATAGCTATAATTATATCATCAATTATGAATTTAAAATAAGTTCTAGCAAACTTACTTAATTATAAAAAAAATTGAAAATATCAAACCATATAAAGGGTTAATAAAATTAGAACGCAAGGTTAAATCATTAATATGGAATTATCAAACTCGATTTCAACATTGAAATTAAAATTAAAAGGATTATTGTTTACTAATTACATTAAATAAAATTAAATAAATTAAAAGAATTCATTATTTAACTTTCTTTTAGGGCTTTTCTCCATCAAAATATTGAGGTATTCTTTTTTCTTCAACATGACTATTATTCAATGAACCACCTTCATCTTTTATCAACTCAGAATCATATCTGTAGAATTCTTTAATAAATGGTTCAGAATATATTAAAGTCATACTGTTGAAAGGCTGATAGAAATCCAATTGATTTTTATGAACTACTGTTCTCTAGGTTGATGTCCTAGATAACAGACTCTCGTGATCATAAATCAATTTTTAAGGTGTATTTGGACTATGGTAATTAGTAATTAAATCTCCTTAACAGTTATTACCAATATGTTTTGATATTGTATTTGCTGTTATTTCAATAAGCTTCTATCTCAAATCATCAGATTTTGATCTCAACAAAACCTCATTGAATTTTACCAAGATATCATAATGAATGTGTTATAAAGTTGAACTTTTCTTAAGAATTGCTTCATGAATTTGGTTTTTAAGGATTTCTAATTAAGGTGATTTAGTTGATATTAAGAAAATCATCATTTGTACTAGGTGATGTTCCAACTCAACCTCTATTTATTAGGATTTATCATTCAAATATTCCAATAGTAATTCGACTGCTTTCACAAAAACTGTGCTCTTTATAGAATTGCATCTAACCAATAAGGATGACAAATAGTAAAGAGAATTGATTTTTTCAGTTTTTGAGAGTGTATTCTAAATGATAATATTAATATATTACAGATCTTATGTTTTAGACTAACTATGAGAGAAATAACTAATTGATTCTTTGTAAGGAGTTTGGCAAAGAACAAAAGTATAGAAACACATAGTGAGCCATTCTGTAATATTGGTTTTTTAACATAATCTCTTAGAATACTGATTGCAGCTCTCTAAATATTTTAAATATCAAATCTTCATTGAGTTCCATAAGGAATATACTCTTATTAGCAATTCCTAATTTAGAATCCAAATAATCAAATAATATAAATAATAAGTGATCAACCTTCTTGCACATGTCATCTCTATGTTTCTTATTCAATTGTTGTTACAAAGTAGTTTTAATAATGAAATTGTTGCATTATGGGTCATACTTGATTTCTGAATCAATTTACAAAATCTTCATATAAACCATCTTAAAGATACGAGATCTTAGTTCAGGAATGCGATCACTTAGTTTCATACAATTAGTAGCATAAACTCTTTAATGAATTTCACTTTGATTCTTATGTGGAAATAGATCAGAAAGTGTTTCTAATAATTTCTCTTTGCTTAATTTATAGATTTAAATTATTTCACAAATAATTTGAATTGCAGCATCAGAATGGATATTATTACTACTTTTTAAATATTTGTCTCTATAAATATCATTGTACAATCCATCTATTCCTTTGATGTATGAAATATCTTCTTATGTATTATCCTACAAAAATCTATATATCTTTATACCTTTTTTATGATGTAGAAACATTTCGATTTATTTTTGGATGGGAAGTATCCATATCCAATATCTGACATACCTTTCAATTTTTCATCTGCTTTTGGATGATGAATCAATATTTCTTTAATAAATTATTTGTGAGATTCTGACAGTTTAACAATCTAATTTTCAGCAGTCAATTAATAGGCTTCAGTCATTAACAAAATCTGCTACTACAATGCGGCTTTACTGGGATAGGACTGGCCCATCACTTCACATGGAATATCATCTCGAGTTTATTCTGAATCGATCAGCCTGAATAGTTAAATGATGGATGTACATTTGAAGACTCAACTTTTAGACCAAAAAACGATAGATAGTAACTAGTTACGAGGGAGACATAGACAGAATAGTGAACAAAATCTTTTTGAATTAAGGTAAGACTTAGAAATGATTGTCAGAAGTGAACCATGGTATTTTATACAATACTATATCGATGACCATTTTGGCATCATTGCCATTGCGTTGCAATTAAAGCAACAGCCGATTAAATAATTCAACCCACAAACCTATTTATGGTATGTCTTTATTCTTTCGGCAAACTTCTTCAATGATTTTATTCATTGAATTTGGTATTCCCTATTAAAATATATAAGAAACTCTACCTTTTAAGCATCTGCATACGATTTCTACAAGTATATGAATAATTGCTCCTCTTTTTTTGCATCCTCTGGTCTCTTTTACATACTTTATTTAATTAATATAATTTAAAAAAAATAAAAATGTTTTATATCATTTAATCTTTAAGCCATTTATGTTAAATATCTAGCAATTTAAAATAATATTTGAAATTCAATTACTATTTTAATCCAACAGTTAGAGTAAATTAAATTGATCATCACGCTCAAATAAATTCTACAATAATTAAATATTATTTAATAAACAAATCATCCGAAAATAATCAATATTAATATTAACAGTCAACCATTCAAATATATATTACATCAATGGATATTTATTTATTGATATAAATTGTTTACTTATATTTGAATCATGTATATTTATTTAAATAAACCTGAACAAAATATCAATAGATTTTTGAATGATTATTTTATTAAATAATAAGTGTATATAATAATTGAGTTTAAATGTATTATGAGTGAATTTTAATATGAAAGAGGGAAGGTTGGTTTTAAAAATAGTGAATATATTTATTTTAATTCCAATTTTAAAGATAATAAAAACATAATTTATATTATTATATAAGTGTTAATCAGATGTAAAGTAAATTTATTATTGTTAAGTATTAGATTACAGATTGATAACCAAGAAGGGAGAAGGCACTTTTTCAGAGGTTATAAAAGCTTAATCAGTAAAAACTAATTAATTGGTTGCAATAAAATGCATGAAACAAGTTTTCCAAACTATTGACTAAGTATTGTATTTTAATTCTAATATTGGTTAACAAACTAAAAGAAATTCAAGCTTTAAGAAAGTTATAAAATCATGAACACATTATTAAACTAATTGAAGTATTATAGTAAAATATCATTCGTAATAATTAGTGATGAACCTACTGGAAGATTGGCATTGGTTTTCGAATTGATGGAACAAAATCTGTATGAACATATTAAAGGTAAGAGATAACAATACATATAATTAGGTAGAAAAATACCATTAAAATAAGAGAAGATTAGGAGTTATACATATCAATTGCTCAAAGCCATTGATTTTATGCACTCGAATAATATTTTTCACAGAGATATTAAACCGTAAGATTTGAATTGATTGGTTTTAGTGAAAATATTTTGTTGCTTGGAGATCATCTTAAATTGGCTGATTTGGGTTCGTGTAAAGGAATCTACTCCAAACATCCATATACAGAATATATCTCAACCAGATGGTATAGATCACCAGAATGCTTAATGACAGATGGTTATTATGACAGTAAAATGGATATTTGGGGTGCTGGTTGTGTCTTATTCGAGATCACAGCCTTATTTCCTTTGTTTCCTGGAAGTAACGAATTGGATTAAGTCCATCGAATACACAATATTTTGGGAACACCCAATCCAAAGGTTCTTGATAGATTCAGAAAGCATGCGACTCATATGGAAATCAATTTTCCTTATAAAGTAGGAACTGGATTAGAGAATTTGATTCCACATGCTCCTAAAGATCTTGTAGATTTAATTAAATAGATGTTAATTTATGATCCGGAAGAACGTATCAATGCAAAACAAGCACTGAGACATCCCTACTTTAAAGAATTAAGAGATCAAGAATAGTAAAAATTATTAGAAACCAGTTTATAATCAATTAAACTTTTAAAAAAAAAGTAATCATTTTCAATAAAATAAGCGATGATTCCTTGACAGAAGAAGAGTAAAATACTTCCCATATTTTACATAAAAAGACATTATTCAATTAAACCAATAAAATCTTATAAAATTCATTTAAGAATAAGAACATACACCTTTTGGATTCTGTGAAATTGCCAACATTAACAAAAAAATAAGCGGACTTAAAAAAAGCATATGGTCCAACAAACTTTTAGAGTAATAATCCCTCTTCATAATTAGCTACAAAGAAAAAATCTATCTAATATGAATACATATTATATGGGAAAAAGGCAAACTTAGGTAATTTTCTAAATACTCTCAGGCATAAATGATCATCACGTTCTGATTTATTTTTTTATTTTAATAAATTTATTATAGAAGATTTAGATAATATTTAAGACCTCAGCTTATAAATATTATAATTATCTAAAATGAACTTATTCCATTTATTGAATTGATAGTCTAAATAATAAATATTATTAAGTTTGATATATATACGGGATATAGAGAATTTACTTTATAGAATTTCTTTTTTTATTGATTTTCTGCACTTAATATTTTTATTGAAAATATGTAATTCAATTTAATAAATAAAAAAAGGAGTCAAAACTGAAGTTCCTGATATTTAGTAATAATGAAAGAAGGAAGCACAGCCTGATCTTTTTAATTCTTCCTCTATAATATAGTCGTAAACTACATGTTTTGATGTTAACCTTTCAAAAATTCAATCAACTTCTATTTTCTGGTTTTTTTCTAATCTTAGGATTTATTGTTGGTTTATTATTTGTTTGGGCTGTTTTTAATAGACTAGACAGCCTACAATTCATCATTAGTTAAGTTGATGTATTCATTTGAATTCATATAAATGCTTAAATTCTTAAATTTCTTGTAATTTTTTTTTTTATTTTTAATGCTTTTATCTGGTATTAAATGATCAAGATTATTGATGGAATATGAAATTGGTTCAATGACAAGAGATTTTCTATTTGTAACACTAGGCAAGAGTGATTGTTAAATAGTGGAACTGTTCTTTCTAACAGAACTACTGATATGTTGATATAATGGGAATTGATTATTTTCAACAGAGTTTCTTAGTCTACCACTTTAATCCTTCAAAATTTCAGGTAAGCCTATAGTTTTTAAGAAGTATTTGAATTTGAAGACAGGTTTGAGTTTAGGTTTAGATCTCTAGTTAGTTAACATTTATTTATTTATTTATACTTAATATATTATTGATCAACGTGCTGAGATGACCAAATCATCTATTTTCAAAATCATTCTAACGCACTCTGTAGCCAAACTTAAAGCACTTCTAGTGACTAAAATAGGTTGGACAACTTATTCGGTTGTAATGTCATCGACAATATTATTCTAAAATTACAATTAGATTTACTTTCTTCATTCCAATTCCTGCAAACTTTTATTACTTAAGATGTCTATTTCTCAATTCTGTTACCACGTTGATTGGATTCAAACCTTAAAATTCTATTATATGAAATACCTGCATTTTCAGCAAGAGTATAAGGGATAACTTCTAAAGCATCAGCGAATGCTCTAACACACATAGACTTGGCTCCTGTTAATGTATTAGCCATTTGAGTCAATCTTAAAGATAAATGAATTTCTGGGGCTCCTCCTCCTGGAATCAATCCTTTGCTCTTTACTAAACTTCTAACAACACATAATGCATCATGAATGCTTCTGTCAGCCTCATCCAAGACTAATTGATTTGATCCTCTAACCAAAATAGTCAAAGCCTTAGATTGAGCTGGGACGTCAGTGATTCTCAATACTTTGCTTTCATCATTCAAATGAACTGTCTCAACTAATCCAGCAGTACCTAGTTTTTCTGGAGTCAATTAATCAATATGAGCAACTGGAACCAAACATAAGGTCTACACAAATAAATAATATAAACTACTTTAGCAATAAATTCAACATCTTCTCTTTCAATATCCTTAACAACCATGATGCCTTTCTTGGCCAAAAAGTGTAATGATAAATCATTAACTGCATCTCTCAAAATACTTTTTTAGATTAACAAAACATTGGCACCTGAGGCAACAATCTTCTTGACTAAATCAATAATATATTTTCTTTCCTCCTTTAAGATTTTGTCCATTTCAGTGTAATCCTTAATGGCTATAGAGTTTTCAACATCAGTCTTGGGAGCAGATAGACAGAATTATAATAAAGCAACTTTGGCATTCTTAATTTATTATGGACCTCCAGCAGCTTAACTTGCCTTCTAATTTGAAAAGACTATGCCTTCAACTAACTCTGTGTCATCTATTGTTCCTCCTAATTTCTTCACTATCTTGATATCTTTCAAATCAACATTATTTGGCTTTTCAGGATCGACAATTCTTAAGACAGCATCTACTGCCAATGGAGCCAATTAAGCACTGTTTGATGAAACAACTTTTGATGAAAGTGCTGTTTAGACACACTCAATTAATTATTATTTATTCTCTAAATCTACTGGCTTTTTCAATTCGTCCAATGCTGTAAGAGCATGTTCCAATGCAAATTAAAATCCCTCCGAAATTGTTGTTGGATGGATTCCCTTCTCCAATAGCACCTCGCATGATTTCAATAAAGCACCTGCAAAAACAACTACTGAAGTTGTGCCATCACCTGCTTCGACATCTTGGGCATGTGAAATCTCTACCAACTTTGAAAATTAATTATTAATTGATACCATCTTAGCTGTAGGATGAACCAAATCCATTTGTTTCAAGATTGTAGCACCATCATTTGTAATCAAGACTTAACCCTTGGCATCTTAAATCATCTTGTCCATACCTCTTGGACCTAAGCTTGTTCTTACCGCATCTGACACAGCTAATGTATTACTCTTCATTTATGATACCTTTGGCTGCTTATATATTGGTCAATCGAATATCCTTTGTTTTTTCCGATTTGTTGAATGTATTCGACTTCTGTGCTTATTATTATCCGGCCTATGGTGCTTGACTCATATTAAAAAATTTAATTTCTTTTATTTAATTTCTGGAAATTAATGTACATATATATATATATATTTTTAAATTTAACTCAAGCTCTATTTGGATAGAGGAATACTCTCAAAGTTGATCCTATTGCTCTTGGTGGAAGATTTCTATTGAATCGAGCAATCACTATTCCATTTGATCCATGAGATCTGCTGATTCTACCCCAAATTGTCTTCATATAAACTCATAATCTTTACTCTAAATTTAGTATTGTTTTTGAGAGAGTGAGCCTTGTATATATAGGCAACTCGTTTGCCCCAATAGAATCTACTAGATGAAACATCATCAACATGTTGAATCTTCAATAAAGCCTAATTCTCATTTTATTAAACTTTGGACCTTCTGAAACCTGTAAACACAGCCTTAACCCACAATCTTCATCTCATAATTTAAATTACCTAACCGGTGCCTTTTTATTGACTTTGATTTTCTTGATTGTTTTAGTTGCTACTTTCTATTATTGTTCACTCTTCATTGATTAAAATCTTAATAATTTTAATTTAAAAAATAAACCATCATACTCTAAGTATACAATTAAAAAAAGGATTACTAATATCCTATCTTTAATAACAATTGTTTAGTATATTTGTATAGTACAATGTATTATCTTTATAAAATGATAGAAGAATAACACTTGAATCATTCATTTGAAATAGATGAATTATTTGATAGAAGAAATTCGAATTATTTTGATATTTTATAACTTGTAAAGAAATTAATGCATAAACTAAATTATTTAATGATGACTTAGAATTCAATCAATTTTATAAATTTGGAAATATTTCTATATAGTTAATAATCAAAAATGAAAATAATACTAACATGAAATTATTCTCCAAATTTAGTTAATTCCTCCTTTTTTAAATTGAATACTACCTATTATTATTTGAAATTTCTAACTGTTAATTTTTTCATTATACTCTGATATATGATACATTTTGGAGAAATCTCTTTTATTATGTCAGCTAAGTGTTTGATCATAACTTGATAAAGCAAAATTATACATTTAATTTATATGTGAATTACACCATAACTATTTCAGTATATTGGTGTATTATATTATAAATAATAATGATTCAAGCATTATCCAAAATCGATCCAATTTAATAGTATTACGTCAATGATCATTATGTTCACTCCATATCAGCTAAAGAATTTAGGACAAATCAATCATATTCACCAAAAGCATTAATTTAAGGCTATTGGAAGAAGGATTATTAAACATTAATGACACTTAATTGTTCAACTGAAGAATAAAGAATTATTTTGCCTTAAATTAGTGCTAAATCATATTAAATAAGCGATACTAAAATAGAAAAGGAATCATTTGAAACTACTAATAGTTTTAACAAGAATATCTGCGCTGATCTTATATTATAAAAATATAAAATAAAACCAGGAAATGCCAATAATTAATAATAAAGGAAAGAAAAAGAATAATTTAAATTACCTGGCAAACTTATTAAAGGTAGTTTTCAGTAGTACAATAAGAATATTGGAACTCGAGTTTATAAAAAATATAACAACGAATTGTCAATTGAACGTTTAGATATCAAGCAATAGCTCACTCCAAAACCAGCAATTCAGTCTACTCCTCCTAGCAATTGTTCATTAGATTGCTAAATTAATCAAATCAAACCCTTATTTGAATTATCGAAACCTATTAAAATTTAATTTAATAAACCATTAACTCCTAATCCTATTCCAGAATAAACTATTAGAAAAGAATTTATCAACAAAGTTCAATTAAAGCCTTTACTCATTAGAACCATCAATTAACAGATCTCTAATCTAGTAATACTGCAATTTGATGAATTGCTTGGGTTTTGTGAGGGAAGTTACTATGGTTTATAATTTGATTTTGTCTAAAGTGATCTTTATTTTGAGTATTAAAATACAAAAGAGCATTACTTCTAGAAATTATTGCAAAATTAATAAGTTTATGTCTTAAAAAACCTAAAAGAAGCCTTATTATCCCTCTCTAAGATATATCAAATAATATTGATTACTGAAAATATGCAAAAATAATTAGTTGAATATGTAAACTTGAATAAATTGCCTATTAGTGCAATATATTAGATTAAATCATCTAATGTAGCATTTATAGGAATAAAAACAATCGATTGCTATTAGATTATGAAAGATATTTAAATTAAAAAACTAAATAAGATTGCTTTAATTTAGACATATGAGTTATTATATAAATCAAATGATGCTATTAAATAAATATAGGAATAAAACATCTTATACCCTTATGAAAATGAAACTCGTTCTGATCATTTTTTTATTTTAATGTTACCAAGTTTATGTATGCAGGGTCTCTTGAAAACAGAATAAAACCAATCTAAATTATTCTTGCATTCTCTATACTTTATTGAACATTTCTGTTAATCAATATTGTTTGATAATTTTAAAGATAACGGAGCTTAAAAAATACATTCATTATTATTGCAAGATCATTATAAAGATTTAATGGATAAAATCACAATTAAAATCTAGAATATTGATTCATTAAAACAATAACCATTAATTTAGTAATAGAGATATTCCAAAAAAGAAATGATTGCCAGAATATCTGAAAAATTTGAAAATCAATAAAGGTTTTAAGAATTGTCATAAGATCTTGTTTTAAGAAATAAAAAAATAATAAAGAGAATTAGTAGATACAAATAAGAGTAGTTGAATGTTCTTTAAATTGTGAAGGATTAACTCATAAAAGAACATGAATTACTACATTATTGTAAAAAATTACTTGATAATTGTTATTATATTCTATTTTGAAAATTATAAAAACTAAAAAATTGAATATAATCATCGATTTATTTAGCCTCTTGTAATATTTATGCAATTTATTAAAATTATTATTTCAACATATAATTGAAGAACAAACTGAAATGAGAATCATTAATTCTTAAACTTAATAATATTAATTACATAATTAATATTTTATCTTATATTTCTGTCATTGCATTTAACTGTATTTTTATACACTAATCTTTTACATAATAATATTATTATTAACATTTAATTATATTTTAAATTCAAAATTCGTTTTTGGTTATCGCTATGACCAAATTCACAAAAATAATTATATAAAATTAATGTCTTTAATAAAAAGAGAATGACATAGTGTAATTCAGATATTCAAAATTTATTTTAGTGAAGGTGTTTTAATTTATGATAAAATAAATGAAAAAGCTCATTTTATATTTGCTATCTTCCTTTTAATAAGTATGACTATGCCAACTCCAGCAATTAATAGCAACAAAACTACGATGAAAAATACTACAGCCCAACGAGGGGTTTCCTCTTCAATCTAAATAATAAAAATAAATCATAATTTTACAAGTATTTCGTTATCTTAAGCTATTCCACATTCCTTTTTATAATCAACTTATGTTGCCATTAATTTAGCCCGTAAATTTGAATATAAACATGTATTACCTTCAATAGAACACAGAGGCATGTATTCGCCATTATATAATACTTTAACATAGGGTCCAGTAATTGAATTATTGTATAGTTCAAATATCAAATTAAATGCAAAATCAACATACTAATGAATCCATAAATAATTTATACTTATGTAATGCAATGTGGGTGAGTTACATTTTTTTTTAGATAAATATCCGCCTAACATTAAACACTTGTCAAATTAAGAGCAGATAATGCAGCCAAAATTGTAGAATCATGAGAAGAGGATCCGTAATACTTAAAATTAGAAGTACCATTCAAAATACTATCAAAACGATCAAAAACTTATTTAAAGTAAGGAGTGGAATAAAGATTTACTTATCTAATATAAAAAATATAATGACATAGATACTCTTGTGTTTAGAACCTTTCAAGACTAAATGCCAAATTGGCGATATCATCAATTTGTTATAACGTTTCTGCTTTCAAATTCTCAGGCATTTTATCTCCATTGTATCTATTACAAATAAATGTGTCTCTATAATCAGAGAGTGTGATGAAATCATTCACTTGCTGATCTCCAGTGAAATTTAGTTATTCATTAAACTCTTTGTATAATTTTGAACTGTAATCATTAACCTCTTTGTATAGGTCTGTTTTTAGGTTTTGAGCAACCATTTCCGAACCTTTTGGGCATGAAATTGCAAGAGCATAATCAGTTTCTTTTTGTTTCGTATGTATGGGTATTAATTAGATTTTGTTTGGCAAGGCATTATTTCCTATTCCCGGAGGAGTAACAGCTCCCTTATTAGGAGGTAAAAGTAATGAAGCATTTTCATCCACAAAATGAGGTACATTAGGTCCTTCTGGATACATACCTTAAAGGTTGCAATAAGCACTTTACAGAGTCCTAGAGTTTGAGGAGTCTATAATTACCTATTGACATCTGAACTTTCTATGTATATTTCATTTTCATTAAACGTTGATGACAAAAGTGGGGTAACTTAAATATATCTTTTTCTTAACCATTTTCCCAATACATATTATTGTCTCATTCCTGTAGGTGTTAATAAAGCACTATCTCCTTTTGCTACGTTTAGATCACATTCATAATTGCAAAAATAAGGATTTCTTGCCCCATGTCTCCAAATTGCCTACACTGCAAGCATTTTATCTTAACAAAGAACATGATATAGAGTGAATACTAAAATGAGAATTTATTTCATGTAAATAATATCCAAATAATAAGTTTATTATGAAATGTGTAATATTCCTTAATATTTATAAATCATAATAACATTTTGAATATTTCTTGGTTTGGTTATAATATTCTATGTGTAATCTTCAATTCTTCCATCTTATTCTTCATGGCTTCAAAATCTTAAGGCTTTTTCACCTTCACTCCCACTAAAGCAGGCCCTTTTTCTCTATTGTTTTTTCTTGTGTATTCCAGATTGGTGACTTCATCCGTTGGACCTTAAGAATATATAAAAATTATACCTAAACATTGAATTAAGAATTGTTTTAATGCTCCTGGTTTTTAGAAAAAGTTTACAAACATGTAATATTGCAACCCTTAATGAATCTCTGACAACATTCTAATGTCTGTCATTCTTCCTAAATCATTATTGCTCCCAGAAATCAAACAAACTACTGTCTTACCTTTAATTTGATCTTTGAATTTATCAAGAGCACTAATAGCTAAGGCACCTGCAGGTTCAACTAGAATACCTTCCTCATTAAACAATTTCATCATAGTAGTGCATACATGACCTTCAGGTATCAAAACCACTTCCTTTAATACTGAATTTAATATGTCAAATGGCTTAGCCCCTGACTTTTTAATTGCAGCACCATCCACAAATGTGTTAATAGTTTCCAACTCTACTATTTACTATTACTTAATTGCTTCATACATAGAAGGAGATCTAAAATGATATTTATGTATTACCCTTCAGGTTCCACTCCAATTAATATAGTCTAAGGACTGACTTATTTGAAATACGAAGATATGCCTGCTCCACATCCTCCTCCTCCTACTGGGAAGAACATAAAGTCTACTTAATCTTCATTAATATCTTCCAAAACCTCAACAGCTATTGTTCCTTATCCTTCAATAATCTTTTCATCATCAAATGCATGAACATAAATCCCATTTTCAGTATTGCATTTTTCTCTACTTGCTCTGAAACTCTCATCAAATGTATCTCCTACTAACTCAATTTAGACATACTGTTTTCCCCAAGATCTTAAATTAGATGATATTGTTTACTTCACAGCATTAAACTTAATACTTGGAGTATTAGTAGGCATGTAAATGATGCAATTTATCTTCATTAGATTACAAACATAAGCTACACCTTGTGCATGATTACCTGCACTAGCACAAAATATTGTTCTATGTCTCTCATTTTCAGGAATTGAAATTATCTTATTATAAGCTCCTCTTAATTTATAGCTTCTTACAATTTGCAGATCTTCCTAAAATTATATATCGTCATACTCTTTTGATATAGACATTGGCTCCAAAATATTCAGATAGTTTCATTGACTTTTATGTGGGCGTTCTTGTTACTACATTCTTTAATAACTTATAAGCACTGTAGATTTTGGACACAGGAATCAATTTTGATATATTAGGAGGATGATTATAATTTGTTACATCCACTTATATAGATTATTTCTAATTGCTTTCTTGATTGTGAGAATGGGTATGAGTGACTTTCTTCTCAGGAGTATCAAAGCTGTCATTCTTAGCTAGATTTAAAGATGAGTGAGCCTTTTTTTAAATATGCATAAATTTAGAAAAAATAAATATTTCTCATTATTTATCTGATAAGTCCAAATTACAATGTTCTAAAATTCTTGATGTAGTAATATTTATATCAATATAGCAATAATTATTATTTTAAGAATGAGAAATTCTGACGATTACGATTATCAATATAAAATAGTTATCATAGGGGATTCAGGAGTTGGTAAAACTAACATTATGACTCAATTTACACGAGGAGAATTCTCAGAAGAAACTAAAACTACAGTTGGTGTAATAATTTATGATTTTTTAGGTGGAATTTGCCAATAAATAGCTTGTTATAGACGATAAAATCATCAAAGCGTAATTATGGGATACAGCTGGATAGGTAAATCGTTCTATTAAGTTCAGGAACGTTATCGAGCCATCATCTCATCCTATTATAAAGGTGCATCCGGAGCTTTAATTGTTTTTGATATTACAAAATAATCTACATTTGATAATGTTGATCGTTGGATGAAGGTACTATTCTTTTAATAAAATGTAGGAAGTTCAAGAAAGCACATCAAATGATATATCAATCATTTTGGTTGGGAACAAATCTGATCTCAGACATTTAAGATAGATCTCTTCAGATGTTTCATCTGCCTATGCTTCCAAACATAAGATTGCCTTCCTTGAAACCAGTGCTAAGGATGGAGCTAATGTTAATGAGGCATTTAACAAACTCATAAATGGTAAGGCTTTCATACTCAATGTAGAAATTCATTCTAAAAATAAAAACAATTCTATCTATACTCAAAAGAAGACTAATTAATAAATCACAGAAGCAGTCCAAATTGATAGTCAAAAGGATTCTGGTTGCTGTTGATCAATATCATCATCTATTATATTTAAGTTATAAATTTTATTCTTGCATATTCCTTTAATATGGAATGAGTGATGATACAAAACATAATAGTTTATACATTTTTGCCCTCTGTATTACAGATGTGCAACTAAGCTTTATTATCGATTGACATTTAATATGATGGTTTATTTGTACGTAGTAATAAGTGTATATAGTAATTTTGGTTTCTAAAGTACTTTTGGTTGATAATCGTGTGTTGATGAAGGGAGAAATAAATTATTAATTAAGAATAATTGATATGCTTTTGATATATTTGTAATATCTCATGCTCCCTTGAGTTATGATTTAACATAGTCTTGGAATCTTGGTTGGTTGAGCAAATCTAAAGCTTAATTGGCAGCATTAATCTCTTTGTTGTATTCAGCGACTGTTGCATTGTAGACGTCAGTAGCAAAGGCATAGTCGTCATTTTCAGCTTACAATTATCCATTAAGGGTGGCCAAATCTTCATCAAGTTCATCGATTAAGTCAAGAGTTTATTCTTATTTGGCTATTGGTTGTTAGAATAGAATGAATACTTGTGTTGGCTTCGATTTCAGCATTCTTAACAACAACAGCTCTTTAGAATTCAGCGTGTTCTTAGTTCAATGCAATGACTTAAGCGTTATAATCAGCAACTTAGTCAGCTTCGTCAGCAGTGATTTAATTGAGTGAATCAACCAATTCAACTCTCAAGTTATTGAAAGCAACAACAATCTATAGGATATTAGTTTAGAAATTACATCTCTAAGAGCACCTTAGTCAGCAAAGTTGGAGTCGACTGTGATTTCCAATAAGACTTTAACAAAGATTTGGAATTAATTGTGCTTTTTCAATGAGTTTTGGATTTTGGCCAAATTCTTTTAGACCTTCTTGACTTCAGCAAGAGATGGTGCTGTAATTGTGCTCAACAATTATAAGCATTCGTCAATAGCAGAAATAGCATCGTTGTGTTCAGCAACTTCAGATTCGAATGTTTCGTGATCATTTGCTCTTTAGACTGTTGCTTATTCAAGGGTTTGTCTGTTATGAGCAATGTTTTCTTATAATTATTCAAGTTAGGCAGCGAATCTTTCTCCTTATGGGATGAGGACGTTGTCATAGAAATCGTGGGCATTGAACAATTCTAATGAAATAGTAAAAGCGATTAAGTACCTCTTTCCTTATCTTAGATTTCTTATTCGAGTCTGGCGACTTCTCTGTTGTGGACATCTGTTCTTCTTTGGAATTCATGATGAACTCCAGCCAATTCCTCTTCCAATTCATCAACCTATAAACATATTAACTCTCATTAAGTACAAGCTTCTCAATCTCAGAGTTGAGCTCAGAAAGGATACCTCCTGTTGTTAAATGGAGTTCAGCATAGTTCAAGATGAATTTACCCCAACCAGATTGGTGGATCTAAGCAAATGCTTTTTGGTCTTTGCTTGTCCAAATTGAGGATTAGACGTTTATGGCTGTTGAGGCTAGTACTAACAATGCACACACGGCAACTTTGAACATTTATTGTAATTAATAATGAATTCCTTCTAAGGATTATTTTGCTAAAAAAAGGCAAAAACGAATTTTTCATTTCATATTAATTAAACATATAATCACATTATTATTCAATTTTCTTAGTGTTCATCATATTCATACTACAAAACTGCAAATAAGAATATATATATTATTATCATTTGATTTTCTAACTCTATTGTCATAGTTATCTAATTTTTTCTATTATTAAATTTGATCCGCCCTCATTTTTATATATAATTCTCTAAATCTTCTTCTTTCTGTCCTTCTACGCCTCCTCTTCGAACTAAAACCAGAAATTCAATTTCATATTACATATCCCATCAAACTATAGCCATTTCCACTCAGATAAACTCCTCTCCCTTTTATGACACCCAATCTAAATTCACCGTCGTAGTAACTGCAATCACTCCAAATCATAGTCCCTAACCCATCTGCTAGGTTTTTCCTTAATTCCCCTTCGTATCTATTTTATATCAATAATCAAGTATTACTTGCATCCATCTTTAAAATAGATAATGCCCTGACCATCTTTTTGTCCATCCTAAAACTATCCATAATATCGTTATCCATCTTTTCTAAACTCCTATCCCTCTCCAGATAAATTATTATCTATCCAAATCCCTAATTTTCTTCATCCTACATTACCTTTCACTGTCTTTTTTTATGTTTGGAACACTCCAAAACCATTGGCTCTTCCTTATTTAAATAAGCACTCAAAACTAATTATTTTTATTATTGATTGATACATATCTTTATTTGAATACACCATCCTACAATAACCCTCTAATTGATCATTCTCCCAATTTCTATTTTTATAAATTATCATCTATTTTACCCATCTAATATATTTCCTTATTCTGGCCAGATTTATATACCTGTACCAATTTTTCTACCTCCAACTCCTTAACCAAAATATATACTTCCATCATTTTGGTATATAATTTAGTATTTTGGGTTTACCTCATATAGAGGACCCAAACAATCATACATTTATCGAATTTCAGATGGAATTTTCCTTAATAATTCATTTATTCTCTCATCTTTCTATTGACTCGTTTTAAGACGGTTTTATATATCTTATTAACAAGTTAAATTATTTTTACATACTTTCTTATAAAGAAAGCTCAATAATTTCTTGAGATAATTTCTCTTACTCATTAGTTTCAGATTTATTGTCCATTAGAAATTTTAAAGAATAATATTAATTAACATTCACAAAAATCAATTAAAAGTAAGAATATATTAAAAGATAGCAATTTTATGATTTATATCAATTTAATATTCACAAGAAATGTCTCTAAAAGAATTTCTTAAACCTAATCGAATCACTTAAATAAAATTTTGATTTGAATAATTAATTAAAATCCTATCTCTCTTTCTCACATTCTTTCTTAAATATTAATGAAATTTTCAATAATAATATACTCAATCAATATATATAATAATGTTTCAACAGCTACTGAAGATTTTTTAGAGGAAGAATAACCTAATTTTATATAAGTGTTAAAATTATCATTTTCATTGTTAAGTAATTCAAATTTACTATTTTTATTACTCTTTCTTTTAACCAGGAGATTTGCATTTGCTCCAGTGATATCATCAACATCATTAAATTTAATTCAAATGGAATTCCCTTAATCTGAATATGCATCTATAGAAGCTATATGCTCTACATCTTGGATATTAAGTCCTTTATTGGTTGCTAAATACTTATGAAGAGGGAAAGAGATGACTTGGGTATTAAATGCTTATTATCTAATGTTTTTGGTTATGGCAACTCATTTTCTTTATGTCATTAGCTTTATTAAAATGGGAAGATATAATAAGTTTACTTAAATCATTTATGTAGGCTATAGAATATTATTTAGTTTGTCTTATAATATATAGATGAATTTAATAATTCATTTATTTCATGTACATTATCCGCATTCTTTTTGAGAATAGCTGATCCTACAATAGGCGCGACATATGCTACATTATTACTTAGCTGTTATTTATTTGGAACTTAGTTTTCAGGCTAGTGTTTCCTTATTCTTTTTGCATCTGCTTCCATATAAAACTGTTGTACTTTTAGGATGGCTATATGGATTAATTTACTTTACAGTTATCAAATATAATTTAATTAAATTGCAATTGTACATATATTAATTATATTCTTAACTAGCTTTCATTTAAAATCTTGGATGCTCTTGTGATTATAATATTAATATTAATTAATTAAGGGACTCTAATATTTTCTAATTTTCTATGATTCTATTCTTCATCAGATATCTTAATATTTTAAGTCTAAATAGTGAATTTATCAAAATATAAAATATTATTGATTTTAATGGATCAAAGAAAAACAATTTATGTTGACAATAAACCTGAAGAATATGTTTTTTAGGATTTTGATACTCTAGATAAAGAGTTGGAAAAGAAATACAAAGGAAAATGTTTTTTGTTGGATTATGTTTCAGAGGCTCTCATTACTCCAAAAAATATTGGATAGTTTTAAAAATTTACACTTTTTGAGATCAGTTAGATTAAACTTCTATAGCAATAGGTCTAAAATTTGAAGGAAGAGCTGAAATAATTGACAGATGATTAACTAATTTAAAAAGCGATTTCAGAAAAAACCTATACTAATGCTGGTAAAACTATTTTGGGAAAGTAGGATGAACAGGAGGGATTAAAGGAAAAAATTAGAATGTTAGAATAGGAAAATAAAAAACTTCAATCATTAGGAAATTAGTTGAAAGCTAAAGAATAAAAAATATAAGATCTTTCAACCTAAAGTTTACAATTTAGCAATTAAATATCAAATTTATAAAGTCAAAATTCTAAATTATCATATGAAAATTCACAATTAATTGCATCTAAATCAGAACAATAAGGGAAAAATTTATAGTGTTCAGATTTTTAATGCCAAGAAAACGAATTAAGGACGTAATTAGATCTTGCATTGCAAGAATTAAAGACTTCAAAATTATAGATTAATTAGTATTAAGAAGAATCAAAATATTTCTAAACAGAATTCAAGAAATCAAAAGAAAAAATAGATCATTTAACCATTGAATTACTTCAACTAAAAAAATAGATAAATGATTAAAAATAATCACCAGATGATTAAAACAAAGTTTCACAGAAACTATAATAAACTGTTTATGATCTTGAGAATTTTTATCATGATGAAGACAAATAAATGTAGGAAAAAAATCAAATAAAGTTCCTTGATAGTATCATTAAAAAATAATCGGAGGAAATAAAGAAGACTAGAGAAATCCTTCTTAAAACTGATGGAAGTTTAACTATTTATTAATCAAATTATTTTGAGATATTGTAAATAATTTTAAACGAACACTAATTTTAGAAATGTATCAAGGAAAAGAACTTTTTCTTTAGGCAAAATTGTATTTAAAAAACGAAATTCCATCACTCTTAAAGGATTCCTGAAGAAGAAATGTCTTTATTTGTTAATGGAAAATAAATATCTAAAAAGTATTCTCATCTTCAAATTTTGATTATGAAGCAATTGATATCATTTTAAATAAATTGATTGTATAGGGTTATTTTAAATTATTTTAAAGAGACCTTTAATAAAATAGCACTCAATAATTGAAACAAAATTGGAATTTGAAAATCCCAAAATAATTCTTAGTCAAGGATTAATCAGACAATTATTATGTTTATAAAGAGTGCCTCGAAATTAATAATAAAATTTTTAAACCCTTTTAAATTACATCACCAATCGAACAATATATTTCTTCATTTTTTAAATATTTCTATCTTGCAACATCTAAAAATTTGGCATTAACAGAATGTGAGTATGGAGAATCTAAAGATAACTCAGAAATCATAATATCAAGCATTATAATACATTCAAAATACGAAAAAGGATTTTCATGTTTTGATAAAGGTAGAGTTGAGGAATTTGAAGAAATGCTTAACGTTCATGATAAAACAAATTAAAGATATTGGTCTGATGAATTAGAATAACTGGCTAAAAAAGTTTGGAATGACCCATATATAATAAATATGAATATGATATAAATTTTATCTTCTATTCATAGATTTATATTTTGACAGTATTAAATTATTGTAGCTTGAATATTTTCTTAATAATTTCAGCTTATTCGTAAAGCTCTTTATTTTTAAAAATAATAGTTTTCTTTTGTAGATGAATATTTATTAACTAGAGATAGATTTTAATTTAACATAAAATGAAAATAGTTATTCCAAAGTTGTATATTCTTATTAATTATGTATATAAAAGATTTATTCTAAAGATAGCCATTTTTATTCAGAAGTCATTCAATTAATCAATATTCCTACAGACTTTTTAAAATTTCTCTCCCTAATAATTTCTACAATAAAGCAATTCTCTAGATAAAGCTCTTCCTTATTTGGTATCCACAAAGTTTTCAAATCTCAAAAATATATATTAATTTAATTTATTAAAAATTTTTTGAAAAATAAAATTAATCATTCTTATTCTAAATTAATACGGTAAGCTCTTAATATTTAGTTTTCTCACATTATTTTTTCAATTAATCCTAAATGTGTTTGGTTTACTAAATTTTCTTAAATCTTTTTCTCTAATTTGGAGTTTAGAAACAATCACATTAATTCAAAAAACTAAATATATATATAAATATCGGTCTCTAACGTCTATTTTAGAGTTTCAGTTAAATTAAGCAGATATTCTAATAGATTTAATATAAATGATTGTGGAATTGATAATAATTAAATGGAAAAGCTAATTTTTATTAGAAATATGTAAAAACCTGATGATAAATGTTTTACTTAAATTTTCAACTATATTGTTCTAAAGTGTTATTTATTAATAACAAAAATGACTTCTAAATGATTGCCAATTTGGATTAATTAGATTGTTTAGTTATTGTGATAGTGTACGAAATTCTTCATTTTGTCATGACCTTATTTATAATTATGTAATATCCATGATATGAGTATTCCTCACTTTTAGACAAATCCATAAATCATCTCTATTGATTCTACAATTAGATTAATGTAGGAAAATAGAAAAAGAAGTTTAGGAATAATAATCAGTAAATGTGAAGTGACTATTAAATTAACCAAAACGGAGACAATGAACAATATAGAAATGAGATATAAACATTATTATAAATTGATTTACCTTAGGGTATATTTCTCTCATAATGAAATCCTTTTAGACATTTTTAAGTATAATTTATTGAATGCTAAGCATTTGATTATTTGAGATTATGAACTCAAACTATAATTATTAAGTCTATTAGAATAATGGAAATTGCTATGTTTAAATAGTCAAAATGAGAATAAATTGAGTGAAAATTATGATTGACCAGTATTTAAAATACCTTTGATATTCTTCTGAATAAAGTATAAATATATCTTAATTTTGTTAATAGTATTTGAGAAGTACCATTATTTAATATAAATTTCAAAAATGAGATTTAACAATAAATAATATTAACATACAATAAAAAACTTTAATAAATCTAAAATATTTTGGAGTTCTGTCTAAATATAATTAAATTGTAAGTATTGTTTCATTGTGATCTAATCACAATTGGTGAAAATTTTAAATTGTTATTTATAAAATGAAATCAATAATTTATATTACAATGAGTGTGGATATAGAATTCAGGCTAACATAGTGTATTTATATATACAATTGTTTGAATAAAGTGTAAGACTATGGTGAAAGTATGAAAATCAAAGATTTTGATAGGAAGTGTGGATAAATCTAAGTTAATTAATAAATAATTAGTGATTATTGTATTATTAAAACGAAGAATTTTTATTCCGTTTTTGGTATTAATAAATTAATTATGAGAACTCTTGTTGCCCTTTGCTTAGTGGCTGCTGTCTTCGCTATTGACACAAACAAATTTGCCGTTCTCCTCCAAACTGGTACTAGAGGAAACGATGCTGTTGAATCAGTTTACAACCTTTTGAGAGATTTGAAAACAGAAAATGTAAATGTCTAAGCTGCTGCTGATAAGAAGAATAATACAGATGAGGGTATGATATAAATTAAACAATAGAAATCTTTTCTTAAGTTATTGGTGACTTGACAAACGTTGCTTCCCTTAACAAATAATAATGGGAAGCATTGGGTGCCGTTCGTACTGATGTTGAAGCCTAAATTAGAGTATGCTATTTCCACTTAAGATTTAGGATGGATATTCATGGTTGGCATGGGCTGAAGCAAGACTTGCTGAAATTGAAAGAAGAAATGCTTAACTCTAAGACTAAAGATGTTGGGCTAATGGACTCTTTGTCAAATCATTGGCTGATCATGGTGATGCAGTTGCAGTTGTTTAACTTTTATCATAAGACGTTGCTGGATGGCTCACAAACAATGCTGGTGTTGAATTAGTTCAAAAAGCTGAAACAATCGCTGACAAATTGTCTGCCTACAGTCACCTCTTCCAATAAGATGCCATGCAAAAATTCTAATCACTCGCTGAAGTAAAGAGAGACGGAACAACCGGAGAACAAGTTCTTGCCATCTTATCAGACTTATAAGCTGAATTAGAGGCAACCCTTGCTACACTCTAAACCTAAGAAATCCATGCCGCTTTCGCACTTGCTAAATACGTATCTGACACTAATGCCGAAGTTGCTTGGTTGAACTCTGAACACGAAAGAAGAACAGGTCTTGTTGAAAAATTAGAAACTGTATGAATTGTGTTTAATTATTTTATAGCAACTCCCAGCAGTTCTTGCTCAATAAGCTAAAGCTCTCAAATTATGGAAGGACTCATTGAATGCTGTCGCTGGTGCCACTGCTGATTTGGAAGAGAAAAGAGAATTCTATGCTTCAGAAACTGCAAGAAGATAAGGTATCTAATATATTTAACCCTTTAATAGAGGAGAATGCTATAATCGATGTTGTCATCTAATTGTTCAAGGATCAAGTTAGAGCCTTAGCCTCATAAACATCCCTTGGAAGAAAATGATTAGATTATTAATATTCAATTTAAGAATAAGCATCAATACATAAATTCATTTAATTATATATATATATAATTATTGACTCATTCATTTATTGGAGAGTAATCATATTCAGCTTTATTATGCATAACCAAAGTGTCACCAACGAAATAAAAACTATCTGATTTTGTATCAAAAGGATTTTCTATCATTAATTATTTCTTTAATAAATAAATATCCTTACAATATCTTCAGCAATCTCTGGAATCGTATAGATATGTTCCCATGTATTAGTTGAATTTGGAATGCAAAATGGAAATTAGAATTCGTAGCTCCTCAATAAGACATTCCTGAAATAATGCCTCTCAATAATAGTAAAGTTTTTGATGGGTTTATCCCCTATAGAAAATGTGAGTTGTGCTCCAATCGTTTTTAATTCAAAAAATTAAGGACCAAAGTGATATTTAATTCTTCTGGAATCATCTTGGAGTGCTGGTGGCAGATTTTCTGATCAGATTAAATTGAAAAATTTACCAATCTACTCTTCATCTGGATCTCGCTCAACCTCAAAGAGAACTTATCCTGATTCCATATCTCTAATTCTGAATTTTAAAAATTAGATATTATAAATATTTGCAGATATCGGACACAAAAATCTATTCAATAAATCTATCTATTACTCTTTTGTTATTTCCTATAAATTTCTTACATAATCCTAATTAATTGTCTACCCTGCCTGCATTAAAATTTAAATAATATAATATTAAAATATTTATCATATTCAATCTTTTTTTATAACTCTAAAATCAACCAATATCTCGAAATTTGCAAATTCTATAAGCATCTTCTTGCAACTCTTTCATATTTTCCATTTTCTTTTACTTTTAACAAGCTCCTCCTTCTTCAATATCCTAAACATTATGTTGTTATATAATTTTCACACTAAGACAAATGCCCATTTTCAATCCAATCTCATATGATACTTTTCTTGCAAAATAATAAAACATTAAAAGTTTTAAAGTGCTTATGGATGGAAAATATACATTAACGATCCTTCTTTATAAAAAAGGAACCCATATTTGATATCTATATTTGATCTTCATTTACAGAGATACTTTAAATCATTGAGGATTAATGTTACTTTCTGTAAATTTTAGAGTTTAAACATTTCAATTTGAATATTAATGTACTTTATGTTTAATAATCATTTTCTTGCAGCTAAAGCTACTTATGTTGCAATTCTATTTAAGTCTTATTGTCCTTCCTTGGTGACAATTCTTGATCCCTTCTTTAAAAGTGATTTATTGTCTTTCTTTAAGACCTTAATTGATTCTAATTGTTAGAGCAAATATCTAATAACTTTTCCTGATCCTGATTCATGTTTTCCATTATCATTGACTGATCCAAACATGTGTGTGAGATTTCCAACACCCTAAGTTAGGTATTTAAGAATACAATACCCAATGACCTCTTACATAAATCTTTCTAGCAAGTGCTGCAGCTCTTACATACATCCAGTCTTAGTCTATAGGTGAGATTTCTTTTCCAAGGCCTGTTTTTACAATTGATGCCCATTCAGGGATTTTAATTTTATTATTTTTCTTTAAGTACTCTGCATATCCACGAATGAAGTCTTAAGCAGGAACATCCTTTCATTAAATTAAGTGTAAATACCTTCACAGTATAAAATGGTGCTGACATCCTATGATAAAAAATTAAATAAATATTTTTTTGAATATTTCTTAAGATTCTTTTAATTATTAAAAAGACCTTAATCCCATCTCAAAGATAAAAGGTATATGCTAAAATTATTAAAATATTTCTATGATAATTTTACTAGAATAGTTAGGAATAAATATACATTAATTAGGAGGTAAATGATATTAAACAGATATTTTAAAACAAAAAAGTTGGAATTGTTATAATCTCTCAAGAGGATCAAATAATTTTATTTAATAAAAAAAATAGTATATGAGAATAAATCATAATTCTGAATTGATATGCTATAACCATAAAATCAGAATAAAATACACGAACAAGGCTTGTATTCATAATGAAAATTACTTCGAGGGTCTTTAAGTAGAGATAAAGAGAGGAAGAATAAAATGATAATTATTTGGACTCAATATTAAAGGATGGATTTGTATTTGAGACTTGATGACTAAATGAGGAGGGAGATATTTAGGAAAGTTTAGAGATGGATATTTATATAATTAGATCGTAATTAATAATAATTAATTGTATATTATAAGCTTTTGATCGATCCGTTTTTAAAACATTAATAAAAATATATGCAAAAACTAGCCATCTTGACATTGGTTGTTGCCATTGCAGCTTCAAAGTTTGTTGATACTCACGCATCCTTGGCTCAGATTGATTCTGATCCATTTGGAAATGTTGTGTTGTCAGCAATTAAGGCTCACATTCAAGCCCAAACACCAGCCAACGAAGTTAATATGTTATTGAACGGTGTCGCCGCTGGATTGTAATAAGATTAAAATGATCACGACCACGCTTTCGAACTTGACACAACTACCAACAACAGAGTAAGAATATTTATTAAGAATATCCTAGATTGTCGAAGATTTGGAAAAGGAAATCTTATATCACTAAAATTAAATCTCATCCAACACTTAATTGAGAGATGACACAATCGAAGCTTTGGCTGTTTCTGAAGAAGACATCAGAGTCACAATTCAAGACATCGCAACAAATGAATAAACTTATGCTAGAGAAGAAGCCACAAGAAACTAATAACACGAAACCTTTGTTGCTAAGGTTGCTGCCATTGATGATGTTATTGATGCCATTGATGAAGCTGCCAAATTAATTCAACATTTGAGTTTAGGTGCTTCATTCGTCTAAGTCAAATCAAAATACGATACAATTCACAAGAGACTTACAGACAACACATCCCACTCCCAACTCTTACAAGTATTTAGATTCTCATATATTTTTCTAGCCAGTTGTTGCTGCTCTTACAGAATTAGCCACTCACGGAGTTAATTAAAAGGCTTTAACCAAGATTGCTTAACTCTTGAGCGAAATCAGATAATAATTAGTCTAAGAAAAGGCTGCTAAAACTGTAATCATTCAACCCTATAATTAAGGACGTCGAAGAAAGATAAGCTGCTCACTGGGCTGAATTCAGCGTTCACTTGAGTAACGAACACACCAGATTAGTCGAAAGAAAGGCCTAATTGGAAGTCTAAATCTAAGAATAAAAGGACACCATTGAAGATGCTCAATCTTGGATCGAATTCCATACCTTAGAATTAGAAAACAGTGAAGAAAGACTTGCTGGATAATAAGCATGGTATGCAGTCTAATCAGAAATCTATGAAACTCAAACTGCTGAAAGGTATCAATATACAAAAAACAAATAGAGCTGCTTAAAACGAAATCGTTGACAGACTCCAAGAACACATTAGCGAGAAATTATCAACCACCGCTCAATTCATCAGCAAGAGAAATTGATTCATTAAACAATACAATTATGGACAATTGTTCTATTATACATGTTATTTATACTCTTTCATATTTTTTTCTCTCTCTAAAGTTTTGTATCATCTTAAATTAACAATTTTATACAGAATATTAATAAGTAAATTATATGTTGCAATGTTTTATAACGTTTTTATTAAATAATGTATTTAAGTTGATTAAATTTTTAGCCTCATATGGCAAAGAATATACCCCTAAATGCAATTTTAATAGATATATGAAAGAAACTATGAATTAAATTCATTTTGAGTTATATATAAATTATATCTTTACATACAACCTTAATACCGCCACTCCCATATGTATTATGTTAAACTGTCATAATTTATCAAAGTAGGAATTTAATTGAATTTAACTTTTATAAGAATAATATTTTTAAGAAGCCTTTCTTTAAAACAATTTTAGTTTTAGAGTGAAATACAGCAAAATTTTCCCTATTGCGTCAAGTTTTAAACGATTCTAATTAATTCTATTTAGTCGTTACAAGAACCAATTGACTTTGTTGTAGGATAAATATTATATTAATTTTTTTACTTGTATTTATTTATTAACTGTGATTCATAAATTGGGAGGATCGATCATTTCAATTTTTTATTTTTGAAAATCTGATAATTGCTAAGCCAAATAACTTGTAGTTAAATTATTAATTAAAACTCACAAATCCTTGACATTAGTCTATCTGACTCTTCTTTCTCACGCAGGGGGAAGATGAGCACTGATAACTCAGAACATCCAAAAAGAAAATTAGTTTAAATTGGATCATAACTTAAAATAGTAGCATTGCCTAGATATGGCAAATACTCAAATTTAAATTTAATTATTCATCTTATCTATATCGTTACTCTTGGATGACAACAATGAATTAATCTTTCTGGAGCTATCTTGGTATGATGACAGTTGTAAAATATTAAATTGTTTATAAATACTAATTGAAAATGTAATATTTTTGTGATTTACTTAGCTCTCAATAGTTTTAAGAAGTTCAATAAGTGTTGAGGGGATTGACAGTCAGTTAAAAAGGTGACAAGTAAAAAATTAGAGGTTACTTAGATGGTGATTTGTAATTAAAGCTGGATTTATCTTGAATATTGAAACTCTAAGAGATAAAGTTATTGGATTTATCAATAAAGTGAAGGAATTATTTAAATTAAAATAATGTATTTTAAATTAATTTGTTAATTTTCTTTCAACTCAAGTTACTATACTAAATCACTAACTATTAACGAAATGTTAATGCCATTTAAAATTTATTACAAAATAAGAAATAAGCATTATTTTAAGAGTTTCAAAGGAAATAAGAATGAAAAATTTAAGTTATAAAGTTAGAAAATCCTTGTATTAGCATTCAACCTTTTAATTAAGAAGAATGGTCGAGTTAGTAAAGAATACCAATATTTGATTCCTTCAATTGGTAAAGGATAATATTCTGAAATACGCAAAGTAATAATAAATAGATTAATTAGAAATTCAATGAACTAAATCTAATTAATTTTAAAAAATTATTACATATTATAGTATGAATTATTAATTGAGAAATAAAATAGTAAAATAGTGGTTTAAATTCTATTGCAACTTGTTTGGGATTAGAAAATTGATTAGTAATATGAGACACCCAAGGAGTTATGTATATTTTTAGATGCGTTCAATTCTGCTAGACTTTTAAATAGGCTGGTTTTGGTAAAATTTTTGAATCCATTTGAAGGTTAAATGGAATAATTAAGGTTGAAATATATTAATTAGTTTGATAGATAATTAATAAAAACATAAGAGAAGACATTTGAAAGAGTAGTTAAATTTGAATTATTTGAAGTAATTGATGTATAATACAAAAATGAGAATGCTTCTAAGGAATGCCTGCTACATTGTTGTTAGTAATATGGTAGAATCATGCAAGAGTAGAGAAACATAGGAAATTCTTGTCTAAGTCTCAAAAAAAAAACTATGATGAAATCCATTCTGAAAGAGTTCTTGAAAATCTTTGTAACCGCTATCAATAAGAGGATTTCATAGCTTGTTGAATAATACGAGGATAAAAGACCTTTATCGAAAATTTCTAGAATCAAGGAAGGAATTTATGGGCTAAGAATCTTAATTCAGAAGTATATTATAAAAGTTGTACAATATTAAGTGATAAATCTAATATTAAAAATATCTTTTTAAACATATAGTAATGTTGCATCATTTATGGAGATNATATCGTTACTCTTGGATGACAACAATGAATTAATCTTTCTGGAGCTATCTTGGTATGATGACAGTTGTAAAATATTAAATTGTTTATAAATACTAATTGAAAATGTAATATTTTTGTGATTTACTTAGCTCTCAATAGTTTTAAGAAGTTCAATAAGTGTTGAGGGGATTGACAGTCAGTTAAAAAGGTGACAAGTAAAAAATTAGAGGTTACTTAGATGGTGATTTGTAATTAAAGCTGGATTTATCTTGAATATTGAAACTCTAAGAGATAAAGTTATTGGATTTATCAATAAAGTGAAGGAATTATTTAAATTAAAATAATGTATTTTAAATTAATTTGTTAATTTTCTTTCAACTCAAGTTACTATACTAAATCACTAACTATTAACGAAATGTTAATGCCATTTAAAATTTATTACAAAATAAGAAATAAGCATTATTTTAAGAGTTTCAAAGGAAATAAGAATGAAAAATTTAAGTTATAAAGTTAGAAAATCCTTGTATTAGCATTCAACCTTTTAATTAAGAAGAATGGTCGAGTTAGTAAAGAATACCAATATTTGATTCCTTCAATTGGTAAAGGATAATATTCTGAAATACGCAAAGTAATAATAAATAGATTAATTAGAAATTCAATGAACTAAATCTAATTAATTTTAAAAAATTATTACATATTATAGTATGAATTATTAATTGAGAAATAAAATAGTAAAATAGTGGTTTAAATTCTATTGCAACTTGTTTGGGATTAGAAAATTGATTAGTAATATGAGACACCCAAGGAGTTATGTATATTTTTAGATGCGTTCAATTCTGCTAGACTTTTAAATAGGCTGGTTTTGGTAAAATTTTTGAATCCATTTGAAGGTTAAATGGAATAATTAAGGTTGAAATATATTAATTAGTTTGATAGATAATTAATAAAAACATAAGAGAAGACATTTGAAAGAGTAGTTAAATTTGAATTATTTGAAGTAATTGATGTATAATACAAAAATGAGAATGCTTCTAAGGAATGCCTGCTACATTGTTGTTAGTAATATGGTAGAATCATGCAAGAGTAGAGAAACATAGGAAATTCTTGTCTAAGTCTCAAAAAAAAAACTATGATGAAATCCATTCTGAAAGAGTTCTTGAAAATCTTTGTAACCGCTATCAATAAGAGGATTTCATAGCTTGTTGAATAATACGAGGATAAAAGACCTTTATCGAAAATTTCTAGAATCAAGGAAGGAATTTATGGGCTAAGAATCTTAATTCAGAAGTATATTATAAAAGTTGTACAATATTAAGTGATAAATCTAATATTAAAAATATCTTTTTAAACATATAGTAATGTTGCATCATTTATGGAGATACACATTTAATACTAGCAAGGCCCTTTCTTTGGAATAGTTGACAAGATGGGGATTACATAATACCTAAGTTGTTAGAAATGCCAGTACTCCAGAATTGTATGAAATTGCTGCCATGGATCCATTGTCTCCAGATCCAGAAACAAGACCAGGCTCTATTTCCAGCACAGGAGCCATGGTAGCCTATTCTGGAAGAAGAACAGGGTAAAGAATTGAAAAAATAATATTTTAGTCGATCTCCAACAGATAAGAGAGTTGTGTTTGATGAATAAACTGAACATGAAATATGGTGGGGAAGTGTCAATATTCCAATTCCCAAAAAGTCTCATAATCTTTTGGAATAAGTTGCCCTTTAGTTTTTAAACACAAGGCCAAGAGTAAATTTATTTGATAATTTTTTTAGTTATTTGTTGTTGATGGATATGCCGGATGGGATCCTCACAGCAGACTTAGAATTAGAGTATTTTGCACAAGAGCATATCATGCATTGTTTATGTAAAATATGCTTATCAAACCAACAAATGAGGAATTAAAGAAAGATTTCAGCGATGATGTTGATTTTCATATTTTCAATGCAGGACCAATGTCAGCTCCAAAATTAGTTGAAGGAGTTGGATCAGAGACATGCGTCTCTGTCAATCTCACTGATAAAAAGATGGTAATTTTAGGAACACAATATGCTGGGGAAATGAAAAAGGGAGTATTCGGAGTTACACATTATATGTTCCCAAAATAGGGAATCCTTACACTTCATAGTTCAGCTAATGAGGGAGTTAATGGAGATGTTACATTACTTTTTGGTTTGAGTGGAACCGGTAAAACCACATTGAGTGCAGATCCAAAGAGAAGATTAATTGGAGATGATGAACACGCATGGTCTGAAAATGGTATTTTCAATATTGAAGGTGGTTGCTATGCTAAATGTGTAGATCTAAGCTATGAAAAGGAACCAGAAATATTTAATGCTATAAAGTAATAATTAGATTTATTCAAGATTCGGATCAGTCTTAGAGAATGTTGAATTCTTGTCTAAAGACTCAAGAGAAGTAGATTATCATAACATTTCAATTACAGAAAATACAAGAGTCAGCTACCCCTTGGATTTCATTCCAGGAGCTAAGAATCCAGCTGTTGGAAGCCATCCTAAAAACATTCTATTCCTCACATGTGATGCTTATGGTGTATTACCACCTGTTTCATTATTAACACCAGAATAGGCTATGTATCATTTTATTTCAGGGTACACAGCCAAAGTATTTGTTAATTTTCACATTTCCTTAGGTAGCCGGTACAGAAATGGGAGTCAAAGAGCCAGTTGCAACTTTTTCAGCCTGTTTTGGTGAAGCATTCTTACCATTGCACCCAACACTCTACGCCACTATGTTAGCTGAAAAAATGAAGTCACATGGAACCAAGTGCTGGTTGGTTAATACTGGTTGGTCAGGTGGAAAATATGGTATTGGCAAGAGAATGTCTCTTAAATATACAAGATCTATTATAGATGCTATTCATACTGGTGAATTAGTGAACGGTGAATTTGAAAAATTCGAGATTTTCAATTTATAAATCCCCAAGAAAGCCAGTGGTGTACCTGAAACCATCCTTCATCCTAAAAATACTTGGATGTATTTTACTTATTTATCTTATAGCAACAAGAGTGAATTTGAAAGAACTTTAAGAAATTTAGCTAATAAATTCTAAAAGAATTTCTAAAAATATGCTGATAAGGCCACCCCAGAAATCATTAATGCTGGACCATAAGCGTGATAATGTAACAATTATTATATAATAAAATATAAATCCAAATTCATTTTTTTTATAAAACTTATTTATTTTTAACTAAAAAACATATCTAACTTACTAACTATTTTTGATATTATATGTTAAAAATCTTGTTTAAATATCAATTTTCACCTTAAGTAATTTTGAACCATATTTTTAAATTTAAAATAATGATAATTTATTGTTAAGATAATTAAACTCATGAAGTGATAATAAAATATGATTAGTCATTTAGATTGATCAGAGATGGATGTAAGGTTAGAAATAGAACTGAAAAAAGAGTTATAAATTGTTAAATTAAACAGAACTGATGAGAAATTATAATAAACCTATTTATCTAAACTTTGTTATGGGTAATACTCTTAAAAAATTCAAGTATTAGATTATTCATTAAATAAATTTGTTAAATGATAAGATTTTGGATTAGAATTTTTGAATCAGTTTATTTATGATCATTTTATTTTTTTATTTGAAACTTTAAATCTTAGTTAATCTATTGAGTGTTATATGACCTTGTTGAAGATATATAATTTCTACCTTGATAAATTTCATGTACTTTATTGTAACACCAAAATATTAGGTGTTATTTAAGTAAATAAGATTCCAAAAACTTATGTAGACTTTTTACTTTGTCCTACTGTTTTACTGAGTTGATGTAGATTTTCTGAAAGTTGCATAGTTCGAAAAACCTAGTCAATTAAGGAAGCGATTCTAACCAATTGGTTCCAAAAGATTGTTTAAGAATCAATTATTTTTGTTTCTCTTCTTCCATACAACATTTATTCAAATTAGAGTTCATAATATTTGAGTTTCGTTCTATACAAGCTGCTAGAAAACGTATTGCTATCGCATTTTTAATTTGAGATTTAAGTTCATACAAAGATGAAAACCCATTGAGTTTGATAAGTTCTAATAAGAGTATTTGTCTTCATAGGAAGGATAATTCTCCGATTTACTTGATATGTGTAGCTCTATCTAATTTCTAAATGTTTAAGCAGCATATTTCTTGTTAATGATATAAGTTTAAATAAGAATGGAAGTTTAAATATATAAAGAAAAATTTTAGAAATTCGAAATAATTTATTCATAAAATTAATTATTGGAATTTAATTTCATTAACCAAATACTTTCTTGATTAATTTTGCGTTGTTTTTCTGAGAAAATTATCAATTTAATTCTCTCTATTTCTTCTTAATCAAATATAACTACTAAACCGAGGAGATTGGGTTATTTAAATTGAATAAATAGAAATCAGTTAAAATTTTCCGAAAACTCGTTCCAAAATTCAGAAGACCCTAATAAATAATCAAATTAAAATAGATGGTTATCACATAACATAAGTGACTATATTTTCCAATAATTTGAAAATACTATTACTGTTTTATTCAGCACAAGTTATCCAAAGTAAAAATGGCACTTATTTTAGTATGGTAATAAATTGAATAAAGAAAAAAAATAATGAAATAAGTTTTATAAAAATTAAAAAAAAATTGAAATTAATAATAATAATAATAAAATTGATGAAAATAAATCTATAAACAATAAAATTCACGATATGTAATATAAAAATGCACCATGTATATCACTTAAAAAGAACAGAAAATTAAATCACAGATCATTACATATTATAGCTTTGCCATTCTTCATCTTATAATTTATCTTTATTAATTTCTAAACATGTTAAAGAGTATAAGATTACAGATTAAAATATTAGATTTATAAGTATAAATCCTTCGAAAAATTAATAAAATCAAACAGTTTCATTTAACATGCTTTCCATCAATTATTTCAAATGATCGATTGTCATTTCATTATTACAGTTATAAGAGTGTATAACATTATTTACAAGATCTTGATTTAAGAGTTGTTTCTTTTTAGATTAGCTAAGCACTCTTTTTTAATTTGATTTTGATTGTCTGGCTTTAGAATTTTTCATTCTTGGATTCTATTTTATCACCTTCCTTTTACCTTCATCGTCGCTAACTTCCAAATTCAGTTGTTGTTAATCATTATTCTATGACTCTTCTTACAATTTTTCTGATTGAACTGAACTTTCCACTTTTTGATAATTAACAGAAAAATTTTTTTCATTTTCCATTTAGAGTGCTTTATCCAAAGCCTCATTGAAATTGCTTGTTGATTAAATTGCTTATGGCTTCATTTCTTAACAAATCTCCTATTATAATAAATTTTATATTATTTAAACTTACTAGTAACCATTTTACAGAGAATTTAATTTAGAGATATCAATTTCTTAACTTCTGTCCTTTTCTTATAATATTCTTTTGAGCATGTTTTGTTCTTTTTATTTTGCATTATCTATTTTGTGTTATTATTAATTTTATTCTTCTTTCTTCATTTAATTCCATTTATGAAGTGATTTCTAATATACTTCCTTTTAATCCAAATCACTAGATTGCAGCAATTTATCATTTACATAAAATAGAAACTTAAGCGCCTTTTAAATTGTAATCAATTTTATTATACTTCTTTGCAAGTTGATATTCTTTATTTTGAGTTTTAATCTTGCTCTTCATAATTCAATTAATCTTGCATACAAAAAAATAATTAATTATATTTTAGTTAAAAAAAAAAGTATAAAAAAATGTTGAATCATACTTTTAGTCTTCCGAATTAAGTTGTAATCATGGCAATACTTTCAACATTGCCAACTACATTAGATTTTATAGTTTGACATAGAGCAACAACTCATCTTAGATGCCTTCTCAAGTGGAAAAAATTATTGATTCATGATTACTTTGATGCCAATTTTCATGTTTGGTTCTTTTGTATACAAACCACAAATTTATTAAATTCAATAAGTTTTGTTAAATTCAAAAGGAATAGCAATTAATCAAAATTTTCAATATTCAATTCTGTATTTTAATTCACTTCGTGCATTTTCGATAAAAAATTATCAATAGTTAATTATTAATACCTTCTAAGAATGGGTTTTCCACTATAAATTAAACTCATTAATGGGTGACTTTTTATGAACCTATTTTTTCAAAGTATACCAAGTTTCTCCAATTAGAATTAGTTCTGGGCGGTATGGAGTAAAAAATATACTATTAATTTCTTTAAGAACACTTCTTAAATAAATTTACTGTGATGAAATGGAATGTTATCCATAATTATTACAAATTTCTTATTTTCATAAACATCAATAGCTTTACTGATTAACCCTGTCATAAATTGGTCATGTACCAATTGATAGGCTCAACCAATACAAACTCGGAAGCATGCAACACAATTTTATCCAATGGCTTCAATACCAGATTGAGGTAAATTCTTCTGATAAAAGGTAGTTTTATCTATGCATATTAGCTAATAGCTATTATTAACAAAAGGATAATAAATGTTAATTATAAAGTAGACTGATAGGTTTTCTATTTTAGGTAAAATACTTAACTTCTGAGTTTTGCTTGCCCCACAAATCTTTAATAATTTTTGTAATGTTTTAAGAGAGACAACATACTATCTAATTCAAGTTCCTTGAGAAAAATTAAAGCATGTTTATGAATTCCACAAATCAGTTTAAATTTTATTGATCAACATATTACCTTAATCAATCTTGGTGATTCTGAATAAAAAGAATGACATTTAAAAGCCATTTCTTTTCAGGCAATTTCTCACAAGAGAACCCAAAGTCTGTTCTATTTTGTTTGCATGTAGTTCAAGGTTCTGAAACAATTTTGTTTTTGAAACTATCTCAAATAATTACCCATCTCAAAGTTGGCTTGTTTCAATTCTTAAACATTTAGTCAAAGCTATTTACATCCAAAAGTTGCTGATATGTCATTGAATTATGAAATTAGTTTTAATCAAATGTATATGAGGGTGAGTGTAGAATTAAATTTGATTTTAAAAAAATAAGAAAAATAATTCCGCAATATATACTTCTTGAGCCTATATAAAGATATATTTGTTGTATTGATGTTGTTAATAACAAAAATCAATAGAGCATTATATATATTTTTCAAAAAATTTATTTAAATAATACTTTTTCATAACTGAGAACAACTATAGTATCTTTATCTTTTCTTAAAAATATACTTCCTGTTTAATTTTAGAATGTTGTTGTGGAATAGACATTTCTTTGGTTAATTTTGGATTTTTCTTCTACGTTTTACTTGAAAAAAATTAAGAATCTTTCTTAACTATTAAATTGTTAATTTATGAAACAAACTTGAATTATACTGATGATGATAACTCACTTAATTAGTTGTATATTAGATATAAATTATTAAAATAGAATTTCAATAATCCCTTTCCCTTTGTTTAATGATTTCTTAAATTTCAGTCACCTTCTTGGTTTTTTTATGATTTTCACCATATTGCATTAGAAATTCTTGATAAGCCAATCCCATATAATGCCTATACTGTTCTTCATTGTTCAACTTTTTGTATACAAAGGCTTAGGCCTATAAATTCTAAGTGATAGGGATAATGTATAATTTGATGTTATTGTCATCGATGTGCTTTCGGAAATATTCTTCAAATAAATTAACTATAAACCTTCAATTTATTTCAGGATTTGTAATGCCTCTTTAAAAATTACCTCCTCTGGAAGATTTTCGCTTGAAGGAGTGCCATATTGATAATATCTCTTTAAATATTTATACCAACATTAAGAAGTCTAAGATAATATACGCTTGATATTACTTTTGCATAAAATTATTCAGCTTCTGAGATTTATTTCTTTTATTGGAATATTTATCCCATATAATAGTAATTCAGACTTGTTTGTGGATGTTCTGGATCAGAACTGCAAGAATCTGTATAAATCTAATCAAAATTTAGAGAAAATAATTACTCCTATTGTTAATTCTGCCAAAGCTTTTTTGTAATCCTTCTAAGCAAAATAGAGTTTTGAAAAGATTTTATGCAACTGGCCATTATACTCAGCATTCTCCTTTTCTGATATATCTTAGCCCATTTTGTTGCCATCATCGCTTCCTTTTTCTTTTGGTTTATTGTATTGATACAGATTCCAATAAGCTGCCTGGAGAAATTCTTCAGCCTTTTTCAATTTGCCTTCTGCTATATATGCTTCTGCTTATATAAATAATCCAGGAAGAAGAAGAACACTGTTTTCACCTCCCAATATCTCTTTATATTCAATCATGGCTTTATGGACTTCTTCTGTGGCCTTTGGCATAGGATTAAAGTTACATTGAGTTTATTTTCTAAAATTGCTTAACGAGCCTATTCAACAATTTTTTTGAGTGCTTCCTTAGCATCCTCTTTACTTTTTTATGTCTTGTTTTTATCCTTCTCCTTTTCTGGGATTTGGGATTCCTTTAATTTTTAAGAAGAATTCATATTATTTATATATGTTTAATTATAATAAAAGTAAAGAGAATGAAAAAAAACAAATTACGACATATCTAATATCAATTTGAGAAACACTTGGTTTTTTTGTCAAATAAAATTTTATGACATCGTATTGCTTAAAAGCTATAAGACAAGGGATCTATTGAAAATTTTACAATAGACACAATAGGATCGTAATCAGATCATAAGTTGTAGGGGTTTTAACTGATTGGATGGATCTTTTTTTGATTGAATAAGATAGTGCCTCTAATAATTGATTTCTTATGTGGGGTAAGTTTGCACAGGTATTTATTATGTCGAAGGTACTATCATATACAGCAATATTAGATACTTGATTTATTGTCCAATGATAAAAAATGAAGGGCTGGATGTATTATAATATAGGACATTCTTTAAATTATGTAGATTGGAATCAAACTCCTTCAGCTTAGAAAAAAAAGATTGGATCACCTTCATTCTTATTCACTATATATAATATCGTGTAATAAGTCTAATGATTTTTGGCATCAACTCTCCTTAATTTATTAAGTAGATGATCGACGCCATTGATTTTTATCAGAAGAATATAGGAAGATGAACTGAAGCCATGTAATTCAATACTAGGTAATAATTAATTGTAGTTTAATTCAGAAATGACAAAGTTAACACGATGTCCATCAAATGGAATCTCAAGACTATGTTAAAAATTTGGAAGGAAGTGAGTATAATATTCAAAATAGCTAATATTTATGATTATTATTACATTAATATGAGTTCCGTTTAAAAAGAATTACAGATTTCAAATTGCAGTGATCGTGGACTCTATTATGATGGCTCTTGCTAATGTGATTTGGGCTACTTTGGAGTTTAATGTGAATTGAAACTCGAAGAACTCCATTTAGCTACCTATTACACTTTTATAGGATTCTTTTTAATACTCTTTACAATCCTGCTTCTTTTTACTTTAAAATAGCTTTAATTATCTTTGAAAATGAATAAAATACCTTCCTATTAGAAGTATGAAAATAGATTCTAATATCAATAGAGGATGCAATTATATTAAGAATGTGCTTGGATCTCCTTTGAATTGCATTTTATGTCTAACCATTTTATTCAGTGTTCTTAAGATTCTATGGTTAGCTTTGGACCCATTTTAATTATATGTATACATAATTAAAATTCTTCATTTTTAGGATTACAAAGAGAGGGTATGTGAAAGAATTCTGGCAGAAGTTGTTTACACCATATTATTTTATATATATGGAATTTTATTGATGGTTTGGTATACCATGTATGACGAAATTTCTTTTAACATTTCTGAAAAGAAAAATAATACTTCAGAATAATAATTAGCCTCCAAGTCAGAGAATAGAAAATTCATTTTAGCTTATTATAAAGACATTATGAAAATAAGACTCTTTCTCGTCTTGATTATATAATTGACGGTAAGTACATTAAATGGTAATTATTAAGCCTTTAAATAGGATTAAGATTAGGACAACAATATAAAACTATCTTATATATTGCATATGTAATTTTGCTACTGAATTTCATGTAAATTACTTTGATTCATAATAGTTCCTTCATTTTCGAATTCCTTCTATATGGTAGATCCTTAAATTAATGCATAGAACAACAACTAAAAAGATTGGATTTAGATAATAGAGAGTAGGAAAGAGAGGAGAAACTGAAATTGGCATCAAATAATCAGCAAGTACTCCAATAAATATCTATAAAAGACTGCTCTATCAAAAACATAGTTAAATATTTAATAAGAAGATCAATTATAGTCTCCAGCCACTCCTGATTAATAAATATTAAGATTGAGCTCCTTAAGTGCAAGTGATGAAAGTCATGAATAGAGGGATACATCAAGAGCCATCATATAAATTGAAAAATTTTAACCTCCATCTTTCTTAAAAAAACAGGTAACTTTCAGATCACCTCAAAGTATTCCAACTTAATAGAATACTGAAGTGAAAAGGGAAGTCCTAAAAACATCTATGAAAACCATTTTAAGTGAAGAGTCTCAAAACTCTTTACATGTAGAAGAAGTTTATAATCATTAAAAAGCCAATTCTTGTTTACTTAACGAGGAGGATTGTGATTAAACTGATTTTAATTGGAATATAAAAAAAGAAAGAGCTAGCGTTAAGAAGATCAAAAAGTAGTAGATTAAAATTGTCGAAAAAATAAAATAATAAGTCAATGAAACTAAAAGATAAAAGAAAGCAACAATCAAAAATAATAATAATAAAGATGGTATTAACTAAGATTCCTTTCAAATTGAAGATGATAAGAAAATAAAAAACTAATTGGCTTAAGTGTATTAAGCTGAGATGCTTGCTTAATAAAAGTAAATTAGAACTGCTAATCTAAATGCAGATAAGAAAGTACTTTCTAAAATTTAAATGCTTATATACGTTGGGGTGTTTCTAGAAATCTGTTTTGGAGCCTTGTCAATTGTTATTTTATTAACGGATTTATTAAAAAAACCTGTAGGTTAATTTGATAATTATTATATTAGGTACTATTTGCTATTTGTATATTTCAGCAATGCTTCAATTCTTATCTCTGATAACTGTGTTGAAGTTGTTTCGAGATGTTAAAAGTCAAGAAGTTTTGAATCTAATTTGGATTTAAAAAGTTGGAAACCGAAAAAATAAGATTAATTAATAATATTATTTTACAATTCCATTTGATTAAACTAGGCAAGATGAATCTAAAAGAAAGTTTGAACAAAGAATTAATATGCATATAAGATGATGATTCTAATTTTGTATTTGTTTATACTTATAGAAAATAAGATTAATTAATATTCATTAAATCTCCTTATCACTGAATTTGATTAAAATTAACTTAATTGCTCAAGCATTTTAATTAATCCAATAGATTACTTGCCAATTCGAGTTAATTTCTTACCACTAGGTCTGTTCTTTTTTATAACATTATTTTAAATTGATAACTTATAAGTGCTTGACTTCCATTATCGAATCTATAAGTGATTCCTAATTCATGATAAAAATCATTTCTAATTACAAAATAAAAATTACTTATAAAATTGAACTAAATTTGGTCTAAATCTCTAATTATCTTTTATCTTGTTATATTCATAAATCATCATTCTTGATTATATTTTGGATAATAACTGTGAAAATCAGCTCCAATTTCAAAGTTGTTTATTAGAATAAATTAAGATTCTAACTTTAATAAATTAAAACATAATAAACCTTATTTTATTATTCTCATTGTTCTCTCTCTTTCTATTATTGATTATATGTTTCTAAAATCTCTAATATTTAATTTTAAGTCTTCATTTCTTTTATAGGTTAATTTGCCTGCCTATTCTTCACTTTCTTCTGATGATGAAGTAGTCTAATATTCAGATGATTATTTATCTTCAACTTCTTATTGAAATTTTGAATTTACTTTCATAGATGTAACCGTGGATTTAGTTTAAGGTAATTCAGATTTTATTATCTACTCCTCTTAATACACTTTTATTAAAATATTATAATGATTTCTATCTTACAAAATGAGAAGATACATTTTCAAAGTAATTGACTGATGTTTTATTAAGTTTTTAAAGATTTAATTTTCATCTCTTAATCTTAAATATATGATTTCATTTTTCTGTACTTAGCTGCTTACATTGGATATTTAAATAAATTGTTATTTTTTCAATTCAATTAGTCAATTCTTTAAGTCTCAATGAAAAACCTAAAACGACTTACTTCTTAGCATATCCTCCAAAAATCTTGATCTAAAAGGGCCAAATCTTAGGGGTTTAGCCAGCTTCTACTAATCTTCAAGCCTCTCCTCTACTAGTTAACCATTTTCCATTTCGTCAATTAAAATTAAAAACTAGGCCTATAGTATTTAAGCAAGAGAGGAGACTAGAGTAACAGTTTTGTATATTGAAAATATAGATGATTAAAAATTTAACAAGGTTCTTATGTCTAAATGCATGAATGTGAACTCTTTAATTCCTTTCGAAAGACTTTCTAAAAATTAGACTAAATTAACAATGTTGCTATTATTCAACTATAAAATTCATATCTGGACAATCAATCACTGTATGGTCGTCTCGAAGACAACTAAAACAAAAGACATTAATAAGTTGATAACCATATTAATAAAATTTCATCTTTAATTTAATGAAATTTTTCCTATTTATTAACAACAATATTAATACTGAGTCAATTTGATTAGATTTCAATAATTATGTAAACAATGACTTATCGATATAAACCAGTAAAGAAACCAACCCTCCAAAATAGTCTTTTTATTCTAGTTTATTGAATTTCCGATTTTTCTTTGAAAGATAATTCAATATTTCCACGTTGAATGAAATAGAGATGCTTTTCTGTTGCTATAGGTTCATTCTCAAAGAAGATGAAATTATCAGGTAAAGCAGTGTGTTATTTGAAAGTCTTTGTCACCTATTTGAGGAATGTCATTTAAAAATTACGTCTTAATGCAACTGGTATTTGTAGTTTGTTTCTTCATGTGTTTAAAATTTAATTTGACTTTTTACTAATTTCAGCCTTGTTATCTTCCATTCCTTATAATGATATAACTTATGTTGTTTAAAGTAACAGAGAAAACTACAGTGGCAATCATCAAAAAGAATATTCTAAATAATCTTTCCAAAGGAGTTCTAGGAGAGATGTCTCCATATCCAACAGTACTAATAGTTATAACAGCCCAATAGAGTGAGTTGATGTATTCAACTGACCAACCTTCTTCATATATGCCGTAATAATTAAGCCAATTGATCTAAGAGTCTTCATTGACAGCAATGTAATGGAGGATGCATCCAAACCAATGAGACCAAAATAATAACAATCCACTCAATTTAATAAGGCTAACAATAGTAGACAGCATGATATTTAATTACGCAGCATCCTCTATTTTATCAAAAAAGATCTTTAATTTTGCCTATCTCAAAAGACGTATGATCTTGATAAATCTCATAAATCTGACAAGTCTGAGTAAGGACAATTTTTAGGGAGGTACCTCACATTAATTAACCATAGTCATCTGCATGAAATACCCAATTATCATTTTGATTTTGAATTGCGCCTTAATTATTGTCTTTATTTTTAGAAAACTCCATAATTTGGATTTCACATTTTTGTACAATAGCCTATCTTATATTTAATAATAGATGTACTTATAGTTTATTTCAATGAACACTGATTTGGTAAGTCCCAACTTTTAATTGATGACAGTAAACATATATTATTTATATAATTTGATAATTATGATTAGAATAATTAAGGATTTATCAATAATAATTCATAAATTTGGTTTTTTGAGTTCCATTCTGTTATCATTGAAATTAGCTTTATTCTAATTTTCTTTTGCTTCTTATGCTTGTTCCTATTGTTCCAAGGCCAATTGATATTTTTCCAAAGATTCTTAGACAATTTTTGTAGCCTTAACAAAGCAGAAATGGAAAGTTTCAATGAATGTGTCCAAATGTCTAAAATCAATATATGAATTGATACTCTTTAGTATGTTATGGTTACAGATTGACTCTCAATCTGGCCTATCCCATTCTAACAATAGGATATTCAATTCCGTTGCAATGAATTCCTTCATCAATCATTAATCTTGTTACTACTCTACATACTAATTCATTTCCTATCAACAATGGCAAAATTGGAGATGGATAACCAATTATCTGATAACCTCTAGCATTGAGTTCCTTTTTCATATAATGATAATTCTCCAAGACTTTAACTCTCAATCTATTTCCAACTTCGCTTTTTAGTATTCTTAATTGAGCTAGAGCAGTAGCACATTACACTGGATTCACTGAGTTAGTGAACATATAAGCTGAAGAGAAGAACTTAAGATAATCAATGACTTCAAATGAATTGCACGCAACCCAACCAACATTTGTTGATAAACATTTTGATCCTCCAGACATTAATAATACATTAGAGAAATCTTCTAGACCTTATAATTCAAACATTCCCTTGCCTACATTTATCAATTTAACTCATTACCTGTTTTGCCCATACATCCAAAGTCGTGAGCACAATCAATTAACAAAAATGCCTCATATTTCATTGTCAATTTTTATAAAGCCACCAAATCAGTATAATCACTATCCATACTAAACAAACCCTCTGTTACTACNATGCATCCAAACCAATGAGACCAAAATAATAACAATCCACTCAATTTAATAAGGCTAACAATAGTAGACAGCATGATATTTAATTACGCAGCATCCTCTATTTTATCAAAAAAGATCTTTAATTTTGCCTATCTCAAAAGACGTATGATCTTGATAAATCTCATAAATCTGACAAGTCTGAGTAAGGACAATTTTTAGGGAGGTACCTCACATTAATTAACCATAGTCATCTGCATGAAATACCCAATTATCATTTTGATTTTGAATTGCGCCTTAATTATTGTCTTTATTTTTAGAAAACTCCATAATTTGGATTTCACATTTTTGTACAATAGCCTATCTTATATTTAATAATAGATGTACTTATAGTTTATTTCAATGAACACTGATTTGGTAAGTCCCAACTTTTAATTGATGACAGTAAACATATATTATTTATATAATTTGATAATTATGATTAGAATAATTAAGGATTTATCAATAATAATTCATAAATTTGGTTTTTTGAGTTCCATTCTGTTATCATTGAAATTAGCTTTATTCTAATTTTCTTTTGCTTCTTATGCTTGTTCCTATTGTTCCAAGGCCAATTGATATTTTTCCAAAGATTCTTAGACAATTTTTGTAGCCTTAACAAAGCAGAAATGGAAAGTTTCAATGAATGTGTCCAAATGTCTAAAATCAATATATGAATTGATACTCTTTAGTATGTTATGGTTACAGATTGACTCTCAATCTGGCCTATCCCATTCTAACAATAGGATATTCAATTCCGTTGCAATGAATTCCTTCATCAATCATTAATCTTGTTACTACTCTACATACTAATTCATTTCCTATCAACAATGGCAAAATTGGAGATGGATAACCAATTATCTGATAACCTCTAGCATTGAGTTCCTTTTTCATATAATGATAATTCTCCAAGACTTTAACTCTCAATCTATTTCCAACTTCGCTTTTTAGTATTCTTAATTGAGCTAGAGCAGTAGCACATTACACTGGATTCACTGAGTTAGTGAACATATAAGCTGAAGAGAAGAACTTAAGATAATCAATGACTTCAAATGAATTGCACGCAACCCAACCAACATTTGTTGATAAACATTTTGATCCTCCAGACATTAATAATACATTAGAGAAATCTTCTAGACCTTATAATTCAAACATTCCCTTGCCTACATTTATCAATTTAACTCATTACCTGTTTTGCCCATACATCCAAAGTCGTGAGCACAATCAATTAACAAAAATGCCTCATATTTCATTGTCAATTTTTATAAAGCCACCAAATCAGTATAATCACTATCCATACTAAACAAACCCTCTGTTACTACTAGAATACAAGCATCAGGATTTGCAGTTCTGATTTCTGATAGTTTTTTCTCCATTGCTTCCAAACTTAAATGTGGAACTCTTGACACATTCTTTGTGGCTGCAAATGCTCCTTCAGTAAGACAATTATGGCATAATTCATCCATAATCACAAAATCATAGGGCCTACTTATTACAGTATACCAATACCTTATCAAACCTTTGATCACTCCAAACCCTGCTAACCATCCTGCACTGTAAAGAATTACTTCATTCATTCCCCAATAATCCTTCAACTCTTCTTTTAACTACATATAATATTTCGATGCTCCAAATGCCAATGGTGCTCCACAAGAATTCACTGAGTACTCTTAAGCAGCAGTGGCAGCGGCTTCCTAAAATAATTTTTAAGTTAAACTACTTTTGCCTATTCATTTGTACACAATCCCAAGTAATCAGCAGAGGCGAAGTTAATTCCATAAAATATATCTCCATAATCGTCCATTCCTATTTTTAAACTTATACTGTACCATAGCATTCTTGAGCAGGTGGAGACATATTTCTTCTCTCATAAAGAATTATTTTCTGTTTTCTCAAAGATCCCACTAAATTCTAAAATCCCTTTACTCTTTCAAACAAATTCTATGATATACACCTACATTACTACCTTTCCCTCCACATTTTTATATTCCAAATGACTCAATTTCAAATTTGTGATTGTTATACTTCTATCAAACTCCTAACTTGGATTCAAACTTGGGTATTTTTACATTTCTACTCTTCTCTATTTAATTCAAATAATAATGTTCCCTCAGAAATTCCTGATTTGAATCACTCAAAAGTACTACACAAATTTTTCGGAATTAATTAAATACGTATTATTTTATTACATAATATTATTAAAATATGTATCTAATTTCAAATTTAAATTAATCAGCTCACTTTATATAAACACAACTTTAATACCTAATGATTACCAATCCTTCAGGTTTTTGATTTATTTCACCCTCGTGTCTAATTTAAAGGTCATGGGTAAACAATTGTTTGACATCTGTTTAAATAAAAATAATATGTAACAATTATACTCATTAAATTTATTTATTCTAATTTTTCATTCCCATCCCTGATATTAACTTTATTATCCGTAGTATAGATGCAACTCTTAGCCCCAGGTATTATTAAATGTCCCCACTTCTATTTAACTAAAATGCTTCCCTTTAATAAATCAAACCTTTAATTTCCATTAGAGACATTCAAAAAATACAAAAATCACAACCACAACTCTCCGTAGTCAAATTAGTAATATCTTCTCTATTTCTTATGGTTTCATTGCAATTAATTCAAAACTTTTCGCAATGATCAACCTTACTCAATCTCTTTGAAAATGCTCCTGACTTTTTCATAAACCAGAACCTAAATCAATACCTGACCTACATAAAATGCCACTGCTTTACAAATTTAATTCTAAAATTATTCAGTCTCTTTCAGCAATTTATTACCTATTCTCATAGGGATATTTTAACCAAAACTTTATTTTCACTCATATACATTGCGATAGATCTTGAATTCTTCAAGCTACTCGAAATTTTTATCTTCATCTCATTATTCATCAGATATTCATAAAACTATCTAAATTATGATCTTTATTTCTTAAATAATCAAAACTTTAATGCATTCGTTATCTTAATCCCATTTCCTCTATGCTTCAAAGTTTCCTATTTCTTTTTTTGACATTTTACAAAATCAAGTCTTTAGTACTGTTCTCTTTGTGAAACATTAAAATATTCATACAACAATTATAATATTACAATCACATTCTATAATATATATAAATAATTTCAAAAAGTGGTTTCATTTTTAAAATACATAAAGTATTAAAGTAATTTAGTTTAATTATAATTTTGTTTTTTTGGAATCCCATTAGAATAAATCTAGCATTTCAACTTTCTATACTTTGAAGGAAATTCTATCTACTGAATTTTAGGACATAATTCACTCTTCCGTTGATGTCCTAATGAATCAAAGTTGTTAACCAATTTCAAATATGCATTATATAATCGAGATACAGAAGAAGCGAAAGTTTATTCACGAAAATAAGTAGTGCTTTTTTAAAAATAGACTACTTTCTAAGTAGCTATCCTTTCCAACTATTTTAAATCTTTCATTAAATAATGAATAATCACTATTTAAACTATTAAGGAGAATATAAAAAAGGTTCCCAATATTTGTAACCAGGAATTAATAAATTGATTTTGAAACCCAATCTGTTTATTATAAATGTCCTGTTGCTATTTCAAATATTGACTTTCATCATAAACTATGAATAAAAAATAATTTAATTCAGTCAGTATTGTTCTCAAAACTATGATATTTTCTAATAGACACTATTGTACAAGTAAAAAATATCTTCACCATCTTTATTAAGTTATTCCAATCAGTTTCATTAAATCCTGTTAAACTTTAGTTGTACAATTTTATTAAAACCTTTACTCCATTAGCATAAAGATCACTGATGACAATATTACCACTGCTATCCACTAAATAATATTATGAAGTATTGGTTTGAATCTTGGGCATTCTTGTAAAATCTAAATCTTGTCCTATCAATCCTTCGAATTAGTTATGAGTTAAATTTGTGGTCTATGAAATGAAAACTACATCTATCCATGAAACATACGGATCGCTTACTATAATTTATTTGCCTGTTCCCATCTGAGCCACATGATCTCTATACCATTACCTAGTATGAGGGTAATAGTTTGAGATTGCATATCCTCTGTTTTATGTAAAAAATTATTCCTCTCCTACATGAGCCATCAAAGTTAATAATTAAAGGTCATAAATTCTTAAGGTTTGAGTTAATAAGGATGTTAATTTTAATATGTTCTAATATTTACTAATATTTAAGCCATTTGTCAAATTGCAAAAAGCATAGCAAAAAGAAAAAAAGTATGCATATGAATCATTAAATTATTGATTATTTAAGCAATCATAAGGCATTTCAATCTGGAAATCCTTATCGATTATCTAATATAACTAATTAATAGATAAAAGCTATCTTGTACTATCCTAAAAAACGTCGAGAGTTGAAGATTTTTCAAGGTAACTCAACAAACTCAAATGATTTTGAGTTTCTTTATGAAATATTTCTTAAGTAATAGCCATTAATTATTCTGTAACAATGTACATATAGATTAAATTGCTAACTAAAAAAATTATCACACTAAAAAGTGTAATAATTAAGTGGAAACAACAAATCTAATTGCCTATCCTCCAATTTCTACATAAAAAGTTTCTATAAACCTCTTTTTTCTCTATCATATATTTTCCACTTAATAAATGAAAATTATTTTTTTTAAAAAGAAAAGGTTTTTAATGGTTGATTAAATACTCATATATCCATTGTTTGAGGATATTTTTATCACCATTCATTTATAGATTTAAATTCGTTTTCAGTGCAATTTTGGGGTGAATTTTGAATTGCAATATCAAATATCATCTTAAATATGAAGTGTGTTTTAAATTTTTTTAAAGAATCTAATTAAATACATAAAATTATGAGTATCTAAATATAATTGTCAAAATAATATTTATTATGACATTTAATAAGAAAATATCCTATGCCTTTAGAGCATCTCCTCTCAAACATTGATGAAATAATTTATAATTAATTCTCTTTAAAATCAAAAATAATATTTCATTAAAATATTTCCATGGAGCCATAATTTTTCAAATTATTTCCTTAAATCGAATTTAAGATAAGTAAAAAAATACAAATAACTATTTTCATATTATCAAAATTTATGATGGAATTATTTAAAAATGTTTTTACTCTTGAAAATCCATTTAATAATAGTGGATATTTTAATAGTCAAAGTAAACTTCATATCATCTAAAATATAGATAGCCTATCTATTTGTTGTGGATAATTTTAAATTGAATAAGGCTATTATTATAAATTATTAATTCGAATAGATGGGTAATAGTTGTTGCAACCATAATGAAATAAATTAATCATAGTTATAGAAAAATACTCAGGATTGACTCCATTCATGAAGTCTTTTGACAACTTTGATTCCTTTGATATGATGACTACCTTCTCTTGCCGATACAAAAATATACAACTATGAATGCAGTTTCAAAAATAGACTTGAGTACACTTAAATTAAGCACCAAAAAAAGATAAAGAAAACTATCTAATTGCAAAGAGTGAGGAAGTCAGTAAAAATAACTTATGATGAAACAAGGTGAATGGAAATAATAATATCACTTTCTTAAAAAATTAGGTCAGGAATGCTAGAGATGTGTATGTTTAGGCTTAGATAAAAATCATGATGGAATTTAAGCAAGTAGTTGTATTAAGGATTAAGGCATAAGCTGAAGAAAAAATGAATTAAATTTTAGATACTTTAGATCTAAATAATTCCAATCTTATAGATTATTCAGAATTTAATATGGGAGCTATGAGAGTAGAAAATTTGGTATCAACTGAAAGGATTAAATAAGCATTTAGAATACTTGATATTGTAATCTTTCTAATCAATACAGAATGAAGATGGCTTTATATTAAAGGAAGAATTAGAAGAAGTTATGGGATTCTTAGAAACTGAAATTTAGGAATAATTTTAAATGATCAAGATTTGAACAAAGATGGAAAAATTTCAGAAGATGAATTTAGACCAAACCTCATTACTTTATGAAAATTGATGATAAATATTTAAATAATTTACTCATATCTGCAAATAATTATAATGTATCCAATAGAATATGAATCATTCAATTTGAAATCAAAGATCAATATTTAATAATCAAACTTATAATTCATATAACTCAATAAATTGATTTTTGTCACATTTGCAAATGTATTTTGTGTTTGCTTCCTATAATGCTAAATAGATTTGATTAACTATCTTATAATAGAATTATTACATAAATTTTCATTGTCTGTGTTTGTAAACAAACAAATCCATAGTTTATTTGTCATTTTAAAATTGAATAATTGTTATAATATCTTTTATAAATTTTGTCTTGATAAATCTACAATATGAACGAATGTATTTTAAGCAATTTTATCTCTTAATTCATCAGCTAAATAATCAAAAATCAAAACAGGTTATTAAGGATTATAAATTTGTTTACTGAATATTTATTTAATTTTTTATACTTAAGGGTGATTTACGTCTTATATTTCCCATTTCTCCGTTATTAGAATATGTTAGTTAATCATGTCCTAAACTTCATAAGGAGATATTTAAATCAGCTCTAATAAGGGTTGTTTTTCCTATTCCAAAAATATTGGTTTGGCATGATGATTAAATAAATTTAAGGAGTCCAAGTAAATCCAAAATTGTTTTGGGGTATATGTATGAATTTTTATAGCAATTTTAATGATCTCATAATAGATTTTTTCATCATCCAAATATATCTTAGACATAAAATAGGGTAAATTGTCGCCTTTATTGTTTAAAATTTCTCGTTTTTTATATATTACTATCGCGATGTTAAAACTGAAAATGAAATATCTATCATTTATCAAAATAGTGTTTTCTATTATCATTTAAGCTATTGGAAAGGAGGCCTTATTAATGCCTAAAGTAATGAACCATGGAATGGCATATAATTAAGGGGATATGTCATGTAAAGTTAGTCTGTTGTACAATTCCATATCATGATATTTCAACAATAAATTGTAAACTGATAGTATTGATTAGATTCCTGAATAATGATCATCAAAAAAATTAGTCATATATCTTTTAATAAATTCATTGAACATAGAATAGACAACCGATATATCCAAACCTGCTTTGATAAATATAATAAATGGGGCAGCAATTTCATGCAATCCTTATTTATAACATATATGATTTGAAATCACATAATATGTAAGTAGTTATTCAAGTTGAGTTTTCAAATTTTAATCAAGCAAGTTTCCTCTAGTCCTTATAACATCAAATCTGATAATATTTTATTATACTTTATTACTCTTTAATTTTATTAATTCAATTTAACACTTTAGATAGGATGGCTAACTTTTAAATCAATATCCATCAATTGAGGCCACATTAATGCTCTAGTATAAAGGAAGTTTGCCTTTGATATTATTTCAGAATTCATCTTTTTAGAATTATCACTTTGAGATCTCATTTATAATTTATTATTATTTTATTTCTAAAGTCAAAGTTAATAATTTATTATCCTAATATTTTTTTTCTTAATTATTTTAAACTGTCAAATTAACATAAATCATAGAGAAGTGAGAAGCATTTTGCCAAATACTGAATTATTATGAATTAAAAGCAAACTTAAATCGAAAATTATTTTTTATGATAATGAATTCAATTGAAATATTTTAATCATATTCTTGTTTATCTTTTTCTTATAAAATTTCTCCTTATTTCGTTATCAACAAACATATAGTGATTTCTAGCAGAGATTTAATGAGAATAAACGAAACTCTTTTCCTCCTTAATATCCTTAGTTGCAAAATCTATATACTCATTAATGTTCTTAAAGTGATGTTTAATTAAAGTTTTCCAATTTGTATTTGTTATATGATTTTTTTATTCCAAATTTTCTAGCAATAAAGCAAACTTTGATTCTTATTCTTATAATCTATTTTTTTCTTTCGAAAACGAATCTTGGATATGTTAAAATGTTTTTAGAACTCCTTCTTCAAATGTACTAATGTCTGATATCAAACTATTTAGCCTGCTGTTTTTAGTTTATTTTTTCACTAAAACACTTTTAGAGCATTAATACTGATGCTGCTTTGAAAGACTTGGAGAGCGAAATTAATTCAAATAGATTTCATGCTCCAATGGCGGCAATTTTACTTAGGCTTGAAGGTGGTCAACGAATAATTAAACATCTTGTTTTGATTTAAATGTCGTTTTTTATTTAAATGGCGTGCCATTTTTTTATCTTTTGTGATTAAAGCAGATTTCCGCATATGTGTCATCAAGCATTTTAGTAATTTCCAATATTTTTATAACTATTCATTTTATCTAATTATTTATGAATACAATAATTAAATAAAACTTTAAGAAAATGACAGGTTGAATTGTTAACCTTCTTATTAAATTCTTCTTAACATACTCTCAAAGATAAGAGTTAATGTTATGTAATTTTAGAAGTCACAGTTATTAACATTAATAATATCTATTCAATATATATTTAGTGTTCCAATTAAAATGCAATTCAATAATCTTTAAGACTCATAAAGAATTTAATGATAAGTTTATTATCAATCCAATTTTTAAATTAATCTCCTCAACTCATTATTATAAATCCTTAGGAAATAGTAAGATAATTCGAGGGTTTTGAAATTAGTTATTACTAAAATCGTATTCTATCGACCTTTCTATCTCTATAATTAAAAAAATTAAATATTTTTTTCTCTTTAAAGCTCATTTAATTGAAAATAATTTACTAATCAAAGAATGCAATTTATTTTGTTTATTTTATGTGCAATTAGTCAATCTTTTTGGATTCATTCTTTATTTCTTTAATTTAGCTATCACTAGAAAATGATCTAATTCTTGTTTAATGGCATATGAATGAATCATTTTTCATTATTTTTAGCTATTCATTAAAAAATTGAGTTTATCTTCTATTCAATTGAATTTAAGTGGGTAATTAATTTAAAACTCCAGTTTGAATTAACTATTAAGTAGGTCTGCCAATATCAAAGCTTCTTTTTTAAGCAATATAATCTAAATTAAGTTCATTTAAACTAAGTTAAACTAATTAGGGTAATTTTTGTTCAAAAATATTTTTTGTATTTTTATTTTTTTCCATAACATATTAAGTTTTTACAGATTGAGATGTTTTTCTTGTAATAATACTGTAATTTTATTCGTGATTGAACCTAGGAGTAAGGTATTAATGATGTCCAGTATTGTTTAAATATAATTTACTAAATTATGTTTTATTAAATTAAACTTTAACTACGACAGCAGGAGATGATTCACAAGAAGAATCAAATTAATCCTAATATTTTAGATTTTATTACAAATTTCTTATCAATGATTTCATGATATTTTAATAATTGATCCATTAATGAATAAAAACTTTTTTTTTATTCTGGAATGCAAGATTTTTGTTTTAAGATATGATTTAAGTTTCTCTTTTTTTGAGTAGAAGATTGATTCTTCTCTCAAATCTGGCTCTAATTTGTAATGGGGACTTCATATCATTGGTCACAATTAGTTTTGGATCTCTTATGAGAGATTTTGAGAATGGTTGACCACTTCTACTCTATGATGGTGATAGTGTTTCATGTGATTAGATTTTTGTGTAAATTCTAATTAGATTTTAATTATACTAGACTGTAATTTTTATCTGTCTTCTTTTTTTTCTTTAGGACTGCTGCCTCTTTTGAATGCTAAAAGTCTTAAATTGAAAGAGTCAGATTGTGAAGCCTTTTTTATTTTGAACCAATAAATTCAAATTGACTGACTATCCTAATTACGCTGCTTTTGACTGGGGACTCACGGATGCTAGGATTTGTGATTGAAATAGCATCGGTAGTATAGTTCAAATGAATTTAGATATGTTTTGGTTAGAATTTAAATTATTTATTATTGTTTGATATTGCTGAATCATGCTTCCATCCATTGCAAATAGCATGTTATGAACTAACTATCTCTAGTGTATAGTTATTTCTTGAGAGGATCTGAAACACTCAATACTTATTCAAGCTCATTTTATATAAATAAATGTTATAATATTACAATATATAAATGTTAAAAGTTTATAAAGATATAAAAAATTAAAGATTATTTGATTCTATAATAAAAAATAGTGGTTCAAAACGAAAGCTGAAATTGGTTTATACTATATCAAATTTTTCAGATTTAGATTATCTTCTTGCAAACAATCGAAATTAAGAAGTATTTGGCATATTTCGATTCGAATTAAGTTTTGGTAATTAACTACTTTATTGATTAACTAAGAATAAGGAATTTGATGGTAACTTATAAGACTTTGAAGACCAAGTTTGACAACATCTGGATTCTGAAAATATCAACTTTTATCCTCTCTCCTTTAAATTGATTTTTAACATTAAATTTATAATTTTAGATATCTAGTTTAGATTGTAATTTAGTTCTATATTATTCTTTTGATATTGATATCGAATATTTTGTGATATGAAATCAATTGCAATCTTCAGAGTAATATTTATAATTAATTATGAGTGTAATTAAAGGTATTGCAAGGGCAAATTTGAAATTAGTAGAGCTAGTTCACATTCATGGAAAAATGTATAGGAATAAATTATGAATTTTGAAAGAATCATTTCTGAACACGCTAATAATTAGATGTATTTGATTAGATAGAAAACATGATAAATAATGGTTATTTTAAGACACAAGATTATATGAAATTCCTAGACCATCTAGATACAAAGATTTATATGAAAGAGAATTGAAAAGAAAGAATGATAGAAGAACAATTGCATTCTTTTGTAAATATGTTATGGCTGAAGAGAATGTTATAATACCTATGAAATGAGTCGATATATAAATATATTAAAAATATAATGTAAAATTAAGACAGTTTATTCTTTTAGAGTCAACTCTATGTGGCAGAATTGTGTGAGCCCATAAGTTTAATAGAATTTGTATTGGAAGATGTAAAACCAAAACAGGAAAAATAATAAAGATTGTCACCAGTCATTTAAGTTTCAGATAGAAAAGAAAAATTGAAAACACAAAATGAAAAGAGTATAGATTTGTTGAAATAATATAGATAGTCAATCCATCCAAATCTAATGTGCCTCATACATAATAAAGTAGAAAGAGTATTTCAGAAATTACTTGTAAAGGAAAAAAGTGGATTATTAAGAAATTAAATGAAGAAAACTAACCTAAGTAAGTAGTAACTTGTTTACCTAATTTGCCTAAACCTATTTAGAATTAAGGAAAGCTATTTTCAAACACTGCTTCGAGACAGATGAAACAGAGACTCAATAAATTTATAGTGGATCAGAATAAGAATCAATTCCTACTCCAGAACGATATTTTACAAGGATAAAACTCTTCATTGTCTCATTTAAGTAATATTAATTAAGTAATTGTATTAGTTAGATTAAAATCAGACTCTCCAAAATAACTCCCGATTTATGATGTTAATTTTTTGTAGAACTTTTAATAATTGTTTTCTTGATACTGAGTATATATATATACATGGTCATAAATATGTTGTATATTTTATATTAGTATGTTAATTATCAAACAATCACAATCAAATATTACACTTTTCAAGTTCTTCAATTAGTTTTTGATTTTAAATGAAATAATAATTAATGTGAAAATATTATGTATAAGTTAAATATTATTATCAAATCAATGACAATTAGGAAGATTGATCTTAGGATAATATTAAGATAATACCAGTAATCATTTTAAAAAGTAAGTGACTTCGAGATTCTTTAAGTCTAAGTTAGGTCCATCATCATTGGCCATATCCAAATCGTAATCATCATTAGATTGTCGAAATTTTCTATTTTCTTTGTGTTCCTAACTTTGCTTAAAGGAGGTGTAAGATTTCGAATCTTTTCTTTTTGTGAATTAGTTAGGATTGTTATTAATTTAAGGTTGAGATTTAACTTGAATTAAAGTGTGATTGCTAATTTAATAATTATTTTATTTGCTTGTAGCTTAACTCTAAGGTTCAATAGATGTGTTTTTTTACAATTAGAGTTCATCCTATTATTTGTAAGTAGAATGATCAAAGTATTTTTCGTGTAATTATTTCATGAATTTAACATTGTGTTGATTCTCTTATTCTAAATGGAAAACTTCTCTTTCCTCATCAACCGGAGGAACAAAGTCTTTTTCCGATTATAATCTAATGTTTGGAATGGAATGGGGATCAATTAGGATATCTTGCGTTTGCATTTCCATCTATTTAATTTCCCAATCATAAAGTTGATGGTCATAATCTTAGGGTTATTTTTCAAATAGATTTCTCAAATGAGAATAATTGGGCTATTGCTGAAACAATAATGACTTCACATGCTAGAAGTAATGTATAAAACACTTGAAATTATTATTTAACAAAATGAATACTTTTGGCAAGTTGAAACAAAGAGAAATGAGTGGAATTCCCGTTTTAACTTATAGTATTTGATCTTACTTATCATCTTTATCGATAGCCTTGACATTAGACCATGGAAACTCTCCTCTAACGAAGTAAATTAACATGTAACCTAAACTTTCCAAATCATCTCTCCTTGATTGTTCCATTCCTGAACAATCTAATTATTCTTACATTGTAATGTATGAATGCTTGCATAATGGGCTGTTCCAATAACTCCTGTTTTTTAAGAAAATTCGATATGTCTTCTCTAGAAATAAGAAAGTTTTCAGGCTTGATGTCTCGATGTATAAAATTCATACTATGAAATACTTAATTTTTATATAATAAACAACCTTCCAAGCGATCAATTAGTTGGATTGCCAATTACAATGTGGTTTGCAGGGAAAATTTACCTCCGATTTTCTTTAACAAAACCTCAAGATTCTCTCCCAATAATGTACTCATATAATATGAGTATTATTGATCTTTTCCATGATTAATTAGTTCTGGAAAACCTAAAATAAATATAATAGAAGCAAAATCAGAATACCATTTATTCCTTTCAATTGTTTCAATATTAAAATTTCCCTATTCATCATTCTCAATTGCAAATTACGATTCTCAAATTTAGTCGCACAATATTCTTTCTCATCCAAATCAAATGTTAAATAAACGATTCCGAAACTTCCACTACCAATTTTCTTCAACAATTTGAATCTTTGATCAATGATCAAGCCAGGTTATAAACAATTATTCTAATCCATTTTATTAACAAATTTAATATGTTAAACAATTAAATAACTATAAGGCTAAATCAACTCCAAATAGATAAGCAGCTCTTCGTTGATTTTCATATTCCATTCCAAATGTTATCCTCCAATCGATACGATATCGATACGATATGGATCAATCCGATATCAAAAGATTAAGCGAATGACAAGGAAATCAAACATCTAATTAGCTAATTCAATTACAATTCTGAAGCAAGATTTACATATGCTGAGTCTTCAATTCCTGAAAGTTGAATAACAACAACCATGTCAGAGAAGTCCTTATCAAACTCTTACAACTAATTTTAAGTAAATTCATTGTGTTTTCCATAGATTATAGTAATGTTTAAAAGAATCAAAGAAGATAGCACTTTCAATCCCACTAAATTATTTAATTAAATTGATTAGTTTGCCAAAGGCTACATTACACACAGAATAAAATAAATTGACAAAATTTATAGCAAAGTAAACCTGCTCTTTATTTCTAAATTCCAGAATAAGATTCTATTTGTTTTATTAAAGATTATACCCAAAAGAAATAAATCTATAATCATAAAGTCATTTTGTTTATAACCCCTCTCATAAACTTGTAGTTTTGAGAATACATCTAATAAAAATTTCCTTATACATATTGGTCTTATCTCTTAAGTGATTGCATTGATTTTTTAGGTCCTTTATTCATAATGTTGGAGTTTATTCAGAAAATAAATGCTATTATTCACTACTTACATTCCGTTTCTCTTATTTCAACCAATTATTCAAACCAGCCTATTCTAATGAATTACTTAATATTTGGCCAATAATTTGTTGTAAGGATGGTTGCTTTTTAAATTTTGGAATAAAATTTATTACAGTAAATAATCTTAAGAATAAAGTAAATTTTCTCATAAAATGCAATCATTTTGAATATTGTAGAGAAATAAATAAAAAGAATCTGTTTTAGTATTTAATCAATCCCTGCTATTTAAGCGAAATCAAATAATTAATCAAAATAAATATGCCCATACAAAAACAATTTACATGAACCCTCCTCCTCTAAAAGTAATTCATCTCAAGAAGGAGTTTAACAAAATTCAGAGACAATAAATGATGAATTTTAAAGTAGTGCTAGCTATGATGAAAATCGATTAAATTAATTCTAGAGATGTGATTTATACATATGTAATTTTTTGACTATAAATTTCAAATTCACAGTATGGTTTTCATATTTGTATAAGAAACCTTAAAAGAATGCACAAATTTATCTACCGGCAGAATTTCTGAGAGTGATTTATTTTCAGCCTTCAAATCCTCACAAAACAACAATTAGCAGTATAATACAAAGATTTGATATAAATTCAAGAGAAGAAATATAAATAATCAAATAATGTTAGTAAATCTAATAAAATCTACAAATGAGTGAGGAGAAAAATAGCCAACATAGACATTAACTAATAAAAAATATCAAAGAGAAAAACGAAGAAACCACACAAAAATAAAAGAATCATAGTAGTCTTCATGATTAATTATATTCTATGAGAACATAGCAAGATTTAAGTCTTAGGAGGAAAGGAGAGTATGGTATTCATAGCCAATCTTAATTATGATCATTTATATGGACTATTTAATTTATTTATTTCGAAAATATTTCAAATAATAATATTTCTTTCTCTTTCTTAAAAGATGAAAAAGTATTAAATACCTTAAGTAGAACATTTAATAATACGTTTAGTAAACTATATATATATATAGACTGCTTAAATCCAAAAGAAGCAAAAGAAGATATTATTTTACAGTTAGTAAAGTTAGTATTAAATCAAAAGCTTAACATTTCTTATACAAATATGAAAACCATACTGTGAATTTGAAATTTATAGTCAAAAAATTACATATGTATAAATCACATCTCTAGAATTAATTTAATCGATTTTCATCATAGCTAGCACTACTTTAAAATTCATCATTTATTGTCTCTGAATTTTGTTAAACTCCTTCTTGAGATGAATTACTTTTAGAGGAGGAGGGTTCATGTAAATTGTTTTTGTATGGGCATATTTATTTTGATTAATTATTTGATTTCGCTTAAATAGCAGGGATTGATTAAATACTAAAACAGATTCTTTTTATTTATTTCTCTACAATATTCAAAATGATTGCATTTTATGAGAAAATTTACTTTATTCTTAAGATTATTTACTGTAATAAATTTTATTCCAAAATTTAAAAAGCAACCATCCTTACAACAAATTATTGGCCAAATATTAAGTAATTCATTAGAATAGGCTGGTTTGAATAATTGGTTGAAATAAGAGAAACGGAATGTAAGTAGTGAATAATAGCATTTATTTTCTGAATAAACTCCAACATTATGAATAAAGGACCTAAAAAATCAATGCAATCACTTAAGAGATAAGACCAATATGTATAAGGAAATTTTTATTAGATGTATTCTCAAAACTACAAGTTTATGAGAGGGGTTATAAACAAAATGACTTTATGATTATAGATTTATTTCTTTTGGGTATAATCTTTAATAAAACAAATAGAATCTTATTCTGGAATTTAGAAATAAAGAGCAGGTTTACTTTGCTATAAATTTTGTCAATTTATTTTATAAATGTTAAGCTTTTGATTTAATACTAACTTTACTAACTGTAAAATAATATCTTCTTTTGCTTCTTTTGGATTTAAGCAGTCTATATATATATATAGTTTACTAAACGTATTATTAAATGTTCTACTTAAGGTATTTAATACTTTTTCATCTTTTAAGAAAGAGAAAGAAATATTATTATTTGAAATATTTTCGAAATAAATAAATTAAATAGTCCATATAAATGATCATAATTAAGATTGGCTATGAATACCATACTCTCCTTTCCTCCTAAGACTTAAATCTTGCTATGTTCTCATAGAATATAATTAATCATGAAGACTACTATGATTCTTTTATTTTTGTGTGGTTTCTTCGTTTTTCTCTTTGATATTTTTTATTAGTTAATGTCTATGTTGGCTATTTTTCTCCTCACTCATTTGTAGATTTTATTAGATTTACTAACATTATTTGATTATTTATATTTCTTCTCTTGAATTTATATCAAATCTTTGTATTATACTGCTAATTGTTGTTTTGTGAGGATTTGAAGGCTGAAAATAAATCACTCTCAGAAATTCTGCCGGTAGATAAATTTGTGCATTCTTTTAAGGTTATCATTTCTATAATTTTTATATATCCTTATTGTTTGTCATCCTCATTTCAATTTATATTATCTTCCCTATTGTTTCTATTATACTAATCCTATGAAGATCTCAAAATTATGAGATGATATACTTGAATTATATTTGATTAAATCCAAGTCCTTCATTATTTCTTGAGTTTCTTTAATCTTGCTATTTCTAGTATTGATTACTTTGTATCTGCTTTTTTTTGAGAATAGCTGATCCTACAATAGGTGCAACATATGCTACATTATTATTATTATTGAAGATATTTCAACAATATCCAAAAACTACTTTGAACAAAATTTTACAAGCTCGTGTTTTAAATTAAGTAATAGAAAATTATTGTAATATCATTAATAATTATTTTTAAAAAAAAATGTAGCAAAATTCAAAAACAATTACTGTTTCTATAAATGGAAATAACCATTACTATCAGTCTTATAAAGATTTAAAGACTTAGCTAAAAGCGATAGGGGGCGATTGGGTATTATTTGATTCTCGCTTTGAAAATATAATTGATGAAGATAATTTTCTAAATTGTGAGAATTAGATAGCTATTAAATCAAAAGTCATTCAAGATGCAGTAAAACATGATGAAAAATACCTAAAATTACAGAAGGATTATAAAAATTTGTTGTTATATTTTTCCTTATTTCTTAAAGCGGATAATTAAAACAAATCTAAAATAGTGGCACTTCAAAAAGAATTAACGATTTGTTAATAAATGTTAAAGTAAATGTAAGACCAGTATTAACATTAATAAGGATAAAGAGATAATTAAATAAAATCAGATTCAAGCGATAATGAAGGAAATTATGATACTTATAATATGGAAAACCAACAAAATTTCGAAAACAGTTTACTGTAAAAATAAAAAGAGGATAGAGAGTATTGGAATGCAAATATGGAACCTACATAATAATAATGAGATCTGGCTAAACAAGGTTTGATGGCAAGCAGTGTTGAATAAACAATCAATAATAAAATTCATTTGCACCCTTTTATGTTTTGTTTGCTTTTAAATATTAATTATCTTAATTTCTTTTGGATATTTAACGTTTTGAAGTCAGAGCTCCTTCTCTTTCACTTATTATTTTGATTTTTCTAATAGGGAGCATTATTCCGAATATAATTTGTTTTCTCCCTGCAAGATTTATTTGTTTTAAAATAATTATCTACATTCATCAAAAAGGAGTGATGTTTTGTCAGAAACTATATATTTTTGTTTTTCAGCTTCTCTGAATGTTATTTTTCTTTTACTAAGTACTCTTGAGATTACATTATTTCTTTAGATCAATTTCTTCAATAGGTTTTAAGGTAAATATCCATATTTAATTTTATGAAATCATTTAACTCTTATTCTTGGTTTCGCATTTTTTTTTTCCATTCATCATTAGCTTTAATTAATTGTTTATGTATTTGTATTGTCAAATGCCTCAGCAATTTCTGTAGCTTTGAAAACAACATTTTAATTACTTCATTATACTCTTTTGCCAAATTTACTTTCAGTCCAACCAAAAAATGAACATTAATTTCATTTGGCTTACCTCTTACTACATGTATTTTATTAATGATTAATTACCCTTAATTAAGAATTCAAATATCTTATATTCTCGTCTCTTTATTAATAAATATTAATATAAAATATAATAATCACACGAGCTTCCAAGATTTTAAATCAAAACTAGTTTAAAATATAATTAATATATTTACAATTATAATTTAATTCATTTATCTTTAGCCTTAAAGTAAATCAATCCATATAGCCATCCTAAAGCACAACAGTTTTATATGGAAGCATATGCAATAAAAATTAGGATCAACAGACAAATTATGAGGAAAACTATCATCCAACATAAAATGATAATCATTAAAAATCAGTTTATTTAAGTGATTGATTATGAATTGAAATAGATTTGAATTTATTTCTATTTTTTTAAATCGTTCTTCAATTTTTATAAACGTAAAAATAGTTTGAGTATTTTTTGGACTGATGTGATATATATTTGATTAGTTTTTGGAAAAAGAGGAAATATAAATATTTTTAAATAATAATAATTTTTTCAAAGATACAAATTTTCCCAGAATTTAGCTGAAAATCTAATAATAAAATTAACGATGTTCTTAATGTTCTATTCGCCAATGGTTCTAATGATTTGAAAAATTCTCATATTAAGCTATTTTTTTAAGAGAAAGAATAAATTTAAAATCACAATATTTAGGTAGGCGAAAAAGAGTTGAGAAATTTATACAAAACAAAACATATTATTTATTTAAGAATTCAAATATCTTATTTAGTAAATTAATAAATAAAGTTAGAACAACGAAATTTATTGATGTTAATCTCATAGAATATAATTGATATATTTCCAATTGTAATTTCATTAATTTATCTTTTGATAATCCTTATTATGCTCCTAAAAAGCAAAAAAGTTATATATGGAAGCAGATGCAACAAAAATTAGGAAACACAATACACTTTCAGGAAAACTATCATATAAAACAAAATGGTGAACGTTATAATTAAATTAAGTTAGTAAGTGATCAAAATGAATATTCACTTTATCCAAATACATTAGGAACCCTAGATGTTAAATATATTTATTGATAAGGTTAAATTCAAAATTTTTTTTTACATAAGAAATGCATCTCTCAATTATTAGGAAATTAATATTGAATTACTAGTCATCGACAAAAAGAAAACTATAAATAACAAACAAATAATTAATTAATAATTTCTTAATATATATCTACTTTCATAAATTTTTTATTTTGTATATCAATATTGATCATACCAAACTTTTTTAGCCCGATTTTCTAACTCATTAGACCAAAATTATTAAGTTTTTCCTTTAGAAACTTCAAATATTTTTTCGAAATCCTTAATTTTAGTTTTCCCTAAATCAAATACTGATAATCCATATTTGTAGTTTGAATGTATTATAATGGTAAATATTATGATTTCTTTGTTATCATTAGACTCTCCATAGACGCAATCAGATAATGCCAAATTTTTATTTGTTGCCAAATAAAAATAGTTAAAAAATGAAGAAATATATTGTTCGATTGGTGACGTAATTTAGAAGGGCACAAAACTTTTACTATTAATTTTGAGACATTCTTGATAAACATAATAATTGCCCATTTAATCCTTGACTAAGAATTATTTTGGGATTTTTAAATTCCAATTTTGTTAAAATAATTGAATGTTATTGTATTAAAGGTCCCTTTAAAATAGGGTAAAATATCCCTATACAATTAATAAATTTAAAATGGTGTCAATAGCTTGATTNTTCTCGTCTCTTTATTAATAAATATTAATATAAAATATAATAATCACACGAGCTTCCAAGATTTTAAATCAAAACTAGTTTAAAATATAATTAATATATTTACAATTATAATTTAATTCATTTATCTTTAGCCTTAAAGTAAATCAATCCATATAGCCATCCTAAAGCACAACAGTTTTATATGGAAGCATATGCAATAAAAATTAGGATCAACAGACAAATTATGAGGAAAACTATCATCCAACATAAAATGATAATCATTAAAAATCAGTTTATTTAAGTGATTGATTATGAATTGAAATAGATTTGAATTTATTTCTATTTTTTTAAATCGTTCTTCAATTTTTATAAACGTAAAAATAGTTTGAGTATTTTTTGGACTGATGTGATATATATTTGATTAGTTTTTGGAAAAAGAGGAAATATAAATATTTTTAAATAATAATAATTTTTTCAAAGATACAAATTTTCCCAGAATTTAGCTGAAAATCTAATAATAAAATTAACGATGTTCTTAATGTTCTATTCGCCAATGGTTCTAATGATTTGAAAAATTCTCATATTAAGCTATTTTTTTAAGAGAAAGAATAAATTTAAAATCACAATATTTAGGTAGGCGAAAAAGAGTTGAGAAATTTATACAAAACAAAACATATTATTTATTTAAGAATTCAAATATCTTATTTAGTAAATTAATAAATAAAGTTAGAACAACGAAATTTATTGATGTTAATCTCATAGAATATAATTGATATATTTCCAATTGTAATTTCATTAATTTATCTTTTGATAATCCTTATTATGCTCCTAAAAAGCAAAAAAGTTATATATGGAAGCAGATGCAACAAAAATTAGGAAACACAATACACTTTCAGGAAAACTATCATATAAAACAAAATGGTGAACGTTATAATTAAATTAAGTTAGTAAGTGATCAAAATGAATATTCACTTTATCCAAATACATTAGGAACCCTAGATGTTAAATATATTTATTGATAAGGTTAAATTCAAAATTTTTTTTTACATAAGAAATGCATCTCTCAATTATTAGGAAATTAATATTGAATTACTAGTCATCGACAAAAAGAAAACTATAAATAACAAACAAATAATTAATTAATAATTTCTTAATATATATCTACTTTCATAAATTTTTTATTTTGTATATCAATATTGATCATACCAAACTTTTTTAGCCCGATTTTCTAACTCATTAGACCAAAATTATTAAGTTTTTCCTTTAGAAACTTCAAATATTTTTTCGAAATCCTTAATTTTAGTTTTCCCTAAATCAAATACTGATAATCCATATTTGTAGTTTGAATGTATTATAATGGTAAATATTATGATTTCTTTGTTATCATTAGACTCTCCATAGACGCAATCAGATAATGCCAAATTTTTATTTGTTGCCAAATAAAAATAGTTAAAAAATGAAGAAATATATTGTTCGATTGGTGACGTAATTTAGAAGGGCACAAAACTTTTACTATTAATTTTGAGACATTCTTGATAAACATAATAATTGCCCATTTAATCCTTGACTAAGAATTATTTTGGGATTTTTAAATTCCAATTTTGTTAAAATAATTGAATGTTATTGTATTAAAGGTCCCTTTAAAATAGGGTAAAATATCCCTATACAATTAATAAATTTAAAATGGTGTCAATAGCTTGATTGGCAATCTTTGAAAGTGTGAATGTTTTTTAGATATTTATTTACTATCCATTAGCAATTATAGAAATGTATTATTAATTAACACTTTAAGTGTAATACCATCTCTCTTTAAGAATACAATTTTTCCGAAAGAAAAAGTTCTTTTCTTTGATACATTTAAAAAATTCTTGTTCCTTAAATGTTATTTAAAAAATATCAGGTAAACCTGAATACTGAAGATTTGAACCTTAATCATCACTAAGAGCATTACTTTCAAATAAGTAATCAAGGTCAATTGGGGTTTCATTTTAAATATCTGATTATGATTTACTGATTAATTTCCTAATTGTATTTTTTAACTCTTCTGATTCAATGGTTAAATTTGCTATTGCTTTTTTTTATTGATTTAAATCTTGTGATGCATTCTTCAATTTATGAAAAAAGCACATCAACTCATCTTTTGATTTCTTGTCGTGTTCTGATGATTAATTTCGCTATTAAATTGTTTCTTCTTTTTTTTTTGTTTGTTCTGCCTCATTTTAGATCGATTGATTTCTTAAATCTTTTGACAGTTCTGATTGATTTATAAATCGAAATAATTCTGAAACATCCGCTGATAATGTTTCAATTACAACTGATGACTCTTCTGCTTTATCGCAAGAAACACTTTTATTTAATGAACATCCCAAGCACAATTATTCTTGGCTATTCTTTTATACTTCCATGTATAAATCAGCTATTTTATTGCTTGAAGTCGCTAGTTCTGATTTTTTCTCCTCTAACACATATGTTAATAATATTATTTCTTCTTTTTTTTCATCTAATTCTTTTTATAACTCTTCCTTTTCACTCTTCAATTATATTTTTGAATTCTAAAAGTATAAACAATCCTCTTTAATATGATGTAATTCACTTTCAAGCTTTCGAGCTTGATATTATTGCTAGAATTCTTTGGGGATATCTTCTTCATACTACTTACAATATTACTATTTGAATTATATTTTATCATTTTTAAGTACCTCAATTTGTGACTTCAAATCTGAAAGTTGATTAATTGTTGTTAGAATGTCCCTTGGTTTAATTGCCACTAAATCTAAGGCTAATTCAATATTATATTCATTAATATGGCTGCCGAACTGCCTTTCAATTAAAATCCACTCTGTATTTTATTTTTACTGCAGATAGTTCATTATGAAATGGTAATCATTAGCGATTAATTAGATACTTTCTTCTTATCCATCTACATTATAAATATGAAGTTTAATATCCCTTTATTTCATTTATATATTAATAATAAATTATCCTTATCTATATTTAAAAAGGAATTCAAATATCTTAATTCTGTTATTTTAACTAAAATGATAGAATTACAATCAATTTAAAAAATAATTATTAGAACAATGATATTTTAGACCCTTAATTAATTAATGTTAATATGATATAAAAACATGAGCTTGTAAAATTTTGATCAAAGTAGTTTTTGGATATTGTTGAAATATCTTCTATAATAATAATAATGTAGCATATGTTGCACCTATTGTAGGATCAGCTATTCTCAAAAAAAAGCAGATACAAAGTAATCAATACTAGAAATAGCAAGATTAAAGAAACTCAAGAAATAATGAAGGACTTGGATTTAATCAAATATAATTCAAGTATATCATCTCATAATTTTGAGATCTTCATAGGATTAGTATAATAGAAACAATAGGGAAGATAATAGACGTTAGAATAGGCATTAATAAAATAAATATCATGATCAATGGAATTAAGGAAGAACAAATTATTATCAAAATTATTTTAACGATAACAAGAACTTTAATTAAAGAAAATAATATAGAAGTAGAAACGATGAATTTATGAAATAGCCAATATATGTAATCAAAGACTAATAGTTAGAATAATAAGCTCCATAATAATAATAATAAAGTTAAACTTAGCCAACACTATAAAATGACACAATAAATTTATAAATTTAAGATTCTTAAATAGAAAGGAAGTTTAATAATAAAGTTAAAGTACACGTTAAGTATAATATTAGCATTAATAATAACGATAGTAATAGTAATAATAATAATAATCTTCAAAATGGAAACCTCAACATTTAACTTAATAACTCTAATAATAAAAAGTATAACACAATCAATCGACTACAATACATTAAACTGATTAAAAGCAAACTCAAAATTAGATTGATCAAATTTAAAAAATCTAATAATAACATACCACACCTCAAAAAATATAAAAAACTTCTTAAGAATAGTAAAAAGTTCTAGCCTAAGTTATTCAATAAGTATATTAATAACCAGTTGTTTAAAATGTTGCAACACAGCAATCTCAAATAAATCCTCCTCATATACAATAATAATAAATTCAATAACCAAAAAAAGGGATAATAATACTTTAACCTTTTAAGAATACAATTACCAATAAGATTAAATGAAATTTTGTGAGAATGATGTACAAGGACCTTAACAATAGGGAAATCAAACAGTTTAATATTAGTAAAAACAATCAAAACCAATGTGTTAAGTTCCTTTATTGGCTTAATTTTTGATATATGCAAATAATTGTACATAGACAAACCTATTCCCTCTAACAATGGTATTTATATATAATAGATTATTAAACTTAAATAATGCTTTTGAGTAATTACGATAGATTGCATTGAATTATGAATAACAAAAATAGTGAATTATATATCTGAAATTTTTAAAATAATATATGATACATATCTTTCTTAATAATTTTATTATCAACTGATTATCCAAAGTTTACTTAAGACTGTAGTCTAAATTAATTTACTAATCGAATCAAACTGCTTTATAGAAAATGGAAAATTCAATTCATTTAAATACTTAATAAATATATTTTGACTTGATCAAAAATATAAAATTTTGGGGTTTTATATTTATTAGAAGTTATTAAAATAAATTGGTAACACTCAAATCATTAATTATTCTTTAAATGTTTAAATGTTATCAAGTATATGATACTATAAAATAAAATAAAGGTTCTGAAAAATTTGAATGGAAAAATTCGTAATTAATCATTATCATTTATTTGAATTTATCGAAACCTTTAGAAATCTTTCCTTCCTTATGNGACGTTAGAATAGGCATTAATAAAATAAATATCATGATCAATGGAATTAAGGAAGAACAAATTATTATCAAAATTATTTTAACGATAACAAGAACTTTAATTAAAGAAAATAATATAGAAGTAGAAACGATGAATTTATGAAATAGCCAATATATGTAATCAAAGACTAATAGTTAGAATAATAAGCTCCATAATAATAATAATAAAGTTAAACTTAGCCAACACTATAAAATGACACAATAAATTTATAAATTTAAGATTCTTAAATAGAAAGGAAGTTTAATAATAAAGTTAAAGTACACGTTAAGTATAATATTAGCATTAATAATAACGATAGTAATAGTAATAATAATAATAATCTTCAAAATGGAAACCTCAACATTTAACTTAATAACTCTAATAATAAAAAGTATAACACAATCAATCGACTACAATACATTAAACTGATTAAAAGCAAACTCAAAATTAGATTGATCAAATTTAAAAAATCTAATAATAACATACCACACCTCAAAAAATATAAAAAACTTCTTAAGAATAGTAAAAAGTTCTAGCCTAAGTTATTCAATAAGTATATTAATAACCAGTTGTTTAAAATGTTGCAACACAGCAATCTCAAATAAATCCTCCTCATATACAATAATAATAAATTCAATAACCAAAAAAAGGGATAATAATACTTTAACCTTTTAAGAATACAATTACCAATAAGATTAAATGAAATTTTGTGAGAATGATGTACAAGGACCTTAACAATAGGGAAATCAAACAGTTTAATATTAGTAAAAACAATCAAAACCAATGTGTTAAGTTCCTTTATTGGCTTAATTTTTGATATATGCAAATAATTGTACATAGACAAACCTATTCCCTCTAACAATGGTATTTATATATAATAGATTATTAAACTTAAATAATGCTTTTGAGTAATTACGATAGATTGCATTGAATTATGAATAACAAAAATAGTGAATTATATATCTGAAATTTTTAAAATAATATATGATACATATCTTTCTTAATAATTTTATTATCAACTGATTATCCAAAGTTTACTTAAGACTGTAGTCTAAATTAATTTACTAATCGAATCAAACTGCTTTATAGAAAATGGAAAATTCAATTCATTTAAATACTTAATAAATATATTTTGACTTGATCAAAAATATAAAATTTTGGGGTTTTATATTTATTAGAAGTTATTAAAATAAATTGGTAACACTCAAATCATTAATTATTCTTTAAATGTTTAAATGTTATCAAGTATATGATACTATAAAATAAAATAAAGGTTCTGAAAAATTTGAATGGAAAAATTCGTAATTAATCATTATCATTTATTTGAATTTATCGAAACCTTTAGAAATCTTTCCTTCCTTATGAAATGATATAAATTGTGGACAATTTATGAGAACCAATTTAATATGAAAAGTATTAAAGGTTTAGGTTTAAAATAACTGTTTAGGAATATCTGCGACAACAATATTAAAGTTAAAATACAGTTTTGGTTATAAATACTATTGAAGAAGTTAACCATCTGAGATTAAAACAATCTAAATAAAGACTTTTAAATTTAGGCGATTTCTATCATTGCCTTGGCTTCCAATAAAAAGTTGAAACCATAATTATTAAACTATGATAAATATTCAAAAAATAAATTCAAGCGAGGACTCTAATCCATTAAGCCAATCTATACATTCTTAAAGTGAAAGTTCAGCCTCAATCAATTAGAGTCTGTCTAACAATTCTAAAAGCGATAATTATTTGGATATACGAAAATTAACTTGGGATGATTTTTAAGGAATACCTCCAGAAGACGATCCAGCCTTAGCTCATACAAAATGGAAAATTGGGTATAATTATTAAGTGCATCATGATGCAGATAAAATATAAGTAATGGTGGATGTTTGGTGTAAAATTGATCCTTCTTCTTGGACTAAAGATAAAACAATCGATGAATTATTGCATCATTAATAAGGTTGATCATCTTTGTAAATACTAATAGGTCACTTTTATATAGGGATGATTTGTGCTTTGGAGTTTAAGAAGAGAGTGCAAGAATTCTCCTTTAGTAAAGACTACAAGCAAGAAATTTCAGAGATTTTCAATAAGAGTTTGTAAGAATATTTAATGATGGAGAATAAATACAATATCGAGACTTTGAATATGTTAAATACTGCAAAATAACGATAGTGGGATATGAAGATAATGAAGTAATTGAACTCACTATCAAAATATACTTGAGATTTAATTGGATTCTATTTTATTATGATATATTTTTCAATACCCTATTCCAAATAACTTGGTCTAATCTTCTGAGAACACCAAAAGTGTTTCCTATAGCTAGCCAAATGTGTCCATTGACTCCCCAATTTGTTCCATAAGAGTTTCTGATTAACCAGTTTTTGTTGGAATCTTATCCAACAGCTACAGCTGCATGGTTAGTTGAGGTGTTAATGCAGTCTGTAAAGATACCTCCAGTATACCCTTTCCAATTTGAGGATTAGACACTGACAGAAAATAAGCTTAGGTAGCTGTAGTCCATGTTTTTTTTGAGTTTGCTTTGGATGTTTTTTCTGTTATCTTATTGCATTTTTTCCTTACTTGCAACATATGGATATTCAGATTCCTAAACAGCACCAATTTTATTTAAATAATCAATAGCATTTACTGAATAGCCCCATCACATCCATGTGAAGATGTTTCACAATCAACTAATGTGTTCCCTTAACAAAGATGAAAAAGGCTTCAAAAGCACCAAAGGCTGAGAATGACCAGCCTGATCCACATGTACCTTGGTTCTTAATTGGATTAATTTTTGATGACCAATCAACAGATTCAGGAAAATTAAATGAAGTAATAGATTCATCAACCTCAATAGGAGAAAAATCAGGTAAATTGATTCGAATTCTTCATCTGTTAGGGTAGCGAACTGATTTATTCCAAGGGTGTAGTTGGACTGCCTGCTATTTACTTCTTGATAGTAGTTGTAATTTTATTTGAAGATTTCAAATCTGTATTCATCTTCAAATTAGCTAGTATATCTAGTTTCATATTTTTATTTCCATTCTTAATACAATGTTCTTAGGGGATCTTCTTAGCCTAAGTAGCTTGTTGTTGCATGGAGAACAGTTGTAAGAAGTGCAATCAATGGCTTATTCATTAAATTAATTTACAAAATATCTTCCTATTTTTTGCTATTATAAACATAAATCTACAATGTATTAAAAATTTTGAAAAATTTCAATCAATTCTAAACTATGGAATGATCAAATTTGACAGTAAGCATTAAACTCTTTTATAAGCAATCATGGATTTCAGAAGCATCATATATCATTTATCTTGACTGAAAAAATATTGTAAATTTAGTTTATGTAATTTTATTATATGTGATTCAGCAATCATCAAGAGTTAGAATTTAAATTAGAGAGGATATTGTTTATTTTATATTATTAATAGTATTAAACAAAGCTTAAAATTCAATTTAATAAATTAGAGAAACGATGTATTGTAGCAAAGCTAGGGTTATAGATTGAAAATATAAATGCTGAATATCACTAGCATTAAATATGGAAAATATCTAATTTTAATAAATAAATTAAGTGCTCATTTTTCTTATAATTATTCCAATTAATATTCTTAATTAAATATTATTCTTATGGATTTTTAAATTTTACAAGCATAAGTAGTTAATTTAGTAGTTTTAGCATTTACTTGTATAATTTAAAAATAATTATTTGAATTTTATATTTCAATATTATAAGATGCGTGAATTGACTCTACATAGATATTTGTTCAAGAATACCATTTTTATTACTTTGCTGAGTTTTATATATTAATTTAGGGTGTTAAAATAGACATAATTAATATTAACTGAATGTCTACGTTGATATGTCAAAAGGATTCGAAATACCTAAAAATATACATCAATTAATTATATAAAATTATTAACATTGAATGACGAATATTATAAAAGATATTTATAATGTACTCATAAAATAAATTGAAGGAAAAGAAGCTACTTTTTAGGTTAAAGTTAGTAATGCTATTATTAATGAAATACGAAACATCTGTGTATATGAATAATTAATTTAATTTTTATGAAATCATATTATGATTACTCTAATGTTTTATTCGAATGCATCATGGTTCGCAAACATTTCATTAGTGATGTGAAGTATTATTGCTATGTTCTAAGCGATCACCTGCTTATGAGTAGGGTAAGATATACAATTTATTTAAGAAAGCGAAGGATCCCGCTCCAAAATATGTTTTACCATTATAATTGACAAATCAAGTCGGATGGGTTGTGGAGCGAAAAGATAAGAAAATTCAGTTTAAGGCTTTCACTATCAAGTACATGGAGAAATACAAAGACTTTGTGGGAAGCAGCAATGACTTGTAGAAGTAATAAAAATAAAATTAAGTAGACTGAAGGAACATCTCAGAAATAAGGTTACATTCTACAAAATTGCTGATTTCTACGAAGCATAGTATAATTTAGGAAAGGGGAGTTCAGCAAAGGTTATCCAAATAAAAGAGTTAGGAAATGAATAATCAAAATTGGCAGCAAAAGCGATAGATAAAAGTTACCTATAAAAGAGTGAGTCTGGCATGCAGGCCTTTTTAAATGAAGTCAACATCTTGAGCCACCTTAGTAAGTAAAATTATTGTGCTCCCTTCATCAAATTGCACGAAACATATGAAGGAGATCACACATTCTATCTCATTTTGGATCTGATGCAGGGCAGAACTCTTGCGGATGAATTGGATATCTTAAAGGTAAAAGAATAACAAACTATTAGCAAAGAAAGGAGATGTTTCCTATGAAATTAGTCAAAGTTATTATGAAACAATTGCTATAAGGCGTTAAGATACTTCACAATAATAATATAATTCACAGAGATTTGAAGCCAGATAACATAATGTTTCGAGAAATAGATTCCTATGAAACTCTCACCATTGTAGATTTCGGATTGTCGACCTTCACTGATGTTACTAGATATTAATTTCCAAAATGTGGTACTCCTGGATATGTGGCACCTGAGATTTTGAATTTGGTTGATAGAGATTCGAAATATGATAAAGTTTGTGATATCTTTAGTTGCGGTTGTATCTTTTATAAGTTACTCTTTGGCCATAGTTTGTTTATGGGTAACACTTTCAATGAAGTATTGGGACAAAACAAGAAGTGTAATTACACTCTTGATGGACCTGAAATGACTTCTATTCCTTATGAAGCCTAAGAACTACTCAAAAGGATGCTTGCAAAGAACCCCTCTGAAAGAATAACAGCTCATTAGGCTTTGGAATCTGACTATTTTAACAAACCTTCATCTCCTCTGCAATCAAAGAGTATATTACTGTATAAAATTAGAACTGAAAGCATTTAATGTACCTAATATCAGTAGTAGGAATATTTTCCAACCTACATTAGATGGATTATAATCTGAAGCTGAATCTCCCTTTTAGAGAATAAGTTAGAAATGTAAAAATTAATTCGATTTTGATGTTGACATTTAAGAAAATAAATGTTCATCCATTTAAATTAGATAACTACCATCTGTGAAAAAGCCTACTTGTGTAAGATTGGAGGATTCGACAATTGGTAGTTTCTATGCAAAAGATCCCTTAAGTAGTTTCAAGAAACTCAAAGGAAGTATGTATATATGTCTATCCTAAGCATCTCAAAAACAATTGAATGAGACTAAAGAAATCAAGGTTAATCAATTCGATGTTGATTAAATGCAAAGAATCTCATTATTTAACAGAAATGAAGATTATTGATATTGCTTCTATTACTTAATATCAATTTAACATTTATGAATTTTGTTTCTTATTCTCTCTTTGACAATTTTTAAGTTAATAATAAATATTACACTTACAAAAATGAACAGGTAACTTACACCAGATGGTACAAAATCAACAATGAGAAGTACTATGTTACCAAAGATTGTCAATAAATAATAAAAATTAGAATAGCAATAGAGTATTTACTAAAGTGTGGATGCAGAAAAGTTCTAAAAGAGAACAAGAAATTTTGATTTTTCTAACTTATAGAGAACAATTCAGACCAGCTATTCAAAAAGCAGATAGAAATAAAGGACAATACTCTAACCTTTATCTAATACGATAAATAATCGAATCTAGACTAAGTAACAGCTAAATAGGATAATAAATTCATTGATCAGAATAATGCAAAATGATGCTGAATTTATGAATTCATGTAAACATTTACATGTGAATTCATAAAAGTTATCGCAGTTACTACTTATGCTTACTCCACTTAATTTTGAAACTGAAGGATTCTTTACAATTCATCGTAAGTTGAAATAATAATAACAATTGAATGAATAACCCTATTTTATTGAAATTGATAGAATGTTTTTTGCAGTTTCTAAACTAAACATTCCTGTACCATTGTAACATTTGATGTAGTTATCCCAATATAGTGATTGTCTTTATTAAGATAACTCATTTGGAATGGTTGTGAACTACTAATAAATGTTATCAATCTTAAAATAAGCTTATCAAGTACATAAAAATATGTAGTCTTAATAAGAATTGAGTACAACTACGGCAAGCGATGATGAGGAAAGATTGTCACCATCAGCTAGAAGTATGTGTATATACATAGCATACTAGTTGTTTAGAGATTATTGTCACGTAATACAGCTAGAAAAGTTCAGTTTAAATAGAAGCGATTAGGTTACATCAATGATTAGAATATGGTGGCTTATTATGATTCCTTCACTGATTTGAAGAAGAAGTTGGAGAGAGATTGGAATGCAAAGAACTACATTTTTGGGTGTATCAGATTCGGGTACATTGACCTTATAAAATATCCTCAATATGTTGATCATTAAACAAAGAAGGAACTCAAAATATTTGGGCTAGAAAGATCGAAACTACCAATATCTATGCAAGTTGTATATAAGCATAAATCTCAAGTGATGAATCAGGAGAAAGCATTGAACAAATTGAATCTGTACCAACCCAAGAATATCTATTATGAATCTTACACCAAGGACCCTGATTTCATCTCTAAAGTTTACTATTTAAATGTAATCACATTCAATTATTGATTAGGTGTATAGTTTATCTAACAAGTTTAATTCTATTTACACTTATAAAAATGATTAGATAACTGACTACAATATTATGAATTTGGACAATATCTGCATCAAGAGTTTATTCACAGAATAGACTGAATACATTACAAAGGATTGCGCTTTTGATGATTAATAGGGGTGTTTCCGTGTTAAAAAGAGGGAATACCGTCCTCTGGATCTAGAATAAGCAGACTCATCAGGATCTGAACCTGATTTGGATGTTTATGATCCTCTTTATGTGAAAAGTATACAATCATATCCGCAGTACTTAATTGAAACTTAGATTCAATTTACATTCCCGTTGCTCTACAGATTCTATTACAATAAGATGTTTACTAATGCCAAGATCATTAGAGATAATTACACAGAGTAATAAAATATAATAATAATTATTTAGATTGGTGGATCAATGTAAGATAAAACCTGAATAGTAATTCAAAGAGAAATTTGTGAATGTCCCCAGTCCAGATAATTGCAATTATCAAAGACATAAATATAAGTAACCAGAGACTGTAGATTTGACTGATGAAAGTGACAATGAAATTTATGAATAACCTCTTGAAGCCTTAGATAAATAAGATCTTTCACTTAGTTTCAAAGTTTAACCTCTAATTAAAGAAGAAGATTTTAGAGAACATACTCAATATCTAAAGAGTCAATCATCCATAATTATTCAGGATGAATAGAAAGTGAATGACAAAATTCAATTCGCTCACAATATTGCAAGACCATTTATTTGTTTATAATGTATTTTACTTATTAAATTAGACATCAGATTCTTATGCCCTATTATTGTAGTTAAGATTCCCATTATAAATTCACATGCAGATAATTCCTTCTATAGTTGAAAGAGAATTGCCCTTGAAGGAAGTGAATTTTGAAGCAAGTACCATCATCATTGATAATACTCTAACTATTGATTAAGGAATCAAAGATTTAGAATCATACCCTATAATTGATATAGACTCTGAGGAGGATCCAAGCTTTGATGAAATGCCTCTTGAAATCGATCTACCTGAATAAGTTGAATAATAGACAATTGAATAAAAGAATGAAGATGATGAAGAAATAACAATAGACAAAGTTACTGAATATGTAGATTTGGAAATTAAAGATAGTCTGACCATTGAAGTTAAAAATGATTATGTAAGTAAGCTAGAGATTGATGGATATCCTATTTACTTTTATTTGGATGAACATCTAAGGAAAACAGAACCGACCATACACAGAGTTACTATGGAAGGTAAAGAAATTCAATCAGTTCAAATTAGTTGTGAATAAAAAGGATCTAAAATTTATATGAAATTATTTGCAATCAAGGCTTTATGTGATTAGAGATTGGAGAGCAATATTGAGAAAAAATAAAATTATGAAGAAGAGGACAAACAAGTTAATATATATGAACCTATAACATTACCTGAATAATGGAATCAAGGTTAATTTGTCATCAATTTGTATTACTTGCAAAGAGAGGATGTAAATTAGAATGTTGAATGGCTCAAAACGGTTCTTATCACTTATTTTCCTTAAATTATTATTGTTGAAGAATATAGCGAATCTTTTGAAGCATATATTTATGGAGTTGGTCCTAAGGATTTTAGAGATGCAAATGGAAGAACTTTGCTTTTTAGAAAGGATATTGAGGATTGGTACATATATTATTGTTATTTAAGGACTCAATTTAACCAGGAATTTCAATTTAAAACTCTCCTAATATATGATACAATCTGTTACTTAATTAGTCTCTATGGTTCAATTGATTAATTGAGCTTTGTTTAGAATAAATATATTTCAGAAAATCACTCAAAGCATACCAAATCGAAATTTGAAAAACTGCATTTACATCCATACAAATATGTTGAGAATGTAGAAAGGGAACGAATCAGACCAACTACTGGTTACAGCAAAGTTGGAATAAGAAGATAAAATTATTGATATTATAAATATATCTATATTAAACCAATCATAATCAATCTTTCTTTAAATTCATTTATTTTGATTTTTCTATTAAGAATCAATTTACTAAGATATTTTATCTAAAATTGTATATTACCTAGGGATGTTCCGGTCATTTAGTCTAAATGCAAGCGGACCTCTTACCCACAGAAAATGAACAAGATTTAAAAAATGATTCACTTGGTGGTTTACTCAAGAATTTCATAGGATTCATTATAATGAATAAAATAAAAAAATAACTTTTATACACTAATAATATTTAAACTATAGATAGGCTTTTGAGATTCAATATCAATGAGTCAATTGCAATAAAGCATTTATCAAACTTAAGTTTAGCCACTAAATATACCCTTCTCAAAAAGGGCTCCGTAGAATTGCAATAATTAATATTAATGGACATAGCAAATACATCGATACCCTAAAATTATACGATTGGATAGTTATTCACTAAACTATTAAACAATATTTTAAGTTTTGGAATAAAAACTGATCAACCATAATACAAGACCAATTTATTAGAACATTTAAGTTTATAATAAAAAATAAAATTATTTTGCAAAAATCACCATAAATATTTTAATGATAATATCAGAGATCAGATTCTTGAAGATATCGAGAATTCAACACCAATTAATGTACAAACTAGATATTTATTAAAATGGCTTTATTTATAGGATGACAATACTTATCAATAATATCATCCCCTGATAATCAATATAGTATTGAATTAATAGAATGGAGAATTAAATTATCAATCTCACAAATACATCAGTTTATTATATGAGAAACTCTTACAATCGTAATTCGAAAATGTGAAATTATTTTTGAAAGTCTATAGAGATCTAGCTTAATAATTTATGATGTCCAAGAATTCAAGAAATAGAATCTTACTTAAGCTATAGCTTAATAAACAATTAGAATTAAATTTTCTGCTAAATCAAATTGAATAGGATTGTTAAAAGTATTAGGATTTGGAGAGTTTAGATCATATTAAGTTCTATCTTAATTATTAGGGGAATTTAGAATGGCTATTAAAATAAATCATAACTAAAAAGTTCATTAACCATATTCATAAAACTGAAGTCTTGGAACTAATCAATCACATTATTAAAACAAACTCATGCGCATAATATTACTCATAGTTATTTGATTAGATTATGGATGCTTTTGAGCCTGAAGAAGTATTTTATCATGAACTTTCCTAAATCTTTCACTTTTTATTAATTGTCAAAGATTATCCTGAAATGATTTTAGTTCAGCTATTTAGGATCTTTGCAGACAAACATATACTCTTCAATCCTCAAGAATTCTCTGCCATTGTATTATTAGTTAATCAGTTTTAAGAGGTTAATATATAGGATCAACATTAAACTTATTAAATTTCAATTTATGATGAATTACGAGACTATTATCTTAAAAATTCATTATCTATGACCAAGGAAGTCCACTAAATTTTTATTAGACAGACGACTAATAAATTGGGGTGATGATAAATAATTCAAAGTTTATAACATGTCATTCTAAACTATATTCTCACAACTAAAATTTAAAAATATCATAATTTAATTATTTAATTATACATAAATTTATATGGACCCAGAGGCTCAAATGGATCTGAAGACTGAGACACCGGTGATTAGAGGAAATGATGATTTATCTGTGTATCTGCAGACCATCTACCACCTAAACTTAAATGATTTCAAGGAATCACTTTATCAAATGAAATTACTATTGATTAATCAAAGATAAGCGTAATTTGATTTAAAATATTCACAGATTCTAGGCCCTATAATGGAATTATGGTAATATGTAATAATACATACATTAGAAATATAACTGAAATAGCCCAACAATATTTCATTTCTATTACTAATTGTAATTCTGTAGTTGTTAGTCGTATTTATTTATTCTATATTATACTTAAAACATGCTTTTATTATTGCAATATTAAAACATCTAATAATTAATAGTTTTTATGGATATTCAATAGTTATTTTGTTAAAGAGATTTATACCTGACCAACACTTTCATTTAATATTTGTTGTTGAAGCATTCCTGTATTCACTATTTTTATTCACAATTTACAATTATTTATGTTTAGTAAGAACTTTGATTAATCTAAAGTTTATAGTCAACTTACTAATTGTTAGTCCATTAGAAGTAAATAACATCCTTAACCTATTTGCAAATTACTAATTTTATTACACTATTTTTAAACAAATTTCAAGTAAGAACTACTGAGTGTATACTAATAGGTATCAATAAAATGAAGCAGCCTGAATATTTGTTAATTCCGATTGGATTTTAAGTGATAATCTTTTTTGGACTCTGTCTGATACGTATTGATTATTTCAATGTTCTGGTTGACATATTGTTATGATATAAAATATATTTATTTAATGATGCATTTTATAATAATGAATTGATTTCATGCATCGATTAAAATAACTGTCCTACTAAAATCGTTATAATTAAATCAATTTGAAACTAAAAAGTGTTATTACTCAATAGTAATTAAATTTATTAATTGATACTTACCTCATTTACTTATTATTTTTAATTTTTTGAATCATTTATATTATATAATCAATTAATGTGATATCAATACTAAGTATGAATCAAAATTAATATTATTTTGTTTAATATTCGAAATAAAAATACTAATAATGGAAAAATTAGAGAATAGTAAAGGTTAAACCAGCTTAAGTTCATTATTTTGTCTCAAAAAATTAAAAGTAAGAACACAAGTTTTGATAATTCAAGTGATAATTCAGTTTTTAATAGGAACTTTATTAACATTAATAAGTTACTTAGCATATCAGTACATTATAGACATGTACTCAAATATCTCCCTGGAATTCTATGTTCTTTAATATTACAAAAAAACAGATATGATTACTAATTTATAAGTAAGAAGTTCTTAGGAAGTATTATTCAGAAGTTAAACTCATCTTCTAAAGTCTGATTTCTTATATCAATTCATCTAAAGTGTAGAATTATAATACATACAACAGCCATTGAACTGTCTCAACTATGATGATAAATTGGACAAATATCAATATGAATAAACATTTTGCTACGGCTTTTTTGGAGACTAAGCATATTCTCTTACAAATAAAGATTTTTTGGCATTGAATTATTCCTCCTTTTTAACCCAAGTTTTACCTATAATGGATATGGATTTGGATTTGCTATTTTCAACAGTTGGTGATTAAATGTACTTTTCTATTTGGCCAGGTGATCCCTTTCCAAATTATAAGCCTCATAGAAGAATATGGTATACAAACCATTTGAAGTAGATAGAATAATAAAATTATAATTTGACTTACTTTAGTGATCCTTATATTCTTTGGACTTGGTTTCTGTTTATGGTGACTTAAACAAGGAATATGACTAATTTAAATGGAGGACTGGATGGTGTTTTTGGAAGTGACTTAAACTTTAGTCTATTTCATACTTTATCATTGAAGTAAGAGAATGTTACATTTTCTATAATTGATTCAAAAGGGCAATTTCTATTGAGTTAATTTAATATAAGTGAAGACAAGTACATTTATGATACTGATATATCAGGATATACAATGGAGGATTTTGAACAAATTAACAATTCCTTGTATTAAAAGGCATTTATCAATAATTGTTCTAAGATTGATCAATTATTGAATAATGAAAAGCTATGTAGGTATAATTCAGTAACTAAATCTGAAGAGTTGATAGTAGCAAAGATTTTGTACCCAACAGATTTGATATTGCTGATGTAAGAGAATTCAAATCTTATGGTTTTAGTTAAGTGGATCTACTTGAAAAGGAGAAGGAATTACTGAATCAACTTACTCAAATCAAAAATAATTTTGAAGATTTCTTTAGAGAGTATATTATAATTGGAATTTCAACAGCATTATTTTCAATAATTTTAAGTTCATTGATTATTTATGTGACATTGAGTCCAATCACAAACCTAATCTTGTATACTAGTTAGTAGATTACAAAGGAATTTGATCTTATGCAACAGTAGATCAACTAAAAGATTCATCTCAAACAAAGCAAATATTCCTTAAAGACTATATAAGAATTGCACTAGGCTTTTAGGAAGATGAATATAAAGCTGTTCAACCATAAGGAAGGCAGAAAAAACATCACATGCACAGAACTTGAATAAATTGAGTTTCCTCTGAAACCTTTGGAGACATTGCCATTTGAATCTTCCAAAATTCAGGTAAAGCATCAAAGTAAATTAGAATTACAACTTTTAGGAAGATGATTTATAAGTGTTTTATCCATTTGAATTCTTGAAACTTCATTAAAAAAGAAAAAGACATTGGTACAATTACGTTTCAATTTGAATAACAAATTCAGTTAAATCAATTTTGATATTCTCTTTTGTGATAAATCAATATTATAATTCAACCTTTTTTTGTATCATCATTAACATTATTGAGACAGTTGCGAGCATCATTTTAGAATTTAAATGATTGGACAATCTTCTTTGAATTTAGAGTTTGAGGTCTGTATAAGATGAGTAAAATATATTCTGTTTAACTATAATAAAATATATAAAATAAACAGAAATATTCAAATTTGAATGAGTAAACACAAGCATAGAAGAACCTAATCAAATTCAGAAGTCGATCTAAGAAATGCTTTATGTCAATAGGATGATAAGAAACACTTCATAGAGATATTTAATCATGTATTCTAAAATGCCATTATTATTAATAGGCTTCGCACATTTAACCTTAAATTCCAGAAAAAGAAGTTATAATTGAAAAATTAGAAGATGATTATGCAATGCAACATCTCAAAGAGAATTGTGGTTTAACATTTGGCAATTCCAAAAAAAAATCAAATTTTGGATCCTATTAACCCAACAATCTCTTTTTGATTCCTGAATAGAATGATTTGTTGTCAAGCGTTGAATAAACCTAAGAATCAGGTAAAAAATTTACTTCAGGAATGAAATTGAATGTGAATGCTTAAAAAAGATAAACTAATAGCGTTGAACAAAAGCATAATAATGATCAAAAGGAGAATTTAAAAAATGAACACAATAGGCAAAATTCGACATTAATAAGTTAGATTGTAAAAATCATTTTTAAATTATAGTAAGCCTAATTAAGAGATGTCACTCATTTGATGAATAGTGATAAATTAGATTTATTCAATAAAATGAGTTTTACTAAAGAACTACAAAAGAAAACTGCAGTTTAACCTGTCTAAGTTCCATTTAGTCATTAAACCACACTGCAACCATCTCTAAATCATAATTACTCTCAACAACAACAATCTTAATCTCAGCATCAATAGCCATCAACTCAACCAAATAATAATATACTCTAATAATAAAATCTTAATATCTAACCCTAAATATTAGTGCATCAAAATTCTTTAAAAAATGTTACCAAACATACTATAACTCCAGATAGAAAAAGGACTCCTTCAATGGCTATTAATAAACCATCAGGAATAGAAGCCCCGTTCCAAAAATCTGATAAATCAATTAACGAAAGCGAGAAACTAAAAAATAATTTATCAGTCTCAATTTTTAGTAATCTCTTCCAATAAAATAAGAAAATTTCAATTAGTCATATAGCAAATACACCAGATCAATAAAATGACACTTTTAGAAAATTGGAAACTCAAATAAAAAAAATTGAAAGAGAATTATTCTCATTAAAATAGAGGCAAGATTAACAGGATGAAATAAATAAAAATATTTAATAATAACTACAACAAGTAATTCATGATAGTAGAAAGCAAAGAGAAGTATGAATTTATTGATATCAAAGCAAGGTCATTTGTCTTTAAAAAAGTTGGAGTAGCTTGAAATGATTACTAGAAGAAATGAAGAGTCTATTATGTATTTAAGATAAACATTTGGGGGACATAAGAGAATAGATTCAACTACACATCAAACGTAAACTTTTTATAATTATAAAAGTGATTCTACTGAATTGAGCGATCAACATAGAAGATTTACTGATTTAAAGAGTTTGAACAGATACATTTGAACCAAGTGTTATTTTGTAATTAATTTCAACATTTTTTCAATTAATTTTTTTTCTCCCCATTAGTTTAAGAACACCTAAAATTAAAATGAATCGAATATCATTTTATACCAAATACTCATTGAATTTCAAACTTAAATAAAGCTTGAAAAATCCTAAAAGTTCATCTACTTTTAAATAAATTTTTAATATTACCCTTAACTTCATTTATTCATTTAGAGTAATCAAACTTTAAGAAAAATTAGTATTTTTAGAAAAATATAATTTGGAATTAGCTTCATCAATCATCTTCATTTTCAAAAATATGATTTTTATTTCTATTTGTATTTTCCATATTCAAGTATTTAAATTTCACTTTTCAATTTCAATTCTTACTCTTTTCAATTGTAGATTTCTTATTATCCTCTTTCAATTGAAATACAGCATTAATTGTTCATTAATTTAATTCCTTTTCAATAAATCTTTAAATTTCCCTCAGTAAATGTTGATTTATTATTATAATCTAAGGCTTTGATCGTTTTACCAAATTCTCCAACAATTTTGATTTAATTTATTTTTTTTCTTCGTTATCGTCTTTTTTCGACATTTTTAATATTCTAGTATTAATGAAATCATTATTAATAACAGTAATTTATACACAAAAATATGTATCAGAGACAGTTAAAATCTTTTTTTGGTAATGAAAATTAAATGACTTTTTTTACTCTTTATCGACATTCTTTTTCCATTTACAGATAAGATAGAGAAATAAGCATTGTGTAAAAAGGATCGACTTGGTAATCTTTTTATTTATTTTCCTTTTATTTTTTAAATTCTAAAATCATACTCTAATCATACACTATAGAAAATTTTGTTCTTCATATTATTTTAAATTAAAAATAGAATTCTCACAAGTTTAATTTCGAAATATATCATCTAATTTGTCTCTCCTTTTTCTTTGGATACTATATAAACTTTCAGGAAATTGATGCCATCTAATTCTTTAAAATTGAAATTTCTATCAATTGATAAACCTTGATTTTAGATTTCTTCTTGGAGATTATTTTATGGAACAACAACATTATCTAATATTACTATTAATTATTACTTAAACTTTTTGTAATTAGACTCTAAAGTTGATAGTTCAAGGTTTCTTTAATTTTTTGATAAACATATTGATTAAGGTCCTAAATAAAAACTTAATGATTGCTTCTTTTTCATTTTTGGACTCTCTCATTATAAGTGATGAAATACTTTTAGGTTTAGTATAATAATGCTTTGTTGTTATAAAAACATTAGGAAGTTGAAGATCATAATTTTATTCCTCTATAAAATTAAATTTTAATCTTTTTATATTTTCTTTATTTCTTTCCTTATCTCTTAATTTTTCCATTTTGATTGAATTTATTTGATTTGCTCAAAATCACCTTTAATAGTAGCATTAGCGAATTTCATTTATTATAAATTTATAATACCAATTTATATATCATTAAAAGTAATTCTATGCTCCAAATGGCTATTATTATTTACCTGTTATTTATTTGGAACTTAGTTTTCAGCTAGTGTTTCTTTATTTTCATTGCATCTGCTTCCATAGAAAAACAGTTGTACTTTTAGGATGGCTATATGGATTGATTTACTTTACAGTTATCAAAGTTAAATTAATTAAATTACAATTGTAAATATCTTAATTATATTCCAAACTAGTTTTGATTTAAAATCTTGGAAGCTCATGTGATTCTATAATATTTATATTTATTATAAACTGACTCTTAATCATTATTATTTTATTAATCTATTATTATATTCTTATCAAATATCTTGATAATTTAATTATAAATAGCAGATTTAATCAAAAATAAAAAATATTATTTATTAATGGATCAGGGAAACAATTTTTAAATTTATTATAACAATAAATTTGAAGCATATCCTATTCAAGATTATCATGCTCTTATTGAAGAGTTGGAAAAGAAATACGATGGAAAATGTTTATTGTTTGATTGGCTTTCTGATAATCTAGTTACTCCACAAAATTTAGTGTTGTATAGAAAATTGATACTTTGTAGGATTAAGGAGATTCCAATTCTATTGAAAAAGATTTAAGAATATGATGAAGAATTGAAATAATTGACTATGGATTAACAACTTTAACAAGAGAATACAGAAAAATAAAATACTATTTTAGGCAAAGCTATTTTTGAAAAGTCAGTTGAAGGAAGCGAAATAAAAGAATAAGCTAAAAAGCTAGAAAAGGACAATAAAGCACTTCTATAAAAGGTAAAAGAGTTAAACGCTAAGGAATATAAAATTTAATAGCTAATAACTTAAAGTCAAGATTTTAGCAATCAAATAGGAAACCTAAATTGTGCTAGAAAAAATTTATAAAGTGAAAATGATAAATTATCAAAGGAAAATTCACAATTAATTCAATTTAAATTAAAATCAGAGCAGTTAGATAAAGATTTATAAAATTTAGAGTTAGAATAGAGAGTATAAAAAATATAAAATGATGAATTAAGAATCTAATTATAAGAGGAGGTGAGGTTTTCTTAATTATAATCAGAGCAATTATAAAATGAATTAAAGCAATCAAAAGAAGTAATTGAAAATTTAAAAATTGAATCAGAAAAGTTATAAATTGAATTACTTGAATCAAAAGGGTAAGTAAATTATTAAGATAAATCATCAGATGATTAATAAAAATTATCATAGAAACAAGAATAAAATGTTTGTGATGATGTTGCTAATTTTTACACTGATGAATAATAATAGGAAGACAAATAAATATATGGAAACCAAATAAAATTTCAAGAAAGTATCATTAAAAAAATATTGGATGAAATGCATTTGATTAGATAAATCACGCTTAGAAATGATAAAAGTTCAACTTTTTAGTAGTCAAATCAGTTTGAGGTATTGTAAATAACATTAAATGAACAATAATTTTAGAAATGCATCAATGAAAAGAACTTTTTCTTTAGGCAAAATTGTATTGATAAAAAGAGATACGATGCTTAAAATATTCAAGATGATTAAATTTCTATATCTGTTAATGGACAGTAGGTAATTATCATGAAACTACACAAACTTTCAATATATGAGTATGAAGCTATTGATATCATTTTAAATAAATTGATTGTATAGGCTTATTTTAAAATATTTTAAAGGGATTTCTAAAAAAATAGCAAGCAACAAAATTGGAATTTGAAAATCCCCAGATAATTTCTAGTCAAAGACGAATTCAACAATTATTACATTTATTAAGAATGCCTACAAATGCAAATTAAAAATTTTATACCCTTTTCAACTACATCACCAATTGAATAATATATTACTTAATTTTTCAGACATTGTTACCTAGCAACAAATAAAAATTTGGCATTGACAGAATGTTAATATGGAGAAAACAATAAAAACGCAGAAATCGTAATAACAAACATTATAATACATTCAAACTACTTAAAAGGATTTTCATGTTTTGATCTAGGGAAAACAAAAATAGAGGAATTTGAAGAAATGCTTAAATCTCCGGGGGGAACATCTTAATAATTATGGTCTTATGAATTATAAGATCTGGCTACAAAAGTTTGGAATGAACAATAATAATATTGAAATTAAAATCAATTTAAAAAAAATGATTGAAACATGATTATTTCTTATTTAATTCAGCTTAATCGAAAGCTTTTTATTCCAATAATTTATAGCTTTCTTTTGATAAATGACTAGTAATTTAATGTGAGTTTACTAATTATAAATTATTATTATGAAGGGTTTCTCATTTATTTGGATATGGAAGTACGAATTAGATAAGCAAGCGTAAAAAAGAATATTTAAAAAGTGGATATTATTTTTATAAATCTATGTAAATTGAAATTATACTTAATTGATATTTTTAGATCGGCGTAAGTTAATCGTAAAGAAGTTAGTTAAAAGTTTAGAAATTAAAATGAAATAAGTAACTAATAATATGAAAATATAATTTTATTTAATTAATTATCAATCACTTAGATAAACTGAGTTTTCATTTTCTAAAGATAGCCATTTTTATTAGAAATGATAGTTTTGGTTATAATTTGTCTGTTGAAAAGTACATTCAATAGAATTGTTTAAATCATCTCCTTGAAATAATTGTACTATATCTGTTATAAACTTTGTAATTCTAATTGAATTTTAAGTAATTAAATCTTTAAACATTAAAAGTAATTAGTTTTTATGTTATTTTTCAATTATTGTTTATAATAATGATAAATTATTATTCCCTTACTCTATTAATAACTAAATAAATAAATTCTTCACTATAGTATTAGCTTAAGAGAGTTCATCTAATTAATTGGTCTATTCAATAATATCTTATGTTATTAAATTGATTTGATCTTATATATTATTTTAATTTCCATCCAGTTATTTTAAAATATTATAAAGTTCTCGATAAAAGACTTTATCAAGTTACAATTTAATTTCATCTAAATTCTGTTAAAATTGTGAATTTTCTAAAGGACTTAATTTATCATAATAAGGATCTTGATCAGAATTATTTCTAAAGAAAAATACTATTAATCTTTCTTTCTTTTTCTATTTTAGTGGAAATTCAAGATATGTTTGATATATAGATTCCAATAAATCATATAATGGTTTCATTTTGTTAATAAAGTTTAATAATTCTTCTTTTTCTTTCATTTCTCTTTTATCTTCTTCATTAATTATTGACTTTTTTGCTCCTGCAAGATGAAGTAATATATGTCTTCCTTAAGCAATAAGAAAAGTTAACAATCTAATGGAACCCTCTTTAGCTGCCCAAATATTAGGTTTATTTATAGTTATATTTTATAAATTAGGAGGCTTACCCAAATCTATATTTCTTACTTTTTCATTTTATTCCAATTTCTTTATTTTCTAAATTTTTATTCTCCCTCTTTACTAACTCATTCTCCTTACCTTATTTTTCAACTTCATATTAATAATTCTATTAACTATATTTTAAAACAAATTTATAATTATATATATATTAGCTGAATGAATTATTATTGACAAATAATTAAACTGCTTTATATTTAATACATTTACATATATATATAAAACTGTTGAAATCACATAAAATGAAGTTCAATCGTATTAAGTTAATTCCTAGTATAATGTATTAGTCAATTTTCGTCTAAAAATGTTATATTATATTACTTTTTTGAAACTCCAAATCCCACCATTTCAAATTTAAAAATGTTTTCACATATTTTAATTTCCATCTTATCCTCAATCAGGAATGGATCACTTTATTTTAATTTAGTAGCCAACATGGGTTGTTCATATGGTTATAGGGATTGCCAAGTTCCATTAGCAGATTATCGTATTCCTTCTCCATCACATATTTCCCATTATGTTTTGTTAAATTTAATCTAAGTTTGTTTTCTAGAGACAGTATTCATATTGACAATAATATCACAATCCTGAGATCTTCCAATCTTAAAAGTTTGTTCAAATCCAGCCTTGCCAATAAACACAGCAATTTGTTTAGAGATTGGGGTATCAAATTAAATTTTAAGGAATGGTCTATTACAATTTTAAAGATGATATTATTTCCTTCCCTTCTTTTTTAATGTTCTGTATTCTTCCAAATATACTAGGTTTATTAAATTAGATACCTTAGAATTATTCTTATTCTTCCTTAGACAAACCATGGATTCGAGCTCTATATTTTTCATTTTCTCTAACAAGAGTCTAAAAAAAGTATTCATTTGAACTCTCTTTGTCCTTCTTCTTATTTTCATTTGACTTTGGTATCGAATTTAATTGAACCACATGAAAATAGAAATCAGCTCCAATTAAATAATTATTGTTTTCATTCATTATCCTTGGGTTCTCCTTTTATATTCTAACTAAGGTTTTCAAAGTAGTGCCGCAATCTTATACGAAGAATTTAGGTTTTTCTCTAAAAAAATGAGAAGAATATTTTACTTGATAAATGAGTGAATAAGTTTGAAGATATTTGAAGGTAATTCTGAAAATCGGTCATGGAAATACTTTAAAGATAAGAAACATAAAATTTGCGAAGTGACCCTACTTGAATGTCGAAAACCAAATTCAGTTGAAATTTTGCAAGGGACCTGCTCAACATTTTATTCTTATGATGAAAGACCTAAAAACATGTTCATTTAAAATAATTACCCAAATCCACATTATTATCTCCTAAATGCTATTGCTTCTTACGACGAATAATTGATATTTCATTTTTCTATATTTGATTGCTTCCAATAATCCTAATCTATAAAAGAAATGATTACTTGTCATCTTGGAGAATGTAAATTTTCTAATTAGCCATTTGGTGCTGCTTATATACACTGATCTTGACAAAAGGAGATTCTCTATTATAATCGAGACCATTCCTTTTGGAAGTTACAATTTACTATACGTTTTCTGCACATTAGGAGAACTTTTTTTCGGATGGGTGGTTTTGTTACTAGTATATAAAAATTTGTACTTATTGTTTTTCTTCTATCATGGCTGAATTCTCTGACAAAGTAATAGACCTGGTCATTTGATGAAGGTTATTAATTTATAGTTCATGAGAAACTAAGGGTATCACTAATTCTGGCATATTAATAAAACCTAACCATTAAAAAAATAAATACTATTTAATTCGCTTGATATGGTTTAATTGAAGTTCAAAGGGTTTTACATCAACGTGGTTTATCAATAAGTTTGAAAATTATTTTAAAATTAATATTAATGGAAATATTTCTTCATTTCAATAAATATCAACTTAGAGATTTTATCAAATTCTTATCACATTACAAAATATATTTTAATGTAATCATTAGGCTATTACTTATATTGCTGATTCAAAAAGATATCAGACACATCTAAGTTTTGCATCATATTTGATTCTCGACTTATTATGGGCGTTTTATTCCCTTGAAATTATTTCCTCTTCTATATTATAATTTTTCCGTATTTTTAAAAACTGATATACGATGAAAGTGTAATTTATTCGATTGATATTAAATAAACATGAAGACCCTAATCATCAATAGATGGGTCTCCAATGAAAAATGAATAATAAAAATCAAACTTTATACAGAGAGTCTATATAAATGTTTGATTATATTACTACTATGGACTTCCTCGCTCCACCATCTCAAAATGGAAAAATCACACTGTCTCCTATCTCAGATTCGCTTCCTGTGACATCCTAACTAACTTCGTGATTCCAATTCGCTCTAATAAACAAGTAAAGACTGAGGTGATTATGATAAAAATGCATAACAAAGTTCGCTTAGAAATTTACTCTGAAATATTTATATTTTATTGACGTAGAGTACATAGGAAATATCAATGGATTTAATTAAAGAAAAGAATAATAAAAAATTATATAATAATGAGTTAATTAAGATTTAATAAATACTTAAATAATATAATTGATCATGTAAATTTAATTACCAATAATAATAATATAATAAAATTGAAAATGAAATTAATTACAATCATATGCTTCCTTTATGGTAAGCTTAATATTATTTATTTTAAATCATTTCAAATTCTAACATTTCTCTCACCATCACATTATATTACAATCGGTAAATTTCTAATTATTTCATCTTTACCACTTCATAATAATGTTAGTGAAATATGAGCTAACTAAAATTATACTCTTCCATCTGTTAATTAAGTAAAATTTCAAATATGAATGATTGCTTTTCAAACTCACAAATATTTGATTACAATAAAGAATAAGTAATTTAAACTTCTAAGAATAAAATATTGGAAATCCAAAAAAGAAAATTGTTGGGATGATTATAAGAAAGGAAATAAACTAAAATTCTCAAGAACAATTCAAGAAGGACAGAAATATAAATATATATATAATTATAAATTTGTTTTAAAATATAGTTAATAGAATTATTAATATGAAGTTGAAAAATAAGGTAAGGAGAATGAGTTAGTAAAGAGGGAGAATAAAAATTTAGAAAATAAAGAAATTGGAATAAAATGAAAAAGTAAGAAATATAGATTTGGGTAAGCCTCCTAATTTATAAAATATAACTATAAATAAACCTAATATTTGGGCAGCTAAAGAGGGTTCCATTAGATTGTTAACTTTTCTTATTGCTTAAGGAAGACATATATTACTTCATCTTGCAGGAGCAAAAAAGTCAATAATTAATGAAGAAGATAAAAGAGAAATGAAAGAAAAAGAAGAATTATTAAACTTTATTAACAAAATGAAACCATTATATGATTTATTGGAATCTATATATCAAACATATCTTGAATTTCCACTAAAATAGAAAAAGAAAGAAAGATTAATAGTATTTTTCTTTAGAAATAATTCTGATCAAGATCCTTATTATGATAAATTAAGTCCTTTAGAAAATTCACAATTTTAACAGAATTTAGATGAAATTAAATTGTAACTTGATAAAGTCTTTTATCGAGAACTTTATAATATTTTAAAATAACTGGATGGAAATTAAAATAATATATAAGATCAAATCAATTTAATAACATAAGATATTATTGAATAGACCAATTAATTAGATGAACTCTCTTAAGCTAATACTATAGTGAAGAATTTATTTATTTAGTTATTAATAGAGTAAGGGAATAATAATTTATCATTATTATAAACAATAATTGAAAAATAACATAAAAACTAATTACTTTTAATGTTTAAAGATTTAATTACTTAAAATTCAATTAGAATTACAAAGTTTATAACAGATATAGTACAATTATTTCAAGGAGATGATTTAAACAATTCTATTGAATGTACTTTTCAACAGACAAATTATAACCAAAACTATCATTTCTAATAAAAATGGCTATCTTTAGAAAATGAAAACTCAGTTTATCTAAGTGATTGATAATTAATTAAATAAAATTATATTTTCATATTATTAGTTACTTATTTCATTTTAATTTCTAAACTTTTAACTAACTTCTTTACGATTAACTTACGCCGATCTAAAAATATCAATTAAGTATAATTTCAATTTACATAGATTTATAAAAATAATATCCACTTTTTAAATATTCTTTTTTACGCTTGCTTATCTAATTCGTACTTCCATATCCAAATAAATGAGAAACCCTTCATAATAATAATTTATAATTAGTAAACTCACATTAAATTACTAGTCATTTATCAAAAGAAAGCTATAAATTATTGGAATAAAAAGCTTTCGATTAAGCTGAATTAAATAAGAAATAATCATGTTTCAATCATTTTTTTTAAATTGATTTTAATTTCAATATTATTATTGTTCATTCCAAACTTTTGTAGCCAGATCTTATAATTCATAAGACCATAATTATTAAGATGTTCCCCCCGGAGATTTAAGCATTTCTTCAAATTCCTCTATTTTTGTTTTCCCTAGATCAAAACATGAAAATCCTTTTAAGTAGTTTGAATGTATTATAATGTTTGTTATTACGATTTCTGCGTTTTTATTGTTTTCTCCATATTAACATTCTGTCAATGCCAAATTTTTATTTGTTGCTAGGTAACAATGTCTGAAAAATTAAGTAATATATTATTCAATTGGTGATGTAGTTGAAAAGGGTATAAAATTTTTAATTTGCATTTGTAGGCATTCTTAATAAATGTAATAATTGTTGAATTCGTCTTTGACTAGAAATTATCTGGGGATTTTCAAATTCCAATTTTGTTGCTTGCTATTTTTTTAGAAATCCCTTTAAAATATTTTAAAATAAGCCTATACAATCAATTTATTTAAAATGATATCAATAGCTTCATACTCATATATTGAAAGTTTGTGTAGTTTNAATATATATATAATTATAAATTTGTTTTAAAATATAGTTAATAGAATTATTAATATGAAGTTGAAAAATAAGGTAAGGAGAATGAGTTAGTAAAGAGGGAGAATAAAAATTTAGAAAATAAAGAAATTGGAATAAAATGAAAAAGTAAGAAATATAGATTTGGGTAAGCCTCCTAATTTATAAAATATAACTATAAATAAACCTAATATTTGGGCAGCTAAAGAGGGTTCCATTAGATTGTTAACTTTTCTTATTGCTTAAGGAAGACATATATTACTTCATCTTGCAGGAGCAAAAAAGTCAATAATTAATGAAGAAGATAAAAGAGAAATGAAAGAAAAAGAAGAATTATTAAACTTTATTAACAAAATGAAACCATTATATGATTTATTGGAATCTATATATCAAACATATCTTGAATTTCCACTAAAATAGAAAAAGAAAGAAAGATTAATAGTATTTTTCTTTAGAAATAATTCTGATCAAGATCCTTATTATGATAAATTAAGTCCTTTAGAAAATTCACAATTTTAACAGAATTTAGATGAAATTAAATTGTAACTTGATAAAGTCTTTTATCGAGAACTTTATAATATTTTAAAATAACTGGATGGAAATTAAAATAATATATAAGATCAAATCAATTTAATAACATAAGATATTATTGAATAGACCAATTAATTAGATGAACTCTCTTAAGCTAATACTATAGTGAAGAATTTATTTATTTAGTTATTAATAGAGTAAGGGAATAATAATTTATCATTATTATAAACAATAATTGAAAAATAACATAAAAACTAATTACTTTTAATGTTTAAAGATTTAATTACTTAAAATTCAATTAGAATTACAAAGTTTATAACAGATATAGTACAATTATTTCAAGGAGATGATTTAAACAATTCTATTGAATGTACTTTTCAACAGACAAATTATAACCAAAACTATCATTTCTAATAAAAATGGCTATCTTTAGAAAATGAAAACTCAGTTTATCTAAGTGATTGATAATTAATTAAATAAAATTATATTTTCATATTATTAGTTACTTATTTCATTTTAATTTCTAAACTTTTAACTAACTTCTTTACGATTAACTTACGCCGATCTAAAAATATCAATTAAGTATAATTTCAATTTACATAGATTTATAAAAATAATATCCACTTTTTAAATATTCTTTTTTACGCTTGCTTATCTAATTCGTACTTCCATATCCAAATAAATGAGAAACCCTTCATAATAATAATTTATAATTAGTAAACTCACATTAAATTACTAGTCATTTATCAAAAGAAAGCTATAAATTATTGGAATAAAAAGCTTTCGATTAAGCTGAATTAAATAAGAAATAATCATGTTTCAATCATTTTTTTTAAATTGATTTTAATTTCAATATTATTATTGTTCATTCCAAACTTTTGTAGCCAGATCTTATAATTCATAAGACCATAATTATTAAGATGTTCCCCCCGGAGATTTAAGCATTTCTTCAAATTCCTCTATTTTTGTTTTCCCTAGATCAAAACATGAAAATCCTTTTAAGTAGTTTGAATGTATTATAATGTTTGTTATTACGATTTCTGCGTTTTTATTGTTTTCTCCATATTAACATTCTGTCAATGCCAAATTTTTATTTGTTGCTAGGTAACAATGTCTGAAAAATTAAGTAATATATTATTCAATTGGTGATGTAGTTGAAAAGGGTATAAAATTTTTAATTTGCATTTGTAGGCATTCTTAATAAATGTAATAATTGTTGAATTCGTCTTTGACTAGAAATTATCTGGGGATTTTCAAATTCCAATTTTGTTGCTTGCTATTTTTTTAGAAATCCCTTTAAAATATTTTAAAATAAGCCTATACAATCAATTTATTTAAAATGATATCAATAGCTTCATACTCATATATTGAAAGTTTGTGTAGTTTCATGATAATTACCTACTGTCCATTAACAGATATAGAAATTTAATCATCTTGAATATTTTAAGCATCGTATCTCTTTTTATCAATACAATTTTGCCTAAAGAAAAAGTTCTTTTCATTGATGCATTTCTAAAATTATTGTTCATTTAATGTTATTTACAATACCTCAAACTGATTTGACTACTAAAAAGTTGAACTTTTATCATTTCTAAGCGTGATTTATCTAATCAAATGCATTTCATCCAATATTTTTTTAATGATACTTTCTTGAAATTTTATTTGGTTTCCATATATTTATTTGTCTTCCTATTATTATTCATCAGTGTAAAAATTAGCAACATCATCACAAACATTTTATTCTTGTTTCTATGATAATTTTTATTAATCATCTGATGATTTATCTTAATAATTTACTTACCCTTTTGATTCAAGTAATTCAATTTATAACTTTTCTGATTCAATTTTTAAATTTTCAATTACTTCTTTTGATTGCTTTAATTCATTTTATAATTGCTCTGATTATAATTAAGAAAACCTCACCTCCTCTTATAATTAGATTCTTAATTCATCATTTTATATTTTTTATACTCTCTATTCTAACTCTAAATTTTATAAATCTTTATCTAACTGCTCTGATTTTAATTTAAATTGAATTAATTGTGAATTTTCCTTTGATAATTTATCATTTTCACTTTATAAATTTTTTCTAGCACAATTTAGGTTTCCTATTTGATTGCTAAAATCTTGACTTTAAGTTATTAGCTATTAAATTTTATATTCCTTAGCGTTTAACTCTTTTACCTTTTATAGAAGTGCTTTATTGTCCTTTTCTAGCTTTTTAGCTTATTCTTTTATTTCGCTTCCTTCAACTGACTTTTCAAAAATAGCTTTGCCTAAAATAGTATTTTATTTTTCTGTATTCTCTTGTTAAAGTTGTTAATCCATAGTCAATTATTTCAATTCTTCATCATATTCTTAAATCTTTTTCAATAGAATTGGAATCTCCTTAATCCTACAAAGTATCAATTTTCTATACAACACTAAATTTTGTGGAGTAACTAGATTATCAGAAAGCCAATCAAACAATAAACATTTTCCATCGTATTTCTTTTCCAACTCTTCAATAAGAGCATGATAATCTTGAATAGGATATGCTTCAAATTTATTGTTATAATAAATTTAAAAATTGTTTCCCTGATCCATTAATAAATAATATTTTTTATTTTTGATTAAATCTGCTATTTATAATTAAATTATCAAGATATTTGATAAGAATATAATAATAGATTAATAAAATAATAATGATTAAGAGTCAGTTTATAATAAATATAAATATTATAGAATCACATGAGCTTCCAAGATTTTAAATCAAAACTAGTTTGGAATATAATTAAGATATTTACAATTGTAATTTAATTAATTTAACTTTGATAACTGTAAAGTAAATCAATCCATATAGCCATCCTAAAAGTACAACTGTTTTTCTATGGAAGCAGATGCAATGAAAATAAAGAAACACTAGCTGAAAACTAAGTTCCAAATAAATAACAGGTAAATAATAATAGCCATTTGGAGCATAGAATTACTTTTAATGATATATAAATTGGTATTATAAATTTATAATAAATGAAATTCGCTAATGCTACTATTAAAGGTGATTTTGAGCAAATCAAATAAATTCAATCAAAATGGAAAAATTAAGAGATAAGGAAAGAAATAAAGAAAATATAAAAAGATTAAAATTTAATTTTATAGAGGAATAAAATTATGATCTTCAACTTCCTAATGTTTTTATAACAACAAAGCATTATTATACTAAACCTAAAAGTATTTCATCNGTTATTTCTTATTTTTTCTTCTCTAATTCATTTGATAAATCAGCTATTCTCTTACTTTAATCTTTTATTTCTAATTTTATCTCCTCTACTACATTCGATTAATCAGTTATTTATTATTTTTTCTTTTCTAATTCATTGCATAAATCAGCTATTCGCTTCCTTTAATCTATTATTTCTAATTTTTTCTCCTCTACTACATTCGATTAATCTGTTATTTATTATTTTTTCTTCTCTAATTCATTTGATAAATCAGCTATTCTCTTACTTTAATCTTTTATTTCTAATTTTTTCTCCTCTACCACATTTGATTAATCTGTTATTTCTTATTTTTTCTTTTCTAATTCATTGCATAAATCAGCTATTCGCTTCCTTTACGCTATTAATTCTAAATTTTTCTCCTCTATTTGCTTTTTATAATCTGTTATTTCTTATTCTTTACTCTCTATTATTTCTATTTGCTTGCTTTAAGCTATTTTTTCTGATTCTTTCATCTCAACTAATTCATTTGATTTCTTTATCGGGTCGTCCTATTCCTTTGATAATTTAAAGCTTTGGATTTCATTTTATAAACTTCTACTTTCTTATTACACTTTTTCTAGATCCTTATTTTTTTATATAAAATCCTCTAAGACTTCATTCTGAATTTTTTATGATTCTTAATATTTCAAATCATATTATTATAATTTGTTTTAAAATGTTTTATTTTCTTCTTCTAGTTTCTTATTTTTTACTACCAATTGATTTCCTTAAACGGCATAATTTTTAATTACATTATCAAGGTCCTATTGTTCTAATGTTTTAATTATATCCTCTAGTTTTGTTATTTTGCTGTTCTATATCTCTTCATTTTTCTATAATTATATAAATGTTCCATACGATTCAATCATTTTTGAAAGGTCCCTTTATTTAACGGCTCTCAACTTTGAATGGTTTTATATATTATTTTCATTAATTATTTAGCTTGATTGGAATTCAAGTAAAATCCACTATGCATTTTATTTTTTCTTCAAAGACTACATGATGTCCTTGTAATCATTTGATAAATTCTTGACAATTTCTTTTCCTCCATCATCTTTTTCATTATAAATATGAAGTATAATGTCACCAGGATCGTTTTATTACATTTATTTATTAATAATTAATTATCCTTATTTTATTTAAATTGGGATTCAAATATCTTATTCTTTTATATAAACTAAAATGATAGAATTAAAATCAATTATTAAATAAATATTAGAACATAAGCTTCCAAGATTTTAAATTAAAACTAGTTTTAGAATATAATTAATATATGTACAATTGTAATTTAATTAATTTATCTTTGATAACTGTAAAGTAAATCAATCCATATAACCATCCTAATAGCACAACGATGGAAGCAGATGCATTAAAAATCAGGAAACACTAGCTGAAAACTAAGTTCCAAATAAATAACAGCCAAATAATAATGTAGCATATGTTGCACCTATTGTAGGATCAGCTATTCTCAAAAAGAATGCAGATAATGTGCACGAAATAAATGAATTATTAAATTCATATATATATTATAAGACAAACTAAATAATATTGTATAACATACATAAAAACTTATTATATCCTCCCGTCTTAATAAAGCTAATAACATAAAGAAAATGAGTTGCCATAACCAAAAACATTAGATAATAAGCATTTAATACCCAAGTCATCTCTTTATAGGTATTTAGCAACCAATAAAGAACTTAATATCCAAGATGTAGTGCATATAGCTTCTATAGATGCATATTCAGATTAAGGGAATCCCATTTGAATGATGTTGATGCTATCACAGGAGTAAATGCAAATCTCCTTGTTAAGAGAAAGAGTAATAAAAATCGTAAATTTGAATTACTTAACAATGAAAATGATAATTTTAACACTTATATAAAATTAGGTTTTTCTTCCTCTACAAAATCTTCAGTAGCTAAATATTATGTTATAATTCCTATATGTGTATGAATTTAATGATATTATTGGTTAATCTAAACCCAAATATTCATTACAAAGTAACCAAATGTTATATTCATCAATATCGCATAACTAAACACAAACCCTAATGATAATCCAACCATTTGACAAGTTGCTCCAAAATGAACATAATATTTTGAGAATGATGTTAGAACCCATCCGTTAGTTGCTATGGTTGCACAATACTACAAAACCGTGAGTAATATTATTAAACAAAGGATAAAAATTAAGTTCTTCTATCTATTACGAATACCCACTATATGCCAATTTAAACCAAGCATATATAAAGAAGGTATCACATAAGTTTTCCTCTTTCCAAATTTACTTAAATAGAAACTATCCAAAAAGGGAGCCAAGATTAATTTGAAAGATAATGGATAAAGACTAGTCACCCAAAAAGCTATAATATAATTCATATAGCTTACCCATTTAGCCTGATGAAATGCCACTTCCCTAAAGAAGTAGAGTCAACGAGGCATAAAATCCAGCTGGTATTCCAATCACAAAATATAATACAGTAAATCTAATGATAGCTTTTGATTCTGAGCTCGATATTTAAGGGTTCATTTTCTTAGAGATTTGCTGTTCTATCGATAGTTCTTGTGGATCTTCAACCTAGAATTCGTTCATTTCTATTTCTTCTTTTGCATGCATTTTAAAAATTACTATAATAATATTTCATATATGATAGAATCTCATGTCACGTTGGCTCAAAAAATAGTCGAAATTAAAAAAGAAGTAGTAGTCAAATACCACAGCATCATTCAAGAAACTTTCCTTACTTAAATCTCTTTTCCAGAACAAGGCTCATCTTTTTTTAGTGTTTTTTAAGTAAGTGGATAAATTTTTAAATTTTAACTTTAAATTCTGTTTCCAAATATAATTTAAATCAACAGAATCATCAAATCCTGGATGATCTTTATTATTTTAGCTGTTTTTAGATGGTCTTTCATATTTCTGTATTTAGAGTATTAAAACATACCCGAATGATTTGGTTTATATTCACTGCAGTCAATTAATTTAAATCTTATACAATTATTTTCTCCTATACAAATCCCTTTCTATTTATCTTTCAAGGGTAGTTTAATTCTTCTGTTTAACTTAATTGTTCACTGTATCATTTTTAAATAAAGCTAAACTGCTATTTTAATATAGAGATGCAGATGTAAACATTATATCATTAATAAATTAAATTTCAATTAAGTAATTGTTATAAAATAATAATCATTTTACTTATTTAAACCTAAAATCTTTTCTAAATATATTTGCTCCTTATAGTGATCCATTTAAATCTATTCCATAGAAGTAATGAAATCTGTCTAGTTGCAAACTTAATTAAAAAAGAATAAAGAGATTATTGTTATCTCTCAAGGTATTTCTAGTAATAACAACATTAATCTAAAGTTCGATTTAGAATTATTATTTCAATTTTCGCTATTATTTAAATTTCTTAGAAAAAACTGATACCTTTTATGTTAAAAGTATTCTTTTCTAAATAATTTCTAATCATATATCTTGATTTAAAGCTTAACTAATTCCTACTATTCATTTATAATAAATAATGAATACAAATCCAAAACAATGTTTAGAATTAAGAAAGTCAAATTGAACAAGTATTTGAAAAGACATTTGTAAGCTTTTATTAAGTTATTAATTATGAATTATAATTAAATATAATTGATCAAACTTTTAATGTATCTCTGTTTTACTAAGCTTCCAAATTCAGAGGTGTTTTCAGTATTGAATTTTAATCCAAAGTGTGGAACCTTTGCCCATTATTTTATTATTTTTTCCCTAATATTTAAGAATCATTCTGAAAATCTGCGTAGAATTCACCAACATTCATTAATTATACTTTTGGTTTTTTTCTATCTGAATATCTGCAAACTCTACTAACTTTGTTAGGTGAAAATGCTTATTATTGTCTTGCTTGTACTATTTAAGATTTTGCCCTTGTTGAGATTGTCTAAGTTTTTGTATATTAAGTAGAAAATGCAGCATCTTATTCCAAAATTGGAGGAACATAAGGCTTTTAACAATGTTAATTTTAATTGTTAGAAGTAATCTGTTGGTTTCCATTATTTTGAATAACAAATTGTAAAGGCTATAACAAATTGCTAAATTTGGGTGGCTGTGCTTTCTAACCTTCCAGTTCTTTAATTTAATTGTAGAGCTTATAAAATTGTTTGTCAAAGAAAGTTTTATTTGCTATCTAATCTATGAAATAAAACTATGCTTACTCAATTATAGTTATAAAGATAACTAATCAATCAGCAAAATCATCATTCTATTAACAACAGAATTGTACTCGTATTCAAGTTTTTTGCTTAGAAATCCACTATACATATTGAACCAATTAAAATTAAATTATTTTTTTAGAAAATTACATTACATTTTATGAATTCCATTTAATACTAATAATCAAACATTAGTTATCTTAAAGTCAAGTCATTAAAATCTCTTAAGTACTAGGAATCTATATTGTTTATATTCAGAGTTTCTACATTTTGATGTTTTATTAATATTTATCTAAATACTATTGTTTTGTGCGAGAGTCGCTAACTACTACCTTAAATGCACAGTTTATCAAATTAAACATTGACTTTATAATTTAAAGAGATTAATTACAATTATGTTTGATAAACAAATTAGGAAATTTAATACATAAATACAAAAAAATATGTATAACTATTATCATGAAAATACTTGTAAAACGTTTGGATATGGTTATTTATGATTTATTTAAGGAAGTAACTCAAACAAAAAGAATCAATCATTTAATTTTAACTTGTCTAGGAAATGAATTCATTAATAAACTTAACAATTTTACTTTTTCATTTTGTTTCAATAGAAAATGAGAAATTAATAATAAATAGTAATTCGAAATAATTGTAATCTGTTTTTTTGATTATTAACAATATTATTTTTTATATTGAATGGGAAATGTTTGCTGTTCAAATTAAGATGTTGGGAGATTGAATCTTCAACCAATGATTCCATTGATCCCAACTGATGAAGCCTCTTTGGATGAAACCAAAATTGTGAAATTACAATCAAGTATTAGACGTAATAGATGATTTCATTTCAAGGTTACCTCGCGAAAACCAAATAAAAATAAAAATCAGAGGCATCAGCCACTACTGCCCCTTAAGTTTAATCTAAAGTGAGCGAATAAATAGTTTCAATTATAGAAATGATCCCCAAAGATGCATAAAAAGTAGAGTGGCCTTAGAATTTGCTTTAAGCAGTGCAAAATAAATTAAAGGAATTGCCACCTTTAGTGTAATTGACACATTAATGCTATCTATTGAATGATGGTTGCTATTATCAAGGTCCTTTTGTAGATTATTAAAAAGAAGGATTTGGAAGATAAATTGATTAAGATGGTTCTTTATATGAAGGAGCATTCAAATAGAATGTAAAAAAAGGAAAAGGAAGATAGATAAGTTGTGATGGAAGTGTGTAATCAATATAAAATTATATAGATATGAAGGAAATTTTGATGATAATGAATATGATGGATATGGTGAATTTTAGGACTCTTATGGGTTTGTCTATAAGGGAGAATGGAAGTAATCGTTATTCCATGGAGAAGGTCATGAAATAAATGAATAATTTTAATACAGAGGAGCATATAAACAGGGACACAGGACTGGATACGGAGAGATTATATATGTGGATGGCAATAAGTATATGGGAGAATTCCAGAAAAACAGGTTCGAGGGGTTTGGCATTTTCATATATGCGGATGGAAGAAAAGTAATTAATTTTGAGCTTATAGTTTAGTATGAAGGCAGTTGGATGAATAATTAGATGCATGGCAAAGGTACGTTTTCTTGGCCTAATGGTCGTAAATACACAGGAAATGTAATTAAATCTATTGAATAGTATTAGTATCATTTAGATTTGAAAGAAGGTTTTGGGGAGTTCATATTTGAAAACGGAAGTAGTTATAGGGGAATGTGGAAACTAGGAAAATAGCATGGACATGGAGTTATGATTTCAGAATTAGGAGATCAAAGAGAAGGGGAATGGGTTGAAGGAAGAAGAATAAAATGGAGATGACTCATACTTTGACTGATTTTAATTAGCTTCTATTCGTAGTATTTATTATTGCAAACTTACTTACTTATTTGATAGAATAAATAAATAAATGAATAAGAATATCAAATAATTAGTCTATCTTAGTCAGTAATTTATGAAGAATCCTTTGGCCTATGAATTTGATATCATCCAACGATTATCTTTGAGGACCTTAAGAATATATTTATCGTTTTTCCATTAGCCATTTAAATATTACATATATTTTTATCCTTAAATTGAAAAAATTTGTGTTTAATATATGTTAAAATTAACTTTGATCATACTATTTCAAAATGATATACACTGATAGGATAAGTTAAAGTACTTTTGATTATGAAATACTCATGCTGATTTGAGTAGTTATTAGTATTGGAGCTATAATATTATGTTAGTGTATTATGTTTTTGAATGGCTTTGATGAATTATAATTTTGAACTAAGATAATGCTATTCTCAATCTTAGATTACAATAGGATTAATATGTAAGTATTACAATTTAAGGAGATTATTACAAATTTGAAGGGTCGTATTCATACTATATAAGTAAAGATGATATAAAATTATTTTAGTACTTATAAAAATAAACTATCTAAAATTTCAATTTGGTTATCTTTTATATCAATAACGACCTCCAAATTTGATTTAGTTCTTATTAAAATAATAATCAATAATCATCATCGCAACTTAAATCTGTATATTGATTTTTTAATTTCTCTGAATCTTTATTGAAATATTATTTTTTAGTTTTTATGATGGATTTAAGATATATATAGTTAATTTGTAGATAATTTGATTGAATATTTAATTGATCATGTTCTTTATTTGTATTCCTTATTTCATTTTGAATCTTTTTTTGGATGTTGAGTTGTGAGCATAATTTTGGATATTCAAGTAAATTTGCTTGATTTTTAGTATAATAAAGTATAATTTTTATAAAACTTCCATATACTGTTTAATAGGTTAATTATTAATATTGAAACATGTCCTGATATCTTTACAAAATAATTTTAGCTTGATATAATACTTTATTATCTTATATGTATGAAATTTATTATTATCCTTAAGTCAAATTTAGCAATTAAACAATTTTATAAAAATTTTTATTTCAGAGAGTTAAATAATCTAAAATGAGCATGTATTTTTTAAATAATTATATATCTTCATTATTATCTATATATTTAGACTTCATAAATATAACAAAAGTATCTGTAGACAAATATTCAAACTGAGACTTGAAACTCAGAATTAAAATATAAAGGAAAGGAGGATTACTGAAACCACAAAAACATTTTGATTACAAGAAGTTACAATGTTGGCTGTGTTAGATCATGTTAATTGAATATAAAATAATAATTATTTAATCTAATAAAATGGATGTACGACTTCTTAAATATGATATTTTTGCATCTCCAGTTATTCATAAACCTTCTAAGGGTTATGTCCCAAAATTTGGTGACAGAAGCTTAACTTCATTGCTGAAGTATAAAAATGAAACAATAAAGTAACCAATCCATTCAAAGATATTCAAACCATATGGAGAGGAATCGGAAACTAAGACCTAATAAGCCATGTATACAACTACCAAGTTGTCATATTCTAGTTCTGTGAAAAATATCAATAAATTTCCAGAAGTTCAATTAGATCCAAAGGCTGTTAAATTGCTTGGTTAGGGAAGACATTACTTGAGAAGTGAGTATCACACAAAAAGAAAGATGCAGGATGAGAAGTAAAATCAGAATAGAAAGAATCATTCATCTGATTATTTGATGTAAAACATATAACTGAAGTTTTGTGAGAAATCTGTAAAATCATAATTCAAAGCAAATCTAATTTTCTTCAAGAAAACAAAAAATGTTGCAGCTTAGATTTCATTGTTGAAAAAGGAGGAAGAAAAGAAATAAACAGCTGAAATAAAGAGTGAGAATTATGACTCAAGATAAAGAAATATAAAAATACCTCCTTAGAAACTATAACATACTGATCATTCTATGTTTTCCAGCACTTTCAGAGATAACTTTTTGAAAAGCCAAAGAAGCAATATGCATCCAAAACCGATTAGTTAAGAGAAATCTACAAGACAAGGACATAAGAAGACTTAGTCTGTCTAGTAAAGCTTATTTAATAATAGTTAGGACTTAGAGTCAAATGGAAGAAGTAAACAAAGATGTGCCTCTTTTTAGCAATAATTATCAACCTAATAATTGATATTCTTTCAAAATTAATTATTCTAATTTAACTATTTTATAATTCAAAAAATTATGTTTTAGATCATCAAGGTTGATGCAGGCATTGATGCTAAATTAGAATTCGAAATATCCAACATAGTCAAGGCTGCTTATGAGAGATTCAATAACTAGTATGATCGATCCAAATATATCTCGGATTATCTCGATGAAAGGTATGGGGGATGTTGGAGAGTAACAATAGGGAAATCATTTACAAGTTGTGGGACCTATTATTTGTCACAATTGTTAAGACTTAGTTATCAAAATGATTAAATAGAAATTGTTAGAACATAGGGGGATTCAGAATTTGAAATTATACAAAGAGATCAAGGAATGAACTAGGCTCTATTTGATTCGATATTGGGAATGTACTACTTATTTTTAATAGAGAATATCAAATGCTTAATAAATGTAGAAAAACCTATCAGCTCAAGTTGAGTATATTTCAGAATGTGTAGAATCGAAGCATACTGGGAAATGGGCTGTGATTTGTGGGTAATTGTGTGTACATTATACATAGGTATGACTTTAATAGTAGAGTGCCTTATGTTAATAATAATCTGGTTTGTGTAGCCAGAAAGGGCATCAGATATACAGTATTAATGATAAGTAAATGAATATAGTCATTGCTATAATTTCAATAATCTTTGCAAGGAAAACTTAACACTAGTATTTAAGTTTTCAACTTTTTCTAGTTTTATCTTTTTACTTGACAGAGAAAATAAATGTTTAGGGTCGCTCAAAATCCCCTATGATATTCTCACTGACATTTAATTTTAAGTGGATCCAATCGGTCCTTTGATTGAGACTCTCGAGTTAGTTACTTCTTGTATGGTCTACTCTCTCATAGCTTATTCTTAGGTTTAGGTTCGCATTTCATTTTGTTGAATGAATTTGTTGACTTCTTTGACAAAATACACATTGATTTTATCATCTTTGAATATCACTTTTGGTGATATCATTTTATATGTATCTCCATCTTTAATTTGGTTAGTTTCTTGAACATCTTTCTATGTAGTTTTTAACAATTTTTGAGATGCATAAGATTTCAACAAAGTTTAACTTAAGCCTTTCATTTAAATTTTTTGATACTTTTCTATTGTGCATGTTTCTTAGGAGATCCGACTCGGGGAGAAAAATATATTTTGTCTTAATGTTAGTTAATTTCATGTTTATTGAGTTCTAAAGCTTAAATTGACGAATTCCTAGCATGATTGGCTGGCAAAGTAATATCTTGATTAATCGTTAGAGATGTTCTAGTTCTTTTACTATTTATTAGTCTATTTGATCCAGATGAATTTTTCATTTGATTATTAATTAATCAATTATAAAAGCTGAAAATAATAAAATATTATAAATTTAATAGAAAGTAGCAGTAATTTTATTTCTAAAGAAGAGCCAGCCACCATATTGATTTTGAGAATAAAAGAGTAATAAATATACAACTATAGAGTCATAAATTAAAGGCGTGAAGATTCTATATTTTGTGATTCTAAGAAACAATATAAGGAGAAGGATCTTATAATCAGTCAACTCTATCAATTGAAACATATAATTTAATTGATACCAATTACCTTTCATTATGCAAACAATTCGATAGAGTTTGTTATAATCGAGGGAGCTAGTTGGTTCTTAAGAAAAATGTTATCATTCTACTTGTTCCATTCCAATTCTGCCCTTTTGCCATCTTTGCTGTAAGCCATTTTCTTTAAAAGGATCTTGCTCTTTCTCAGGTAATAATTGAATCATCGCAGTCAAACCCTGTATAGCTTCTTTATCATTTATATCGTCTTTAGCATTATCTAAGCAATTGTTTCTAATTGTTCTAATGTATGACCATGATGTTAACATCGATTAACATTCCTTTCATAAAATTTGATATTTAAAAATGCCTAACCATCAAAAGAATGCATGCAATCATTTCAAATCTATAAGATATTATTTTTAGCAAAGAGGCAAACCCAATCGAATTTTAAAATATCCTTTATCGGTGAAAAGGCAGTAATCATAAGCATTCCTTAATAAAGCATCTTGTCCCTCAAGCTTTCAGAATAATGGTTGTTTTAGTTATGATCTTGCTGATTCATTTATATGTGTATATTAAATTCTTTATATGTTGATGTAATTTTAGAATTTAGAACCTCAAGAGTTGGTTTAAGAAGAAACTATAAAGATTGATCATTGTGATTTATTAGAAAAGGATATTAAAATAGGTGTGGACTTTACAATTGTAAAACAAAGTATATTTTTGAGAATAACACTTTCTAAATAAAATCAAATTAGAAATGTTCCTAAAAGAACATAGTTATAATTCCAAATAGATATATAATCGAATTTATATATAATTTATTAAAGGTAATTAAATTCATTTTAATTAATAGTTTTATATTGTTAATGGAAAGTTTGTATTCTTTATTATCATAGATTCTATTGATTACAACATCTGTTATTCTATTGACTTATATGATAATTGCTTTTAGGAAAATCATATAAGATGTCAATGATATTTTAGACTCAACTGATAAACTTGTATTTTTGATTGCAGCAATTCAATGTACTAAATTTTGAAATTTAGAGTTATTGTTATTGTCATTCTTAATTACATAATATACACTCTTCCTAAGTGGATTGCGCATACTCAGAATACTTTAAGATATTATTTTATTAAATTGCTTAATAAAATTAGATAGTGATAATGAACAGTGTTTAGTAAATATCATTGGTATATAGCTTACCAGAAAATTGTAGATAAAATCTCCTAGACACTTTCATTTATTCTCCCATTTGTCTGGTGTATCATCATATTTTTAGAAGGGTTTAAATCACATTTTTAATGCGACCAATAAATATGGATGCTCCTTTCTGGATTGTTGTTGATTACTAACATAATTTAATTATATTTTGGACTCAATATATTAATATAGATCTACAAATACTGTTAAGATTCAAGTAATCAACATATGTTTGATGGTTTACATAAAATTATGATGGATGAATTATAAAATAGGAAGGTATAGGTCATAGTATTTATCCTATGTAGCATTAATTCATCAGTAATAATGTTTTTATATGATTACACTATTTTTGATCAACTCAACCCTACACTATGTCTCCAAAAGAATACTATTACTGAAATACTTATTTATATTGCTGTGATAATGATCTCATACTAATTACCTTGTTTAGGAATATACTATGTGTTTTATCATAAGAATAAAAAGTATTTGAATAACCACAATTGGGAAATGCAAAGAAGTATAGTCAAGCTAAATGATGAGGGAAGTGAGATAGAATTGGGAGATTATTAGAACCCATAATGAGTCCATTTGATTCATTTTGATTGTTATTCACAACTAATATATATTATCAATGTTTTTCATAGGCTAATGGTCAATTCCTTGCGATTTCTGTAACAAATATATTCCTTTTCGCATCCCGAATAAACTCTTGTATAATGCAACAATCCATAGTTGAACTTATCATGCACAACTGCTCAAAATATTTATTCAACTTGATTTATCTATCTTGAACTCTTGACAAATTCTAATTTGTTTTCACAAATAAAGATCGTTTTGGAAATTTTGGTTTTTCTACTTTAGTTTTACCTAATTAATCATCCAAAGCTTTTAATTGAGAATAACGATATTTCGATAAAAATGTTTCATCTTAGCCTTCAAATCTAATCAATATTGAAAAGAATTACTTTACAATGTATTCCACTTTTGAATTATTGAAAAAGAAGTTTGAGATCGATATTGAATACATATTAGTATAAATGGTGATTTATTTATTAACTTTAGAAAATTTCTTTTAATCCAAAACACAAATTATTGAAAAAATTTAATAACTTAATTCAAAAAAAACATTAATCCAATATTTAGATTTAAATATATATTTACATCTAATTGTTCATCCATTTTAACTATTAAAACAAGATTGGTCAATTATTAATTAATCTTAATAAAATACAAAAGTTAATTATTGAATTTCAAATAGCTTTGTAATTCTGATAATAATATCTGATTACCTTTATATAATCTCGATTAGTAATACTTTTAAATTTTGAGTAAATCAAATAATAACAAATAAAACTAACTTGTATATTTCAACAGACATTTAAATAGATAAAACATAAAATGATGCATTTAAAATGTTTGTTTATTTATGTGTATGTATTATTAATATACTATTGTTTCATGATCAATCGAATAAACCTCCCATATCGACATCTTCTTCGGGCTCTTCAACCTTGGCTGGTGCTTATTGAGCAGCTGGTTTATCGTCAACTTTAGCTGCAACTGGGGCAGATGTTGTTGGAGCACTTGATTATTTGATCTAATCAAAAATGAATCCTGATTATAAACCAATAGCAGCCAAATCCTTGAAAGCATTAGCCAACAAATATGGAGCTGAAGCTTCGTTAACCCAACCTAATTGATTATGGATAAAATGAATTACCATTGGCCAAAGAAACAGCAGAAACATTTCTAACATTTTGTTAGAATTTAGCAACAATGTCATTCAAGTTAACTGAGACTTATTGTTTGTTCAAGATAGATCCATTGTCATAACAAGCAAGAACTTCCATTCTATTAAAAATATGAGATCATATTATTACCCATATAAGAATGGCTTTTTGCCTAATTTTTACAATAAGACAGCTTATGATTAGCCAACCTTTTATCCGGTTTTCAAGACGACAAAGTCTTTGGTGATTTAGATTTAACCTTTTTCAATCTTGGTGGGGATTTAGAGAGCATGGAAGAATTGGATTGAAGCTGGGTCCATACCAGTTGGGCCTGGGGGAATAACAACATCAATTGGAGCAGTGGCACCAACTCTGGCTGGGGTTTCGACTTTATTCTCTTCAATGATTGGTTTAAGATCAAAGACTGGGGTGTCTGTGAAGATGAATCCAACTTTGCCTGCAACTGAGTTTTTCAAGGCATCCAACTCTTTAATTGCACTACCGAATTTAGCCAATTCGTCATAATATTCATGTTCTTTTGGTAATTCTTGAACTCTAGTAGCCAAAACTTTTTTGAAGAGTGTCTAAAATACTTATGTGTAAATACATTTTTGCCAATAACTAATAGGGCATTTTTCTTAGCCAAAATTCTTCTGATGTCTTACACTTATTTAGATCCAACATTTGCTAATCCAACGATGATAACTTAAGTATATTTTGATAACAATTCATAAATCTTTCTATTATAATTATCAATGGGATAATTACTTGAATTGTGCTGGCTTCTTATCTTTTGTTTCCTTTTTGCCCATTTATTATTTATTTAAATTAAAAAAAGATTTCAAATTTTTTGATAAACAATTCAAGTATATATATAAATTTCATTAATTCTTTAATATACTTTTTTCAAGTCTCATTCTCCAACCACTTTAATCTCTTCCCTTCCTTCCATATCCCTCTCTTCTTAGTGTTATCAATAAATATAAACATCCCCACTCCATCTTACTTACCATCTTTCCACATCCCATCATATTTCCTCCCATCAGCCCATTAATAAACTCCGTGACCATCTTTTTTATCATTTTTATATTCTCCTTCATATTTCCTGCCATCTTTCCATATATACACTCCATGACCATGCATACAATTATTCTTCCATTAACCAACATACCCTCTGCCATCAGCCCAAAAATAACGCCCTTATCCATTTATTTTATTATTCTGCCACTCTCCGTCAAAATAAGAACCATCTGGCCATTCATACTTCCCTGATCCCTACTTTATCCCTTAGAAATATTGTCCTATATATTTAGATCCATCATTCCAAATTTCCATGCCATAGCCATGCTAAAAATCATCTCTCCATTCTCCCTCATACCTTGACCCATTAGAATGCTTATAGACTCCTTTCCCATTTGCTTTATCCTGATCCCACTCTCCTTCATAGATATCACCATCTACATGATAAAATATTCCTTTGCCGCATGCCCTATTATTTTTCCATTCCCCAACGTATTTTGCTCCATCAGTCCATGTTTGTGTACCTATTCCCTCTCTGCAGTTGCCTCTCCATTAACCCTAATAAGTTGCTCCACTCTTGAATTGATAGGGACCTCTCATATCCAGTGACTCATCATTGATTTTAGATGGAATGTTGATTACCTCAAAATTCTCTTTCATATAATTCTTATTTGCCCCTCTATTTGGATTTTTCAATACCACTTTGATAGATTATAGTCTATGTTTTTTTCTAACTTAATATCCTCGATATCTACTTTAAATTTTAATTGCAGCCTTGAGAATTTTATCGTTCTAATTTTAATATTCATTAAATTTATTTCGTTCTTTATAGCTTGATGATTATTTCTCATTTCTTTTACTTTACTATTCCAAACATAATAAATCTGCATTTATATTGTCTTAATTGCTTCCAATCGAATTTCTTGAGTGACTCTTGCTATTTTTAGTTCCTTTATTATCTAACTTACTCATTCATTTAATAATTTACCACTATTTCTTTTTCCTAACCCATGTTTCTCCCAAATTTGCAATCACATTGACTACACTTACCTCCCATTAAGAAGAGCACTGCTAGAAATAGAAATATTATAATAAATATTACATAATAAAAATGATCAAAACTTAAGCTTTTTAACTAGTTTAATCAATAAAAAAGTCGAAATTCTCATCAATGATAAAAATATAAATCAAATCATAAATTGTTATTTTACTTGGGAGGGTTCAAATATCTTCGTTGCTTGACTTTGAAGTAATTCATAAAATTAGTTTTAACCTAATTTGCTTCCAAATTCCAAGGAAACACTTGAGTCTTATAAATAAAATGGCAAGGGAGTCAATCTCTCATTTGGACTGCCCAAATATGAAGACATGGATTCCAAATGAAATTCATTGAACACCTTGCAAATACTACGAATAATAGCCAATTCCTCTTTGTGTTATTCGTTATTTGGAATCAATTGCATTACCTTACATAACAATTAACAAGAGTGTTAGGCCTTGATATTTATTGTGATATCGTGAGTATTAATTTGCTACTCCATAAGTAATTGATTACGTTCATTATTTAGACAATTCTAAGTTTTAATTACATCTATAAATGTATTTGCTCATTAAATTTCAATTGTATTTACTTTTACTAATTTTGAAGATCCTTCAAAGTTTCAGTTAGTTACTGATGCTCAGCCTCATAAATTTAGTGTTTCAGATTATTATCCTAATTGCTAAGTTCTTCAAGGACCTTCATTTTATTTTAACTAATGATATTTATCAACTATTTTCTACTTCATTATAAGTATTCATACTTCTCTCCTTGAATAAAATAACGATGAGCAAACACATTGATGTTTCGTCTAATCTTTGTTCTCTTAAAACCATATAAATTTAATTGCCTATCAAAAGTAAACAACCAAATTAACCTAATAAAACTCGCAAATGACTTCTGTTTATAGAATACTCGAAGTATTTATTTCTCCAATTTCTTGATATCACAAACTTCAAATGATGTACCATCATCACTCCATCTCAAGAACCTATATTGCTCTGACTAAACAAATCATATTAATTTATTACTTCTAGCAAATCAAATAGCTTGTCTAAAAACTTCGGACTTTTTTTCTATTGCATTCAATATTAATATAATAATTTTTCTGATGATATGTCATCTTTTAGTTTATTTAGTCATAATGAAATTAATTTAAATATATTTTATTTAATTATTGAAAAATATAAATAGCATCTCTACAGCATCATAAATCAAACCCAAAAAAGTTAAAATCTGATTCTTGCTAACCAAAAAACCAAACTGGTTCCAAAGTCTCAAGATTAAATTGATCCTACTTATGATTTAAATAATTTCCAATATCTTCAACAACGGCTTTTCCAAATGGAGCAGGAGAAGTTGGATAAGGAGCCTCTACTTCATCTTCCTTGATTGACAGAGTTTCACTCATCCATAGATCTTCCTCCTTCGGGAACACACACTTTATGAGGTACTAAAACGAAGCCTCTATCAATCATAATCAATGTTTTTACAAGCTTCTGGTTTCATTGCTCTGACTATCATACGTATACTCTCAATGAAAAAGACTCCTCTCCTCTCCTAAATAGCCTTTATTTCCAATAGTTTCTACCAATTATTTGATAGGATCATACTTCTATTATGAGTTTGAAATGACGCTGAAACCTCAACTATTGCTGAATGAAATCAACCAATTATTTCTAGATAATTACTTATTCTTATTTCAAAGACGTCATTGTATTTTTTAATTCTTCCTATTCTATAAGAAAAGTCCCTATCTATTGTTTCTCAACGTGAACTTACTTTTTCTTCTAAATGAACTTCTGGATAACCTTGTTTTATGTGAAGTACGGGTGCTCATAAGTCAAGATTCCATTTTAATCCTTACAACTTGTAAAGCCATACATATTCAATTATCTGCAAAATAGAAACAAAATACCTTAAAAAACTTGAATAATTGCCGTGCTTAAAAAATCGAGGCAAGACATTCTCTTATAATAATGATTTATCAATGATTTTTATTTTAATTCCTTCTTCATCCCACTTTATAATGTCTATATACTCAGAACACTATATTTGTGATTGATAGTACATCTAGAATCTATTTAAAAATCTCAATAAATCTATTGCTTTTGCTTTTGTAATTTTTTTTGTTCATTATTTTTTTAATTTCATGAAAATAAATTCATTTTCTAATTTCCCAAAAATAGTATTCATAGACAACAATTAATCTTAATTACATAGAAGCAATTCTAGAATGTAATAATACAAAATTATATAATGATATCAATAATTTATATATTTAATAAATCCCCAAGCTTATAATCCATTATCGTTTATAATCAACTTCATTCCTTTTGTGATATATTCTGGGAAATACTTGAATTTCAGTCTAATGATATTTGGTTGTTTCGGAATTAATTCAATAAACTCCATAGGCTTTTCATTTTTCTCATTAATAACGAATAAATCTGTCTTTTTTTGATCATCGTCATTCGTATAAGATTTAACTTAACTACTTCCTTTCCTTCTTGGACTTCTATATGACTATTTGTTTAAACTATTAGAACTACTAGCCTTCTTGAGTTGTTCACTTTATTTTCTATAAGGTGTTCTTGGTTAAACAGTTTCAGGTTTTTACATACAGGATTCATCAATTGATTTCGATTATTTTTTCCTTATTGTCAGAGTTTCAAACTACAATTATTCCTCTCGAATTATTTTACAAATTTATCTAATAATATTATTACAATAGATACCTAGTACATTGAGTATTGATTACAGGTTCAAAGCTCACTGCTATTTTTTTTGCTTCTTTTTAATCATCAAATAACCAAATTTCAGCTAAAAAGTCCCAAGCAGCTTAAGGATTGCTTTTACCTTCGATTAAAACCATTCCACGTCTTATGGGATTCTAATCTGATCCAAACTATTAATTGAAATTTCCTTATTTAAACCTAATAGTACAAATTTATCCACATTGTGCAGATTTTACCTTTAATTATAATAGATTATTACTTGAACTCTGTTGCATTAGATTTCTTCAACCTCAATAGGAAAGAACCGACCATGTTTATCTGGTCCCATTTACAATATTTGTTTGACTCTTATAATACCTTTGAGAACTGTTCCACCAAGCACCTTCTAATTATTAATTTCAAACACATTGTGAATACAATATTCTGAATCTAAATTGGAGTTGTTTGTCAATTCATTTGTGGAAGGTAATAAGTTTAAGAACTTTATAAAATAATCTAAAGTCCTCTATTTCAAATTAGAGATCAAAAATATAGGAATGAGTGTTTTACTTAGAATTTATTTACTAAATAAGACAACATCTTCTTCACTTCTAACAACAATGGGAACACTTTAAATTTATAGACTCTTAATCATATCTTTTAATTATTCAACTTTGTCAACATAATAATCCTCTGTGATTTGGTCTACGTGAGTTATAGCAATCATAAATGGTATTTGTTGAATTTAGATTAATTTAAGAAAATCCATAGTAGGTTTGCCAATCTATTGTAATGAAGAGATTGTTAATAAGGCATAATCTGGAAACTAAGAATTGATAATTTGAATCATTTAATTGTGTGCTCTTTTAGTTCCACCCATATCGATAAAAGTAATGAGTTTAGTTGATAAATCCACTAACTTTTCGACCATACAAGTAGGACTGAAATTAAGTTAATTTTAATGATTCATTATCTTTCCTTCACTATCAAATCCTATGACTGTATGACTGACTCTTTCTGTCTTTCCAGATGTAATTTCAGACCTATTCTTCAAAAACTTCATTCTCGCCAAACCTTGTCCATTATCTAGTTGTCCAGTGCTTAGGACTCCTAAAAGGGATGTCTTACCAGATCCACTTTCCCCTAAGAGTAGAATTCTTATGTCCAAATTGATTCCATCCTTTAATCCTTTTCTTACTATAACCTCACAGGTTTTTCCATTGGTTCCCTGATTGACACCTACTACCAATAATTCGGCCTTAAGAGATTAAGCCATCAAACAGAGTGTTTTCAATGATCCAAGCATGTCGGATTTGTTAAGACCCAGAGGATTACCACTATCTTCAACTCCGATTTTATAATATGCCATTCCATTTCCTTCAGATAATCTGAAATTCATCTATGTTGTTAAATGAGTTAATCTCTTAGGATCAGGATCAACCAGTCTAAGTTTGTATTCAGTGTGTCCAAAATCACTCTCTTACTTGAAACAGGATATTTTTGAGATATCTTCTTGAATTGAATACTAAATTCTATCATCAAGTTCTTACTTATTCATCTATGTATTATTATAAATCGATTTGGATCTCCTCGTTATTTGGTTTTACTAAAAGCACAAATTAAGGCTTGGTTTCATATTTTAAATGCTATCTGATTAATCAAAAATATACTTATATTGAATCCTATTATTCTGTTTCATCATCATTTATTTAATTGTTATCTTATTTATTTGATTGTTTTCCTTTCTTTTTTTTCTGGAGATTCAAATTTTGTTTTCTTTGCTTTTACTTATCAGTCAGCTCAGAAAATTAGGGATGCGCTTGCTTTTATTGTTTTTTCTTCTCTCTTTTGGACTCTTCTTCATCTATACCTTGCCATAAACTATAAATTCCATTATTTATAGTGGATTGTTATTAAGAATCAATATGCATGAATGTGGGATTGTAAGAGTATATTCTTTCTTAAATATAATAATAAATAATTGTATAAAAGTTTTAAATGAATTTCAATTCAATATTAGTTCTGAATAATTAATGTATTTTTTACGTGTAGTTTCTCTCATAGAAATTGCTAGAATAATTAAAGAATAAAATCAATATTTCATAAAACAACAAATTCAATAGATTATTCATCAACTAATCTTCATCTTTTTCTTTTTCTTACGTTGTTCTTCTTCTTTAATATGTTCCTGTATAATAAATTTCATTGCTATCATACTATCTAATGTTACAGTTACCTTTGACAAAATTGTAAATGAAAATAGACATTATTATAACTATTGCATATATTGATATTGATTTCTCTGTTAGATTGTACGATCTCAAGAATTTTGTAAAACTATTCTAGTTTCTCTCATAATCTTCTAATATCTAATCATAATCTAAAATAATACATGTTATTTCTCTGTGTACATTCTACCCTTGATTTCAATTTCATCCAATGACAACTAACTTAAGTCACGCTAATCAAAAATAAATTATTCAGGCTTAATCAACTGTAACCAATCAATTTATTGTACCAGTGACTCATCTATTGTAGAGTCTGGATACCTTAATCTTATCTCTTGCATGCAATTATTCATCATATAAAAAAAGTGATTTAGCACAAGATCTTGTTTCGAAGACTCCTCATATTCAGAAAAATAACCAAAAATCTAATCTTTGTTTGAGTCGTAAAATATGCCTACTACTTTATCACACAAATAAAGACGCTAAGTTTCAATATCTTTTATCCATTCTGTAGCGTAGCATAAACTTATTATAAAATAACAAATATTCACTTTCATTATTTATAAAACTAAATTAAAATGGGAATATATTATTATTCATTATTATCCATATTTATTATTTATTCTTAACCCTTTTCAAACCCTTCTTTTTTGTTTATTACACTCAATTGAAATGAAATTGTCTTTCATTCTTAATAATTATCAATTTTGTTATTATCTTATGCTACTATTTTTTGTAGAATACACATAACACAAGTTATATAAAAATTCTCTTTATTTCCAATTATGTATATATTCTCTAACATAATTGCTGCTTGTTAATAAGTGCTCACTAAATCAAATAATATAGATGAATAAAATGAGAAGCAAGAGGGGATGGATAAAAAGAGAAATAAATTAGTTTTTATTTAATTTTTATATTTATTTATTTATTAAATTATGACAGATGATGATTTTGAAACAGAGTAAAACTTACTAGGAACGATTTTGTCAAGTAAATTACTCTAATATATGTTAGCAACTGATGAAGTCGAGCATTAGGATCAGAAGAAGTAAAATGCAAGTGTTGATTACAATTAAACCTAGACTTAAACAAAATTCTAATTCTAATATTAGTTTTAAACCACAGATTCTTTCAGCAAATCCTTTGAACAAATAAGTTTAGGTTCAGATCAATTATGCAGCCCTATTTCTCCTGATGGAAAATTGTAATATAAAAATCAAGGGGCTTGCACTTCATTCAGTTCAGATAATCAAACTAGCTTAGAAAATTCAATGATTTTTGGAAATGCTCGTGGCTTTGATTACTTCTAAAAATAACCTGAATAATTTTCACCCATTTTCTACAGTTAAACCAATCCAATCAGGCCTTCATATCAAAAACCAAGTCAAAATTTAGAGATATAATTAGATATTGATATTGTAAGATTTGATGTTTTATCAATTTTTATAGGAGAATATGTGTGGTAATCAAGTGCTCTCTAGAAAGGTGCAGAAGATTTTTGAGACAGGAACACCCAATTAAAAGCAATAAATATTTTGGAAAGTGCAAGCGAATTGTTAAGAATTCTCAAAAGATGTCTTTGGAAATTACTTAATTTAGAAGATACTTGAAAAAGGTATAACCCAATATAATATCATTTTAGGATCTTAAGTATATTAAATTTTGATCTTTAAATAATTATTGCCTTATGTATTAGAATTATCTAAAAATAATTTTGGTTGCAGAGTGATATAGAAACTTATAGAAATCATCTCCAAAAATGATCAACTAATAAATCTATTCATTGAAGAAATAAAACAAAATGTTTAATCACTTTTAATAGATTAAAATGGCAAATATGTAATTTTAAAATGTCTGGAAAGCCTTCAAATAGATGAAGTCAAATTTATTCTAAAACCAACAGAGGAATTATGTAATCATATGTGTGATTCTTAATATGGATGTAAAATAATCTAAAAATTAATTGAAAACTATCCAACTTAAGTGGATAATTTGATATAAATTTGTATATCTAATTAAGACCTCCTCTATAAATCTTAATCTGGAAATTACATCATTTAATATGCCATTAAATAGCCGAAAAATCTAGAAGTTATAGCAAATTACATTGTAAATCACTTAGAATATTTATGTTTTAATAAATATGCAAGCAATACAGTGGAAGCCATCCTTGAATATTTAACTCCAAAACTTAAGAATGATTTAATTTAAATTTTGATCAAACTTTCAGATTAAAATAGAATGTAATTTAAAATGTATAATCTTAGGTTCATTTTTATAAATATAGCAACTAATCCTTTTGGAAATTATGTTATAAAGAGGTTATTATATACGTTTGAACTAGAACACACGCAATAACTGTTAAATCTAATAAAATAGAATTTAAATTTGCTACAATACATTAGGCAATCAGAATTTGGATAAAGAATCTATACAATATTGACAACATAGTTAAATGATTAAAATTGATAATAATATAAAAATGATTATAAAAATAAAAGATAATATGATAGATTACACTTATTACACTTATTAATAGACTCAAAATAAAATATTCAACAATGAAATTCAAATTACAAAAGACTTGTAAATCCAAATCTTAATGATTAAACAATGGGATAGTAGATTCCAGCAATAAAATTCAAAATTGCTAAAAGAATAGTAAAATAGATCACTAAATGAACTAATTTTAATTTTTCAATAAGTTTCAAAGAGAAATGACAACATATTGTTCCAAATACAAGCTAATTATGAATATTATCTTTACAGCTAATCCAAAAAACCAAGCGATTTCTGCCATCGAAATGTAACTATCAGTTATTAATTTGACAACATTAGTCAAGCCAATAAAAAAGTAATTAAAAGCTGATGTTGCAGTTGCAATTCTAGGATGTAGTCCTAATTCCAATAACACAGGCACCATAATTAATCCCTTAAATAAACACAAATGTATTACTGCTCCCAAAGCCAGAAGCCCTGAAATCAATCCAGCAAAAAATCCAGACAAATAAATCATTATAAATCTATTCTTTTGAAAATATCTTTCTTACACATAAATTTTATAATCATCAAATATCTTTTCTTTCTAATAATAATTTTATCTAAATTACGTTTAATCCATAAGTATATACTAATCTGGACATAAAAATATTAAAAACAAACAATATTATCCACAAAATGTATCTAAAATCAATGCATTTATTTAGTGGAATAAATGGTTTGAGATATTTTCCGCCAGTCATAATTATTTATGAAACAATAAAGAAGGATAAGGCTATGGCCAACTTTTTATATGGGTAAAAATTCTGGAATTCACTTTGCAATAATAATTGTTGTTCTTCAGTATATATTGAATCTTTTAAATTGAGTAAATATTTTTCTAAATCTAGTTCACTTTGGCATCTTATCTTTCTCAGCTTCTCCTTTTTGGCTTTATTCAATAGAAATGGAATTACGATGATCAAAAATATTTATTAGAAGATTGTTTCAATTATGGGAGCCAAAAAAACGTTCAGGATACTGCCTAAATAAGATCCAAGTGCTATTGAGCAATTTAAAATCACCACTAGATCGTAATTTACTAATGGTCTTTTCTCATCGTAGGGATGTGACTTCTTCATCAATAGAAATGTGTTTATGACACACCCGCCAAACATTAAGCAATAAGATAACTAGGTTGCATAACTCTATTCATAATCAAGCATCATTAAGAGAATGGGTCCTTTCAATACTCCTCCTCCTAATCCTCCGGTCATTCCAAGTCCCAACAATATTGGGCAAATGATGTATACTAGGGCAGTATAGAGAGACATTGGGAATATGGGATCGTGTAGACACATCCCATTTATGCATTTGTTTAAATATCCGCAATTTAGAGATTCTGGACATACTTATTTGAACATTAAGATATTAAATAATAGTGAAAATTGTTAAATCAAATATAGAATTTTGTAAAATTACCTATTATATTTAAAAATTATTTATTAAATAAGTAATCAATCATTTTTTAGGATAGTGAATTCGATTTCTTTGGTTAATCATTTGCTGATGAATTTATAAGTAATTGTGGACTAAGATAGAGCTTTATTTTTCCAATTAATCTAAGTATTTGTATTATTAATCAAATCCAGCATTCATACTAAATTTATCCATCAAACTGTCAATTTGTAATATGGATTTTTTGTTAAAATTGTTGGTTTTGATTCTTTCTTGAGTGCTAATGTGTGTAGATACTTCTAGAGAATTGTTTGAGATCTTGTTTGAAATTGATCTTCCTTTGCTACTTTATTTTTGAAAAGGCGATTGGTTTTTTGATCTTTGACTTGGTATGTAATTATTCTATTTGATATATGGACTTTTTGTTAGTTGAGGTAGCTTAAGTTTAAAACTAGGACTATTATCCTTGCTTTAAGCTTTGATTAATAATTAATCATTTTTATACATTAATTATAATCACACTTATGAAAGAATACGGTTCATCTAAACTTCTCAAGACAATTATTCAACAAGAAGTCATCACTAATGTTGAGCCTCCTAAAAAATTCAAAGTTAATGATTAGTATAAACCTGCAGAGAATATAGCATAATATTCTTAAGAAGAGCCTAGGAAAGAAAAAATAACTTTGGATGATATTATTCCAATTGATCCTCAAATCCCAGTTGCTGAGGCTGAGAGGCGTACAGTAGTACCAGTAAAAAAGCAACAGCAAACACAAGAAGGTCCTGTTGATGATTTACAAAACATTAATATTGTTGCATGTGAGGAATATTCCCACATGAGACCAGTCATACTTGGAGAGATAGAAGAAGAGACCTTAAAACAAAAAAAGAGTTTTTTATAAGCATTACGCGATGGTCATTGCATCATATAATTGCCAAACAAATTACCTTTTCATGACATAGGAAAAACATAAAAATATGTTGAGGAGGTTAAAGGCGATTAGGTGTAAAAATAATTAAAGTAATGATATTTCAAGATTTTAATTAGAGATTATTATGATGAATGTTATGATAGTAGTGGCATACAATTATAAAAATAATTCACAAATCTCAGTAATAAAGTCGATGTGGGTATACATATAGGAAAAATTTCAATTGCTGCAGATGGATCAGCCATTTGGAAAGCTGGAAGGGAAGAATTTGAAATTGTTTAAGGAATCACCTAGGATTTAGATTAAAAATGTTTGGTAATCAACAAAGAAGATGGTAAATGTGGATTCGTCAATGTGGGTGACAAATTTGTTATAACTCCTAATTATTGAAGTTCATTTTAAGTAATAATATATTCAGTAAATTATACGAATTGTTAAACTATATTTAAAATCTTAATTATATCTATAATAATTTACAGTTATTATTATATAATCTAAGCTTTAGTTTATTTCTCAATCCCAAAAAACTTGAAAATTATAGGAGAAAATGGAATTAATATTTTCAAATTATTGAACAAAATTTAAGGATTATAAATATTGACATTTATTCTTTTTATAAAATTATTAACAATACTATAAAGATGAGGTTTTAATAAATTTTGATTTCTTGGTGGTACCAAAATGATATAATTGAGGTGTACAAAAATTGATGGGTATTATTAGTGTTATTATATATATTAATAATTTTTAACGAATTATAAATAATTCAAATTTTAAACCAAATGAAAACTTTTTAAGTTAGTAAAGACTCATCATTTAGGTATTTTAAACATTAAATTAAGGATCTTAGTGCCATAAAATAGGATTGAAATGGAAGAGGAGACAGTGGAAACATCGATCTAGTTAGATTAAAAGAATATTTATCGACCAATTAAAATAATATTTCCTCCTCCAAATCATCCAAAAATCACTACAAATACAAAGTAAATTATACATTAATGTTAGATCTTGTAATTGTAAAAAATCCTAGTGTCTAAAACAGTATTGTGATTGCTTTGCTAACGGATAAATGTGCTCCGAAAATTGTAATTGCGTTGGCTGCTTCAATAATACACTCAATATTGAGTAAAGAAAGGTGGCTAAAGTGCAAATTATAAATCGAGATCCCGGAGCATTCAAATAAAGTTTCAAAGGATGCAATTGTAAAAAGTCTGGCTGCCAAAAGAAATATTGTGAATGTTTTTTAAATGGTCTAACATGTACACATTTGTGTAGATGCGACGGATGTCTCAATTGCTAAAAGTGATATTTTTATATAATTCATTTCAATCATAAAGAGTTAGAATTAAAATTTAATCCAAGTAATTAATTCTTTAATCATGACTAAAACTAATTGACCATATATCTTAATATCACTTATTTGCAGTGCTAACTTGCAAATTTCTTAAGAAATTTTAGACTTTCATACTTTGTTAAGATGTTATATAAATCACAGAATATTAAAATATTTCTATCAAAATCTTAGATTCAAGATCAAAATATGATTTTTTATGTAATAATAATACAATATAAAAGATTTATTAGCTATATGATATAATTCTAATTATAAAAATTTAAATTATTAAATCATTAGATATTTTTGTAATCATAAGACTTTGTTGCTGGTTGTACTGCTTAATATTAATTAGAGACGATTATTTTGTGTTTTGAAGAGAGGAGAGAAGTGCATCTAGGATTGAAATGTCCTGGATTTAATTCTGTTTTATGCTTTTGGTAAAATCATTCTTTTTTTTTCTTTGCGGCTTTTCATTTGGGATTAAGATGTACTCAAGGGACTGTTGCAAGATTATTTATCTAACAATTCTTCTGGAAAGTGTGTTTTCATCGCAAGTTTTTTCATTTTATATTTTGGTTATTCAACTTAGGATTCAGGCTTTTGAATTAATTAGGTATCCAAATCTTGAGATTCATTTTAAGTAACAAAATTATAGCAGATTTTTGATTTAAGAAAGAGCTCTGATTAAGTATGAGTGACGGTTGAAGGGATAACTTTAACTGGATGTTTTCTTTATTTTTAAGATAAGAATTCGAGTTATTATTTGATTAAATTAATACGTTGCTATTTTTTAATTTATTGAATTTATTGTATCTTTTTTGTAGTCTCTATTAATCTTTCGCTTTTTTGTGGCGATTCAATTATATTTTCTGATTTAATTCTTTAAGTATAATACTATGGAAAAGTGGATGCTGTTTTTGCATCTGTCTATGTTCTAAGTTCAGCAAACTGTTGAAGTTCTATTCTGTGCAATTTAAGTTCTTCAGATTGTTATTCAAACATTCTTTCAACCAAAGAAGTTCTTTAGATTTTATAAGCATAGCCCTTGGCTGAATTACAGACCAGGGAGTACTCATAAGGAAGATTGATGTTGAGATGATAGAATCCAAATACTTGCAATTCTCCGATTTCAAAAAGCTATAATATTAGAGGTAGTTACATTAGCATTAGTTTGATTAGATCTAATAAACTTCTTAACTAAGAAGCTACCAGATTTAATTAAAATAAAATAATCAACCTTTTAGCCTTCTTAGATAACAATTTGATTTTTTTCAAATTCGTACAGGAAGGAATTCAGATAAATGTGTTTCAATTGGGTTCTGTGAAGATGGGAAAATATCTTGATTTGAGAGAAATAATCAATGTTCTTCATAATTAAAAGATACATACTTCGTCCAGTTATTTTTATTGTTCTTCTTGAAGAATATGTTTAAATTGTTATTTGTCTAAAACAGCAAAAGTGCATTCAGTGAGACATTGGATTGTCGCTAACCTTGGTTGCTTGTGTAGGAGTGCCAATTCACCAAAAGATTCCCCTTTATTCAGGATTCTTACAGCTTCCATTTCAATTTGATTGGGCTTCCTCACTAATACCACAACCTGTCCTTCTAAAATAATGTAGAATTTAGTGCCTACACTGTCTAACAAGTTTAGGATTATGGTTTACCTACATAGAATACAATTTCATGTGTTTTGAATTTTTCACAATACATGTTTTTGCAACATTTCCTTTGTATTTGAATTCCATTCTCAGACTTGGTGTATTATTTAAAAAAAGGAAGTTAAGAGGTTAATTTAACGAGAAGGTCGATCTCAGCTTTGCTTCTATGTTACGGACTCTTTTTTAATAATAGTTCAACCTCATCAATTTACTTTTACATAAATAATATTTATTATTACTAATACTTAATTGAATAATTTGTTATCAAAGAGATCTCTACAAAGTGAAGATAATAAAATTTATTTTATATAATTGTATAATTATAAAAAACAAATAAAAAAATGTTAGGCAAAAAGTAGAGTTCATGTGTTGGGTTCAATCCCTTTAGCAGATATGAATAAGAAAAGCCAAGCATAAGTACTAAAATCATCAACAAATTGAAAAGCTTATTTTAAATCAATTTAAATCCTTCCTCTTGTATAAAAAGGGAACTGATATTTTAATAGACTATTTATGTTCCTGTCGATTTAGATATCGTCGGAGCATAGACTATTGAACATGGTAACATTAATATTGATTAAGATTCCATTCAAATATGTCATTCTCAAAGCAGCATTAAATAAAGAAGATACAAACCCATTAGTTTTGATGATCATCTCAAAGAAAAGAAATAAGTAGAATTGTTAAATGAATTCAACAAAAAGGTTTAAAAAGAAAAAGAAAAACAGAAAAAGAAGGTCAATGGTAATTATACAATAATTATTACAATCAGATTTGCAATAGAGTTTCGATCGTGTTTTACCATAAGATATCCATATCGCTGACGAGAAAAAGGTCATTCAACCTCGAAAAAAACTTAGTTCTCAATAATACAAAAAAAGAAAGCTTGATTGTAAGATTTTTGATATAATCATAGAGAAAAAAAAATAAGTGGGAATCAAAGTTGTATATACGAAACATGTATACGATTAAATATAGGATAGTATAAATGAAAGTAGAATAAAAGAAGTCCCAGAATAAATGAGCGATGATTCCCTTAAAAATAATAGTCTCCTTGCAGCAGAACTAAAAGTAAAGCCACAAAAGAAAGAAATGATTATTATTTCATTAGAGGATGAGTAAAAAAAAGAGCGAGAACCCCCTCTGAAAAATGAAATCAAAGAAAATCAATCAAAAAAGTTAAGAAAATCCTCATCCATGATTAATTTGAATGAATAAGAGGCTAAATCATTTTCTTGCAGTCCTAAAAAACTTGAAAATTCACAATCCAAAAAACAATCCGATCTCATAAATATAACTAAGTAAGTTGAACCATTAATTAATGAAGTCAGAAAAGCAATAAAAAGGAATGAAAAATAAACTGAATTTTCAGTTTAGCCACAATAGACTGTAATCAATTTCTTAGTTCAAGGATCAGGGGAATAACAGAAAATTTAAACAATAAATAATAGCTCATTACAAAAGAAGGAAGTTTCTGAAGATGTTAAGCAAACTGAAGTATAAGAAAGACATATTAATAATTTTTCAGAGACTCCTTTGTTGGGATTTGGAAAGAACAGCAATGGTCCACAAGGTTAAACAATTCCTTATAATATCAATGTGCAATCGTCTTTATTTGCGCCTAATGATTCAAAGGACTAGGATCTATAAAAATCATCTAATCAATGTTCAGGTTAGAATTTATTTTAAAATTAATTCACTTCCAACCAAAATAAGTCACAGCCTCTAAATTCCTTTTTAAATGATAATAAAGAGACTTTAGATCAACCAAAAAAGATTGAAGAAAGTAAATAAACTTATAATATTTTCAATAATACTTAAGAAAGTTAAAATGATTAGTTACCCCTTAAAAAATAGCTTTTTGAAAGCTTAACTTATCAATCCTAATCTACTTAAGGAGAACAGAAAGAAGAAAGCAAATAGAATCAGCCTGATGATAGCAATTAAAAGCCTGAAATTGAAAATACTTAGCCTAATTCTATTGCCTTAAATTTTTAATTGAAATCATCATCTGATAATAAATAAGACTTTTAATTTAACCTCAATAGTTAACTAAATTAAGTAAGTCAATAAACTCCTTTTCAAATTTTATAATAGCAGCCACCAAAAAATGAGAACAATAAAACTGATATTTTTACTACTGATCTATTAATTAACAAAGTGGCTACTCCAGTTAAACAAATAAGCAATCCCTTTCTATAATAATCATCTAAAATCGATTAAGAATAAATAATCTCCTATTTTTCAATTCATTCATAATAATAAAATAAAATCAATTAGGACGATCCTGCTAAAGCTTAGATCCCCCAATTTACAAATGAACTATTTAATAAATAAAATACTGGCGCTTCTATGTTTAATCTTCCAAATAGAAATGCATTTCAAGAAAGTGCGAATAATAATATGAAAATGAATAATAATGGTGTGAATAACGATATGGAAATCACAGATACACTATTAATTTCATAATAATTCTAACATTAATAATAATAGTCATTGTAAACATAAAACACTTTTGGATCTTTTAATTAATCTCAACTTGGAACCAATAATTTCTTTCCATAAATGCAATAGCAAATTTCAAGTGGGTTTAACCCTGTTTAATATTTTTAAAAAAACCCCTAGTAATAAAATGAACATTAAACTTAATACTTTTAACTCCATCAAACTAATGGTAACAATGTATTTATTATTCTTAGGTATATTCACTTAGGATCCCCCTAAGTAAACAAATTAATCATAGAGTTTGAATAACAGTTTTTCAAGCAGGAATGGCAATAAAAAATAAAGAATAGATCAATGATTGAAATAATTAATCTAGCTAAAATATAATTTTTTAATAATAATAATGTATAAAGTAAATAATTAAAATATAATGATATATATGTATCTTATCATACTAATTATTATGATAAATACTCAAAATACTACTTCTTATTTGTGTGCTTAGTGATACCATTTATTTATCATGACAAGTTTGATAAGAATATTTCCTTATGCACCTTCAGTATTGTGAAAAATCCTGTCTCATAAAACTTTCTAATTCTATCAGGAAGATTATTTACCCATATCATTAATGCACTAATATTGCCATCATGATAAGTATCAACATTAGAAAAAATTAAAGATATTATTATCTCTAAAATTCTTGTGATAATTAGAAATAGATTATAGTTTCAATCGATAAATGATATAAGAATGCTTGGAAATGATGTCAAATTATTGACCAATACAATACTAACTTATATTTATCACATAAAATACATTATTTAATAACCAATCAAGATCTACAGTAGCTAAGGTTTTGAAATACTGATAAAAGGAAATTTAACGTCTGACTCCTCTATTAACTTCTTTACATTCATTTTGCTTTAACGACAAGTGCTATTGTAACAATTATCTTGTTTGAATATTTAATTTTGGTTGCACATTTTACACTTAAGAAGTACTAGCTTAACAACTACAAATAGATTACTAAAAATTATCTAACTTTAAATATTCATAATTTCATAGGTTGTAGTAAAATAATGTTTTTGATTTTTTTTTAATGAATGATAAACAAGAGGACTAGTTTTAAGTAAAAAATAGGTGATTTCATTAAATAAGGATTGAGTAACGAAATTAATTTTATTATATTTAAGAATTTATCTTCATTAAACAAAATGTTTCTTTGATTCCAAAAGAATTAAGTGAAATAGCTACGATCAATTTGATGAAAAATAAAATACAATATAATTGAATTTATTTCTATATGTAACTATCATAGTTAAGGAGAAGGATACAAAGAATGTGGGATATCCAAATAATACTGATCATATTTTATTTATAATTTTAATTAACTCATTTTACTCCCTCTTTAGCAACATCTTCTATTTTTTGAGTCCAATGGAGTTTAATATCATCTTGAGATAAGCTATTAATTATTTCTAAAACCTATGCAATTTCATTTTATCCTTAATCTAAAGTTGAAAACAATCCTTTATAAGTTGTACTAACTATCATATCATACACAAATTTTCCACAAATTTAAAGATGAGATATAATATAACTTTCCTTTGAAAATGCATATACATATTTAGAGAAGGCATTAAAATAAGAATTTACCTCACTTTTATCTTTAGGGTTAAAACATCCACCATTAATCTTTTTAAATTCTCCTTCCTCAGCCATTTCACAATAATAGTATTCTTCTTTATCTATTCAATATATAAATTAATATTTACCCTTATCTTTTAATACAAATTGTTTGGCGATTACATACTCTCCTTCTCTTAATCTTTATGATCTTAAGACTTTATTAAATTGATCCATCAAAAATTAGCATAAGAAGTTGTTTTTAGACATTTAAGCTGCATCATCTAAATTAATAAAAGCTTGATTTTAAGATATTAGATCTTTTCTTAATAAGAATTTTCCTTTCAATTCATTTTAAGTTGCCTCTGTCACCACACTTAAATAACCCTTAAAAAATGTGGACTCGGCATTTGGTGACAGACTTCTATTTAATTTCACACTGCCCTTGGGAGTCTTTTTTAAGCACTATTCAAATAAGAAATACTAATTCTTAGTCAAAAGTTCCTTTGCTTGATCATATTCAGCAGTTATCTCAAAAATATCATATTCCTTCAGGTCAAGATTAGCATACTAATAATTAGTAAATTCTTTAACTTTATGAGGTGTTGACATTATTCTTTCCATAACACCAGTTACTTTATCTTGATATTTATCATCTTGCCTTAATAATTTTAAAAGAATATGGTCTTTTATACTTAGTTTCATATTTTTTAATTCCATCTCCTACTTCATTTATTAAATTATTTCATCCATTTGTGTTTTATATTTATTATTTTAAGCCTAATCATTTTTAAGTTGTTCCTCTTTTTACTTTAATGTATTTGAAACTTAATCTAATTTAATTTGTAATTAACTTGCTAACCCTTCTTTTTCTTACAATTTTAATCTAAGCTATCTTATTGTCTCTGAGTGATCTTTATTTTAACCAGTAACTGTTTTTAATTCTTATTCCAGTTTTGTAATTTGACTTTTTAGTTGCTTTATTTAATTTTGATTGTTTTATCCTTCACTTTGTTATTACTCTAATTATTCTTTGGTTTATTGTAATTAATTTCTTAATTCTTTTAATTCTGAATCAACAAAATCCTTTTATTACTATAATATTCTCAAGTCGCCTGTTTATTTGTCTTATTCATTTTTTTTTATTATTATATCTCCTTTCAGGCGTTCAATTTCATCATTTAATTCATCAACCTTTGTCGTTAAATCCCCAATTTTTTACAATTAGGTATTACTTTTAGCATCCAACTATTATTTTTGAATTTTTAACTAATTGAGCTCCTCTTCTAATTCGTCAATTTGCTAGAGTTAACTCTTATTTAAAGTGGTTAATTTTTTAATGTCTGTTTCTTTTTATTAAAGAGTAGAATTAGCATCTTGAAGATTAGAAAATGTAGTCCTTTAATTCATTTCTAAATCAATTATTTTTCCCTTGGCTTCTTTTAAATCTCTATGTAGTTTTTTAATTTTATCACTTAATTATGAATTTGTGCTTTCAGACAAATTAATACTCTCGTTAGCTATCACTAGTTTTTCCTTTTCTTATTTTAACTATTATTTTAGTTCATCTTTCTCAGCTTTTGAAGCTAATTATTCATCTCCAAGCTCTCTTTAAAGATTTTCTATTTATGTGGCACATTCATTGTTTGTTTAAGTGGCCTGTTGATACTGTTGCTATAATTATTATTAAAATTAAGAGATCACCTAATCTAAATAATTTTGCCACTATGTATTTAAATTTTATATTACTGAAATCTTTTAATAATTTATTTCATTCTGCATTTCTTCATTTTTTTTTTATAATTATATTTCATAGTTTCTTTATTATTATTAATTATCTTCTTATAATTATTAAATATTTTATTCTAGGTCGCTACATCTTGTATTTATCTAATTAAATTCCAATTCAAGCTAATCACGACTTTCTTAGATTTCTTAAATTTATTTTTATTTTTCTTTTTCAGCTTTCATTTTTTCAATTTCTTTGTCAACACTTTAATTTTTATAAATTTCAGATAATTATTATATGTTCATTTAATGCTATTTTTCTTTTTCTTTCATTTCTTCAACTAAATTTCCTAATTTTTATTCAGCCTCCAACCATTTCTCATAAATCTCTTTACTTGGAAGAGTAGAGGAATTGTCAGAATTAACAATATTATTGTTATCTTTTGATAATTTATCCTTTACTTATTTTAACAACTAAGATAGTTCATCTGTCTCTTTTTTTGAACTTTTTAATTAATCTTCCAGATCTTTAATCTAAATTTATAAATTTTCTAAATTCTTCATTTAATAAACTTGATTAGCATTCAAAGTACTGAAACAAAGCTGTGACATTTATTAGGATAGACAACTACAACATGATTGCCACACTTAATTTATTGAGTTTTTTTCACTAGTAATTTAAATAACTTCTATGTGCAATTCTTTATTCTTATTTTATAATATTTAATTTTGTTCAGATAATTATATAATTGTCTACTCTTGGCTATTACTTTTCTTAATAATCTTATTTAGATCTATTTCGAGAGTAGTATTTTTATCCTAGATTTCTCTAATTTATTATTCTTACTCAGCTTACTTCTTTTCCATTTCATTAAACCCTCTTTAAAGTGATTGAGCATCATAAACTTTGATGTAAATTTAATTTTTCAATTAGCTATCTGTTGTTTAGCCCAAACCATTTGATGTCTATTATTCTGTTTCAGAAATTTCAAAAAGGGTAATTGAATCAAAATTTATTTTATTTGTCTTTTTTTGCAGCTCCTCTTTGATATTTTCAGGTTCACAATCAAGCATAATTATTTCCTTATCAGGCATCTCGCAAAAGATCTTCCAACTATCCATTAATAATTTATAATAGAATTTAGATTTTATTTTTATTAGTAAAATAAGTTGTTATCCAAGATTTAATAGCCACAAAACGTGAGGAGTTAATTCTATTAGAGTTATTAATTAGAAATATTTCTTCACCATAGTTATCATATTGATAATTATCAAGTTTTTTATTAAGAATAAAATAGTTTTGAAAACTTAACTCAGAATGAGAAATTAAATTCTTAAATTCGTCTAAAGAACAAACAATATTGATTTCTGAATCTTCTAATCTGTTTCATGAGATGGATGGATGAAATTTTCAGAAGGATTTAAATTCTATGAATCATGTTCAAATGATAGGATTAGAATCTTGGCTCTCTGAACTTTATCTCGAAGATTATCTTTATTGAATACTGAGTTATATGATTTGTAAAGGAATAAAATTTCCTAATTTCAATCAAATCAAAATGGCTATAACTAAGATCCCAGAAGATGTAGAAGTAGACAAGGATGAGATTAACAAATTACCCTAATAAGTGATACTATAATTCAAGGTCTAAGAAATATGAATTATTCTCTTATACAAATATCTAATTACAATAATATTATGTCAATGATTTAATTAAATTGATCGTTAGAGTATATCAATTCAGACAGGATATCTGAGGATTAATGGAATTAAATTGAAAAGCCTAGAAATTTTTAGATTATAAATAATTGATTTTTAAACTTCTTACTTGTGATATTTTAATTAATGAGTGATATTAGTGATTAGGAACCAGAAAACTCAGAATTTGATGATAATTCATAAAGTCAGTCAATTGGAGGAGAAGAACTCGATCCTGAAATCTCTGGCATAACCTAAAGCGATGCAGATTCAAAAGGTATTTGTGGAGAAATACATTTAATTTAGAAAAGCAGTCTGTTACATCAGAATCTGATTCAGATGAGGAATACCAGATTGTGAGATCAGGAGGACCACTTTCTCAAAGCAGAGGAAAAAAAGTAAATAAAGATGAAAGAATTACTCCACCATTTTTGACAAAATATGAAAGAGCTAGAGTAATTGGTACGAGAGCACTTCAAATCAGTAAAAATAGTCCTATTTATGTTGATCCAAGTATTAAATGATGGCAATATTTAATAGAGGAAACAACAGATCCAATTTTGGTTGCATAGCAAGAACTTAATGAAAATAAAATACCCTTCATTATTAGAAGGTATTGGCCCAATGGAAACTTTGAGGATTGGGAATTATAAGAATTGGAGCGTTTAGATTGATTTATAACACTCAAAATATTAAATTAATGATCACAACGAACATAAGCAGTTCTGAATACGAAATTACAGTATCTCCTGTCTCGTTTAAAGTTATAGAAAATTCTTCAAAGTCATGACCATGATCCTCCATAACCAAAGCTGATGATGTTGCATAACTCCAAGTATAAGCAGATCCCTTAGCCAAAACTACATCTTATGAGGAATCTCCTGTATTTAATTTCCTTTTTATTCTAGCTTTTACAGAAGTGTCAGATATGCTGTAAGAGACTAATTCTAAGTCTTGTTATGTGTCTGTTGGAGGAGTATCATCTTCGACTGACCACAAATCCAAAACCTCTGCTTAGCCATCTATTATATTAATCGTGAGCATATCAACATTCTTCATCTAAATTATTTGTTATCATTTTTACCCCTTTTCCAAAACCAACTCCTATCCATGATTTTTAATTCAAAATGAAGCACATCTCAATTGTGTCATCTGTATTAAACTTCCATTTCACTTAGAAAGTAGTTCCTACAGACAAGGATGCAGTCATATCAGTGTCAGTATAAGTAGTACTGTCGGATGTATTTGTGACTTCTTAAATAATCCTTGATTATTTTTCAACATGTTTAGGTTGTTCTTTTTACTGAGTGTTCTTCCACACATATGGTTAGGATCCTGAGTCAGGTCTTACAAATTTCATTGAATTCTTTTCACAAAAGTAATTGGAGATAATCTACTGCTCACTCAATTTTGGATGGCTCCTTGGTCCTTAAGCAAATCTTTCTTCACATTCACAATCTTTCACTCTACAAAATAGGTATTCTCTTAAGTCCTTTTATTAATAGTTATATAATATACCTGTTATCCGGAGAAGGCTAAAACAACCAAATTTTCATCTGATACAATGTTGTAATGCAATTCATTATTGTGTTTTGAATAGCTAAATACAACTTCAGCATTAATCGCGGTCAAAATTGACAATAGGATGAATATGGATGTAGTAATTTTAGACATTTATATACTAAAGGTGTATAGACTTTCGGTTTAGAAGCTAAAATTATAGAATTAAATAAATTTTATAGAACAGTATCCATAAATTATTTAAATATAAGATAATATTTAAATTTTAAAAATATTTACCCAATAATTTTTTTAGGTTTTTTATTTTATAATAATAATTAATTTAATGAGACTCTAATATTATGAAAATAAAAATTATTCATTAATTGTTGTTTGCAAATTTATAAAAGAAGCAATATTTTACCGTTGTTTGTAAATAGATTAAGTTGATAAAATAATCAACATAATAAAAAGCTTATTGATTTAAGCATGAATTTTAATTGATATATAAATAATAAAAAAAAGAGTAAATTTTAATTCCTCAAAATGTTTGGGTGTATAATTTCAGCCTTTAGAGAAATGAGAATGAGGTCCTAAATATTTCTTTTTGAAATAATAATTCTGTTATTTGTTTTGGTTTTAGCAGGAGCAGCTGCATATGTAGAAATAAGAATATTTTATTACATTTCAACTCATTCCTCTGAAACTATTATTTCTAATTTGGATATCAAATAAATTAACCAAGCCACATCTTTGGTTTCGCATTATATCAAATAAAAGCATCAAAGAAGTAATACGTATTCTTATTTAAATTTTAGGGATTCTTGTTCTTGAACATCTATCCTCCTTTTTGAGAACCTATTAAATGCTTACTCAATAATTTACTAAAGTCAAGTCAATGGAATCATGTGCAGGTTCAGCATAGTTCGTAATAAGCGAATATGTATATCAAACCCCTAAATTTTGCTATCAACTTCATGGAGTACCTGATTTGGTGACACTGCCTAAAAACAATTAAAATATCTCCTTGCTCTATTAAGGTTTAGGGCTCTTGAATGAGTATGATCTCTTGTTTAGTATTGAATCGCCCTACTTTATTTAAGTGGCTGATACTTCAGATTACAAATTCGATATCATTTATCCTGTTGGAATGTTGATTAAAGATTATGACCCAAAAACAAGACCATGGTATTCATATAATCTCTATAACAAAGGTATGTAAACCACATCAAATAAATGAAAGCTCATCCGGATGAATTTTATTTTTATTCTGAAGTGTATAAGGTGTTCATCGAATAGTTTGATTACTAGTTTTCAATAACGCATTCATTATTTAATTCTCAATAGTAATTCTTCGGAATGGCCAAAACAATGTTAACTACCAATGACCCTAGTTTTGAATATGTTTTGTACAATATCATACTAATCAATTATGCTGGTTAAGTATTGTATAACGGTATGGAAATGGGGTAAAACTTGACAGACGTATTTTATGTTTTTAATGAAACAATCACTGGCTTTAATCAGACAGATTGGTATCAAATAGAGGAACATGCAACCAATAGATTGAGACGAGATAATTCGAATTAAATATTGATTTTGTATAATAAATATCATAAGCAATTTGTACATGTGCAAAGTGAAAAATTCAAAAAAGAAAATTTTACACTTATAATGTATATTGTTACATTGTTATATTAGATTTACCAATGTGAGTTCAATTAATATTATGGAAAAATAGTTTTAGGAAACTGAAGAATCATTTATCTTTTGGTATTCCCTAGCACTTTCAATCATAATTTCAATCTATTCATTAACAGTTACTTTAAGTTTATTTGCTATAAATTCCATATGCAAACCACTAACGAAGTTGACTAATTAAGTGTCCTTACATGTGTTGCAATTAGGAAATAATATTAATCATCAAATATTTAAAATGTTTAACAAATAAATAATTTCTTTGGATTTGCTGAACAATCTAAATAACAAATTTATGAATTTTTCAGAGCTATTACTATTGAGTTAAACCACAAAATCTGAAACTTGTCGATTACTTGAAAAAATGAGTTTCAATAAAAAAGAAAGTAATCTTAATCTTAAATTAATACAAAACTAAAATATACTATTGCCTGATTTTCGAAGTATTGAATAAACACAAGTATAAGATATAATCAAAAAAAGCCTTTTCTAAGGAGAATCTATGATTATATGATCTATCTCATTTTTCAATACATATCATCAAGTAATATCAATCAAATAAATTATATTAAATTGCACTTTTATGTGGTTCTGTAGTTTACTCTCAAGAACAATTTTATTCAGAAATTTTTATAATTCGTCAATATGTATTATTATTAAATAAATCAAATCAATTTTTATTTGCTAGAATGTTTAATGCAAGTTGGATTGCCCCTAATTTACTAACAATGCAGCTTTCAGCTAAAAATCACTCAAATAACTACTTAGAAAACTATCCAAGGTTACCTCTAATACCTTAAAAAAATTAGTTTTTAACTTCTGAAAAGCCCTAATTTAGAATATACTAATAATTGCATCATTAGAAAAACTAACTAACTTTTCAAGAGATCTTTGAAATCAATTAGAAAAATTAGGAACTTCTAAATGAATTAATGAATGCTTTGAGTCAAGATTAGCCATATTAATAACATTAAATACTTTCAAACCTAAACAACCTACAGGACTACGATCTAAAGGTAAAGCCAGATAGAATACGATATCCATCAGTTGATAATAGGATCTAAATGGGAAGTTCACTAGAAGATGTACAGAAGTATCGGGAAGTTGGTACAAATTAATTTAAAGAATTATAACCCTATTCCAGAACAGAAAGAATGCATAAAAAAAGAAATGCCAATTAAAGAAAATTGAGTGATGCCAGTTTTGAAATCGATAATAAATAAAGCTATAAGTACAAGGTGATAAACGGAAAACACAACAACACTAATTAGAAGATACATAAGAATACCTTTGGGGAGTCAAAATTAAATCAGAGTTTTATTGGTGAATCAAATTAGAATAATAAGATAAAATTCAAAACTGTTGGTTATGTAGTGTTTGCTGCTCTATGTTTGTCAAAGAAATATAGATTAATACAATAAAAGAAATAATTATTAAGAAATTAACTTAATCACAATTATCAGGAACATCAAAAAGTGGTTGATTAATTCTCTAAGAGACAAGCGGTTATTCAAGAAAAATAATACTATTGTTATGTGGTGGAAAAAATCATACATCATCTTAAAGAATAATCGTTTATTGATGAAACTCTAAGAATTCAAAATTAATCAAAAGAGTATTAGAGTGACATAAGAAAAGTGCATGTTTTTAAATTCACTACTTTACTTTTGAAAAACGTAGAACTATACACTAGAAAGAATACCATTACAGATATCGTATGCAGTTTAATCAATATGAGTATGTATGAGTAAACTGATATTCCAGTTTCTAAATTTGTTGGATATAGATGTCATTTTTATAATGATGATCGAGTTAAGATACCTGTAGAGCAATAAGTTTTGATAGCGTTGGAATATTACTTTTTTTGTAATTTGATCCCTTAGTTATGTGAGATTGTGGCTGATCTTTCAGATAACAAGACTATTGGAAAACAAAAAGTTAAAACAAATCCATCTCATCTAAATGAATGTCATTTTTATATATGTGTTCTTGCAACTTTAATTTAATAAAAGATTGTATAAGTGTTTTCTGAAATGAAAAAAGTAAAAAACCCTAATGGAAATATGGTTCAAAAGACACTTAAGACAACAGAATAACAGAATTTCGTTATCAAGGCATTTATATCAATTAATACGCAATTTGAGGATGATAATAATGATGAAAATGAAATAGTGAAGGGATTGATATCATCTGATTTGATTCTGGCACTTGAGGAGGAGAAACCACAATGGAAGAAATTCATAGATAAGACCTTTTCCTAGATAATTACAAATTTCAGCAACTTGTTACCAAAATGAATATATTAAATTTTTATGCAGATTATAATTAATAGATTAATAATTTAAAACAGAGTAGGTTGTTAAAATATTTTTCAGTTTAAAATGAATTATTAAACTAATTATTTTTATCAATAATTTTAATGTTAACTTTGGAGAACTTCAACTAAACATCATTCAAGTAACCAATAATCAACAGGTAATTTGCCTAAATACTCAAAGCCCACGGTCTATTGAGGCTTGCCGTTTGTGTGGAATTTTGCCAGAGGAGCTAATTTAAATTGGTATAAAGGAACTAAAAAAGAGAAATCCGGAGTTGAGATTGAATAAATAAGGGTGGGAGTTTATGTGGCAACATCACGAAATTAAAAGATAAGAGAAACTGGAGGCATGTCTCGAGGCAAGATAGTAATTGATTGATGCAGGATTTAATTTCAATAATCAGGAGGAGGAAGAATAGGTCATGGACAATTCAGATCAATTACAGGCAAGTCAAAATTAGTAGGAATTGGAGAAAATACAACTTAGACAATAGAAGGAGATTTAGTAAATGCTTGAACATGAAAGAAAGTAATAAGAAATTCGAGAGAGGAATGAGTCAAAGCAAAGGTAGTTGTAAGAGAGACAATTGAGGAGAGAGGATTAATTAAGATAGAGCAGAGTGAAACAAGAGTATGATCGAGTTTAGAGGGAGAGAGATAGATAAATTAAATAATAACGGGAAGAATAAAAATAAAAGAAAAATGCTAAATAACAATATAAGAAGGAATTGAATAGAGTCCAATTAGAATAATTAAGATAAAAGGAATTGCAGTAAGAGTACAGAAGGAGAGAGGAGGAAAGAAAATAGAGACAACAAATATTCAAAGAGCAAATGAAAGAAATACAATTGAGACATGAGATGGAATTGTAGGTCAAGAGATAGATAATGGAAATGAAGGATAGAGAGAGGTTAGAGAAGTAGGAATAATCAAGATAGGAGAAAATTCAGGCTTCTTAATAAGCACAACTGGAGTTGAGATACAAATTGTAGACTGCGAAGTAACTTTAGATGGAGAAATTAGAAAGAATGAGAGAGCAATTTGAGGACAAGGAAAGAAAAATAGAGGAGAGACGATAAGAATTTGAGAGGTTGAAAGAATAGAAATTAATTGAGAACTATATTAATGCATAATAGCATTAAGAAAAAATGAAGTAGGTAATTGAAAAGGTATAAAATCAAGAGGAAAATAAATATTATGATTATTAACAGAAATAGGAAATTGTTAATTAAAGAAAAAAGCAATTAGAGCTGGAAAAGTTGAAAGAAATGTTGATAAAGAAACAATAATAGGAGGAGAAGGAACAGCTTAGAATTGATGCTATTTAGAATGCGGAAAAGAATTAATAAATAAAGACTATGGAATTGAATAATAAATTATTGCTAAAAGAGTAAATGATTCAAGAAAAGCAAATGGAGAAGTAATAAATTTAAGAATAAATTAAATTATAAGAAATTCTAAAAATGAAGGATAAAAAGGAAGCCTTGGAAAGGTTATACAGAAAATAGGAATATGAAAAAGAAATTTTAAGATAAAAGATAGAGGAGAAAATGAGAAGAACTGAAAATTTACAATTATAGAAGAGCAGAGTCTTGGAGTAAAGGTTGTAAATGAAGTAAATAGCTAATTTGTAAAAGGAAGAATTAAAGCATTAATTTGAATTGATAAAATAAGGGAAAATTGAAATTCTTTAATCTTCAAATGAGAATGAGTCCCAATAACAAGGATCTCATTAAATTGAAGATCATCCAATCTCAACTTAAAAAAAAGGAAGACGTATTATCTATAACGATTAACTTAGCTTAAACTGCCCTTCCAAAAAAGAAGGCTGAGGTTTAGAGACCAAAGTCTGCGCTAACGAAGAAGGTTCAAAATGAAGAGAAAAAATAAATAAGAATAAGTGATGATCCCTAGCTTCAGTATCAATTAGAGCTCTTGGAGTAATAATAGTAAGAGGAGATGATTAATGTAAGAAAGATAATGTATTTTTAGCTGTTGGAGAATGAGTAAGTATTAGAATAAGAAAGAGAAAAGCAGTTGTATTAAATTGAAAACAAACAAGATCAACTCAGATTGGAGAAAATATTTTAGATTGAAAGAAATTAAGCAAAAAAACGAATACTCGATTTGCAAGAGGAACACAAAAAGTAGATTGAAGAATTTATGTCTAATTGATTATTTAATATAATAAAATGTAAACAACAACAAAAGCGTAATAGTTTAAAGTAAAAGGGAATGAGGCTTTTCAAAGTAAGAATTACCTTGAGGCCATATAATTCTACTCTTAGGCAATTGTAAAAGCATAAATTAATATAGGCTGAAGATAATACTGAAAGTGTATTCTTTTCCAATAGATCTAATTGTTACTATCAACTAAAGAGATACCAAGATGCCTGTAAAGATGCCACTGAGGCTTTGGAATTGGATGAAAAGAACATCAAGGCTCATATGATCGCTGGTCAATCGATTTGTATGCTGGCAAAGGAAAGATAGGAGAGCTCCAAGATTGACACAGGCATTCAAAGAATTTTAAAAGGTGATTTAGATTTGTAATTAATAGCTCGCACCTTGTGTGCAGGTTAGAAGAAATCGGAGTATGAGAAGGAAATTGATGAAAAAATTAATAAGGCTAAGAAACTGAAGTGGTTTATTTAGTAAGAAGAGGAGAAAATTAAAAATTAAGAAATTGTTTAATAGTTATAAGATTTAGTAAAAAACGATGTTAAATTGACCTAACAAGAAAAGTAAATTACTTTAGCCCAAATTGATAAATACATTACAAATGAAAAGCCTAAATTGGAAATCCCAGAATATTTGCAGTGTCATATTTCAAAAAAACTGTTAATCGATCCTTACACAACAGAAGTAGGGTACTCTTATGAAAAAGCACTTCTATTCTCAAAACTCCATTTAAATCAAGATCCATACACTAAGTACATGTCTTTTTAAATTAGCAAACCAATTAATCCACAAATTGTATATCCAAATATCAATTTAAAGTAAGCAGCAAGTGAATTTCTAGCCTAGAATCCTTGGGCCTATGATTTTAATCCAGATTAGAATTATAAGGATATTGAGATATGATTCGATAAGTTAATGACATGATAGAATTAGTAACTATCTGAATAGTATAAATTTCGAAATATAATTTATATAATTCTATTAAGATGAATAAAATTTGCATAAGACTTCCAGATGGTAACATTCACGTTATTGAGACCTAAAAGACGAGCTTAAGAAATTGTTTTTTGAGTACTAACCATATCGATTTATATAGGTTTTGGTCATCATCTACCGCCATATGAAGTTTCTTTATTATTAAACGAAAATACCAATACATTGGTTGGCAAGAATGAAGAGTATTTTATGTATTGTTATGATTAGGCTAAAAGCCGATGTGCCATACAAAATAATAGATGGGAGAGAATTGATAAAATGTTATAACACATTAAAGGATCGGAACACTAAAAATGATAAACTAATATTGGAATTTTAATAGTAACTCGAAGTTCTCCAATAAAAATTAAATGATTAATAGCTAGCAATTTCTAAGGAGGAGAAATAAAAGTTTGAAGATTTCTAAAATAAATATTTGCAATTGGAGTTTCAGTTTAATAATTAGATAGAAAAGAATTAAAAATTATAACAAGAATACGATTACACAAAGCAGTAATAACAGGTTTAAAAATAGGAATTAGAAAAACTTTAGAATTAATTTGAAAATGATAAAAAATAGATAGAAAAAGTAAAAAAAAAATATCAACAATATAAAGTATAGATGAAAGAAACAATGGAAGAGAAAAGTAAATATGAGTCGAAAATTACCGCTTTGGAAAAAGATGTCTAATATATATCATTAAAAATAACAGAGAGAGAAAGTCAAATAAAAAAGTTAGAAGATGAGTTAACTAAAGAAAAAGAAGAAAATAAAACGCTTGTTTAATAGTTATTAAACAAAGAAGCTGAAAGATTGAAAGAGGCTGAGGCAAGACATTAACTTTATGTTTAGCAGAATTAAGCTCAGTTTATGAGATCAACAGGCAGCCTTGTTGCAATGTAATAAATTTAAGATAATTTGAATTAAGATATTCAAATTCAGTAGGATTTATTAAATTCAGATTAGAGGATTAAATCTTATGAAGATCAGGTTGAATAACTAAGGAAGTAAATCAGTAATTAGGATGATACAATCTAAAAAGCAAATCAAGACTCAAAAAAATTAAAATAACAAAAAGAAGAGTTAGAATTAAAAATATTATAAATGGAAAAAGAAATTAGTGAATAGGAAATTAGGTTAAAGAATTTAAACAAATTGATAGATGCAGAGGATTCTGAATTTATCAAAATGTAAGGGAAGGTTGAATAAGTTGAAGCTGACCTTTACAATAATTATAAATATCGTTTGATGAGAATAGTCGAACTGATACCAAGAACTTATAGAGACCAAGTCGAGTTTGCTGTGGAAGAATTATTTGATAAGAAACTTTATTTAAACAAAGGTCAGGTTACAAATTAAACTTATAAATTTTACTTGTTGGATTATGCTAAAGTTAAAGATATAATTTTTAAAGAAAATAATCTGGATATTAAACAATCAATTATTACATCATATAAATTCAATATTCATGGGTAGTTAACTTCAAAGAAAATAGTAGCTGATTAACAAATTCAAGATAAATCTGAGTTAGTTGATTCACTTTAATTGTATTATGCTACATCGATTGACCATCTAAGTGGGGAATTGACCAAAATTAAAAGCGAGAAGAGTGATAAAATATATATTATTAAGGAGACATATATAACTTAATCAAAGGAGAACTTAGGTTCCTATGAATATGCTCTAGATTAATTGAGTCGATCTATTGCGGCATAGATTATCCTAAATTAATTTGTGGAAGATTTAAAACAAAAGAATATAAATGTTCCTTTTCAATTTTCGTTTGCACAACCTGCACTATTTTCAAATTCAACCCACTTTAAACAATACTTTATAGAATTGACTAAAAAATAACCCTAAGAATAATAGCCAAAAGCTTTTTCTTTAATTAAGTAGTTTTTGGAATAGTTAACGGATGATAATTCAAACGAGTTTTATTCTTCGCTCAGAGAGTATTAACTTTAAAAAAAGACAGTTTAAGGGTAAGGAACATAACAAGCATCTGAATTGGACATGTAAGATCAAATAGATTTTCTTTAAAATTTTAATAACATATTGCCTAATTAGAATTGTGAAGATATTATCAAAAAGTATAAACAATTTTCTAATGAAGAGAAAGTTAAGGCATTCAAATATTTATTAGAACTGCTAAGCGACACTTGTGATGATTTTCCACTAGAAAAGGTATCTATTTTTGTGATAACAATTAGTACTTCTACGGATACGAATTGAAGTTATCAGATCTTTAGGATGCTAATGTTTTCAGGAAATACAATGGAGGAAACATGAATTTTGAGGCTTCAGAGGAAGGTAAATTTTTATCTGCTCTTTCATACTATTCTATTAAAAAAACCCATAGTTAATTCTGTGTATCTCACATTCAAGGAATTGGAAACTAGTTATATGATCCAATGATATCAAGTTATGACGGTTTCTTGAATTGCTTAGATTAAGGAATAAATGAGATAAGAAGAATTGAATCATCATTTGAATCATGTGATCCTTAAAATATCGGTTATAAATACATAAAAGCATTGGATATTACTATGTAGTGAATTAAATTATAAAGATTATATGATATAATATAATTAAATTTGCTATTTGTTTATCGAATGGTTTTGTAGTCATGTAGACAAAATAAATCATTCGTTTAGATGTTACTTGGTGTGTTCTTAGTAGTTATTACGTTAAATAGTATTATGAATAAGAAAGTGAATTGAGGTATTGATTAAAAATTAAATAATTATATAACAGTTAAATTATGAGTCAAGGGGAGATAATAAAAAACATGGATAGCGTTTTAAAATAGCTAACGAATAATTTCAATGAATTAATAAGTAGGGAATAGTTATTACGATTTCTTGACTAGAGATGCACATAATTATTTGACAGGATAATCTTTGAATAATTATATTCGAGAATGCCAAAAGGCATGAATGGATATGTTTCAGTAAATGATTTTAAACAAATTGTGCTGTAAGCTTATTAAACGTTGACAACTAAAATTGCTCAATCTTCTACTTTAATGGATCAAAAGCGAAAGTAATATTTCCTATGTGATGTAGCGAATTGAATTCAATTTCATAAAAATTGAAACAATTAGCGAATACAGAGAGATATAATAATTACAATATTAGTTTACAAAGCACACTAACGATTCAAATATTAGATGGAATAGTGTAGTTTCCTGGAAACTCTTTGGTATTTATCAAGATAGGATGTGATGAAATTATTTATCAAACCAAGTATGCAAATCGAAATTCGCCTCAATGGGGTGATGCATTTACCTTCCCCATAAAAACTGGTTAAGAAGAGGTTTGGCTTGCAATTTTGGATGAAGAATCAGCCTCAAATAAATAAATAGGTGGGTAAGTTCAATTGTAATTGCAGCAATTTTACGATTAAAAAATTCATGAGGAGGAGCTGAGTTTAATGGATCAACATAACATTTCGAAGGCAGCAGTTGTGAAGGTTACAGTTCAATGGATACATTCCTAAGTATTGAAACATTAGTATTTAGACAAAATATTTGGAGTAGGAGATCTTGGAGACTCAATAGTAGATGCAAGAACTTAAATTCGATATTGATGAGTATAACAACGACATTAAAGCGATATTCTAACCATTTCAATTAGAAAGTGCTGGAAATCAAATTGAGTAATCAGATTCGATTTAGAAGCACTAATAAATTGCAAATCAACTTTACTCGACTCAATAAAACTATTCTGTAGTGCCTCCTAAACAGAATACTGAAATCACTCCAAACTAATGGTTAAGAATAAGTTTGATACTAACTCTTATGTTTTTTGTATCAGCTATTGCGGAATCGTTTATAAGAACATAATATTTGGATGTATTAATCAGATTCAATAGATTAGTTTCTAATTTTATTTTACAGTTTGTGGTTTTATATGAACAATTCTGAATTGCACTCTCTATTACATATTAAAATAATGACATTTATGTACATTTTGTCAATTGTCTATGATGGCTTTTGGTTGTTTTTTTATTTTAAACCTTACTTAAGAAACGAAGTCAAATTCGATCATCAAGAGGACACATTTCATTAATACACTGTAGTACTTTGCATTTTGATTCTCATAGAAAAAGTAAGAATGTCACATCTAAATCATAGCTATTTATTATACTCTCTTATTTTAATTTGTATGTAAAATGTCCGAATGCAAGACAGAACATTTTTGATGAGTAATATGAGATTTGTTTTGGATCATATTACCAATAGAAAATGGCAGAAAGTCAGAAGCAAGCACAATACTCGAGTAAGGTGATAAGACAAGGCACTCCAAATATCAAGTATATCTATCCTATGCAACAATAATCCCAAAGTCAAAGATAGCGCTATTCTTTGAGATATGTTCAATGAACCAATTTTCTGATTTTATCCAAAGATTGCAAGTAAATAATTAAATTATAAATATAATTAAACAATTTTGTGAATTCATTCAACTTAAATGTTGCAATGATTATAGAGTTTGGCCTTCTCACTTTTGACTCTCCTAAAATAAGTGATCTCCTCCTTCCCTTCGATTCCAATACAGAACTCAATGTCTCCAACTTTCTTGATGACAGAACTAAAAGTGACTACTCTTTTGGGAATTGGAGCAATTTTTAAGAAATGATGAAATTTATTCTTCTCAACTTGTTTTCCAGTATTAAAAAAGAATGTTTCTTGTTCATCATCTACTTCTGTATGATCTTCCTTAATCAATTCCAATTAGCTGGGTTTTTGAGATTCAATGTTGAGTGTGGCCTTTTATTATTATGAAAGTCGATGAAGTTTCTCTTCGATTGTTAATGTTTTTTATGCTTGAGATGCTTTTTGATGGGAACGAGTGATAGCAGAGGATTCTGAGTTGACTGCTTGTGACCTTTTGGTGTATTTAAATTCATTAGGAGTGAGGACTAAGGGATGGCTGATTTTAATTATGGGTTTGGAGGGAGCAGAGTTATCTGATAGAATTCTTCTCTTTTTAGTTTTATTCTAGGAATAAAATTTTGGATCAACTTATATTTATTTAATAGATGGTGTGTTGTGAACTTAATTTGTTTTCGTTCTCAATTTTGCATTAGATTTGTCTTCTTTGAAATAAGGTTGCTTGGTTAATTCATCTAGATCAAATTGTTCCTGGGCCTATATTGAGAAAACCATGGAAGTAGATTGTCTACTCTTTTTCGGTACAAATTGACTGTATTGTGTATTGTTATTGATTTGTTCTGTTCTGGGATCATTTTTCATGGGCAAGGTGGCATTGAAAGAAATGGTTTCAGTTTAAAACTCATCTTAGGCTTGGGAGAACAATTTTTAATTCATAAAAATTAAACACAACAATAATAAATCGAATATGTATTAAAACATAAAAATAGAATGGGACAATAATTTGTTTATGAGGGATCTAAATAATTGTATTTCTTAAAATTATATGATTTATGATTCAACCTGTAAATATTCTAGTCATCAGATTACCAGTTATTATTGGAAATAGCATCACCAACATGTAACCAGCAAACATTATGCAGATGGCCAATAATAAGTATTATATGGCTTTTGGACCCAATAATTGATTCTATTATTATTATTTAATTATCTTACAAGCATTTTGAATGGATTCCAAGTCCACTCTATTCTACCCGTAGGTTCAGGACAAACTGGAGAATGATTCGGTTGAGATCTACCCAAACCCACTGGATTCTTATTGTGGAACTCTTCTGAAACTATTTCAATTGAAACCACCAGTTTTCCATTCTGCTGAGTACTCTTATAACCTGCCTTATCAGTATTGATTGTCTGAATCACATTCCTCTCATACAAGACTCCTTTGTTTGTTTTCTTAGTTGAGGCATCCTGCTTGAGAATGCCATCAGAGGGTGGTTCAGTTAAAGAATACATCTTAATGTTGGTTTCGTTCTCAAAGGCCCTTCTACATAAATCAGTGACATCTATAGAACAATCTGAAATGAAATCATCAGATGTAAATATATCCTTGTCAAAAATCTAGAATGTTAGTACAGTTTACTATTGTTAAGGTAATTCTATTGGGAATACCATTCTCCAATTAAAAGAACCCTTTCCATTGAAACTACGAAAATGAGTGTCTGTCTTCTATTTCTGATTTTGATCCACATAACCTACAACATAGAGATCCGAACTTCCTTCATCGTCATGTGATGGTACATCTAACACATCCCACACAACGCATCTGATGAAATGTTTTGCCTTTGGTCTTTATTCAATAAACCATGGATTCTTGAGGATCGACGTTTGTTTTGAGGGTATTATTTCCAAGAACAATCGAATTTGTCCTTATGGCATAGATGAACTTGGATGTATCAATTAACGAGTTTCGATGGGTATTTACTTTAATTGTCGGAATCTCTATTAGAAGTATCGTTCTTCAATGTCGATCACAGTTTAACCAATCAACTCATCAGGCATGAAATCATCATAGTCCCACACCTGAATTGTTAATTCAGATGCCCCTGGTAATTCTGTTGTGATGTCATATCTTTTGTAATACTATGGATTGCAATTATCTGTTATCCTATTGTCGACATCATCTATAGCTTCCTTGCCCAACTTTATTTTTAAATATGGATCGGACATTGAATCCTAATCCTTTGGTGGTAAATTGGAACAATCGATCACATACAATCTAATAGTGACTTAATTTTTGACCACCAACTCTTTATCAGTTAAATTGGTATCACTCTTTCCAGATGTGAAATCATACTCATTCTTAATCAACTTAAACTCTGGTTGAGCCTAGAGTTTCTCCAAATCTTATTGCGATATCACTTCCACCCATCCCTTCAACTTCCCAGTGTTTTGTTGATTCTCTTTCACTCCCAAAATGATCTCAGCCATACTCTCCACTTCCCTCAAATTTATACTCCCTTTCCTTAACGGAAATATATCAAACACCTTCTATTGCATAAACACAGTCTCTTCTAAAGGACAGGGCAAACATAAACGATAGTGTACATTTGATTTAACCAATCCCTATTGTCCTTGTTGAGATGATTTGATTTAGAGTTCAACCTAATTTAATGATTTGTTATGTATTTGTTAACCTCCGAATTTCTTTTTCTACACATATAACTAAAATTTCTGAGTTTAGGTATCATAACCTAATGGTAAGTAGAATTTGCTATCTGGTTTCTCCACTTCGAAAAATGTTCCCTCTTCCTCGTTTTTATCATACTCTATGTACTTAATGATCTATTCCATATGAATTGAGTTATTCTTCAGAATTCCCAATTAGGTCAATAAATTGTTGATATCCTCATTAAACTACTCTCCAGAAGCCATCGACAACAATGCTCCCATCTTGATTCCCACTCCCAAGTCTAAACTTGGCAAATGAATTATATTTTAATCCACTTGAATGGTTCCATTTAAGACTCTCTTGGCTATATCCTTCTTCTCCTCGATTTACTTCAAAGTCTTTAACTTCTACAATTTAAGATCGATAGAAAATTATCCAATCAGAGGTTACATGATCCCTTTCAGAATATAATCATGGACACTCCCAATGAATTTGGGCATAAATGCATCATCCTCAGGAAGATTCACCTCGAGACAAATGATAGACGTTATGTTAGGATTGGGACCAGCATCCTTCGGTTGAGTGATGATCTCATTGCCATTATTGAGTGACAAAGGTTCATCTTTGGCTCTTATTGATTGTACATTAAATTTAGCAAAGGCTTTCGTGACAGGCAGTGGTCCAAATGACTTGAGATTCCTAAGACCCAGCAACTTAATTTTAATGAAATGCTTAATTCTTGGAGGACTAATTTGATTTGGAATCTTTATCCCAACATTGTCAATGTAATTGCAAGATAGCAGTACTTGTCCTGCCTTACTTCCATAGAGATATACGTCTATCCACTGAGGCTTTGTGATGGTGGGTTGATTCTTAGTAATAAATCCTTGCTTCAATCCTTTTTGATAGTCTATTGTCAATTGACCCATAAAATCTCTACTGACTTTGTCCTGATCAAATATCTTCAAAATAATGGGAGGGAATGAATCATTCTCAAATTTATACACTGGCATTTTAAGTTGAACATTCCAAATAGGGGCAGTCGTGTCATTAATCAAAGCAGTAGTCTGTTTCTGATCATAAAACAGGATGTCAACTGTGGGATCAGCTAAACCATCCATATCAGTTGGTGCTAGATCATGAGCTTAGAATAAATTGACATACAGATAACTGCTGGCATCTCTTTAAGGTTTGACAACAGGTTGCATCTTGACTTGTCCCCCTGTTGGTTAGATAAGGAACTTAATCTTAACAATCCCAGGGTGATCCATAGGAGTATTTTTGAGAGATTTGTCAGGAATCAGAGTGACTGTGAAGGGATGACCTTCAGGATAATCAGCACTTGGATTGAGATTGAATGACTTGTATCTCTTAAAACAAATAGGTTTGTCTCCATCCATTAGATAAATGAAGACATCGGGCAATTCTGCAATATCCTTAGTAGGGAACTTGACGTTGTCTATGGTCAAGTATTTGTAGAATTCAACGACTCCATTTTTGGCTTTTTCAGAACTTGTTTTGCATTCATTTTCACCCCATTTGATTTTAATAGAGTATGAGTCATCATCTGCAGGTAGATTGAGTGCAAAGTAGACCATACATTGCAATGACCATTAGTACTATAAATCAGCCCTTATTTTTTCAAGTGTTTTCTAATCGGCTATTTTTTGTTTATCCTTTTTAGGTTGTTCTGAATCAACCAATTCCATGGCTAATAATATTCTACCTGCATAACAAGTTCCCAAATCAGGATGACTGCATAAATACACTCGTTGTTCTGAATTTGCATCTATGTGGGCTCCATATATATGATACCATTTGGGTTATTGTAACTTAGATCAATTAGTATGATAAATTACTTAGCCACTTAAAATGTCGGAGATTTTAAATAATTGACTACCAGCTATTTCATCCTTTCCACCCATATCGTAATCAAATAACCTCATTATTAAATATTCGCTTTGGCACGGTGTCATCACAGGCAACTGATAATTAATATTATGATTACAAATAGATTCAATTCCCAAATAGGAGCATTAAGATTTTTGATCAAATCAGTTTGAATTTCTTAACCACCGATTTCAAATACTAGATATGGATCAATTGATCCCAACATCGAATCCATTTTCATTAGATTGGTGGCTCGACCTAAGGTGATTTTCAATTGTTGTCCTTTTGTTTGGATATGCGGTGGCAAAAGTAATTCTCCTTCAGCAAAGAGATTAGTTTTTGATTCCTCTATCTTGCCTCTCTCCTTAATTTCATTGTCCATCAACAAAGTAGTTTGTTTATCTGACTCATGTACTACGTTGATACTGATCTTCAAATATCCAGTGATTTTATTGAAGTCCTTCTCTGGATTGATCAATCCCTAGTAATAATAAATTGATGTCCTTACCAACCACTTATGCAACAAGACATGATCATCCATCATATAAATAGTTGAGAAATCGAACTCGTAGATCCCAACTACTGCATCCCTTCCAAACACTTTGTGATCTAATACTGAAATTTTCACATGCTAAGATTGAATTTACCAACCATTCGAAAAGGATCTTTTGAAATAGAAATGTTCATTCCAAACTAGAGTGCTGTTTGATCCAGTTCCCTTCTTTTGAGGACTGAATTTCTTCTAGTCCATAGTTTCAATTTGAATTAATGGATCTATTGTACTCTCATTGTCATTTGGATTTTAGAGTGCCCTTGTCTATTGCAACAGGATGTGCACCAAGTACTCTCCTGGTTTAAATTGTAAACTTTCCTATTGGGGTTCAGGTTCTTCTTATTGCAATTATTTATTTTTATCTGCCATACAAATTATTAATATTAAATCAAATTTCAATATCTTCTGTGAATTCTTCTGTGCATGATCCACTAACGTTGAAATAACTGGTGTGATCTGCAGCAGAATCACCAATGATTGAATTGGCACAAGTTGGATCCTCATCAATTCCACTTGAACAAATCTATACATCATAATACATCCTTAAATTACCTTATATGACTTGTTATCATGAGCATACCAAACCTCTTGGGGAGGGTGCTTGTAAGAGAATGAGGAAGGTGGCTAATGAATAACCATATCTCTGTAATGAGTCACTCTCCAATGTTCTGTAGCTCCAACAAAACTAGTAAACCAAACAGCAAACTCATGGGTTCCAATACGAGGAGATCCGTAAGTAAAGAAATAGTCGATGTTGAATCCCAGTTTCTTCAAGTCCACTGCAGCCAAATAAGCCACTGCACCACCCAACGAATGGCCAGTGATCAACAATTTTGAAGTGGGGTACTTCTCTTTCAGATGTTTTGCAGCAGCCAACACCTCCACTGATACGTCATCATAAGTTTCCCAAAATCCTAAATGAACTTTGCAATTCTTGCAATCTCCAAAATCATGCTTAAAGAACTTTATGTTGTTGTACCAGTTGATAAAGTCCTAAGTACCTAAAATAATGTTATTCACTTCTCTTACTTCTGTACACCACAACCACCAAATTTTCCTTCTTGTTGTATCCGACATATGCTTGGGCATGGTGATCAGACTTATAGAATGCCTTCACCTCAACCATATCTGGGTGGTGATCACAAAATGAACCGCAATCCCAATTTGATATACTCTACAACAATTTATCAACTATTTTTACCTTCAAACTGCATTTTGCCACTTGGGTGTAGTAGAAAAAGCTTTCCGATTGAGTATGCTAATAGGTCTATTGCAAGCCCATCAATCTCTCTATCCTTTCCTCAACATTTCCCTGCACAACTGTCAATAATACACAAAGAGCGATTATTGAATACGTCATTGATTTAATGATAATATTAATTGAAATTAACCTGTTTAATGACTTAAAAAATCAATTCTAATTATTAGATTAAATAAGAGTTAATGATTATTCTAAATTATGAGCCCATAAGAGCTGTATTAAAACAAGAGAATCAAAAACTCACCCTGATACTCAAGTATTTTAATATCAGATTTTGAGAATCACAATAAGACAATCTAGACTAATTTGTTTGAATATCGTGTATTACATATTATTGAATTACATCTAACAAGTAAAGCAAAGGTTGTTGTTAAAGAACAAGATCAAAATAGACAAAAAGTGAATAATAATTCAAATCAATTATGTAAATCCAGAAGAGAGATTCTTTGACATAGGACAAGAAGATAGAAATAAACATCAACCTATAAACCTCTAATAAGAATTCCAACTTTATCTACATTTCCTTCAATCTATTTCATTATATAGGATGATAACTTTCTTTCACTCCATTTCATTCTAAACTTATCCTCAACTAGTTTGTGAATAAAATAAATAAAGTTTGATTGAGTAATGAATAGATTTCTTAATAAATTTAATCACTATATTAATTCTATCAAAAGTATCATAATAAAGTAAACTATATTTTCAAGATGTTATCTTTAATATTGAAATTATATAAATTAGGTATAGTAAACATCAATAGTTGACCAAAGAAATAGCCTACATGATAATTCAATATAAAATTTTGTCTATTTGCAATTATTTATATATAATAAAATATTTGCAAATAATATTTAACTTTTATATTCAATTTGGCAACAATATATATCTTAATCAATTCTTTGCTACAAAAACATAGAAATTCATAAAACTCTTTCACTATAGCAACATACTAATTCTATAAGAATTTGATATTAGGAGCTCGGCTTAGGTGTGGATCCAATGATCACATTGTAAAAACGCATATAGTTTAATTTATTATATATTCGAAAACCAAACTTTCATGGTTTTGAACCAATTTTGCAATTTTCACAACTAGGCAGAGGGTATAAAATGAAAGAGTGCATATACAACTTGTTTTAATTGTATTAAGTGATTTGATAGAAGCCAAGAGAGCAACTTTGATATTATTATCTAAAGGGATTTAAATTCTGGAGAGATTGTCAAATATAATAAGAAATAATATCAAAACATTGTGCAACAGTTTGATTCTTCGTTAATTAGTGGCTAGATTTTTTAATTTTTATTCTTTTGTTCCTCGTTCGTCGTCTGAATATTTTAGTTAACATTGGATAAGCGAATTTCACAATCCGAATCTGATGAATCACTATCTATTTGTATCTTGTTCATAGTTTAATTCACTGCTATTGGTTCTTATGTGAGTGACTAAAAAGTAATTTTGTGATTTCCTCCCTTTACAATTTGATTTCCCTTTGAATCTATGCGAGTATTTGTTGTTTATTCATCTTTTTTGAAATTTTTCAGAATAGATTTTACAGTATTTTAAGTTCTACTAGAGTCAGCAATTTAATGCAATTCTGTTTATGACATTTTAATTAAATTATGCTAATAAAAATCTTTACAGATGAACTTAACTTATCTTTATCAAAGTTTCAGTTTTCAAGATTTGAAATACAAAACTAATGTGTGAGACTATCAAATGATAAGGACTTCCAGTGTAAACACTAAAAATTAGAAGGTTGAATTTATATAAATATAGAATAAAACTTAATGCTATATATATTAATAATTCATAAAGGTCATGACTTTTTAAAGATTGCTGTGTAAAATAAAATACATTTTGTAGTGTAATTAGGAGAATTAAAGAAAAATATCATATTAAATGAAAATCAAAAAACTATTAAAATTGATTAGAGCAAATTTATTTACAAAAAGTGTACACTATTTCCTTAACTTATGTATAAAGATCATTATATTTGATATTATATTCAAAACTATATTTACTGTTTTACCAAAAAAGGAAAATCCTAAAATAATTCTTAAGCTTAAGGGATATTAGGTATTTCAGATTATTTCATTTAGCTTTCCAAAACATAATCAAAATTTCGTGTATCCTTTTCAGTTGTCAATAGCGGTTCAAAGGGAGGCTTTAGTTTCTTTTAATATATTAAATCAAAATCTATTTCTTCAAAAAATTCATGCTATTTAATCTATTTAAAACTGAATCGTTCTTCTGGATGGTATTATAGTAATCCTTTAATGAGTGATTAGGCTGATGAACTTGCAGTTGATGGAAATTTAAATTCACCTGTTTGAATTTTAATGTATAAATTTTTCTTATTTTCATCTTGGAATGGAGGATGACCGAAAAGCATTTCAAAAATAATGCAACCTAGAGTCCAAAAGTCAACTGATGCATTATGTCCCTTCTCTTATTCTTAAATTAAATTTTACCCTCAATCATCTCAGGAGCCAAATATTCTGCAGTGCCGCAAAATGAGTAATTTAATTCGCTATTATCTTTTGCTAGTCCCATATCTGCCAATTTTATGTAACCATCTTTACAAAGTAGAACATTTTCAGGTTTTAGATCTCTATAAGCAACTCTAACTGTTTCATGTAAAAATTCAAGGGCCAAAACTAATTAAGATGCATAAAATGCAGTCGTTTTTTAATCAAACTTTTTTCTTTTGTTCAAATGATAAAATAATTCTCCTCCCTGTACAAATTCCATAACCATATTGATAAATAAAGGCTCTTAATAAACAAAGTACATTTTTATTATAAAAGGATGATCATATTTCTACAATATGAATCTCTCATCTAGGATTATCATTGAATATAATTACAAAGCAAATTCTCTAATTGTTATTTCTTTAAAATCAACTTTTTCTTTATCTGTTTCATAGCATATAACTTATCCTTAATTTTGACTAAATATACTTTTCCAAATGAACCCCTTCCTAATAACTAACTCTCAATTTATAAATACCTTAATTGGCCAGACATCATTTTGTGTTATATTGAATGTATTTTATACCTCAAAATCTCCCAATTTCTTTTTAACTTCATCTAATTGCTATTTCAATTTTTGAATTAATTCTTCTGTTATTTCAATTGGCTCATCCTGACTCTAAATGGACAAAGCAACGCTTGATTTCACTTGATTTTTTTCCCCTTTTTTGCAACATTATTCCAAAATCTATCCCATGTGCCTTATTTTAATTAACTTTAATATTATATTTATAGTAATTTCTATCTCTCCCATTAAATTAATTAAAACTTCAAAAATGATACTAATAAGTCTTATATATTGCGCTACCTTGGAATCGCAATAAAATTGTTATTCAATAATTAAATCATAAAAACAATTTTAAGTCTGGATACAAAACCCAAGTCTTGATATTTCTATTTTTTATTATGACAAATTGCCAGATTATTTTTAGTACAATTTAAAAATAAGAGACTTAATTAAGGAACAATATTTAAAGTAATTTAGTTCTCAATTTCGATAAATTTTGACAAAATGAATTGCATAAAATTATTCCCTATAATATTTATCACTGAGAAGGGATACTAATATTGGAAATGTATTACAATTTGATTAGGATCAAAACAACTTTAAAATTACTATATTGAAATTATTTGTTGTATTAGTGAGGATATTATAAATTAATTTTATTGATTAATAATTATTATTAAAAAATAAGAGATATGAATGAAAACTAGCACAAATATATTTAGATATTTAGAACTATTGAATCTAAGAATGATAATTCTATTATTAATTAATAAAGAAAATCTAATGTAAAAAAATAACTCCCTCTTCTAACTGATGCTCAAAATACTTAACCTTCTTCGAATTTTCAAATAGCTACCTAAAGAAGTGAAATGTAAAGATCTGGAAAGATATTTGTGCAAAAGAAAAATAAATTAGAGAGCAATAGAATTTAAAGAGAAAGAGAATGCTAGAGCATATATTAAACTATTGTAAATCAAAAAGTTACCTCAAAATACACTCTCATTGAACTGTTTAAAAATTTTATTGAAAATTTCACTCAAATAATCAATATCAAAAATGAGAAGTATGCTCTCAATATAATTTTGAAGCTTATATAAAGCATACCAAAAATGTAGGATGTTTTAGATATACACAAAAGCAAATTTTAAGGAATCACAGCTGATTAAATGATAAAATAATTGATTCATCATTGGTTGGATCAATCAATATTTTAAGATTATAGAAAATTTAAGTTGGATCCCATTTACATTACTTCAGTTGATGAAATTAATAAAAAGTTTGAAGAAACCTTGTTAAATCTCTATGATGAATAAATTAATTAATTTTCAAATAGAATGATCAATTAAATATTCTCATTAAAGTAAAAACAGTTAAATTTATTATAGAGAAAAATAATTTTATATCGAAGGATAAGTGAAACTATCAAATAGAGGAAACTAGCAATTGTATTAAAAAACATTGCAGTTAATTGATCGTAAACCTAATTACAGAGCATTAACCTCTGATGTGGTTGAACGTTTATAGATCTAAGAAGAAAAACTAGGAAAATTTGATTTAATCCAGAACAAAGAAAGAAGAAAGCAAATGAGTTTAAACCTATTTGTATAAAAAATAAGAGCAAACTCTAAATATATTGATTAGTGATAATAGAATTCTTAAATAATGAATATATTAAATTGATATTTTGTATTAGATTTTTTTGAATTTGCCAAGCTTAAATAAAGAATTATTTCATATATCCAGAATATCCTCATGCTTTCCTAGTTTAAAATAGATCTATTTTTTGTTTATTGTTTAATACGCTTGAAAGAACTGTCACTCTTTTAGACTAATCTTTATAAATTTTAGTTTCTTTGGTTTATTATTATAATTTTTATTTGTCATTTATGATGACAGTTGAAATACCTAGCAGTATGAGGAATTATTTTAAAGATTCGATTTCATAGTCAACCTATGAATGGAATAATTTATCAAGTGCTGTAGTTTTATGTTATAATTTTATAAAAATAATTTCCTACGAATTTGATTTTTATTAACAATATTCAATTAGCTTTTTAATGTTATTAAATTTAAACTATTTATTTTAAATATTTATAATTTAATATATTAACTTCGTTTTCCTACTAGGCACTTTGAACTTCCGAATCAAATGAATTTTATCTTTTTAAAGCTTTTCTATAATTTCGCTTTTATTTGAATTTATAATATTTTTCTCATAATTATTTTTCATTTAATTGGTTGAGTGGGTTACATAAATCAATTAAATTTCTTTGGTATAAATTAAGGAGAAAATTAAGTAAATTAATAAATATAAATTCTTTATAAAAAAACACAATTGATGAAATTCAATAATAAATAAATAAATTTATATGTCATCAAAGTTTTAGATGCTCACATAAAAGAAAGATTAATCCTCTAAAAAAGGATTCCGTAAGGATAGATTTTAAATCAAACATATTATTTTTGAGATATACAAAAAGATCAAAATCATAAATATTTACTTTAGAATTCGCAGTAAATTTAGAATAAATATCATAAATATTGTCCAGAATGATTTTTTAAGTAAAGTCACCCTCAAAACCTATTTGAATCTCAGAAATCAAGTATTATTATGAATTTTTTTTTGAATATAAAGTGGCGCATTTCGCAATTTTCTATTTCTGAGTAAGAACTTTTTAATATGATATAGATTTAATGTAGGATAAACTTATTTTAAATATTCTTTATTTTTATCAGAAAACGATGGCGGCTATGACTAAACTGGCTGCTAGTATAGCTCCATTCTTGGTGGTTGAGGGTGTTGTTGTGGTTGTAGTGGCAGCTGCGGGTGGTGGTGTGGTGGTGGTTGGTTTGGCTGCGGTTGTGGTGGCAGCTGCTTCAGCATAATGTAAACGGAAGTTCACTAAAATAACATCATTTTATACATCTCTCTGATTCCTCCTCCTCTTCTTCTTCTTCTTCTGATGAAGATTAATCACTTGATTCTTCTGATGATTCTTCTTCTTCTGATGATGATTAATCACTTGATTATTCTGATGATTCCTCTTCCTCTTCTGATGATGATTGGGCATCGGATTCTTCTTCTTCTTCCTCTTCTTCTGATGATGATTAATCACTTGATTCTTCTTCTTCCTCTTCTGATGATGATTAGGCATCGGATTCCTCTTCCTCTTCTTCTTCTTCTTCTGAGGATGATTAATCACTTGATTCTTCCTCTTCTTCTTCTTCTTCAGATGATGATTAATCACTTGATTCTTCTTCCTCTTCTTCTTCTTCTGATGATGATTGGGCATCGGATCCTTCTTCCTCTTCCTCTTCTTCCTCGGATGATGATGATTAAGCCAAAAGTTCTGAGCTTTCTTCTGAGCTTTCTTCCTCTGATGATGATTGAGCCTCTAATTGACTTGTTTTGAGCTTAAGCTTGTTACTTGTGGCAGCTAAAAGTATATTATTTCAGTTGAGTCAGGAGATATGAATTTGTGTATATATAAATAATATATGGGGGTTAGTGAGGATATAAATGTGTAGTTTACCTTGAGCGCTAAAAGCAAGCATGGAGATGAGCAATAAAGCAAAAAGTGTTTTGGACATCTTCGTTAACTTTTATTATTATTTAAATAAAAATTCAAATCCAAATTTGCTTTAAACTCTAATAATGCGTAATTATGTTTTCTCAAATCTTTTTTGATACTCTAGTAAAATTAAAATAAAATATTTATTTAAAGTTAATTATCTTAGTATATCAAGATGAAGCAACAAATTATCGAAAAAATTTGCATATAATGCAATTTTTGATTATCGCCGTTAGATTTATAAATTTCCTCAGTTATTTTATTTTTTTTTATGAGGAAAATACATAATTTTACTTCAGCAAAATAGAGACAATATTTAAATTAAATATTTTTTAAATTACTATTTGAAAACTCTTACCATGAAGCACATAAATCTGCCTTTAAACAGGAAAACGTGTTATTTTCTTTTCAATCTATTATATTTGTATTTATTAACATTGATTATATTGAGAGTCCATTTCTGTACTTGATTATAAAATAGTCATTTCTTCAATAATTGATTGTTAATTTATTTTTGCTACATAAAAAAATCAAATAATTTTTGTAAATTCTAATATAATATAAATGATACATTAGTGTTTTGTTTGTAATATTTCATAATAATTTTATGTTGATCCACATTTATTACTATTCGCTTTTAACTTCTGATGTGAATCATTATAAAGTAGAAAAGTTCACAAAATCTTTGTTAAAAATCCAATTCACAAAATAATAAGCATTGAATTAATTGATTGCAGATGAATATAATATATCTGGCTATCTTTCTCTTTGAATGAAACTCTGTAGAGAAGGTTTAGCATAACCTCACAGTTAGTTTGAATCAAATGAGTGTTGATTCACCTACTTATTTACAAAGAAGTTGATTAAATTAATTCTATGAAATAGATAATCAACTTTTACCTAAACTTACTACTCTACAAAAAAAATTCATTTATAAATTGATAATATAAATCACAAAATATTCCAATTAAATATAAAAGCAATAGAAAAATTCTTGAAGTAACTTTTGATCTTAAAACTGAACTTCAAATTATACAATATTAACGCAAATAATAATGATTATGATGATTCTCAATGCATTGAAATTAATTTTCAATAATTTTACCCGAAATTGATCTTAATTGAATTCAAAAGCTCTTAATTGATTTGAAAAATGCTTGTTTTTGATCATCGAAGTTTGTTCTTGACATAACTTTAGTATCTAATTTAATACTCTGGGATTATTAAATTTTTCATACCTTTGAGCTTAACTGTGCTATTATTAGCATCTCCAACAATCATTATAAGAGCATTTGGTTTCTTGTATTTTAAGTCGAACTATGATGCTTTGCAATTTTTGTTATTAGTTTCTGAAAGATTTAGAGTTGGCAGAGTAGATATTCAAAATATTAAGTTCTACATTATTTTTTGTGCATTAAGCTAACAAATATTCAATTTCATCTAATTTTAATATATGAGAAATATCTCTGAATATGAATTATTTATGAATGCCTATACTTATTCCTCCGCCTTAAGAATGTTCTATACTTATTTTATTAATGAAATTGCATCTAAGAGATGAGTTTATAATCTACACACACACACATGTACTTTTCGAGGAGGTAAATTTTATTTACATCAGTAGATAAATATTCTTTCTTTGCCGCCGTTGTCCAATGCTACATTCATCAATTAAGACTAATTTTAATTTGACTTTGAATAGTAGTTTATTATTTACAAATTTCAAATCGTCGGCCATTGCAATTGGCTTGAGATTTAAAATTAACTCAACTAAGTAAGTGATAAGTAATAAACTTAAGTTACAAAACCACTAAAAAAATGAATGAAATTGTTGTTGCGGTTGACTAAATGAAATGTGATAATTAATTCTTAATATATTCATTTGCACTGTTTACAACACTATAAAAGCTACCTTTATCGATCCTTAATTTTTATGCTATTTGTCAATTCAAAAAGCAAATATTGATTCAAGGAATCTGGATACTCTTGAACTTAATTTTATAGTTATTTATCCCATCTAATTGAAATTCCTAAATATCCTATCAAAATTGCAGGGCTCTATAAAAGTTCCTAATTCTGAAACAATTTATGTTAATTTGCAGTTTAGTTAAGCCTTAAACATATTTGCTCTCTAAGGTTTCTTATCTATATCAATTACTGGATTTATAACATTATTGACAGTCATCATTGCATGTAATTCTATGCAATATAGTTTAAGTGTAAGTTATGATGTGGCAAATAATATTAGTATAGAAAATAAGGTAAAGCTGGACTTTCTACATGGATTAAATTATGAAATACGAGTAATAATTAAGATTTAATATTGCAAAACTGATACCATTATCCAAAATCAAGATTTTGTAAAAATTCTTGAATTTGAAATTTAAAAATAATCCAATAAAATGTTTGTTATAATTGATATTTAAAAATATTCTTTAGTATTCCTATTTTTATTTTGCGATAAATTGTATTCAATGTAATTAGTTGAAAATGAATATTTATGATCAATATCAATTTTTATTTTGCACTTTTAATTTATTGACCAAAAAATCTACAATTCGTTATGATTTTCCATGTACCAAGCAAATTAAGCAAATGGTTATGCTGAATCTATGTATTATGGATTAAAATCAGCAAGATATTATTTGCTTGTGATCCATTCTTGAGATGTAACAGCGAAATATTTGCTCAAAGTTATTATAAAAACATGCTTTAGCTTTAGAATCAAATTTTTCAAATAGGATAATTGCTAAGATCAGCAACAAAAAAGAAAACTTACACAAGATAAAAGAAACTAAGTTCATATGAGATTGGTGGTTTTGCTGATGAAAACTACCTCAAACAAAATTTTGGTTGAAATTATTTTTGACAAGAATTATAATTATTAAAATTTCTTTTAAAAAAAGATTAATTTCTAGAACACTTTGATTATTTTCAAGTGATCCATAGATATTTATCAAATAATGAACCCCAAAGTTATATTAATTCAATTTTACCTTAAATATACGAAATATATTATCAATTTCAATATTGATATAATTTTAAATGAAATTTAGTTTTTCAGATAAGCATAATTTTTAATATCTTATTAATAATCCTTTATCCAAAATATAAGTGGTTTAGACTAATCGGCATAATGAGTCACAAGTTCAATTCCTTGGGTAAAAGATATTCATGCTAAATAATTAATTGGTACAATTTTATAATATTAAAAAAATAAATTAATCCTTCAAGAGATTATTTTAAGAGTCCCCTCATCCTTTACTAACTTGTAAAAACCACCTTAATAAAATAATTACCTTTAGTATAAAATAAAAATAAAAATTATTATTTAAATTTATGAAATAATACTAAAAGGATAATTTTTTCTTTTGAACATTTTGACAATATTTTAAGGATAATTTTTTTCAGAATATATTAAAATTTAATCTAAAGAGAGTAGATCTTTTAAATCACTGTGAAAAAAGTCCATCAAGCGATACTAAAAGCACTAATCCATGATAAGAATGTTAAATTTATTAATATAATAGGTAATATTGAGAATAGTTATTTAAATTTTCTTAATACATTACTTTATTTTTTAATTAATATTATTTGAAACCTAAAATTAAATGTGCAAATAATAACGTTTTCATTTCCCTTTTCACACCTTTAATAACATATCTATTTTTTAAATGCCCTGAAAGCTCATTAATTTGTATATAATAAGAACTTAACAGAAAACTTATTTCTTAAATATTATTTTTAAATGCTTAATTTAAAAACAAAATAGCATCCACTCTCAACTTAAAAAAGACAATATTGGACTCCAAATGAAGACAAATTATTATAAAAGGCTGTAAAGTTGCATAATTCGAATTGGAAAACAATCGCTGAGTATTTTGTTGGAAGAAATGGAAGTTAATGTTCATAAAGATGGAAAAGAATTAAACCTCAAGTAGTAAAATATGGATTCATAATTTATTAGTTTGAGAAAAAAAAATTCTGGACCCCAGAAGAGGATAAATTTCTAGAAAGTCTTATATAAAAGTATCAGTTTGAATGGAAAACAATCACAAGTTACATGGATGGTAGATCATCCAAATAAGTTCGGGAACGTTATATCAATCATTTAGACCCTCTAATTAATAAGAAACCATGGACTTAGGAGGAAGATCAATAATTATGGGCATTATATTAATAATTTGGACCAAAATGGTCAAATATTTCTTAAATTCTTTAAGGTAGACCGGTATTATTCTAATCTTTAATTGCTTAGGAGAATTCAATAAAGAATAGATATTATTGGCACGTTAGAAAATTCTATGCATAAGAAGAAAATCCATATTATGTTGTTCCTTAGATGAGAAGAAGTATTGAAAAAGATGATGAATAAGATTAGAGTTAGAATAATCTACCTTGCAGCTCCAAGAGCAAAAAATTGAAAAAATATCATCATAGTAATATTTAGATACATCTAAAAATTAGAAAATTAATAAATTGCTTTTTAAAGTCCTAATGCATTAGAAATTAGTTTTTAGAGAAATATAATATAAGAGCAAAGTCAAAGTGATATAAAAAATAGAGATTTAAAGAATGTTTAAGACTTTTAGGAATAGTAGATGGACAATTAATTTTGTTAGGAATTACTCAAAAGTGTTACATTAGAATAAGGGGAAGAAGAATCAATTATGTAAATAGAAAATTGGGTTTATACATAAGGTTTTGAATTCAATTTATTGCAGAATTAGCTACAGATTTAAAACTGCAATTAGTAAGAAGATATTTTTGAGGTTGAGAGTTTAAGATGATTGAAAATAAATTAAAAATTAGTTAGATCTTCTTTTTTCATAAATTTATTTAAATTTAATTGAAAAGAATTACATTAAGTACTTCCAGGTATATTGAATTACAAACGAAATACATTTAAAAACCAAATTCAATTATTTCACGTAGCTCAAGACTTGCTTTAATTGTTTTTTTATAACTCATTAGGCTTTTATGTTAAGGTTTAAACTTTGTTACTTAACTCATAATTTTGCAATTTAGATTTTTCAAGCTCTTATTTAAGTACCTCAATACTAAATTTTTAAATCATTATTTGTTTAACTGATTCTTTCTCTTATTCTTTACAGGCCATATTCATATCTAGTAATTCTTGATTCTCTCTTAAAAACTAAAGTTTTTATTATGATAATTCCTCTTATAATTGTGATATTTATTTTTCATATTGCTCCTTAATTTTCTAATTATCTTACATATCGTTAGACCTTTTGTCCATTATGGCCAATTCAAATTACTTTATGTGGTTTTTCAAAATTTCAATTTCATTTTTATACTACCTTTCCTAATCTGACAATTAGTCTTGAATAAATTAGAATTGATCAATTTTTTCTTTTATTAAAATTTTGAAAGTAGAGTCGGCTTTCTATTTTTCTTCTATTAAAGAAGAAATTTGATTTTACAGTTCTTAGATTGTGTTGTCGGATTCAGCTTTTTATATGTACAATTCCCCTTGAAGCTGAGAAATTGTTTTATCCTTTTTCTAAATTTATTAATCTAAGTCATAGAGTTTAGCTTTTAAGTAAAGAATTTCTGTTGTTGGATTTTGATTTTCCTATTATAGTTATTATTACCTAATTCTAATTCTATTTATTTTTAAAATACCTTTCTTAAGTTATTATATCTCTAACGTCAAAGACCCTATAAATTAAATTCTATTTTCTTTATTCCTATTACTAAGTGGCACTATATACTTAGTTATTTTAATCAATTAAAACTAAGCAATCGAAAGGGATTTTATTTTCAAATTATGCCACTTACATTTTTAATTATAAAAACTAGCATTAAAATTCTTAAGATTTTCCTATTTTTCCAAAATAAACTATAAAGGTTTCTTTCAACATTTGAGTAATTTCTTAATAGAAAATGAAAAATAGCAATTTAATAATAATAAATAAATAATTATAATAATGAGATCTATAAGCAATTTATTGTCTTCCTTAGTGTCTAAGTAAAATACACCATTTATTTAAAAATTGAATAATAGTTCTTTGATGCAAAATAACTCCTCTATAATGATGACTGATATCCTTTATTTGATTGAATGCTTCGAAGGATTCGGGCCAGAATGCAATGGAATATATTTAACGGGATCAGAATACTTATAGCAATTTTTTAAGGCAATCACAAACAAACCTTTGGCTGGCTATATAGCTACGAAGATTACTTTAACGATTCATCTAATTTTATATGAATTTTAGATTGGAGAAACAATAGCCGAAGAAATGATAAGGGAAGGATCGACGATACATGTGCTGTAAAACCAATAGTTTAGCAACTTTGTTATAAATTATTTGATGTATTTGATGAAATTAGCATAAAATTTAAAATTGTTTTATGCCTGTAAAATAGGCTAATATCCTATTTTTGATTAAGATTCAACATTTACTTAATATTCAGAAAGTACAAGAGAGTAATAGTTTTAACAATTTAATTTATTCAAGAAAAACAGCAATTTTAGAGATACCAATTTATAGTACAGAAATTACTAATAAAAGAAATTAGAATTGCATATGCAGTCATAGACAGGTTGCATAACGATGGAACAAAAAATATTATACCTTTTCAAATTGCATAACCTGCTAAATTCGTGTGTATAAATTTTGAATTTGTGCATAAATTCGTTAATACAATTAGACAAACAAGATGCTAAAAATATTTTTATTGAAATTAGTTGTGTTTTGTGGAATGATTGTATGGTTATGTACAAATTTTCAACTTAGGAAGTAATAACATAAAATAAACTTAGTTGTGCAAACTGCTTGACTGTTTTCGATATATGCCATTATAACAATTGCTCTCAGTTCAGTAGATATACTGGGCAACAATCAGTTCCTCCACTTAAATCAAATGGATTTATCAAAATCGAAAATACTTCGACTCTCAAAATATTGTGAAACAGCCTTTTTGGTTTGAAGAAAATAAATAGTTATCAACTGAACTTTAAAATAGCATCATAGACAATAAAATATAATCTATCCCAGAAACAGCAAGAAATGCTAATAAACTATCAACCCCACAAGCTTATTAAAGTAAAAAATCTCCAACCAACATTCCCTAACCATTCACTTCAAGAATTGGAATTTCTTAGAACACAACAAAAACAACCATTCCATAACAACCTTATTTTGTTGCAAATAAAAAATTATAGTAATAATATCAATAAATTGAAGTATAATAACCCTTAAGTACAAGAGCAAAAAATATAGTTGGAAACATTTTCTCAGATGAAGAATTAACTATTTCTCCAAGGGATCGAGCTAGAATATAATAATAATGATTCATAATGATTTAGAATTAATGTGGAGAGCATGAATATAAATATTTAAAATAAACTAAATACAATAAAAATTAGCACATCTTCTGAATTTAATCAATTATTGATTGATAAATTTTGCGTATAGATTTATCAGCATATAACCCCAATATATGCTCTTAGTGATTTAGAAGAAGCATGAAATTAATTTAATAATTTAGAGTACTAATTTACATTTTAAGTAATAAATAGATATTTCTCTATTTTAAATTCCCTTAGTTTCTCTTATTATTGTAGTCTGTTTAGTTGGGTAATTGACTAATACTAAAATTAAGATAATGAAATAAAAAAAAGTTCTTAGAAATTTTGATAATGCAATTCGAAATATCTTCTGACAGTAAAATTCTAATTTATGGTTTTCTCAAGTACTTTGATTTTTGAGAATAATAAAATTCAAAATTTATTTCTAAATACATATTATTCCTTACAATATAAACTCTGTATAATTATAATATATCTCTATATGACCAACATCTTTTTTAATATCACTTACTACTTTATGGCAGTGAAATATTTTACCCATGAATTTAGAGTTCAAAATTGTATAAGCTTTTTAATTTGAAAGGAAAAAGTTTTCATAAATATTAATACTAATAAATTTTCACTAATTTTTTTAACTCATTTAGAATAATTCGGATAATATGATTTAAATTCTTTAATTATAATAACTCAGCTTCTATTGCCTCATTCATCTTATTTATACTATAAATTCTATCTAGAACTAGGAAATTGTTTCATTTTATTATCATATTATGTTAATCCTTGTTAATCAGGAAAATGAATTACTCAATAGAAATATGGAAGGATACCAATATATTTTGCATAATTCTATTATCTGAAATTTAAAATCTTCCAAACTTATTTCTTAATTCTATTATTTAAATTAATATATATAATAATTATGGCTCTAGTGAATGTAACATGCACCCTCCCCAATAAAGATCAAGTTGTTTTGAAATGTGAAATTCAAAATATTAGAAGTGAATTGCATAAAAAAGTTTCAGCTATCTCATTTGATAATATCATTCTGATTGATGAGAAGGATTAAGTGTATAATGCAAGCAGTGCTTTATATTAATCAAAAATACAATAACCGAAAAATAATTATTAATTTAAGGTTCAAGAGGCTCATTCAATGTACAGAGAGCTAAAAGAATTGATAAACATTAAAATAAATAATTACAAAAAATTAGAAGAGATGGAAAAAAACTTAAAATCATTAGTTGAAGAAATAAAGGAATAAGACAAATAGCATAAATTGGAAATATAATAATTATCCGAAAATAATCAAACTTAAAGTGCTGACATCCTAAGAAGTAAATAAAATGAAATGGAAAAAATGAAAGCTGAAAAAGAAAAATAAATTAAGGAAATCTAGGAAAAACATGATAGGCTGGAATTGGAATTGGGTGCAATAAATAGAAAATGTAGCGACCTAGAATAAAATATATAATAATTATAAGAAGATAATTAATAATAATAAAGAAACTATGAAATATAATTATAAAAAAAAAATGAAGAAATGTAGAATGAAATAAATAAAAAGAATTCAGAAATATAAAATTTAAATACATAGTGGCAAAATTATTTAAATTAGGTGAACTCTTAATTTTAATAATAATTATAGCAACAGTATCAACAGGCCACTTAAGCAAACAATGAATTAGTCACATCATTAGAAAATCTTTAAAGAGAACTTGGATAGGAATAATTAGCTTCAAAAGCTGAGACAGATAAACTAAAATTATAGTTAAAATCAGAAAAGGATAAATTATAGGCTGCTAACGATAGTATTTTTTAGTTTGAAAGCACAATTTAATCATTAAATGATAAAATTAAAAAGTTAGATAGAGATTTAAAAGTAGGCAAGGAAAAAATAATTGATTTAGAATAGAATTAAAGGACTACATTTTCTAATGTTTAAGATGCTAATTCTACTCTTTAATAAAAAGAAACAGACATTAAAAAATTAACCACTTTAAATAAGAGTTAACTCTAGCAAATTGACGAATTAACAGAGGAGCTCAATTAGTTAAAAATTCAAAAATAATAGTTGGATGTTAAAAGTAATACCTAATTGTAACAAATTGGGGATTTAAGGGCAAAGGTTGATGAATTAAATGATGAAATTGATCATCTGAAAGGAGAATTAACAAAAAAAAAATATGAATACGACAAATAAACAAGCGACTTGAGAATATTATAGAAATAAAAGGATTTTGTTGATTAAGAATTAAAAGAATTAAAAAGTTAATTACAATAAACCAAAGAATAATTAGAACAATAACAAAGTGGAGGATAAAGCAATGAAAAACAAATAACACAACTAAAAAGTCAAATTACAAAACTGGAATAAGAATTAAAAACAGTTACTGGTTAAAATAAAGATAACTAAGACAAAGTAAGAGAGTAAAAATTAAAATTGTAAGAAAAAGAGGGGTAAATAGGTTAATTAGAAATTAAATTAAATTAATTTTAAAACTCTTTAAATCAAAAAGAGGAATAACTTAAAAATGATTAAGCTTAAAATCATTAATTTAAAACACAAATGGAGGAACTTACTAAATAAATGAAGTTGGACATGGAATAAACAAATATGAAACTAAGTATAAAAGACCATATTCTTTTAAAATTATCAAGGCAAGATGATAAATATCAAGATAAAGTAATTGGTGTTATGGAAAGAGTAATGTCAACACCTCATAAAGTTAAAGATTTTAATAAAGATTAGAATGCTTAACTTGACCTGAAGGAATATGATATTTTTGAGATAACTGCTGAATATGATCAAGCAAAGCAACTTTTGACTAAGAATTAGTATTTCCTATTTGAATAATGCTTAAAAAAGACTCCCAAGGGCAGTGTGAAATTAAATAGAAGTCTATAACCAAATGCCGAGTCCACATTTTTTAAAGGTTATTTAAGTGTGGTGACTGAGGCAACTTAAAATGAATTGAAAGGAAAATTCTTATTAAGAAAAGATCTAATATCTTAAAATCAAGCTTTTATTAATTTAGATGATGCAGCTTAAATGTCTAAAAACAACTTCTTATGCTAATTTTTGATGGATCAATTTAATAAAGTCTTAAGATCATAAAGATTAAGAGAAGGAGACTATGGAATCGCCAAACAATTTGTATTAAAAGATAAGGGTAAATATTAATTTATATATTGAATAGAAAAAGAAGAATACTATTATTGTGAAATGGCTGAGGAAGGAGAATTTAAAAAGATTAATGGTGGATGTTTTAACCCTAAAGATAAAAGTGAGGTAAATTCTTATTTTAATGCCTTCTCTAAATATGTATATGCATTTTCAAAGGAAAGTTATATTATATCTCATCTTTAAATTTGTGGAAAATTTGTGTATGATATGATAGTTAGTACAACTTATAAAGGATTGTTTTCAACTTTAGATTAAGGATAAAATGAAATTGCATTGGTTTTAGAAATAATTAATGGCTTACCTCAAGATTATATTAAACTCCATTGGACTCAAAAAATAGAAGATGTTGCTAAAGAGGGAGTAAAATGAGTTAATTAAAGTTTATTTAACATATTCAAATGTCATGAAATTTAAGTAATATTAATTATATGCAATTGTGTCTTTAAGGATATTTAGGTTTTTTTTCGATATTGAAATTTCTATAACCTCTTTCTGATATAATTCAATTTATTGAGATAATTAATCTCAACTTTACTTTATTTTGTTTATCATTTGAATAAAAATCATCACTTAGTTTTAACAGATAATTTTATTCTTTTATTTACTATTATTCTATTAAACCTAAATTGATTTGGATCAAAAAATATGTATTTTCCTGAACTTATAATCAAGTGTAAGAAATAAATTAAAAACCCTAAGCTCTGAAAATTTTGAATTATATCGAAATAATCTAAATTTTTCTACTTGATAATGATTTTTAATCTAATATAATCTTATCAATATTTATAATAATAAATTGGATTCTAATTTTAAATATATATATAGAATTTTCATCTATATCATCAAGAACTAGGTGGGTTTGCTAAATCTTTTTATAACTATATATACCTATACAATCTAATGTGAATTCATCCACATATCCATTCAAGCAATAACAACTGCTTCCCTATTGTGTAAATGTGTCTTCACATTTCAAGCATGTTATTTGATCCAAACATTTTTGACAACCCAATGGACACAATACACACTTTTATTATTCTATGTCAAATATAAAGCCATTATAGCAATTTTGATTCTAAGAGTTCTATTCAATTATCCATTCAGTACAATCATTCTAACTGGGACCAATACACGTTCTGCATAAAGGTGCGCATCTTTAAATCATAATATTTAGGTTTGAGATTCCAAAACTGAAATAGGTATTAGGTTATGAAATAGACATCATTACCAGAGTTAAGTTATTGGATGAGTGAGCTTTGTCGACTGAAACCTATTGAACTTGACTTTGCATAGAGGAGATTTTAATTGCTGTTTGAGTATCAATTGATATGGAAACGCTATTAGATGAATAGTTTTATTATGTAAACTCAAAAGTAATCAAATTCAATTGCAAAAGAATTTTATAATGAGGTGGTAAATTGGTAAATTACTTTTAGAAGTATTAATTGCCTGTATCCTTTAATCCACCAAAGTATCTAACACCATTATAAAAAGTTCCAAATTGATTTTAATAAAAAGAGTTGATGCTTCTTGGATTTTTAACAATAAAGTTACTGATAATATTATCGTCAAAAGCTCTCAATAAGTAGGTAGTTAATGGATATTATTCTGTAGCATCTTTGCAAACTTGACCCTCCAGTGTAGAATAACTGGGACATGAAGTAACACAAGTTCCTTAATAGAGGTAGTATCCAGCCTTGCAGGCGTTACAAACGAGTTTGCTTTTGCAAGAGTTGCAATTGGCTTGACAATTTACTGTGTTGATAATGACTTGATTTATTCCCCACAAGATGTTTTCATCACTATTAACACTAATAGTGATATTGGAAATAGGCAATGCATCGATTACATAATCGATATGATATAGGATGTAGCCCTGCGATTCTGTCTCGTTGTAAGAGTGTAATGGAGTTACAAGCTTCTGTATCTTGTCTACTTGAACATAGATTGAAGGGTGCAATTAGGATCTAAATATGTAGATGTCTGCTCGTATTCTTAATGAATGATAATAGAAAGCATTGCTGAATTTGTAATTAATGGATTGGCTCACAAAGAATTACCCCACAATTTTTACATTCATATTCATATAGAATTTATTAAACAAAGATTGGGTTACTCCATTTTCTATCATGGACCAACCAGTGAAATCATAATTGCCCCAAAAGTATTAAGAAACCTATTCCATTTCTAAAATTACAACATTTAAATACTGTCATCGAAAATACACCTGTCAAGATTCTGGTCAAAATATTCACTCACTTCGCATTTCCTTATGCATTGATTTTGTTGTACACTTAAGTAGAGTGAGGTGGATGGACATTTACACTCATTTGTCTTTTTACTTAGTTGAGCTCCGATATAACAGGATCTACATTGGTTCTTTTGGGGTCCCACACATTATGTACATGACTCGTGGCATAATTTGGGTATTACTTAGATGTTTCTGATACCCAAAGAGAACCCAATTGAATTCTCAAGCTGGAATGCCAAGTTTAAGTCTTGTTAATAATGGATGTATGACTTGAAATAAGTAATAACCTAAGTTGGTTTACTATTTAAAAAGAACTATTAGAAATATTTACGTATCACAAAATGGCACTGAATAATCATACCTTACTGAGTATGAATCAATGAGGATGTTGTCTAGCAAAATGTTTATAGGTTTATCCACGAATTCCCCTATTAAATAAAAGTCAACAAAAATATCAACAGCGTAATGAGACTCAGCTATACTCATTTAGTAATTGACACTCGGTTATGTCTAGCTCAGATAATAATAGTCAATTTCGCTGAGTATTGAGCATCTCATTATTTTAGATGATTGAGTAAGTGAAGGATCACTTAATTCTTGATAAACTTTTAGAGCATCTAGCAATATAATTAAAGTTATTTACTCATGCATGCTAAAATGCCAAAGATAACTAAGATCAACTACATAATAATAATTTATTTGAAAAATTATTTTATTCCTTGCAATATATATGATCAAACCATTTAATTGAAGTAAATGAGTATAATTATTGCTATTTTAAACAAATTTATTTTCTAATTACATTTTTTATACAACTATTTGATTATTTATTATTCATAAATTTAATTGTCTGAACTCACTCGTAAAACATACCAAAAGTAATTCTGGCTGTGTGATTGTTCTATTGATCTCTCGAAATTAACACGTAGCTTTCGCCTCTATAGAGTAGGATAAATTTATGGATTATTGTTATTAATTTTGAAACTCATAAGGTTAAAATATGTTATATAATCAAGTTAAAATAAGTACAAGCTTGCAATTGTATTTATTCTTTAGGCCAAAAAATAATATTAATAAATCTATGTTCCCTGTTTTGGATTTATTTTTTAACTGGAACTCAGCGATAGTCTGAAAGAATGAGGCTTTCATTTATGACAGGATTTTTTTATTGGATTTCAAAAATAAATATATACATAATTTCTGATGTAAATTTACGGCCCTCATCTAAAAATAACTTTAGTTTTAAAACATAAGCTAATATTGTTGTAATGATTAGATTAATAGTCATTTTCATTAATTTATGAATTATTAAATACTGTTTTATACTCAAATCATCCAAAACATTTGGTGGATAATATGTTCATGGATTTTTTATAAGCCTTATGAATATTACCTTTGTTTTCTTTCTTTAAGTAGTATTGTGATACGGATTGCTATATTGATGTTAGAAAGGAAAAATACACACATATTTATTTCAGCAATCCTATATTTGCTCCATAATTGTATATACACTGAGGCAAGCTTACGGATGCCCATGAATAATCCATTTACAAACCATTCGAATTCCTTGATGATTTTGATCAACTACTTGCACGCAAACAAGGAATAAAAAGAAAATATTTAAATAATGTCGAAGTTTGGGTTTCCCATATTTTGTTTATTAAGAACCATGTCAATTACCTTTATCAAAGCTAATTATTAAATCCTGGAAAGCTGTCTAGTGATACTGATTTTTCTGTGTTTGATTGCAAAGGATGAATTAAAAAGAAAAAAAGAAGCAATTAAAAATTCAGTGAAAGACCTTGAGTCTCAAGATTAACATAATTTTAATTAAAAATTCATAACATTTTTCCAATCAGATTCAAAGCGACAATCCCTGGGAGCTTCCTTCAAAAAGAGTAGAACCCATTATTCGCAATACAAAGAGAAGCCAGACATACTCCAAAACATCCCATTATTCAATGAACCTAAAACCTTTGATGAAAACATCAAAACCTCTCTGCAGTTCCAGAACTTGAAGAAGAGCTTTAACAAGAAGGTTTCAACTATAAGTGTCGACAAATCAGATTAACATCTACACACATTCTTTTAGAACATAATCAACAATATCTTTTCCGCAGGAGTGGTGATTCTCAATCAAAACCAAAAGGTGACTTTTATGAACAATAAATGTGAGAAACTGCTCGGTTAGAAGGGATGCGAAAGAGTTGTGGAAAGTCTCAAGAAAATTATTATCTCCAATTCCTTACATGAAAATGACGAATCTCCCTTGGGACAAATTCCTCCGAGGTCAATGGCTAAAATGAACAAAGCCACATTTGAAAGAATCCTTAAGTATTACCATGATAACCTAATGGAATTGGACATTTTTGATGCCTTCCTCTTCCCCCAAAAATATTTAAACTAATTCTATCAAAATCTATCACCTAACTCAGAATTTGACTAAAGAAGCAGCCTATCAGAATCAGTAAATGAAACCTTCCTCTAAAGAAAGGATGCTGTGACCTACGAATACATAATGAACGGAGAAGGAGGCCTTCTAAAGAAGTTAAGAATAGTCATCCTACCCACTTATATGACGAATGCTTAGCAGGAACAACTTTCGTATCCATCACAATAAAAAGTGCATGTCAGCAGAACGGCCATCCAGGGAGAAAGTGTTCAACCAATCATAGTTATCAAGATCAAGAATATTACTAAGAAGCACAAGATAGAGCAAATGAACAAGGAGAAGGAGATACACAATTCCTTACTCAAATCGTTTTCGCATGAATTAAGGACTCCTTTAAATAGCAGTTAAGAAATGCTTGTGATCCTTAAGGACATGATCAAGGATCCCAAACTTTTGGAGTATGTTGAATTCGTTCATATTTCAATAATATTTTTAATCCATTAAATAAATGACATTTTAGATTATGCAGCCATGTAATCAAACACTTTCAAATATAGATATTTTGAATTTAAGTCATGTGAGATTGTTGATGAAATAAAATACATCTATTCTAGTTAATGCAATTCTAAGAAAATTGATTTGCAATTTCAATTTGATGAGAAATCCATTGGCAACATACGATCAGATAAATAAAGAATTATGCAAGTGTTAATTAATTTAATAAATAATTCCTGTAAGTTTACACCTCAAGGTGGTAAAATTGTTTTATCGTTGAAACTAATAGAATATCCTTTTATCAAATTATAGGTCAAAGACACAGGCATTGGAATTGGTTCAGAATAATTGTAAAACCTAAGGAAGGTGTTAACAACTTCCATGGGTAAGAGTTTACATAGATCAAGAATTAAAAAAAGCCTAGGCTTGGGATTGAATATTTCTGCAAGGATCGTAGAAGGGTTGGTGTCAAAGAATGACGGGACTCTTGAAATAATTTCAAAGAATAAAAACAAAGGAACCAAAATATACTTCATTATTGAGAACTTAATCATTTGTAGAGATGAGTCTGTGAGAAACCCTATGATTTCTGAATACACAACCAAAAATAACACTTATAAATAATAAATGTCATATTATGAGGGTAGTAAATGCAGTTAAATATTACCACTTTTAAGGCAACTATCAGAAAATTCCAAATTTGAAGCTCCATCTCCATCTAAGAGGAGTAAAACAACAAAAAGTAGGTTCTAACCAGGCAATCAAGTGGAAAGTTCTTTGGATATGGCAGATAATTATTCCTATCGAATCGATTTACCCTTAAGTCCTGAATACTTTTTGTATAAGGATTAAAACAATGATAAAAATTCAATAACAACTTAATGTCAATAATGTGTAAGAGTCTTGATAGTTGATGATATACCTTTTAATTAGATAGCTTTAAAAGCTCTTCTCCTGCATTATAACATTAAGGTTGAATAAGCGTATGATGGTTATTAAGCAATTGATTTAGTGAAGAAACAGTTAGATAAGCATTGTCAATATTATACACTAATCTTTATGGACATTGAAATGCCTGGAATCAATGGCTTTTAGGCTACCAAAGATGTAATTTCACAAATTAAATTAGATTCTTAAATTAACAGTTGATTAAACACACATTATAATGTGTTCTGCATATGACACTGAAGAAAACTTTAGAGAAGGAGAAGCAGTAGGAATGTCAGAGTTCCTACCTAAACCTGTAAATTAAAAGGAATTAGAAAGAATATTAGATAGATTTGGTTTTCTATGATATTTACTCCTTTTTTCTCGCATTTTAAAATCAGCTATTTAATATATAAAGTCTATTGAAAATCTTGTTCAAATATATTCTTATAACTATATTAGAAATTACTTATAAAATAATTGTATATTTTATTAAGTGTGATATTCAAATCTTTTTTGAGATTATATATTAATAATTATTAATACTCTGATACATAAATTGTAAATGAATATTCAAATTGAATAGTTTGCCAAGAAAATATCCCTAACTTCAATGAAATGAACTTAATCTAAAATAACTATTAATTATGACATATTTATATTCAACTAACATAAATTAACTCATTCATGTTTTATTGATTTCTTTTCAAATACTCATTATTCATTAAAATCTCAATAACATCTTTGATATCTGTATCTTTTGGTTTAAACATCTTTAATTACTCTTTTACCGATTGAATCAATTGTTAAAAGGTTAAAGTCTTTTTGCCTTTCATAATTCGAACAATTGCAGCTTAAATAGCAATCTTTCTATCTCCTTAGATATCCTCTTCTATTAAACCTATATGAAATTGATATACATTAATATTCAACAAATGATTCCAAGATGATGCCCACTCTAAATTTAAGCTTGGGATTTGAGAATTCTTCATTGAACTTGTAAGCCTATCCATCTCTTATAAGTAACTTCCTGGATTCTAGTAATTTGATTTGGTTTAGGAAATACTAGTTGTTGACTCCAATTGATTACTTTATTAATAATTTAAACTTACTGCTAATTGCTCACTAGTTAATGGGTTGTTTTAATCATTAAATTGTAACAAGATTGCACCACCAACAACTCCGATGATGACTTTGTATTCTTAATTAGTTCTGAACATCAATTCCATCATGGATATTTGATCTTACCAACTAATTTCTATTCTATAATATATTATTATATTGAGTAATACAGTTAATTCTTTTCCTGTTAAGAGTTGAATTTCTGCCTGTAAGCAGCTTTTAATTAGTTCAGAATCAATATATTCTCTAGACCAAGTTGTGGTCTAATTTCAGGCCAATATTCTTTTTAAAGTATTTTGGCTTGAATTTCAATATCAGAAATGGATATTTTGTCCTCATTCTTCTACTATTCGTAATCCTTAATCATGGACTCAAGTTACTTGGTATGTTCTGGTCCAAAAGTCTTACGAAATTGATCAATGATTTGTTTATCAATATCGGAATGATAATCAAAGAGTGTTAGTATTCTTTATGCTAATTTATTTTAATAGTTTCTCAACAATAAGTCCTTGGCTTAAAAGCATTCCAAGAGTTGCATAACCTCTTTTAATTGTTTTTCTTCACCAATATCTATTCTTTTAAGAGTAAAAGTGTGAAGTTTTTGCAATAGCGATTCCATGATAAAGTATTGATCAGCATTTGCAGTTATGATTTCAAAAGCTACACGTAGATTCGCTAACAGGAACTGATTATTTTCAGCATGTTCGTAGATCAATTTCTTATAAGACTGCTATAAGGAGATTAGTTATTCTAAGAATTTATTTTACTATTGAAAATTAAGTTGATAATTACTTGATCTTCCTTCTCTTACTTGATTTTAGTTTAAAGGATTCTGTTTTATCGTTCTGCAATGATTTCCATACCTTATTGTATGATGATTTCTTGGAATTTCTTGACAAAAATGTGTGTATTGCTCTTGAAGTGGTCAAAAAAGAATACCAATTAACCAAATTACTAATTTATATAGAAAATGCTATACTTCATAACAATCCTAAAATATAATATTTTTAAGAGTATCATTATTGTCGGAATTCAAATCTAAAGCATAACTATTTATGATATAATTGTTAAATAAATCGATTAATTCTTTTTAAAGTTCATTTTGTTCACAGCCAAAGATTAATCTAATTCTACTTAATTCTTCTTGTTTGAATTGAACTAGTGATTTTATTTAATCCAAAAAGGACTGTTATTAAAAGTTGCTGTATTATTAGAGATAATAGGTTTTGCTGTCCTCTTTAATTTCCTTTTGAATTAATTAATTATTCCCTATATCTTAGAATGCTTTCATGTCATATATGATTTTATATACTCTTTGTAATTACAATTGTTGTTCTTTATCAAGTTGAATTCGATCCTATTTTAATTTAGTCTTGAATTCTTCTTTTATTGAAGAAAACAATTTGATGTAGAACGATTCATAAAATTGCTTTTTAGCTTACTACTTCAAATTTGGATATTAAGTCGTATTATTAGAAACTTCAACAAATGATCGATCCAAATAAGCGAAATAACTTTGAAGAATTCGAGTATGAGTTTCATAAATTTAATGTTAGTAAAGAATTTCTTCGAGAAAATTTTTTTGCCCTTTCCAACTTTCTTTTGCCAATCCCTCTGAAACTTATAAAAATTTTTGAATATATTCCTTGAATAACTCATACATCATCTGTCCTTATTGTTCCCCTTAAACTATATAATTGTATATTTCTCTATTTTTAAAATATAAAATATTACGTATAGAAAGTCATGACCTCCTTTGCAGTATATAAATTTTGTTCACCATTCAAGACTTTTTGAATATTGCTCCTTTGATTGTCCATCTTAATTCTCAAATCGCCTCTGATTTTATCATATGTATTCATAAAAAATTGAAATTTAAATATTAATCATATTTTATAAAAAATATACATCTTTTCAATTTCACAACTTAGCTCTCTGTCTATTAAACAACCCATTCATCGTATAATTCTTATTCTCCACTGGAAGCTTTTGCTTTTCAACAATCCACTTCAAATCAGTGAAATTTCCACTCTTCCAAGATCTCAATAAATCAGTTGGCTCCTCATCTACAGGCGGTTAGACGTTTTCTTTCAAAATGAATTTCTACAACCCATAATGGAATGTCATCATATAAGATCTAATATATTGTGCAATACATACCTCCATTCCATCTCAGTCACATCCAACAAGAAGATGCCCTACTCATCCCTTGACAGGCAATTCATTAATTGTAAGACATTCTCCTATGAAAACACCCACTCATTCCTATTGAAATGTTTGAAAGTCTTATTGATGGTGTCAGCCTTATCAATAACCTTGAGATAACGATCAGCATTCTTCTTCTAAGTTGGGTTTCCAAACGTGTCAGCAAAGGTCTTCAATGCCAAAGCTCCCATCTTCCTTTTGAAATTCATGTATCTATAATAGCACAGATTATTATTGATCTCAATGGTACATGGGGAGACTTTGACACTTGGAGGATTGGCATTCCAATATTCAAAACAAGTATCTTTGGTCAATCTCCAAGGAGCAGGATTCCTAGCACTGGTACCACAATGGTAAATTTAGAAATTATTCTTATTTGCCTCGTAAGCTCCTGCCACCAGAATCATGTCAGATACAAAATCAACTGGGACTTGATCTGTAATCAAATTCTCCTTTCCTTTATAGATTTTGACCAATCCAATTCCTGCGAAAAAGATCACAGCTGCACCTCCAACCAAGTTATCAATCTTTTTTTATAAGAATCGATATTACCCAACCAGGGATTGGATCTCTGAATGAGCATCCGACTATTGTTGGTCTCACTATCGTGATTTGCATGTTGGGAGGTCTCAATTAAGCCAACATCTATTCCGCCAAGTTCTTCGTGAATGTGTAGGTGTTTGGAAATTTGTCTAGTGCCAATTTTTATTGTTTCTCATCGAAATTTTAGGAAGATCTATATAACATCGAAACAAAGGACTCGACATCTTTTTGGGGGTGATAGATCTTTTCCTCGATGAATCTTTGTAATTCAACAATAAATTATACCCAAATTTATCACTGTTTACATAGGCAGTCGATACATGGATGAAATTCTCTAAATGTTTACATTGCTTAGCTAACTCCAACACTTTTTGCACTCCATAATAATTGATTTCCAAGGCAACCTTGATTGGGGAGTTGAAGTCAACACTGGCAGCACTATTTATGATAATATTGACATTTTCTATGAGCTCCTGTGTAACTTCCTTACTGAGTCCCAAATGAGGCTTGATTAGATCTCCATCCACTGGTTTCACGACCTACTCAATAAAATTCTGAAAATCCGCTCCTTTTTGTTTACGAATCCTGTCAAAACATTGAGAATTGATAATCTCCTTATTGAATCTCTCCGTCACTGATTGCCCTTTCTTTGCTCTCACCAAAACGTAAACTCTCTTAACTTCCAAAACTCTTAAAATCTTCTCCAATATAACTTTGGCCACAAAGCCTGTGCAGCCAGATACCAATAAGGATTTTCCCTTGTAGAAGTTAAGACAACTTATGTTTGTAGTCATAATTAAATTATATTAATTTTTATATCTTAATATTTCAGAGCTGTCTATTAAAGGCCTCTTGATTTTCATTGAAAGCAAATCCAGCAAAGAGACCTGCACTCAAATTACGTATAAATGCTCTTCTCTTGAAAAATACTGAGGCAGCAACACCTACAAAGTATCCTAATTTGCGATTACACATATACGCATACCAACTGTAGTGTAGGTAACAAAATCAAAAGCTGACTTATTCAATTAAGTGTCTAATTTAAGTTGTCTATCCATTTTTATAATAAATTTAATTAAAAAATAATATATTTGTATTAACAACTAATTAATATAGAATTGGGTGAAGTAAAATTATAAATCTGACAACCAATCCTCTCCCACCAATTTTCCCACTTCAATCTTCTTTGTCGACCCTAGTCATTCCTAAAATCATTGAGAATAACGCATCCTCTTAAAGTATGTACATCCAAATCTATATACAATTTTGGTAGCTCATAAGATTCAATGCAAGATTTGCAAGTATTAGGATAGAAATCCAATGAATTGTAAATATTAAACCCAATCCCGCCACTTCCTTATTTTAACAGTGTCTTTTATATAATTCATAACTTCCTCCTAAATTCTATAACTAAATCAATATCTAACAATCTGGAAAATTTTAAGAATTACTTTGTCTTAACTTCTGATGCAATAGGATGATCTTAAAAAAGGGGACAATCATCAAGATTGCCCATTATTTGTGGATCTTTATTAGTTAGTAAGTGAATGCGCATGTAGAATTGCAACAGTAATGTGGATGAATAAGATTTGAATTTTCAAATAATATTATTAATTGTACAAAAGAAGAATTTTTCGATAGGAATAATAGGTAAGCACAGCAATATTGCACTATTTTATCTTTGTGTTATTATTTTATGATAAAAATTAATGTGTAATAATGACTTACTTATTATTTAAAATAATATGGCATATTAAGGATTCTTAAGTGACAAATGTTTTTCATTGAATATCTTTTAAATTAATTTCTTGAAAGATGACAGAAACCATTGAAAATTTAAGAGATTTTAACTATTATCCATTCTCTTCGAACATTAATAGTAAGTACGTATTGGCAGAATATATATGGATTGATGGAACAGGAGAAAAATTGAGATCCAAAACTAAAGTAAGTTGGTATATGTCAAGTTAAGGTCTATTTGAACCCCATAAAAAACCTTGATGATCTGGAATGGTGGACATATGATGGATCATCGACAGACTAAGCTGTTACTAAATTTTCAGAAATATATCTAAAACCAGTTTGCATGGTCAAAGATCCTTTTAGAGGTGATCCTCATCTATTGGTCCTTTGCGAAACATATTTGCCTGATAAAAAAACACCCGCAAGGTATAATTTTAGGTATTCAAATTTACACTATTTAAAGATGGCTATCGAATTTAATTATGGAGAAAGCTAAAGAGCACAAGCCTTGGTTTGGTATTGAGTAGGAGTATTTCCTCTTCAAACGTACGGGCACAACACACTTGTGGCCATTGGGTTGGCCAAATGGAGGATTCCCGTATCCTCAGGGTAGATACTATTGTTCCATTGGGGAGAGAAACAATTTTGGAAGAGCCCTTGCTGAGGCCCACTTGAGAGCGTGTTTGAATGCTGGACTGAAGATAGCAGGGTTGAATGCAGAAGTGGCTCCATCCCAATGGGAATTTTAAATAGGAATAGCAGAGGGAATAGAGATTGGAGATCATATGTGGTTGGCAAGATATATTTTGGAAAGGATTGGAGAGGAGTTTGGCATAGATATCAATTACGACCCAAAGCCAATACAGGGTGATTGGAATGGTAGCGGAGCACATTGCAATTATTCGACTGAAACTACTCGAAGTGAAGGGGGTTACAAATATATCGTTGAGAAATTAATGCCAATCCTTGAGAAATAACACAAGGACATGATCAGATTATATGGAATCAACAACCAATTGAGATTGACAGGGAAGCACGAGACAGGGAGATATGATTCCTTCTCTTGGGGTGATGGTGCCAGAGGGTGTTCGATCAGAGTGCCGATAATAACGAAAGAATTAGGATAAGGGTATGGAATCACATTATTTATTGTAGATATTTTGAGGACAGGAGACCAGCAGCCAATATAGATCCATATTTAGTGTCTGCAGCGTTGGTTGACGTTACATGTTTAAATAGCGAGCATTTGCCATAATTGTTGTAGGTGTTTGAAACATCTTAAAAGGCTCTTCAAGCATGACATCAATGTATATTTAAAAACTCATCATTAGAAGCATTCTAAATTATATTTATATTAATTGAATTTATAATGTCAATAACTGTTTCAACATGCCAATAAATCTGTGGTTCCCCGTTGAATACTAGTACTGCAAAGAACTTGTGGACATTCTCTAAATCCGATAGATTTGGAAACTTGGCTAATCCAGTTAAGTATTCATGATTGATCTAATCATTGTAGTTGCGGTAAAGCATTTTACGATTTGCCTAGTCAGATAGAAAAGAGAGCGGCAGGAATTGGAAAAGGAACCAAGTAATTTCTAACTATTTAATTTAAGAACTGACTTTACAAAGGTGGCATTCGCAACTCCTTCCCCATAATAATACAACTTATCTAGCGACGTCGAATCAAATCTAAAGAAATAGAAGGGCAACAAATTTGGAATGAGCAGAGAAAAAATGGCTAGTACAGGAATCCTTGGGAACTTAAATTTAAAAACTCCAGGTAAAATTGAGTCATCAATCTATCTCTTGCAGCTCCTGGAACCTATGATTTGGGATCTACCTTGAGTGATATTAGGTACTCGATGAGACAGAGACCTAAAACCAACTTCATGGTCTTGACAAGCAAGGAAATACCAGGACCTGGAACCTATGAATCTCTACCTGCAGTTAATGCTGTGGGAAAATACCCAATTTCGAAATACAATAATTCATGTGCTACTCTATTCAATCCCAAGAATTCGAAGCGCTTCGTCAAAGACTTTTGTAATTGTCTAATACCATATTTAAGCGACTAATTTATATGCTCCTGGACCAGGCACTTATCCAGTCGATAAGACAGGAATTCAAAAAGTAAGCTGAATGTACTAATGATAGGATGGCAATTACTTCATTTCTAAATTCCATTCTTCCAATGTTAGGAGTTTTCCCAAAGAATCCAGAAGAACTGGTTCTGTTGGTAAAGGTATTCCCATCAATTTATGAACAAGCTGGCACACCGGCTCCTGGCAGCTATAGATTGCCTTCCGATTTCGGGTACTACGAATCCAGACACAAAGCCAATAGGAGTGCTGGAGACATGGGAGAAAATAAAGCTTAATAATGATTATCAAAATATCAATTAATGTATACATACACACAAAAATATATAGATTTTATTATTAATAATATATATATAATACAATGGCAACAACTATTGAATTGCTCAAGTGGTCGAATCTAATTTCCTCAATTATGTTGATACTGATTGGAGTCACTCAAATCATATCCCTGTCTATCCTTTTTTCGAGTTTTAGTTTTACATTCTTCATGTCATTTTTCTTACCATTTTTCTTAATGTAAGTCTGCATTTCATTAAATTTAGATTATTTGGAATCATGTTGTTTGCGAGTGGCTAAAAGATGGAATTTATGGACAACAATTTCAGATTTTTGAGTTCTCTTCTAGGAAGAGGCCTATTTAATATTTAGTATCGAAAAATCTTATAAATTTAAGTCTTGCTTCCTTGGCTGTCTATCAATTGGCAAATGCAGCCAGTGACATCATCGGATTCATTATTGGGGCAATGCTCTTTTGCACAGGTGGATTTTACTTGATTTTGCATTTTTGCGGAGTATTTATACATAATATATATTTGATTAGAATAAGGAGGAATTAACATCATACAAGCAACAATTAGGTTGATTCAAATTCATATTGGTCTTTATTTATCAGTATAATTAATTTATCAATAAAACATCTCTAACGAATACATGGATTAACACTCCCAATACTATTCCACTCAACACTTCCTCGAACCAAACAGAGACACCAATAAGTCCCAAAGAACCAGATCAAACACAAATGAGAAATTGATCACCCCAAACTTAGTGTATATCACTAGGAATTAACAATAACCTCAACCTTCAATTAAGCAGGAATGTCAACTCCAAAAACCAACACAATCCTCATATAATCTCAAAGAAGTAACAAAAGTCAAAGTGCTTGAATCCGATGAATTAGTGTTCTATAGAAATAAGTCATCTTATTAGGAGAAATAAATTTTAGATCTACAGGCTGAATTGCATCACATACAATCAACGGTTCAGGAAAGAGTGACCTACATTGAGGACACTCATAGAATATAACAATTGGAATCCAATTTACAATAGTACCAATAGGAATGCAATAGAATCAACAACCTATTGAGAGAAACTCAAAATGAATCAGAATCTTTGAAATAGAAGAATCTGTAGTTGTCACAATCAATTTTTTAGTTTCAGCAATAGCAATACGAATTCGATAGATTAAAAAGGAATTCCCAAGAAACTGATCAGTATTGGCAAAATGAAATACAAAGACTCAACGTGTTATTATCTTAAAGTCAAACCTAGTTACACTAATTGCAAAAGACATTGATAGAAACAAAATAATACGAACAAATGTATCATCAATAATAGCCGATCTAAACCTAATTGGCTTTGGAATTGGAGAGAATGACTTCAATGTTAAGGACTAAGACTGATGAGTATGATTCTTAGAAATAGACCTATATAAAGGAGATTGAAATCACATCCAGGAGGATCAAGGATTCAGAATTAGAACTCAAGGATTTAAAAATTCGAGAGATCAATCAAAAATAATCAATTGATGAATTGAGCAGGGAAAACAATTAGATTACTGAAAAGTTTATGAACGAAATTAGAAACAAAAATGATGAAATCTAAAAGCTATAATAAATTATTTAGACTTTATAATTGACTTTATAGGATACTTCAAAATTTAAGGAGTATGAAATTAGATCAAAGATGTAGAATGAAGAAATCAATAATCTCAATCAAAGAATCAGAATGAAGTAAGAGGAAACAGACAACTATAAATAATAGATGCTAATACTATAAAATTAAATTCAGGAATGTCAAAAATATACAGAATACGAAATTAAATATTAAAATCTCGCATAGGAATATGACAGATTAAATAATTCTTTAATGATGAAACTATAAGAGAATGACCAATTGAGGAATTGCATTTCGAAATTGCAAATCACTTTGAATGATCATTACAAGATAGAAGAATATGATAATAAAATTGCCTTGTAGAATTAAGAAATAGACCATCTTCATTAGAGTTTACAATCGAAGTGTTAAGAGATTGAAAAATTAAATTATGAAAACAATAGGTTATCATCCTTATTAAGAACAAGGAATGATGAAATTGATAATTTGAAATATAAAATGTAAGATACGTCATAGTTGAAAGAATATCAATAGAAGTTCCAGATGCTAAATGGAGAAATGGAGAGATTGACAATGCAATTGAGGAACAAGCATGAGGAAATGGAAAAACTAAGATAATATTTAGCATAGTTTTAGCTGCAAGAGGCTAATAAGTTATAAGAATTAGAGCAAAAGAATGTTGTTTATTAAAATGAGATAGAGAGATTGAGCAATTTGCTGAAGGCGAAATTATCAGAGAATGAGTAGAATAAATTATAAATCAGATGTTTATAAGATGAAAATGATCAATAAAAATGTAAACTATTGACTCAAAATGAGATACAATAATATAATGATAGGGTGACTATTTTGACTCAAGAGGTTGAATCTTGGAAGAATCAATTCATCACTCTCAATAGAGAATATCATAAACAATAAGAATAGTTAATGCTTTCAAATGCAGAACTGGATACATTGAAGAAACAAAGGAGCAATTCAATTAGGGTATTTTTTATATTAATTACTCCTAGTTGGATACGTACGAGACAACGAAAGAAAACTCGGCTCTTTCTGCCTTCTAATATGGGACTCTCACCTTAAGAAATCTATGATACTTATAATTTAATAATACATAATATTAATTTGTTATGAGTAATTACGAAAGTCCCTCTACAGTATCTATCATCTTATAATTTGTCTAGAATTCCAAATACAGTAGACACAAAGGCTATTTAAAGTGGGAACTTGCTAATAAGGATGTTAGTGGTGCATTTGATGCTCAACAACTATAATTAGAAAAGGGACTAATCAATCGGGATAGATAAGCAAACTCCTTAATGATACCTTCAATGAAATCACCCTAATCTTCAAAAATTAGTCCTGAACCCTCAACTACAAGGGAACATACCTGTTGTGACAAATTAGATGAATAAAGCAAGCAATATGTAATAGCAATCCAATTAAAATGTAGTAATTAATCATAAATGAGCAAATGAATAAATTAACTGAGTTAAATTTATTGATTTAACAACATTCTAAACTCTTGATTGAGTCTTACAATCAAGGATTAGAAGATGCTAAAACTCAATAATAAAAGGAATAATAGATTTTAGAAAATAATCGGTTATTGAGAGAAAGGGATAGATAGATTCAAGAGTGGGAAGAGAGGTACAATAAGGAGAAAAAGATTGGTGATGAAAAGGAAGAAGAGATTCGGTAGATATGGATTTTAGTTTAATAGTGAACTTGAAAAGCAGGTAAAAGAATTGGCAACTCAAGTTGTCATAACTACAAGTGCCACGGATTTGGAAAGTGAGAAAAACCAATGGAAAAATAAATTTATCACATTAAATAAACAGTTTAATGAAGCTGAATAGCAAGTGGTTGTACTTGAAAATGAGATTGACATGTTGAAATAACAGTAGAAAAAGACTGAAGTTAGAGTAAAATATTTATTCCAAAGTCTAGACAAGCACGAGAAGAAAAACAGTTACAAAGGATATCCCTATGCCTTGATAATTTCATATTGGCCTATTATTTTATAATATCTTTATTTTATTTTCATAAATATTTAATACTACATGAACTTTATCTCATATAGCTTCCTCGCAATTATACTTGAACTCAAGATTAATTTAAATTAGAAATTAGAATAATATCTATTATTTATTCTATAATTCTCAAGGTTTTTGATTTTGTCGATGTAGTTTGGAGAATAATTATGATTATTTTCAATGAAAATAGCTAAATACCTCATTTAAAATAAAGGTTAGTTGGATATTAATAACCCTTGCTTAATAGAAATACTTAAGTTTTATTGAAATAAATATTTTTCTTAACAAGATTGCTCATTGTCATATATTTAAAGTAGGCAACTTGAATAGTGATTTTAAAGATCTGTTTTCTATCACTTGATTAAACCTGATTTATAAGCTTTAATACTATCATATAATACATGAATTAATAATTTTATTTTGCATGGAATAGTGTAGGTGTTAAAGTGAAGACTCGGAGAATTTTGACTATATTGGGTTCTGTGATAATGAAGAATGTGAAAGATTCTATTGCGAACAATGTTAAGGAGATCATGCAGCGCATCCTGAAGATGTTCTTGTAGGATAAGAGCTTGAAGAATACATGGAATATGTTACTTCTCCTGAATACGAAAAGGAGATAGAGCAATAGGAATTGGCCCAAGAATTCACTGAGTTTTATGAGAGGATTATAAAGGAAAATGAGGAAGAAACAAAAATGTTTTATCTTATAATCTAGTACCTAAAGGATGGCAATGCTGATGAGTTGGTCAAACTCTTAGATAAAATAAAGCAAACCAAAGTAGAGTTTGATAACAACAAGCCAAGTAATTAAATTCAATTATACTTAGTGCAAATATCAAAATAAATGGATGAATACAGAAAAAGAATAAGAGCCCTTGATGAAAAGTTTCCTACGGGGGATGTTTAAAAAAGATAGAAAAAAATAGAATTGATGAATAAAGGTATGACTCATTTATATTAAAATCATTAAGGAAGATAATTATTTAAATAATAAGAATATTTTGAAGCACTAGAAAACTTATAATAAGCCATTGGAATTGATAATGATTATGTTGAAGCAATCCTAATTAAAGGTTCACCTATTTTATAATTTCTAGCTTAAACACAAATTCAATTGGAGAATTATGATGAAGCCATTACCGGTTGTGATTATGTGATTCAAATAGACAGACTCAATGGCGAGGCATACTATCTTAAGAGTATTAATTCCACTATTTCATTTAGTAATTGCCTTATTATTGAGTTAAAAATATGATGTCATAAATGAAGCACTTAGAGTAGCATATCGTAAAATTTCTTATAAATTTACCTTCAATACTCTCAATTTAATTAACTAATTAGAGAAACAATCTCCAGCTGTTTAATAACACTTGTCACAATTAAATTATGATTTTAAACACAGCCTTTTTTCACTGATTAATTATGAATAAATCACAGGTAAAACATTTCAATTAAGGAAGCTTAAATTTCTTAATAATACTTGACATAATTTGTTGCAATCATTAGACTTGCTGACCAAGAAGAAATAAACCGAACCCTATTCCAATATAATTAAAGTAATATAAACATTCTACTTCAGATTTCGAAGTTGTTGAAGAATACTAAAAATAATACGACGTAGATATAAGACCAAAATTGGATGAAAAAGAATGGAAAAAAATGGTAGAGTGGCTTGAAAATTACAAAAAAAATTAAGAATAGTAATAGTAATTAATATACTTAAAAAATAGAGCTTAAGCTGCACTTACTTAAGGAGATGATCAATAAGGAGGAAATCAATAAGGAGAGAATTAATAAGGAGAGAATTAATAAAGAGATGATCAATAAGGAGATAATTAATAAAGAGAGAATTAATAAAGAGAGAATTAATAAAGAGATGATCAATAAGGGGATAATCAATAAGGAGAGAATTAATAAAGAGAGAATTAATAAAGAGATGATCAATAAGGGGATAATCAATAAAGAGAGAATTAATAAAGAGAGAATTAATAAAGAGATGATCAATAAGGGGATAATCAATAAAGAGAGAATTAATAAAGAGAGAATTAATAAAGAGATGATCAATAAGGGGATAATCAATAAAGAGAGAATTAATAAAGAGAGAATTAATAAAGAGATGATCAATAAGGGGATAATCAATAAAGAGAGAATTAATAAAGAGAGAATTAATAAAGAGATGATCAATAAGGGGATAATCAATAAAGAGAGAATTAATAAAGAGAGAATTAATAAAGAGATGATCAATAAGGGGATAATCAATAAAGAGAGAATTAATAAAGAGAGAATTAATAAAGAGATGATCAATAAGGGGATAATCAATAAAGAGAGAATTAATAAAGAGAGAATTAATAAAGAGATGATCAATAAGGGGATAATCAATAAAGAGAGAATTAATAAAGAGAGAATTAATAAAGAGATGATCAATAAGGGGATAATCAATAAAGAGAGAATTAATAAAGAGAGAATTAATAAAGAGATGATCAATAAGGGGATAATTAATAAAGAGAGAATTAATAAAGAGAGAATTAATAAAGAGATGATCAATAAGGGGATAATCAATAAGGAGAGAATTAATAAAGAGAGAATTAATAAAGAGATGATCAATAAGGGGATAATCAATAAGGAGAGAATTAATAAAGAGAGAATTAATAAGGAGATAATCAATAAGGAGATAGTCAACAAGGAAAAAATCAACAAGGAGGGAACCAATAAGGGGATCAAAATAAGAACCAATAATCAGATCAATAGTTTTTAAATTAATTAAAATTAGATCTAAAGATTAATTATAGACTTAGAGCGCATCCGTGACTCAAGTATCAAATACTGATGGAAATGAAAGTTCAAGAGTTTAAAGCGAAATTAACAATTTTTACTCAGATTCATAATCAGTATCGGTTACTCAATCTGAATAACAAGAGTATAAATGACATTTTATTTGAAAAGATCTATTGTGAAGCCATAAGGTGGATCAATTACTGAATAGCCGTCAAGTTAAATTGTTGATTAATTTAATAATTTTTTATAGGATGCATCAACAATCCAGGAACAACCAAGGTATATATAACATATAATTATTTAGAGCTCAAGGCTAGGCTCCTTTAACTTAAAATCCTCACTAAGATACAAACCAATTAAATAAAGATTTTCAAGGATTTTTATCCGACGGAAAGCCAGACTAAGAGACTCCGAATGAACAATAATAGATAGAGTATAATTAAATTATATCTAAGAAACCCTGAAAAAGAGAAGGCTAAAATAATTCCTACTCCAAAACCCGAGTAGCAATTGTCAGATTTCTATAAGGAGGATTCTTAGGATCAGAACAATTAACCTAACGAAAGGTATAATTCTACTTAATTTTTCAGAGCTTAATAGGCTGCAGTTGCTCAAGAAGTAACTCCCTAAGTATAGAAAGATCTCTAAAACTTTTTGAGTGGACAAGAATAATATTAACAATAATAACAATAGGAATAAGATATTAGTAAGATATATAATTATATTATTAAAGCTACTTTAGATGAAACCAAACGTTTGTTGTAAGTCTTGAAATATTGCGATTAAACTATAAAGAAGGGTAATGCTGCTCACTAATTTTATTTTAAGAAAGGTAATTAATATCTCAAAAAATTAGCAATGACTTTAAAGCAGCTTAATGATTTTGATAATGCAATGGATAATTTGGACATAGCCATAGAAAAGAACGATAATTAGGCTAGTTAGGCTAACTATTATTATCAAAAAGGTATGCTTAGAAATATTTTTAGCATTGTTATTGATTAGGTTGGATGCTTTAGATTTAGCCTTAAATAATTTTGATGAAGCCATCTCGAGAAATCCTAATGAAATATAATACTATAAAGAAAAAGGTGAAAATATATAAATGAGTTTTAGGAAATGTATTAATAAAATAGGATAGATTAAACGAAGCTGAAGATTGCTTTTAATAGGCTAAGTAGATTACTGAAGCAATAAAGTGAGAATTTAATTATCAATATTAAAGAATTTATTCTTTTTTTGAAATGTATTAAAATATTATAACTCAATTCAACCTTCTAACTTTAATATTCTAAAAAACTAAAACTCTATTCAAAAATAGAATAGTTCCAATATGTTGTTAAATGTTGATATCTTGATTATGTATTTTTAATAAGATTATCCAGGAATAGAAATTGGAATTGTTCCTAAATCATAGAGTACTGGCTCTGAAATTCCAATTGGTTAAATAATAGAACAATAATATATATCAATAATATCATTTAATTTCAAATTTATTTCCTACTATTAAAAAACAAACGACGATTGCGAAACAATAGTCATAGATTAAGGATTTCAATCCGTCATTACCGATGATGTGCTGTATTTATTAAAAAAAACTGTATGTATTTGGGATTCTAAATAGGATAAATTGTTATTGTATACTTTAATTACTTAATGTAAAATCCAATTGTAATAATGCAGAAAGCAAACTCAACAAGTATTTCAAGTCCAATCTCCAATTGAAATATTTAATGTTCATCATCATTTACATCAAAAGTAGACCATTTTTTAGATTATTGCTTCTCATTATACAAGATTGAACTTAACACGACAAATAAAAGGGCGATGACAATTTCAAATACTTCTTATAATACAAATCCAAATATTTATTTTGTAATCAAGGCTTTTTTGATGTTTTCAATGTTGTCAACATGAATCCAATTGGCAGCGGTTTTAGAAAAGGAAGGCGTTTCTTATTCTTATGCTTCATATAGAGATTGCCTCTTGTCTTTCACTTAAGCTGCAGATTGAATCAGAGTGCCAGTCTTTTTGGTTTATAATTTATTCTTTTGTTATGAATTATCAACAACGCTGCCTCTGATGTAATTCATATACATCTATTTTCTTTGTTCCAAATTAAAATAATATCCAAATACAATAATCCAGTAATAAAGAATTTTGCAAACGAATTTGATTATTAGGAATTATATAAAATATCCGACTCCCAATCTTTAAACAGACATTGTGCCAATCCTATATCCAGTTACTCCTAGAATGACAATTTTTGATTCGTAATTATAATCCACGAATTGCTTCATTGTAAAAAAGCATAAGGTGAATTTTTTCCATACATAAAGAGAGAATGGATAGAGGAAGAATAACAAGGGCAAATAGTCATTTTTAACTTCCTAATATGCCATGGCAAAGTAAAGAAACACTGGGAATCCAATACAGTATAAAAAAAAGAAGGAAACATAATTCACCAGGATATCAAAGGGGGCAATACCTGGATTGCTCATTCTCTAAACCTTCATCTAATCGTCTTTTTTTTCTTTCAATTGTTTAGTCAGTTTATTAACGAAATCGTTGGCATCATGGGTCAATTTATCATTTCTGGAACTTGCAACTCTAAGTAGTTCTCTCTGTCTTTCTTCGACCTCATTCACAAACTTTTAGTAATTTTGTGAAGCAATGGTGCTTTAATAGATATTGCCTTCAGATCCATGCTGGAACACTCCAAGTATCTGGTTGCAAAATTAAAATGAAAGTGGCACTTGGATATTTTCTTACATTCTTTGAATTCTGTCCACTCTCTCTTTAATAACTACCAACTATTTATTACTCACTGGGATGATGGCCTTATGTTATAAACAATAGTTACATAGAAGATAAAAATTATAAATATCATATTGCAGAAGGTAAGTATAGTTAAAAACACAAATATTGATATGATTGAATCACTGATGTTATCATTCCAAACTGAATAACCATAATAAATTGTTAAGCATAAGTTCACAATTAATAATACTATCCTAATACCCCACATAATTTTAATAAATTTTTGTTCATTCCAGAAATCTAATTCTGTTTTAGAGAGTATATAATTGCATAAACCATTTTTATGAGTATATAATTGTTGGATTAATGACAGTGTAAACAATCCAATCAAAAGCCAACAATTTACAAATGTAAATGTTCCAGAATCAAATTCACTGCTAATATAAGCTAGAAGTATTCCAAATGGAAATGATAATCCCATTATAATCAGAAACATTGGACCAAATTCTAATTTATACCCAGGCAATTAAGGTAGATTCAACTATTGTAAACTAACATTCCCATTTCTATGATATTTCTCATAAGGTATTCTTTCAACTGGTGATTTTTATATTGTTTATTCGGATCTTACGCCTGTAAATTGAATTTTCTTAGAAGATTATTAAAAAGGAGTGACAGCAGGGTTAATTGGTTCATCCAATTTGGACTCCAATAGAGGTTTATTGTTCCTTAATAGAGGAGAGGCCGAGGGAGTCATTTTTTGAATTGGAGCATCTGGACCACTATCCAATCTTTATTAATTAGATGCGGGACCTTAAGTTCAATAGGCAAACATACTTTTTATTTAATCAGCTTGGCCACTACTGTTATTTTGCAGTTTCTTCTACTCCTCATCAACTTAAAGTTATTTAATCATATAATAATAATAAAATTCAAATAAAAGGTCTTCTCTCCCCAGGCTTGGTAATAAATTCCCTCTTTTTACTTGCCTTGTCAAAAGCAGAATTGGTCTCATACCTTCCAGGTCCTGGCGCGAAACTAAAAGATTAGAATGGATTCTTCTTCTCCCCAATTCCAAGTGAAATTTTCTATACTTAAGAATTAACAATACAGAAAATCTATTGGGAACAGTCAAACAGATTTACGGTTGGTATGCCTCAGGTCCAGGTACTCCGTTTTCTCTTTGATCGTTGAACATTTTCCCCTTTCCCTTTAATTGAAATTAGTATCTGTGCTAACCTAAATCTTAACGTACAGTGTATTCTCCAGGTCCTTCATTAGACTCATTAGTTACCTGGCAGATAGCGTGCTACTTCAGGCGACAAATGCTTATTGTAAGGCAAGTATGTTTTGGAGTAAGCATCCCATGACAAACCAAAGGATTTTTTTAATTTATCAGTTCCTGGTTCTTAACGCACTTAATATCTATCTGGACTCGGTAGTTCTTTAGCATTGTCCTTCTACCATTCATATTAAAATACTATTTTATTACCAAACCCTTATTACGTGAATCTAATGCATAATCAATATATTTGATAACCTTTTTCCTAATTGTGAAGGCAACTCCAATTTGGTGGGCAATTACAATTAAGATTGAGTATGGAAGCGATTTGCCTTTGGAAATGATATTTAAGGCGATGTGTGTCTCAAAGTGCTTGATGAAATGTTTGTACTCAATCCAATGTTATTTAAAAAAAGAGTGTTGGTGCTATAAAATTACTATGAACTAGAATTCATTTCTCCAGGTTCAGTATTCCCTCAAATTACTACAACTATTAGTACCTTTGTGCTATTATTCCATTCTTAAATAAATATATAAAAATCTATTCACTATTATTACAGAGTATTTTTGTTTATAAATAAATTTTTATGAATCAGTTGAAATTTGTTAGATCAAAGAGTACAACAAGATCGAGTCCTTTGAAAAGGATCCATTAAAAATTAAGATAAGTATAAAAGCCTGGAAAACTGAATGTCAGTGTTGGAAAGAGCAGAGAAACATCTTAAAATAAAGAAGCAATACATGTATCAACTCCAAAGGAGAAGGTCTAAAAATTACTCCAATAATTGTCAATATATCAAAAAAACTCGAAAAAGTCCTACTTAGAAACTCCCGAAAGAACCCAATCCTTCGTTCCTTTGTCACATGAAAGAAACCTATTCAACGAATCTATTAAACTCCAAGACTCAGCCTATGGAATCTATAATAACAACATATACAACAAAAATAAACAGAACAATTAAATCCTCAATCTGTAGCCTAAAATGGAAGAGAGTACAATAACAGAAAAATTAGATGCTTTTTAATTGAAATAATAATACAAAAGGAATTCATCCGATCAAACTACCTTTGATTAATAATCCCCTTCAAATACTATTTATGGAAATGCCACTATTTCCCAATTCTACTACAATAAAGAAATACTAAAATAGAGCTATTCAATTAATTAACAACAAAATTCAGATTAAAAACAATAGTATTTCTATAAATAACAACAAATTCCATAAAAGAATGGCCCACAAAGTCAATCCCACTCTCGAAACAATTCATTTAAAAACCAATCGAAAGAAAATACATACAATGCAATCTCTCAAGAGTAACTCGTTAAGAAAAAGAATGAATCCAAAAACGATTATGATGAAATAATCCTAGAAATCTATCCTTAATTCTTGAAATAATGCCAATAGAATGCAATTACAAAAAAAACTATAGTGGAACAAACTGAAGAGGAAGAGCACTTACCTACCAAATTGAGTACTAAATCCCCACAATAAGTCTAACTCTATAGCGAATTATTAACTGACAAATCTTTGGTCTTAGTTTCGCCCAAAGTAGTTAAAGACATGGAAATGCAAACTAGTTTTACTTAACCGATGAAAATATCTCAAGATACTACTGAAAAACCAACGATTTCAACTTAATTCGACACTGTGAATGCATCTGTTTAAACTAAATTAAAAAAAAAGAATCTTGGATTGTTCCAATATCAATTTTCATATATGTCACCCTAGAACAACAACAATCGGTAAGATATTGATTTGTTATCACTGGGAGATTTCCAATCAGAAATATTACATAGAACTTAAAGCGAATTTGAAAGGGATTTTAATTCTCAGGGTAAACAAAAGTAGAAATTGGAAATGTCTAACGCTAAGATTTAAGATTTTAGTGTTCATCCATAAATAACCCAAACAAAACAATAAACTTATTAATAAAATGATAGTAGGTAAATATTTATAATTACTAATCAGATCATTTTTGTTAAGTCAAAAAAGCAACTTGTTTTTATCAAAAGAATAATTGCTAGATCCACAAGATGATAACCATCCCTATTATTTGCAAGCTGAACCAAAGGAAATAAACTCTAATTTCTATCTAAAATAATAGGGCAATCAAGAGAATGTATCTTAAGAACATTCAAAATAAAGAAGAACAAACTTATCAAACCATAAATTGGAGAAGGGATCTTCATTTTCGAGTACCCAATGTTATAAAGATCATTTAAATATATTATTGAGTCAATCCTAATAGGCTAATGTCAGAGACAGTTAGCATTACCCTTATTTAAACTAAACCAATTCCATTAAAAAGAAGTAAAACTACCCTTTGAAAACTAATTCATTTAGCAGTCAAAAAACAAAGAAAAAGTAGAACAACCAAAAAACCAAAAAATGAATATTTATATATATATTTATAAAACTTAAAGTATAAAATTATCAACATTTATGAACACTTAAGTTCTACGAATTTAATATTGATATAAATTCAGTTAAATGGTTATTTTCAGAACAGTTAAGATCCTACAAACTTATGTCTTCATCGTCATCAGATTCTATGCTTGTGATACTTAACCTTTATGTAAGTCTGGTTAGTTTAACTTCCATTGAACTTTACTCTCTAATTTCCAATATCGTTCTTAAACTAGGTAATAGTTTCTATTTTCCAATCTATTTAAATTTGGCTTTTTCGTTGACAAACCAATGATGATTACTCAATTCTGACAAATCTTTTCTCTTAAGTGGATCAGGTTGAATTAAGTATTGCAATAGATCAATCTAAGAAAGACTCAGAATCGATTTCTCTGATAAGGCTTATTCTTATCTTAATCTAAGGAAGGAAATATCGATATTTTCAATCGACTTGCTAAACGATTGACAACTCCCTTTAATAACAGGTTTGTAAACACAAAGGTAGAACAAGGTGCAGCCTATTTGGAATTAGTCGATTTTCTATGGGTATAGAACATTGCATAATTGCATCTCTGGAGGTATCCATTACTTGGGTAATTTCTTTATCAACTAAGCAACTCCTATTTCTTCTCTGTAGGCGAAATTAATCAATACTATTTGTAACTGATCTAAAGAAGCATTTCTCAACAGAATGATATTCTGAGGAGTTATCTAGGCATGATATAAATTTTGTTTATGTAAAAATTTAACAAACTTAATTAGTTAATATACTATGTTGGATATTTATGTGGAATTTAGGACTAAACCCTATTCCAATAATTTGTATAGTGGATCTCCAACCCAATATTCATATAATATGTACAAGTGCTATTGATCTTCATACAATGAACAATATTTAAGTAAACAAGGGTGCTTCAGACTCATTAGGATGTTGACTTCATTCATCAATTATTCATAAAGCGAAGGATTTTTATCGAAGTCTTGTAATCTAAAGATATTTACTGTGTAAACAGAATTGTTCTTATTTTTAACACAAGCAAAAACATTAGGTACGTTTGTTCTCTCTTTAATTGTGTATTTTTATAAAAAGTTGGACAATTTACAAAATCTCTTAGCATATTTAGTCCACTAAATGTACTTAAATTCGTTACATTGGTTAAATCTTTTAATGTAATAAAGAACAAATAAGTTTATCCAAGTTGATTACATAATTTCAAACCTTAGGCATTAAACTCACGATATTCAATTTTCATTTTTTATATTGTACATGTTGACAGTATTAAAAACTAATTATCCGAGATAATCATATTTGGATACAATTCCATTTTTTGCAAAACAAATTATTCTTATTCTAAATTGTAAATATAAATCTCTGATTATAGTAAGAAATCGTTTTACACAAACGCTTTTGGTAACTATTTCATATTTGATTGTTGCAATTCATGCTTGGAGAATGCATCTGTAAAATTTAGAAGCCATCCGAAATCATAGGTAGAATTATGATTTATAAAAGTATTTTGTTTTCTTTTTTATATTTACATAATTTAATTATATAAATATTTATATTCATGTACGCTTGAGAATCCCATACCCACAATCATTCCCTTTTTTAATTTAAAATCAACTACTTATTAAAACCCTGTTATATAAATGATTATATATAAATGTTATAATAATATCACTTTGAAATGACAATGTCTAGATAACAATTAATTTAATTGGAATCATAAATTATTTTTTCCACTTGAAATGAATTATAGACATTAATTTTTCAATATCAGTAATATAAATTGCTCAAATTTGTTGTTCTGTAATCCGTTTCCAATTCATGAGTACCAATAATATAGAATCAATGCTCATAGTTAAATTTTATTGTTTTTTACTAAAATAGCAGAAAGTGCTTTGCTGAATGCTAATATGAAGGTTTAGTTGAGATTCAAATAATATATGAATTTTAATATCAAGTATTCAGAATTATGTATTGGCCGAATTTGATCTTTTGAAATGATGTTATTATAGAGTTGAATTAACTTGATTTGGACAGTCAGAGGCTCGAAATTATAGATAAAGTGCATAATTATCGAAAGTGACTTTTTTCAAGGTTTTTCTTGTTTTTTCTTCTGCAGGCGAAGAGAGTAGATGGTTAAGTTAATCGCCAGTAAGACTACAGATTTGATTTAGTCTCATTTTTTTAGACATAATTAATAAAATAAAAAAAAGAATGAATCTAAATCAGCCTTAATTCTAAATAAATCTTAACTTATCTTAAATTTATAAGATATAAATTATCAAGACCCATAATAAATCAAAAGCAGTATTAACAAAATTGAAAAATTTTTAAATTAATTCATCTCGAACCAAATGACAAAATATGTTTTGTTATTAAATCATTAAATTTTTTATAATAAAGTCACTTGATTTCTACCAACGCTGGAAAGTAATGAAACAATAGAAGAAAATGTCATTTGCTAAGTATTAAATGGATCCAGTATGCACATAAATTTAATTATTTCATCTTCACTCAAATTCAGATTTGTCAAATTCATTAATTATCTAAATTACACCTTTAAGATAAAATTTATTTTACATCTGTCAAATATCCTTTTTTCTCTGCATCCACTTATCTGAATAACTTAAGAAACTTTTATAAGTATTTCTCATGAGTAAACAATTAAAAGTCTAAAATTGAAGTGACAAATTAACAATATTCTAATTTGTTCCCTTATAATTTGATTTAATTCAACTTTTATAATAACACTTAACTATCCTCTTAATTGTACATGTAATTCACGATCTCCTGACATTCATCAAAGCTAAGATAATTTTGCATCTTTTGATTCCACATCTCTTTGATATCAGTCATATTTTTCAAAGGATTCTTCTATCTCAGAAACATACGCAACAATTCTGCAATTGTTTGTTTAACCTAAATCTGCACATATCTAAATTCTTCATCGCATTCATTTCTGAGTATTTTACCAAACACACACACATCGTTGTCTTCCTAACTTAATCTTTTCACACTCTAAATTAATGTACTAGCCTATTCAATTATTATATTCTAATTTACATTATTGTAAAATATACCTTTAATCCATACTTTTAATTCAAAAATGTGTACATATGTTATTCCATTGTTTCCCTTGCTTGCTTGGTCTCCTAACATTTCTAGTCATATTTAGCCTTTGAATCATAAATTTCCTAAATCTATTCCTTTAACTATTTTAAAGGTATTAATTTAGCAGTCGACAAAAGCGATCCCTCATTCTATAGACTACTTTGTAGAGATTTCTCCTTTATTGCTGATGTATCTATTCTTTTGTTGGTAGGTTTCAAGGCTTACTGTTACTATTACTACAAATTTTGATGTGGTTATTTTGAATCATAACTAGCTTTGCCGTGTCTAATAATAAGATCCAAATATTTTTAGTTCTCTTCTTAACACATTTATATTGTTTGTTGTTACTCTTATAAATCTGATTCTAATTGTTTTATCAAGTATTCTTGTTTCTCCAATTTTTCGATATATTAACTCACTGGATTAATTGCATCTTGACTCAATATGATGTTGGTTAATTCTTTAAAAATATTTGCATGATCATCATGAACCATCTGAAAGAATGCACCCACCTTTTGATCCAAACTTTGAGCATATTCAATTATCATATTAAAGTTTAATTCCTAAAGAGCATATTTTGCTCTTAACACATGAGTTTTTGCTTTAAACACTGGTAAGTCTTTTGATAATCGTAATGAGAGATCCTTCATCACGTTTTTGACATGTTCATCAAACAGATTTCTCATTCTGTCATCCTTTGTAATCTCTATTAATTTCTCAAATTGGATCGCATATTATTCTAATTCTTTTTATTTGAAAACAACAGGATTGATTTCACGATTGTTAAGAAATCTCAATTATGGCAAATTCTCCTATATTATTTAGGCTTCTTCAGGTTTTATTGTAATGTGCAATTTCGTTAGTTTTGATAATTGTTATAATTGCTTGATGACAATTTCAAAATCTAAAGGGTTTTATGATACATCCAATTCTTCAATATAGAGAATGGCTAAGTTATTACTCAACTGAGTCAGGTTATTACCTTGGAGATTAATCTTAAATTAGGAAATATCTAATACATATTTTAATCTTTGGAATCTAGCGAAATTCTCTACTAAATGATTGATGCTATCAAGTTACCTTATTATGATTGATATTTCATACCTAAACTCTAAATTTATGTTAGTAGTATTTGGATTGAGACCTTGTAAAATTTATTCAACGTTCATAAATATTAAAAATAAAACAATCAAATTAAAACTCTTTAAAAAAAGATAGGTATTTTTAGCTTACTTAACCATTAACAAAAGAAAAGCGAATTAACTTATTTCGATCTCTAAAATTTAATACAATGTTTCGATGCATAAAATAAAACCAATTGAATTTAAAAGGTTATGAGTTGTGAATCCATATCTTCTTAGATACATTTTTGAAATGTGCAAGTAAGTACAAGCAATACTCAAGACCATTAGATGATCAGATCATTTTTGCAAAGCTCAAATATATTATTATATCTCATGTTTTAAAAACAGTAATTAATTTATTTATAATATTTATTTAAAAATAATTTAAGTAATAGCAATTCAATTCAAAAAGAGCACAAAGAATTGTCTAATTTATTTTCTTTTGAATAATTTCAATTTTTTAAAGATTTTAAGTTTTATTTATTTATTTAGTCAGATATGTTGATTAGAGAAATTTCAGTTAAAGAAATTAGTTTAATTGTAAGAAATATTTTAAATAATTGTTATTATGATGAATCTCTTGATATTGCTTTCGTTCTTTCTTAAACCCTATGCTAAAATTAGTTTCTCTATTTCTATTATACTATGTTAAATGTAGATCTCTAAATAGGAGTAAAATTAATTGAATTTTATCTTAAAATCTCATTCTAAGGTGTGTGTTTGTCATAGATCTTTTATAGATAAATTAAATAGACTTGGAATAATGTGGTTCAGTTTTTTTTGACATGGTATTCGCAATATAAGTTGAATCCAAAAATAATTGAGATAATATTAATTATTTTATGAATCCATTTTAATAGTTTATTAACGCAGGATAGCAATAGTATTATACTTAAATGCAATAATTATAGCAGATCCAATATCTCCAAGTATTTATATGATATTATGCTAGTATTTGCAACTGCTTAGCACCATTCAAAATAATTGTACAAATCAATAAAATGTTCAGATTCCTTCACTGAATCCTCTTTAATAATTTTCTCTTCTTTCTTAATCATCTCAAAGAACAATACCCTCAGCCCAATAGCCTGATATTCGTACTAAGAAAAGTTAATCTGAAAGAGTGTTACCAAAATAGAAGAAAGAAAATGAAATTCTTAAATAATTTTCACAAGATCAAATTTTATAAGAACTCAAGCAATTTCTAGAGTATTTGAGCAAAAATGAAGTTAAGGAAATGGATGAAAGTGAAAAAAATCGATATGCAGTATTGAATATAAACATTATGTTAGATATTGACAAAAATAGATGATTCTTTAATAGACACACTTATCAATCGATACCAAAAATAAAAAAAAACTAAGGAAGAATAGATTAAGTTTATCATAAGGAAGTGCTTTAAGTATCTCAAATAAAAGATGAATTTAAATGAATTGACAATGAGTGCGTATGAAATTGAAAAGGTCTTTTATAAGGAGTACTTCATGACTGACGAGAATATTGAAGACTTAATACCCTTTCGATAAGAATCCTCAAACAAAACGATGAATAATTCCTTCCTAAAGAAAATTTTCTCTTCTGAAAAGTTTTATTAAGGATACCTTGAATATTTAGGTAGTAATCATCAAATATCATTAGAAAACTTTGATGACATATGGGATTAAGAAAATAATGAAAAGATTTAGAATATGACCAAATAAGTAATGAAATTTATTGCATCTGGATAAATCGACGTAAATAGTATTTATAGTCCTTAGAAAATATCCTCATACAAAAGAGTACCATGGATTTCGTCTATGAAATAAAGATGTTATGAATTAGCTGTTTCGTTTAAAGCATACCATGACCAAGAGGAAACAAATAAAAAAGTTAAATTAGAATGATAATATTTTATTTAATTTGCATACACAAAACCCCCTTTTTATAATATTTAATAAACTGTTATTTCAAATAATTCTGAAAAGTAGTATTTTTGAGCAAAATCAAAGTATGCACCCCTTCCTGACCATGTGACTAAGACTTTGTTATTTAGGATCCTAATATTTAAAACCATTGTTTACTTCGATAATACGATTGATTTAACTTAATAACATAAGATTTTATAGAGTGGAACAAAAAAGGGCTTTGATTGATTTGCAAAATAATTATAATTTTTGAGATTATTCCTTTTATTAATATTATGAATATTTTAATTAAATAATCACAAATTGATCATTAAATTATCTAATGAAGAATCAAAAAAAGGCAATCATTATATCAAGTGAAGAGAGTGATGAACCAAAATTAATATAATAACATCAAGGAAAAAAGAGATTAATCAGAAACGATTTTGAAAAAATAAATGAAGATTTGAGAAAAAATGAAATTAAATAAAGAAATAGAAAGGTTATATTTGATGACGACGGGGAAACAAGTGAAAAAAATGAAAATGTAAAGGAAAACTTTGTTGAATAAAAGAAAAAATACAAATTGATTAAAAAATAAGAAATCATAGTTTAAGCGGCCTAATAAGAAGCTACTTCCTGTCCTGTTTGTTATACCGATTTAGATATAATTTAAGCAGCTATTTTATAGTGCGGACACCTATTTTGCTAAAAATGTATATAAATATAGTGCGAAAAATACTAAAATAATTGTCCTTTGTGTAGAAAACAATATCAAAATGTATTATATTACAATATATATTATAGTATACAATTTGTATTAGAGGAGATGATGGAGAGTATTTGAGAGGTTAATTAATTAAATTAAAAAAGAAAATAAAAAAGCAATAATATCTGGATGGAAATGATGATGAAGAAAATGAGGAAGAATACAGTCAGGCATAAAGTTCATTACATCAATCAAGCTTTGTTTAGGATAGTTAATGTAAATTCTATTATTACTATTTTAGATGATGCTGGAGATAGTTTTATTGTAGCAGATGATGAATGCTGCGAGGAATGTCAAGGGAATGAGGATATGGAATCCATGCTATTTTGTAAAAAATGTGGATGTGTAGTTCGACATAGTTATTGCTAGGCATCTAATACTACAAACAAAATATTATGCTACACATGTAGAACATATTAATAACGATGAATTATGCATTTCTTAATTTTTATATTAATAATATTTTTTAATCACTTAATAATATTATGAAGTTTTAAATCTTTTTAATTATTTCATAACAATTCCTTTACCCAGCATTTTCAGCTTGCATTGATCAAGCTAGAACCCCTTTAAACATTGGTAAAATACCGGCTTGTCCATTTTATGATGATACACCAGTCTGTTGTAGATAGGATAATGTAGATTAAATGATCTCTAATTATCGTTCTATTGATGCAACTTTTGGTTAAGATGGAGGAGGATGTGATATGTAAGACTTTATTCAAAGTTATATTTTAGATGCGGAGCTAATTTGAAACGATTTTGGTGCATTTATACTTGTGATCCAAATCAAACAAATTTCATAGAATACACAGGTCGAGCAAATGTTACAGACCCTTCAAATAAAAATAGATTGATCGAAGTCCAGCTCGTATCCCTAACAACAAAACCTCAAATAGCATGTGTAAAATTGTAGACTTATATCATTTAGGAAGTGTATTCATCATGTTCTCGTACATCATTTGTCAATCAAGTTTCTGCTATGCAGTCTCCTGGAGGATTCTTTAATTTCTTAGGAGAATAGGCTATGTAATTATTTTCATTAAGAACTTAGATCACAAGGCCAATAATTTATCACATTTTAGTTTTCAGACCATAATTCCATGATAATGGATGATACTTGGATGTGTAATCACAAGTCAAACATTACCACAGTCGATGATAAAGGAGTAATTCACTACTGGGATTAGTACGGATATGAAATTAAATAGTAATGTGGATGCAACACTTGTGAAGACAGTTGTGATATAAATTAAATTTTATACGAACCCACTGGAGTATTATATGGGTTTGAGACATCTTATGTACTATTTACTTGGCTATTTGCAATATTATTTGCACTTGGTATTACAATAATCAGAAAATATCGAAAAAATAATGAAGTTATTGAGAATTTAGATATTGGTTTAATCACAACTTGATTTTGATGCATATAAATTTTCTTCCTTTCAATTTGTTATCTATATATTTGTTGAAAATATACAGGTTCAACTACTTTATTAAATCTCCTTTTTTAGTCTATGTTTTTATAATAATAGTCATATGGAATTTTAATAAAATTCGAAAATCCACAAATTAAATTCTTCATGATTTCTCTAATATAACTTTTGGATTCATAAACGTTCTTTATATTATATAATAGTTGATTATATTTTTATAAATTAAATTTTCATTTCTTTTTATTTTTTAAGTTTCCTTGTGACGATTAGCTATTTAATTTTATGGGATCCTCTTTATTTCTATTTGAATTTGCTTCATATTTTTATACTTCCTTGATTGCTTCCGTATTTTTATTTTAAAATAAAGCGCTTCTCTCGTTAATTGACTTCTGTAGGTTTTATTAATACTATTCTAAAGAACCTTGTCTTTCTGCATTGTATTTTTACACTAATTCTTAAGCTTTCTTAGTCATTTGAATGTCTTCGCTAATTTAAACTCTTTTTCTGTAATTGGCCTTGACTTAAGGTAAATTTGGTTATAAAATAGAGACTTTATTGATGGATTACAAAGTATCATATTACAATTTTCTTTAGAATTAATATTATTCTAGCTTTTTTTTTCTCTCTTCTTATTTTCTTGTTTCCTCTTCAATTTATTTTTCTTTTATGAATATCTCAAAGCTTTTAAGATCATTTTCCATTTGTTTTTTTAATTCTTCTCTCTTCTTTTTTTCTTTTTCTTTTTTTTCCTTTTCAATTTCTTCCTTTGTTTTTTTATTCTTTTTTTTCTTTTCTTCAACAACCTATTATTACTATTCTTATTGACTTTCATCTTCTTTGATACTTTCATTTTTATTTGATTATTTTTCTTCATCATCTTTAGTTTCATTTTTTTTTCCTTCTTGAGATGTAACTTCCTCATTCAAGTTATTTTAATCTTATTCATCTTTAAATTCTGAGTTTTAATGATCTTATTATGATTCATTATCCTATTTTTCTTGTGACTTTGGTTCTTATTTTTATTCACTATGATTGCTTTTCTCAATAGACTAATTATCATTAATTTCATTTTAATCTTTATCTGATTCCTTAAGTGGAGTTTGGTGTTCAACATTTTCATCTTATTATTGTTGAACTTGTTCCTCAACTTTACTTTATTCCTAAGCTTTGTTTTCCTAATCACCTTAATCCAATTTTTCAATTTCGTCATCATCATCATCAAAATACCCATTATTTTTTTTATTATTCTTTTTAACTTATTCCTATTGATCACCATCACTAAAATTTTCATATTCTTCATCTATCTCTTAGTTTTTTTAATTTTCTTCTTGCTCATCTTTCTTATCCTTTTCGTTTTCTTAGTTGTTTGTCTATTCCTTTTGCTTATTCTCATTTTATTCATTATTCATTAGCCCATCATCCTCTGAGATGTCATCAAAATTAATCTCTGACTCATCGTTCATTATATATTTTTAAATTATATAAATTAAAAGTTTTCAAAGTCAACTTATAGTATTTAGTTATACTTGTATCATATTTGTCTGTAATACTAGATTGATATTTTATGAATCACTCATTAAAGATACAAGATCTTACAGATTTCCAGAATTAATTCTATTTATCTTATAGTCGATGTAGATTTCATATGAACAATTCATTAGTTTGAGAGTCATGATTGATTTATAAAAACATAGAAATTTGATTGGATTGGCAAAGTTAAATTAGTGATAAATTCATTTTAATAAATCATCTAATAATCCAATAGCTGCAAGAACTTATTATTGTGCATTTTTATATTGTTTAAAATCAAGCTCTGAAATGGCTGCCCTTATTTTACTCTTGGTATCCTTCTCTAAATTGTCATATTTTTCCAGTTGCTAGGTTTTTTTCCATTCAAACTTTCCAATTTTAGGAGGTTCAATCCCTTATATTGCAGGCTAATTGTATATTTTCTCTGGAGGGACATCAAATAAATAGCTATCAACAAATACACCGATGTTTATCTTCTAATTGTTAATGTAGATCCCACTCGACTCCATTTTATTATATTATTCTATTGCTTTACATTATGAATATTTCTCTAGAATAGTATTTATATTTTACTCTTTTCATGAAAATCATCTCGATGAGGCTTGAAAAAGGCCAGTAGTGAAAACAAATGCACAACAAATATAAAGGACGTACACAAATCTTCCTTTCCTTGTCTCTCCTAATCATCTATATCATTAAAGAGTCTCAATGCTGAATCCTCAATATTCCGCATATCTACTTCAAAGGATTAAAATCGTTATTCATTTTATTTTCTCAATAAATCGATCTCTTATCTAATCACAGTTATTTATTTGTCTATAACCTATTTTTTTCATAAAAGGAAGGAATACAATAAAATTGGGCACCTTGAAATTGTTATTGGTATAGATTAGAACCTTTTTAATTGCAAAATATTTAATGTAGTACGCCATAGGAGGATTGATTAATTTTATTTAGTCCCCAAGAAGCAACATTGTGTTTAAGTAATCAAAATTGATCATATATTTATATCTAATTAATCAGTTTTTTATGAGTTTTTCGAATCAAATTGGATGATAGACTCTTCATTTACATTATTGATCATATGATCCTCATATAAATTTTGAACTTCCTTCACATTAAACAATGACTTTATTGGTTTATGCTCTGTCAATTATAAGCCTGATGTATTATTCCCTCTAAAAGGTATGCATAAATTCTATACCGATGAGTGGTGGGACAAGTTTTTCTGTTGGCAGAATTACACTACAAATCCAATTACCTGCCGCTGCTCTTTTGACTTGATAATGGTAAGGGCTCCTTGGCATGAAAACTTTAACCATCTTCAACATCTGCATCCTCTTGATCCCAATCTATTGGTTATTTGTTGTTTTGAGACTTCTAATTATTAGTTAATGGATTGAGATTTGTCTATTACAAGTAGTTCCTAGACATAATATTTGTTTAAATATTTGTTAAATTGGAAGTATTCTCTTTCATTTTCTCGTCAAGTTTCTCTGGGGATGGTTTTTCTACTTTTTTTCTTTTCAATAATATATATTCATAAGTTGTTATTCCCTTGAACCTAAAATATATATGCATGGCTAATAAAAATGTTATGGGTATGAGTAGCAAAAATGTAAAGCCAATTTCAATATAGCCAAGTATTGATTTAATCATAATCGAGAGTATTAATACAGTAATTAGATACAATTCTAATAAAACTATTAAGATAAAAAAATATCTGTAATTTTGTGCTCCGATGCAATTGTTTAACCAGATACAATGATGATCAAATTAGTCAGTGCATCGATTGCAAGATTTGCAATGTTTTGAGGGCGCCTTTACAAAGGCTAAACAAATTTTGCAATAGCAATTTAACTTAGTTTGATATTTTGCTCTATGTATATTCTTCTATGTATTACTTTTATGCCTTTAATCGGTATTAATGATATATTTCTGGATCGGTTGGATCAATTTTTGTTGCGATAAACCAAAATAATGCGATGAAAAATGTGAAAAGCGATACCAACATCCATATGCGATTCTGATAATATTTTCAAAAATTTATTGCTTACATATTCTAATGTTTAAAATAGGATCACTGAATAATGTCCTAAGTAGATGACTACAGCAGAGATTTAGTAATAATTTATTCCTTTTTTGCACTGAAATCCATGTCTAATAACTATATTTTAATTAGTTTAATTCATAATTAATAATTAATATCATTATCTAATAAAATCATCATAGGTTGGCTCAGTTCTGCTTTGTTTAATAAATTTAATTATTTTGAAAATGTCACTGGCCAATATTGAGAACTAGCCTTTTGCTGAGGCAGGAGTTGACAATATTTATACGCTTTTGCAATCAGTTCACTGCAAAAATACCCCTTATTGATCAACCCGTCACTTTGTTGTTGTAACAACTTCATAATGTTCAATTGAAATTCCTAACCATAAACTTTCTTTATAAAATTAAACATAATACATCAATAAATTCTTAAATTCTTTGATCTATATACCCTCTCTCAATATTCAATAGCTTTCTATAACAGATTTTTTTAAAATGAGTATTTTTTTGGATAAAGAATTTCCAAAATTCAAAGTCGACTCCCTAATCTAAATTTATCTTTTTTACAATATTATTTTTAACATCAACTACTATGATTTCTTTATATTCCTATTTTCTAATTATCAATCCAACATGATCAAAATTAGAACTTGTGATCGCTCTCTGTAGCTTAGCCAAATAATGATCAGTTCTTATATAAAGGTCAATAATACTCAAAAAGCAATATATCGCCTGTTTCTGCCCAATCAAGAAATTCATTTTCAGTCACAAAATTTGCACCAAAATACATATCTTTGACAATCAATTTTCGATAGTTGTATCTGAACTTTTCATCTATCATCTTTAAACATTAAAACCATAATTTCCCTTCGATTTCATCATTAAATTTCAGGAAGATTACTTTATTCAGTTTGCAAAATTCAATTTTAATTAGTCTTAATGAATTTTTATTACACTTATTTTAATATTACCAATACATTACCTAAATCAAATTAAATGCTAAATATTTTAAATTAAACACCAAGTTCCATTATTTATCCTCCAAAATTACTAATTTCTCTATCGTTAATTAGAGTGTAGATTTCTTATAACTTCCTGTATTTATTTTAATTTGGAATACTCCCTATTTGATTACCGTGTTTCCTAAGGAAGAATTTTTGTATTTTTCTAAAGGCGTGTGACATACTTATGTTTAATTTACAAAGCTTTGTTGAAATATGAATTGAGATTCCTTTATTCGATTTTCAATCTAATTTGGGGATTGTTAAACGAAATCCTCAAATTTAACTTAATTATTTAATGATTGAATTTCTGAAAAGGATTGGCTTCTCTGCATATAAATTAATTAAATTATCGTTAAAAAAAAATAATGGATATTTAGCAATTTGAAAAAGAACTCGTAACCAAATTACAATTCAAAGCCTCATCAAGAGTAGGAGTAGAGACAGTCCTACTTAAAATATTCAAATTCTTCGATTTGACCAATTAAGGATTTCTAAAAAAATAAGATTTTTTTAAAGCCATTGCTAAATCTGGAGTAACCATAACAGAATAAGAAGTATCATTAACATATTATCTTAGTTTGCCGAAAAATTATGGAGCCACTATTCTGATGGCATGTAACTTAATTACAAGGATTTCATCAATAGAGTCGTTATAAAAGACAGTTATTAAGAAGATTACTCAGAATCAAGGATCATAGCCTCACCATTAGAATCCCTAAGAGCTAAAATCCAACTAAAGGGAGCTTTGGGCTTGTTAAACCTAGCAATAAGCTTACCAAATTAGTTTAACTGTCAACAATTATAGGACTATTTAAGAAGGTAGGATATAGACATAGAAGGGTTACATCAATTATTTAATGGAGAATTCATGAGTCAAGCTAATCTGATCGGTTTAATAAAAGGACAGCTATTGAATTAGTTCCGATAGGCATTGATCACAAATGTATTTTATTCATTTGAATCACGTGAACTAACTCCACAGTTTTTAATAAATAGGTATTCAGCTGACAAGCATCCTGACATCAAGTTTTTGAGAAGAGACTAAAATGAAATAAAAGAAGAATTTATTACAGGACTAAGTCTTTATCTTTAAATCAGAGCAATAAAAGTATTGAACATGTAGGATTGGCTTGACTTTTATTCTTATTTTGGATTCAACATTCAAAACGATGAGATCTTCAGAAATATAGTAGTTCAAGTGTGGAATCTAGATAATTTGAACTAACAATAAGCCTCTCCATCTTAAAGCGTAAAACAAAAGTCTTATTAATAATAATTGTAATAATCTCCTGGATCTCAGAAGCAAGTCAATTAACAACTTAACTTTTCTCCAGAAAATAAGTCAACTAAGTCCTATTAATAATATTAATAATCTCAAATATAAAGAACTCCAATATAATAGCATTAATAAGAACCTGAACAATAAAGACCTTCAGTGCCTAGGTCTGTAAAATCTCATCAATCAGAAAAATCTCATCAGTCTTAATAGTCGTAATTGTCTGCTACTTCAAAACAGGTTGAATTGATAGTACAAAGAATTAGAAATAGACTAGTATCAAGAGGAGCTCGAGGATTTATTTCCTTGTATAGAGTGGCAAAGATTTTGGATGCTGATTAAGATGGAATGCTCAATTTATCAGAATTTAGAAGAGCTGTAAGAGATCATAAAATAGAAGTTACAGATCCAGAGATTGATTTAGTATTCTAATATTTTGACAGAGATGTTTCAGGGTTAATAGATATATGGGGATTCATGTTTGTATTGAGAGGTGAAATGAGTGAATAGAGAATCTAATTGGTGGAATCATTATTTGAAAAATACAGACAAGGAGACTATATAACTATTTCGAATCTAAGGAACAATTTCACTGTTAGAAATCATCCAGATTTAAAAAGCGGAAAAAAAAGTGATGATGAAATCATCTAGGATTTTTTTGAACCCTTATAACAATTGCATAATATCAATGGAGGTTTTGGAAATGAAAATATTAGTAAGGATGAACTCATAGAATATTTTAGCAATTTTAGTGCTTCTGTTCCTGATGATAAATATTTTGAATAAATTCTTGTTACTGTATTCAGAATATAAGCTGAATAACAAAAAACACATCATGCTGGTAATAAATAAGTCTTTGAACCAGATCATAAGCGAAGTTATCTACAAGACCATCATCGATATGTTGTTCAGGGTGGAAGTGTATCTGCTAATGCTCCTTTTGGTACATTTACTCAATAAGAACAAATCTAATAATAAAGACCTGCTTCAGGATTTGAATAACCAGCTTCATTTAACATCTTCAAGCCACTTTAAGATAATCCTACCAAATCTAATGTATAATTAGCAAATTCTTAATTGTCACAATAATCTTAATAAAATTAATAATAATAATTTCATTATTAGATTGATTAGACTCCTAAATAGTAGAAATAAAAAATTGATAGTTTTTAGATTCTGAAGAACAAGATTTTGTAAAGAGGACTAAGAGGATTGATTAATATTTAACAAAGATTTAGAGTTTTTGATAAGTAAGGAGTGGGATCCTTAGCCTTAAATGATTGGTTGAACAGCTTTAAGTCTTGGAGATTGGACTTGAATGACTAGGTAATTTAGGATGTGTTCCATTAACAATAAGTCAATGGGATGATTATTTATGACAATTTTGTTAAATAACTCCAAGGTACTATGAGTCTTAGGAAGTTCAACATTCTATAATAGGTATTTGAATCTTTGCCTAAATAAAACGTTGATATTGTGAAAAGTATCATATGAATATATAATTAGGTTCTTTTAATTCCAAAGAGCATCCAGATGTTAAATTAAATAGAAGAAGAGAAGATGATGTACTGTGTGAATTTATCGATACATTCGAATAGCATCATTAAATATATGTAAGAAATATATTCTTATTTCGTAGACTGGAACGGACTATTTGAAAAATCCAAATGTTTCATTTGAAGAATTTATCAATTATTATAATAACTTAAGTGCTTTAATAGAAGATGATACTTAATTTGAATAATTCCTAGGAGCAGTTTGGAATCTTAGAAAAAGATTATGAAGCATTAACAAATATATATTTTATTATAAAATACTACTACAATATAAAGAATAATAAAATTTGAATTTTAAATAATTCAGATAACCACCGAATGAGATTAAATGATTTAACTGAATCGAGGAAGATGTTGAAACAGTTGAAAGAAAAGGATGTTCGACCGCCTAGATCATATAGTGACTTTTCAAAATCTCCAAGATAATTGCAATTGGACACAATATAATTATATTCATGGGGTATGATAGTCAAATGATAGTCTAGGTTTAAATAATTGTGGGCAATTATTGAAAACAAATAAAAATATAATCCCTCATTATTAAGGAGTATAATTATGTTCTGCAGGGGAAAATCACACTATTATAGTGAATAATAAGAATGAAGTAATAGGGTTTGGTGATAATTAATTCGGATAGTTGGGATATGAATCTAACACCCAACCAAAATTAACTCCAATATTTAAAGATTAAAGAATAACAAGCGTAGTTTGTGGGGCAGAACATACATTTATGTTGACGGCTAAAGGAGAGGTTTATTCTTGGGGGTTAAATTTGAAAGGCCAATTAGGATTGGGCTGTTTTGACAACGCTTTTTAGCCTACTCTCGTTTATGGTCTTTTGCCTTTTGGTACAAGCAATAGCAAGGCAAGAGAACAACAGGTAGGACACAAAAGAATGAAGAGTGCAAATGAAGGAGATTCATCTACTTCCCCAGGTTTGAAGGAAAGATCTTCTTCTATTGATAACATAATGGAGCATATTGTTATGATGAAGGAAAAGATTAAATAGAAAAGTTCATGCGAAATATAGTGCTAAATCCTCTTACAAAATGATGAAGCAGTATAGTAAATATCATGTGGGGCATTACACACATTAGTGTTAACTAATAAAAACAGAGTCTTTTCCTGCGGGTTTGGAGAATCCTATGCTTTAGGACATCCAGAAAACCAAACACTTAATGAATTCAAATAAGTATCAAATTTACAACACTTCAAAGTCGATAAAATTTGTAGTGGTCTGGCTCACTCAGGGTGCATAGTTGAAGGAGGAAGATCCTTTATTTGGGGAGTTTGCAAATCAAACAAAGATCAAATAAAGTTACCATAATAAACAAAAATTGTAGATGAATTAAATAGTTAATAATGTGTTCTAGATATGAAAATGGGAGAGATGTTCACCTTATTTCTCACTAGTAAGGGGGAAGTTTACTCTTTGGGAGAGAATATCTAAGGATAATTAGGAATAGAATAGAATTGCACTGATGTTCCATTGAAAGTGTTAGGTTTGCCCTTAATCTCATAAATTTCAAGTGGAAGAAATCATTGTGTAGCACTGTCAGCCGATTACAAATAAATCTATGGATGGGGATCCAATATTTATGGTTAATTAACTGGACAACCTAGCGTGAATTGTAAAGGAATTATATCTCCGAAATTGCTATTTACAGTACCTGAAACTTAAAAGGTAGTTTGTGGTAACTTTCATACTTTGTTACTATCATCATCTTTCTTAGAAATCATTTTAGATGATAATGAAAATACTCATAAGGACTAAGAGAAATTAAATGAGGAAGTTGAGAAATGTAAAAATGAGCAAGAAATATTGAAATAATAAAATATTTAATTGTAATTAAAATATGATAGAATGAAGAATGAGATTTTGTAGAAAAAGAAAGTCAAAGATCAAAAGGTGTAAACAAATGAATCATATATCTAAAGGCAAATTAAAAAATAATAATCCAAATTTGATATTTCTGCTTTAGAGATCTCACCAGAACGACCAATTAAACATAGAATATTTTAATCAAGTTTAGATATCGATTTTAATGACATAATGCTTGAAAAATAGATAAGTGAAGGTGGATATGGAGTGATTTATAGAGCAAAATGGAGAGAAACTACAGTTGCTGTAAAAATGTTTAAAATTGATGGAATGAATGAAAATCACATCAGAGATTTCCTATCAGAATGCCATGCAATGGAGGCACTTAGACATCCCAATATAGTAATGTTTTTAGGTGCTTGTACAAAACCTCCTAATTTGGCTATTGTTCTTGAATATTGTTAGAGAGGTTCTTTATGGTAGGTAATCTAAAATCATGACATCCATTTAACATGGGAGGATCGAAGGAGGATGGCTTTGGATGCAGCAAAAGGAGTATTATATTTACACTCTTTTAACCCTCCCATTTTGCATAGAGATTTAAAAAGTCTAAATTTGTTGTTGGATGAAGCTTTTAGAACTAAGTTAGCAGACTTTGGATGGACTAGAACTCTATCTAATTATATGACCAGCAAAATAGGTACTTATTAATGGATGGCACCTGAGGTAATCGCAGGATAAATATACACAGAAAAAGCTGATGTTTTTAGCTTCGGCATTATATTGTGGGAAATAGCAGCAAGAGAGCCTCCTTATAGAAGTAATAAGTCATTAATATTTTAGACATTACTGGTTTATAGGTATCTTTAGATGTGTTGAATAATGACTTTAGACCCACCATACCAAAAAAAACTCCTGAAGTTTTTGCAAGGCTCACTAAGAGGTGTTGGGATAGGGATCCAGAAAAGCGTCCATCTTTTAAAGAAATAATTAAGGAACTGGAGATTATGAAATTTCCTCCTGGAATATGATAATTAATATGAAAAGTTTTAATATTATTCTTTCATTATTAATTGTGATTATAAATAATGTTTGCATTATCAAGAGGTATCTTTTTATTCAGTATAATAAGCCCTTAAATTTCAGTAACCAATATTTGCTTTCTCTCAATTTTAATTGCTTAAAGGAAAGTATGCAGTTCCACCTAAACCAAGAAAATAGAAAAATTCAGTACCAATTACATTTAATTTAAGGATCTGGCAATTCATCAACAAAAATTAAAAGAGTGGTAAGAAAATTATGATGTCCCAAAAAGACCAAGCATAACATCAGAAAAGATCCAATTTTATGGAAAAAAATTCCCTCATTTGAAAACTAAGTGGGCTGAATTATTAGAGCAAATCAAGACTTTACCTGCAGAGGAGGTAGCAAAGAATGACGAAATAATTAAAAACTCTGCAGAACAGAAGACTCAAATCTTTTAAAAACGTATGGAAGAGTATCAGAACAAATACTTAGTTAAAGTAGGTAATATGACAGCATAAGCTATGTTTTTCTCAACCATTCAATTTAACGATCTCAAATCCCTTTGGGCTAAGTACAATGAGTTATCAGAAGAAGAAAAATAAAAATACCAACAATTAGCTAATGAAGAAAATTAAAGAAAAGATGCAAAATTGGAAAAAATTGCTTAATAATATGGATTGTCACTTGAAGAATTTAAAAAGGAAGTACGTAAAATAATTAAAGAAAGCAGAAAAAAGAATGAAGAGTCTTCTTCATCATCTTCAGACGATGAAAAAACATAATCAAATAAGAAAGATTCAAAGAATTGATATTAAGATAATAAAATTACAAAAATAGATTATAATTTCTAATTATATGTTAAATAGCTTAAAGTCTAGTTACAGTGTATTAGTCTTTATAAAGAGATCTAAATGCCTAAGAGAATTTTTGTATTTGGATTATTCTCGAGATAAATAATCTAAATAGATTTGTCAATAGATTAATTAAAATATCATTAATATTACATTTTAATACAATTATTAGCTTTTCAAAATTTTCTTTATAGTTTAAATATATCAAAATTCAATCTACCCAATAGATTGCTTCTTAGATTAAGATAAATAAAATAAAGTAGTGTTGACTATTGAAAAGAAAGACTAAATAAATGATAATTTTAACATTAAGTTGTATAGTATTATATAGATCATTTTAAATCTTATTCCACTCCACTCATCACATGTAAAGGATATACATGTGGCATCTAATATGGGTCATTTGAAACTCTCATTCTACTGGACCCTCCAAAATTCATCACTTTTGTTGATGCATATTCTTCGTAAGATTCCATATGAGTAACCTTAATAGATGTTAAACAATTAGCAAGCACAGATAGGAACAGCGCACAAATAATGATTATCACTACAACAGATTCTTTTTATACTGATTAGGCGTACTTTATACACATTCCATCTAGCATTTTATTATAATGATCCTAAATTTCACATATTATTTACTTTGATAAATGTACAATTTGTTGACTTAAGCATATTATTCATGCTTGCTAAAATCATTTATTCCTTTTCATTAAATGCCTTAAACTAATTTATGTATAAGTTTAAATCAGTACTAAGTTATTAATTTAATGAAATAAATTAAGACTCTAACTATTAAGCTTCTATCCACCCTTAGGCTTAGGATTAAAAATGCTATTTTAATTTCTAAAATTCATTATATTAATCTGGACAACTAGGTGAATATTTAGTTATTAAATATGATGGATGCCAGCATAATTATGATTAATTTTAGGAACCTTACTTTTTTGGACTACCTCCATCTGAACATGTCTAAAAGGCTAATTCAGCACAATTATTTATTCCTTTAAAATCATTAAACGATTTCACTATTTTGTTAAATTCCTCTTATTACTACTCATCTAGATCAATAATTGTTCCGTCTAAAAAGGAAGTCAAACTTTTTGTATTTTTAGATAAGTTTTCGATAAATTATACATAATTGGAATTGATTCTCAAGATTTCTTCGTCGACTCCCTTGTCACTATTTATGTATGTTCGAATATCTTTCAACTTTTAAACAAAATTTAATTGCTCGTAAATATTTCCATCTTCAAACAAACAACTTTTTAGTGTTTATTTTGTATCATCAAAATCAATAATGTTTTAAGTTTAATAGACTTCTACTTTATTCACAAACCCATCAAAATATATGCAGATATCATTTGACAATTCAGAATGAGAATGCAGAAAAATATTAATAATTAAAAGAGCAATTAGTAGTAAATTGCAGACAAACCACAAGAAATCCACAATCGCTTTTATTTTTAATTGATGATTTACCCAATAGCCTCCCCAAATTAAAATTTGAATAAAACAAAGAATTATTAATGTAATTCCAATACCCTTTACAGAATTTGTATATTTATTCATGTTGTCCTTCAAATTTTGATGAAAACTCAAATATTATTTTGAATATTCAAATAGGTAATTATTGATTACTGTTAATTGTTATTGAGCCCTCATATATGTTGATGTTAATCTTTAATCTCTAAGAGCAAAAGAGGAGTTTTCAATTGATCCGAAATGCAGAAATATGTTTTCATAAAAACTATTAACTTAATTCACTTAATCTATTAATTAAATTGATTCCTATTTTTATTAGATAAGTTAATAATATTCTTAAAACGTTAAATAATCTTCATCTTATTTATTTGAAAGGATGTAATCAAACTATAATAATTATTTAAGATTTACTAATTTAGATCTTGAAAAATAGGATTCTGTTTCTTCTATTACATTTGTTCCATTTGAAGATATCATTATTGGTAAAGGAGAGTTTGGTAGATTTCTCTTTAACCTAAATTAAATAATAATTTACTAATCATTAAATTCAATCATCTCAGAGAATTTTTTTGTCATTTTTACAGAGTTTCTATCTGAAAATAAAGCCTTTAAATTTATTTAAAACTCTTGAATATGCTTTGATAATATTTCCAAATCGACTTAAAGATGATAAAATCCAACAAAGTTGTCATCGTTTTTGTTTAATAAATCATCAAATGATTAGCTTATATAACAATTTGAATATGAGAGTCCTTCAGTTATATCATTTATAAATATCTAAATTTCATTTTTTATATTACAATTGCAATTATTGAACAAACAATTACGGTAAAATTTAGGATAACTATAGAGATGATTCCATATTTATGATACCTTTTTGTATTTTCAAGAAATTCTTCCTCGGTATGATTTTTAATCCAAATTACAACAGAACTAAAATTAATAAATATTCTCACTTTGATTTGAAAACAATAAGTATATACATTAGAGAAAGGAAAAAAGTTCCAATTGCAATGATAAGCCAAGGAATTGTGTAGCTTGACAATTAAGAAAAATAAAAATCATTTGAGAGTTCATAACTGTTGTTAACAAGAATTTCAATGTCTTCTTGTAATTCTAGATGTTATTTAGAATATATTGAACTCCAAACTTATTCTCTTTCCAAATCAGATATGTCAACTAATTTAAGCTATACTTTTACAAAATTCGATATCTCTACATTCTTCAGTTCGAGTATTCGTCAATTCAATATAAGCTGATTAGTTAACATTTAGAGTAAAGCTAGTTTGTATTAAAATGATAACTATTAATAAAAAGACAAATGAGTGAAGTTATAAAGTCATTATACCAATTAAATTATTCTAAAAAAATCTGCTTAGACACAACATATATATATAAAAAAGTCTTTGATTTTTGTAAGCTTAGAATTGTAGGTTTGCTGAAGTAAAGTATTTATCATAAATCAACATTAATCTACAATTCAACTCATGATTTACTAGCCTAAGTATATTTCAATAAAAAATAACATAAAAATGAAATAGATTTTTCAATAATTAATTCTAATTCATTTATCAAGAGGCTCGAAAAATCTTCTATTTCCTGTTTTAGTGGCAACCATTAATTTATCATATTCGTCCATATGTTCCTCAGTAGGTTGATACATCCATTTTGCTTCTATGTCAACCTCCTATCTACTATCTTCAGTCAACAAGTGAATCATATATTACTTATAATAAACCATCAACCATTCATCATCTTTTTATCCACTAATCTAAGGTTTCCCATAAGTTCCTGTACCCAAATGATGAAGTCTTTTTAAATTCATAATTCCTCTCTAATCAGGTTCGGCATCCATTGCTTCATTCCCCAATCGTAAATTCAGGTTCTTGATTTCTTCTTATTCTTTTTAGTATTAGACCATAAATCCTTTTACTAATTCTTTACAAACTTTCCAACCATGATTGCTCGAATACATTGTTCCGACTATACCATACCTTTAAGGTAATTACTTTCCATACTCTTCCAGATCATAATGTACAATGTCTTTAATTTAATTGATCTCAATTATTATTATATAAGAATACTTCCAAAAAAGAAATTAGCTTGTAAATGTCTAATTATTCATTAGGATCAAATAAAATGTCTCTTTGTTACACTAGCTCCCCTTGCAATCCCCAAACAGTTCCTTTATCAGGCCTATCAACAACTTTTTCATAATAAGGATCATCTCCATCAAACAAAACAGTTTCTTAAATTAAATTTATGTCTGGTTTTTTTGAGTCCCTAAGGATTGTGCCTTATTATAATTTGATATCATTGAGACTTCCGATCACATCTAAATAGCCATAAAATTAATACCATCATCTTCATTCTTATCTTCATAAGCCATAGAAAATTATTAAGTTGTATCTGAGGTCTTTTTTAATTTATTTACAATCCTAACATTTCTTGCCATAGAGTAAATTGATCGAAAATTTACAAACTTAAACATGATGTGTGAATAAAATATAAATATTATTTGCACATTATATATGGTCTATATTGATTAGAATTTTGGAAAAGCTTTGATTATTTGAGGAATACTTTAAATTTCAATAAGGATTCAAATTGATGCCTATGTCAAAAATTAAGCACGTTGGTTATAAATAGATCAAGTTTATTAGAAGAAAATAAATTTACAATTATTTACCTAAACTTTTATTTTTCAATTAAAATTATAATTAAGACCTTGAATTTAAAATTTTCATGAGAAATAAATATTGTAGAGTTAAAAAAGGTGAATAAAAGGTATAAATAGTTTAATATATTCATTATTCATCAAAAACATAAAATAGTATAAGGAATATTATATGGGTTATTATCATTTTATAGAAAATATTTCAATGGATTTAGGCTTAAATCACTAATTATGCGCATATATAGTTTGTTTAATATTCTAACTTTTGTATGATAATTAATCAGGTAAGATAATATAAATATATCAATCTACTATTAATTTTTGGTGGAAATAGAAATCGTGCTGCCCACAAATGTCTTTAAATTTATTTTTCATTAATAAGAATGATAACTAAAATTATGATCTTTATAACTTTTTTTCAACATTTTGAATAATTCAAATAAATGATTTGCAGAGCAATTTGAATTGACAACTTCTCTTAAAACTTGATAATCTAAACAGTCTGCTTGCCGTTTCCCATTTTTTTTTCAAAAACTAAAAAATCTATTTTATCCTCAATTATCTAGATTTCATCTAATCACTTAATTATATGGGAATAGAGCAGCTTTTTGTTAAAAATAACTAATAATATTATTTGCTTTAACTCGTCAATTTGGAGCTCCGTATTGCTATTGTTGTTTTAGTGGTTAGTGGAAATTTGATAAGGAATCTTAATGGGTTCTGGTTTTTTGTTCAATCTTATTTAATTCATCTTTTTGGCTGCAATAGGATAAGCTTTTCAATTATTTTACTGCTTTATTTTGAAATAATTAACCAATTTGTTTTTTTTCCATTATTATTAATTTATTAAGTGCAAACTCAGAAATATTCGCATGTAACCACTGACAAGAAATAATTTTTAAGAATTAAGCATAGCTTCTATTCACGGACCACGTTTTTCATTTCTTGGAATGATATTGCCAATAAATGATATGAATTAAGGAGAAGTATTTGATAAATAATAGGTTTCTGATTCATATCAGCAAATTATTCAACCAAAATTAGATATTGGATGAATATTACAAAAATGGATATTAATATCAATCCTCTTAGATAAATAGAACTCCAGTATTTATGAAAGAAAAAAATAAATAATTAATCAGTTTGAAATTAAATATCGCCTAAATGAATTCTAATTTAGTGAATAAAAAAGGAATATTATTTAGTTTATGCCATGATTTAAAGGGTAAATCTAGAGATTCATTAGGATCAGTGCATATGAGTGAGAGGAGTTGTAAACTTATTGCATTACTCTCTTTTAATGCCCACAATTTTGAGTTGAGAAATGAGTTAAAGCACCTGCATTTTTGAAAGTGTCATGAAAATTTAAATCAGTAGATTGGCTTACATAGAAGCCAGTAATTAAAAGACTATTATGTGCTACTAATTGGTATTCTAGACGATTTGAAGAATAACCATCTTAATATCCTTTAATGGTATTAAATAGTAAGAGTAAAATCAGGTGGACAGAATTTTGTCTAATAAAGCATCGCTTAATCTGATAAACAACGAATTAATTCTAGGAATGATGATGTAGATTAATCGCGTCAACATATAAGGCGGATCACAAAATAACTTCCAGTAAGTAAATTACTTTATAGAAAAATTTGAATAAAAATATGGGTAATCTTAGCTACAAACAAGACAAGAATAAGTGCTAGCTTAACATATTATATCAGACAGATTCAAGAACACAATTATTATTTTTAGGGCATATAAAAAGCTATACATTAATGAAATAAAGCGGATTTAAATAGTGAAAGATTTATTAATTATCCATTTTATTTAGAAAGACTTAAGGATTTATTTGTCGCATATACAAAACTTTAACAACTATATGTATCATTAGAAAATTAATAATAAGAGATATTATAGAAATATCTTCTTTTGGAGGTCAGCATCATTTGACTAAAGTAATGCAAGTAGCACTTAATTATCAGGTAAAGGAGTAATTATGGAAGGCACATCATATACAACTAAGGATAGTATCCTAAATACTCTAATTTTGCGAAAAAAATGGAAAATTTATGAAGGCTTGCTACTATCACCTGCAATCCTGAAAATATACTTAGCATGATGAATGGAACTGCCAACGTTTTTACATTAATGAACTAATGATTGAAAGTGACTTTTCATAAATACGATCCTTCCTATTAGTGGTCAAGCATCACCTTCCATCTTGGAGAAAATGCTTAAGTTATTGCTTAATATTCTACCTCCTATCTATCATGGATTATAAATGTAGAAATAGTAACTCCTTAAATATATTGAATTTTTATTTTGATGCTATTAAGTATTTAATGGTAAAAACGTCATAGTTGTGAAAGGTTTATGGAGATAGCTTGTCCTTAACTTTAGTCTATAATAATATATTTGATACTGTAAATGTACGATCTCATTTTCTAAACGTACGTCTTCAATGTTATTTATATAGTCAAAGTATGTAGTACAGAAGGTTAATATCTGAATGATATAAAATCAAAAGTAGAATAATTCTGGAACAAAGCAACCTTCTAATATAGTCTCAGCTTCCTGTAAATAATATTGTGACAATAAACTAAAGTCTAAAATGTCTTGATGATTAATAATTGTCTCTTTTCTGCTCTAGAATATACTATGAGTCGCCCAAAATCCATTAACAACAAATTTCTTTTGTATATTAGGTTTCTTTTTGTTAAATTTATAGATACAGCAACTTAATTTACTGATTGTTAGGTTAATAATGGTAATGGTAATAATTGCTATTGTAATAATTGTCATAAAAATTGTAAGAAGGAGCTGAGATCATGAGCCTTAATGATATCAAAAATAAAATTTGCTTGAAGAGATACAGATACTTCCCTTAACCAGAAAGTTAATATCATTCATAATAGAAATATGAAACTGATTAAAATTGAGGCTTATTATACATTTAACCTTTGCATAATTATGGTTTGTGTACTTTAAGGAAGGTATTAAAGTATATTTCTTGATATCATCACCAAATAAATTAATATAGAGATTCTATATCAAATTTGAATTAATTTTAGAGACTAACATGAAGGTATCTTTAATGGGTTCATTTTATATAAGTTTAATATGATATGCTTCCAATACTTGGGTTGTGAATTAATTTATTTTTCAAGAAATTTTTCTTAGAATTTTAAGTTTTTAGATATCATCTATATTTCTCTTCTAAAATGCCTTCCTAACAGTAAAAGATTTGTCTCTTGCTATCTTATTATAAAAATTTAAGATTTTGATTCATTGAAGAGTTTTGAAATAATCTATAAAAGTAACCCAAAACAGAATTCCAGATTAAAATTCAAAAATTAGTGTTCTTGATAGTACCAACTTTATGAAATTTTAAATTTAGCCGTAATTTCATGGCAAATATATGTATTTCATACAGCATTAGATTAGAAATGAACATTANGATATTAATATCAATCCTCTTAGATAAATAGAACTCCAGTATTTATGAAAGAAAAAAATAAATAATTAATCAGTTTGAAATTAAATATCGCCTAAATGAATTCTAATTTAGTGAATAAAAAAGGAATATTATTTAGTTTATGCCATGATTTAAAGGGTAAATCTAGAGATTCATTAGGATCAGTGCATATGAGTGAGAGGAGTTGTAAACTTATTGCATTACTCTCTTTTAATGCCCACAATTTTGAGTTGAGAAATGAGTTAAAGCACCTGCATTTTTGAAAGTGTCATGAAAATTTAAATCAGTAGATTGGCTTACATAGAAGCCAGTAATTAAAAGACTATTATGTGCTACTAATTGGTATTCTAGACGATTTGAAGAATAACCATCTTAATATCCTTTAATGGTATTAAATAGTAAGAGTAAAATCAGGTGGACAGAATTTTGTCTAATAAAGCATCGCTTAATCTGATAAACAACGAATTAATTCTAGGAATGATGATGTAGATTAATCGCGTCAACATATAAGGCGGATCACAAAATAACTTCCAGTAAGTAAATTACTTTATAGAAAAATTTGAATAAAAATATGGGTAATCTTAGCTACAAACAAGACAAGAATAAGTGCTAGCTTAACATATTATATCAGACAGATTCAAGAACACAATTATTATTTTTAGGGCATATAAAAAGCTATACATTAATGAAATAAAGCGGATTTAAATAGTGAAAGATTTATTAATTATCCATTTTATTTAGAAAGACTTAAGGATTTATTTGTCGCATATACAAAACTTTAACAACTATATGTATCATTAGAAAATTAATAATAAGAGATATTATAGAAATATCTTCTTTTGGAGGTCAGCATCATTTGACTAAAGTAATGCAAGTAGCACTTAATTATCAGGTAAAGGAGTAATTATGGAAGGCACATCATATACAACTAAGGATAGTATCCTAAATACTCTAATTTTGCGAAAAAAATGGAAAATTTATGAAGGCTTGCTACTATCACCTGCAATCCTGAAAATATACTTAGCATGATGAATGGAACTGCCAACGTTTTTACATTAATGAACTAATGATTGAAAGTGACTTTTCATAAATACGATCCTTCCTATTAGTGGTCAAGCATCACCTTCCATCTTGGAGAAAATGCTTAAGTTATTGCTTAATATTCTACCTCCTATCTATCATGGATTATAAATGTAGAAATAGTAACTCCTTAAATATATTGAATTTTTATTTTGATGCTATTAAGTATTTAATGGTAAAAACGTCATAGTTGTGAAAGGTTTATGGAGATAGCTTGTCCTTAACTTTAGTCTATAATAATATATTTGATACTGTAAATGTACGATCTCATTTTCTAAACGTACGTCTTCAATGTTATTTATATAGTCAAAGTATGTAGTACAGAAGGTTAATATCTGAATGATATAAAATCAAAAGTAGAATAATTCTGGAACAAAGCAACCTTCTAATATAGTCTCAGCTTCCTGTAAATAATATTGTGACAATAAACTAAAGTCTAAAATGTCTTGATGATTAATAATTGTCTCTTTTCTGCTCTAGAATATACTATGAGTCGCCCAAAATCCATTAACAACAAATTTCTTTTGTATATTAGGTTTCTTTTTGTTAAATTTATAGATACAGCAACTTAATTTACTGATTGTTAGGTTAATAATGGTAATGGTAATAATTGCTATTGTAATAATTGTCATAAAAATTGTAAGAAGGAGCTGAGATCATGAGCCTTAATGATATCAAAAATAAAATTTGCTTGAAGAGATACAGATACTTCCCTTAACCAGAAAGTTAATATCATTCATAATAGAAATATGAAACTGATTAAAATTGAGGCTTATTATACATTTAACCTTTGCATAATTATGGTTTGTGTACTTTAAGGAAGGTATTAAAGTATATTTCTTGATATCATCACCAAATAAATTAATATAGAGATTCTATATCAAATTTGAATTAATTTTAGAGACTAACATGAAGGTATCTTTAATGGGTTCATTTTATATAAGTTTAATATGATATGCTTCCAATACTTGGGTTGTGAATTAATTTATTTTTCAAGAAATTTTTCTTAGAATTTTAAGTTTTTAGATATCATCTATATTTCTCTTCTAAAATGCCTTCCTAACAGTAAAAGATTTGTCTCTTGCTATCTTATTATAAAAATTTAAGATTTTGATTCATTGAAGAGTTTTGAAATAATCTATAAAAGTAACCCAAAACAGAATTCCAGATTAAAATTCAAAAATTAGTGTTCTTGATAGTACCAACTTTATGAAATTTTAAATTTAGCCGTAATTTCATGGCAAATATATGTATTTCATACAGCATTAGATTAGAAATGAACATTAGAGTTTTATGAGATTATTACTGTTTGGAAGTGGGCTGAATTTTCCATAAGTAGATCAAAATTTATTTTAAAAAGAATTTTATTCCCACTTTTAATTGGTTTTTCATTTAGATATGAAAATTATTTTTGAAATCTTAAACTAACTGTTTTTTTAATGAGATATCAAAATTTAATAGATGTATTTTAACGTAATCTAAATTTACAATTCAGAGAACTAAAATATAAATTTGTGTTTTAAACCCACTTGCCAAATAGCATATTATTTATCAACCTATTGACAAAGATATTGTCATTCCTAAATTTGTTTTCATAAGGTATGTGCGTGTTTGGTTTATTTAAGTAAAATAACCCAATTTTCAAGATATAAGTAGAGTAGCATTGATGCAATTAATGTTAAATAATATCATAATTAAGATGTGAAAAGGAGTAAATTCGTCATTGTAGCACAGACCTATTTTAATCTCAAACAAATAGTTATTTTGTTGAATATTACTTTCTTCTTGGCATTCTAATTATAAATTTTATTATATTTTAGAGGGATTTCAAAATAAAGTGTGAGTTAATAAAAAGTTCCAAACCGCTAATTTCCCTAAATTTTAGTAAGGATTCTGAACTGAGCTTGTTATATACTGTTTTAATTATATTGAGAGATGACACTTTTTGAATCATATTAATTTATAAATAATCAAAATTTATTTCGAACCAATAGATTTTGAAGAAGCATTATATTGTTATGATTCAGCTATTCAAATAAACCCTGAAAATTCAGTGTATTATATAGGCAATGGTAAATTTGTAAATTCTATATTTTTTCTGCAAGAACTCTATAACAAATGAATAAACTTGAGGAAGCTTTGTAAAATTATGATTTTGCAACTACTAAATATCCAGAACATGCAGATAATTAGTTCCATCTGAGGAAATTTTATATCTCCTTTTTTTTAGCCACACCTCTATTGTATTTTTTAGTTTTGAGAATGACAACAATTATGTAGATTTGAAAAAGCTTTGTTAACCATGATTTAGCGTTTAAGTACAATCTATTAAAGGATAAAATACTATTTAAAAGGTAAAGTGTAAATATATTTTATAGCAACAATTGATCAAATAAATAGATATGAAGAAGCATTGCATTATATTGATTTAGCTATTAATTTAAAAATTATTAGCACAAAGGTATATTAATAAATTGAATATTTTTTCAGCAAGCACATTATCACAAATATACAGATTCGAGGATGCTTTGTAAAATTATGATTTTGCAATTATGAGAAACCCTGATTAGCCAAACTTATATTATTGGAAAGGTATATTAGTAAACTCCTTATTTTTCAAGCTACAACACTATTCTTGTTTAAGTTATTTCATTTTATAAAAATGACTAGATTTGAAGAAACATTATAATATCTAGATAGAGCAATTCAGATAAATCCTGAAAATTCCCAATATTATTATAGCAAGGGTAAAAAGAATAAAATTAGTTTTGCAGCAAGAACATCATTTTGATTAAAGAATTATTATTATTATTATTCTATTTAACATAAAAATATCTCAATCATTCAGTTAAAAGCTTTGCAATTATTTTTTCCAATCTATTACATTAGTTTTTTGGTTATTGTATTTACTAATTATTATTGAAGATGCCTCTTAGATTTATTAAAAACTCTGAAATATGGAAATTGGAATGGAAATTTATTATATGGCGGTATGAAAGATTACATTAGTGGGTCCTACAGATTTTAGGGTACAGGTAGAACAGCTAATTAAAATTATTGGGGAGAAATTTGTATATTGAATTTTAATTCATTTCTTCTATCTCGTTAAAGTAATTATTGATAAAAGTAGTTTAACCAAAGTTTCCGTTGTTCATCCTACTGATAACCTTATTTGTATGCTTTGCTATAAGAAGTTCTAGAGGGGGTAATATCAAATCTAAAAATTCGTTAGGTAAGCATTTAGGAAATCCACAAACCTTTTTAAAGCTAGATTTATATAATTTTTATAAGCGTTGAAATATGTTTTTGTATTTCTAGGTTGGGATTGAAGGACAAATATAGAGTATGTGTGGAAGGAGAAAAGTTTAGAATAATTAATATTTCTGCTTCCAATTAAGTTTTTAAGAAACCCATAGCAACTTTCCACTTAAAAATTTTAGAGTTTATTCTACTTTATCAAGCTATAGACTTATTTTTCCATTGTTCAATATATTTATTCCGAGGTATTTATAAGATTTCACAATAGGAAATCCTTATATATTGTTATATTAACAGCGCTTATGATTTTGGATGAAAAAGATTCCACATTTTTTCTAGTTTAATCTAAGTTCATATTCTTCAGAAATTAAAACCAACTTTTATAAAAAGGATTGGATATTTCTATGAGCAATAATAATTACAATGTCGTCCGCAAATTCATAGGAAGTATAATTAAAATTACAGTTTTGTTTTAATGAAGCTAAAAAATCTTCAAGATATATATTAAAAAGTGCGGGAGACAGTGGAGATCCTTGAGGAACACCGTTTTAGAAGTAAAATGTGGTATTCATTTATGGGCAAATATAATGGAGATTTGTATAGAGGTGATTAAGGAATTTTATTTCGATGCCATCCAAAATTGATTTAGCAGATAAAATATTAAATAGTCTTTATCTATTTATGCTATTGAAGGCATTGCTAAAATCAATAAAGATGCAATCCATTTTATCCTATTTCTTGTAACCAGTTAAAGTATTTAAGAGTCTGATGATATTTATTTGAGTAGATGAACCAGGAATGAATCCTGCTTGACCTTTAGATAAGCGAGTGGACAAATATTGTTATAGTCTTGGCAGAAATCTTAATTCAAGCAGCTTAAATAGGGGACTTAGAATTGTAATAGGTCGAAACTAAGTTTTAGTAGGGATATCGGGGAAAACCTTGTTTAAGGGTACTAGTCTTGCTCTACAGCATGCGTAGTTGGTTTCAATTGTAGATTATTTCCATATATCACAAAAAATATGGACATTTTTACAATTCCTAATAAAATTGTCAGATACGCCATCAAAGCTAATTGCTTTATTTCGTGACATCCTTCTTTGTAGCTCGGTTATATCAAGCGTATTTAAGGGGGGTAAAGAAGGAAGTTTTAAAGGGCGAAATTTTTGACCATTTGATATGATACTAAGTTAGGTAAGACAATTTCTAATAGCAATATCTCCAAATTGTAGTTAATTAGAGTCATCAATGAAATATGAAAAAATGCTACCATCTTTTTTAAAAGGGTTTAATATAGTTATTTTTTTTAGAGTTTGGAAGAATGTTACTTTATCTCTAGAGAATAAGTCAGCCATATGTTAGAATACATCTTAATTATTATGGGTGGAATTAATATTTAATTTTGGTATAACTTGCTTTTTAATTTTCTGGATAACTTTGGAGTTCCTGAGGTTGTTTTGTATAAATTTATAGAAACATGTAAAATCAGAAAATTTGCTAGAAGCCAAGTTATTTAAGTTTTGAGCTCGCTTTTTATTGAATTTATAAAAATAGAATTATTAGTTGACTTTTTGTTGAAGGTTAAGCTCAATATCTATTAGGGAGTGGTCTGATAATTAATTAAAGGAGACATTATTCTTAGATTAGACATAGGGATGTAATAAAACATGATCAGTTCTACTTTCTATCATTTTGTTCAATTTTTTTCTCTAAAATGTAATTAAGTGCTGTGGAAGAGCTGGTGTTAGAAAATTAAAAGGGGTTTAGCTTATATTAAAGTCACCGCAAATAATAATTTACTGGTTAGGCTTAATATTTAGAATGAATTATCTCAACCAATTATCTAGCTAAGTCTTTGATTTCTAGAATGTAGACTTTTTGTTAAAGTAGAAATTAAACAGAAAAATATCAAAGTATTCGTTTCTAGCATTAATTATAAGATAGTCAAATTCCACTTATATTTGAATTTAAAGGATATCACTAATATCTTTAGAAGCAAAACTATTGTGAATACCCGTGATTATACCACCAGATCTCTCACTGGTTGAATGATGGTTTATATAAATCTAATAACTAGGTGATGATGAAATCTTAGAATTGCGGCTTTCTTATAGACAGAAAAAATGAGGGCCACATAATTTAACTTATTTTAGCGTGCTTTCTTTCATAGAGGAAATATTCCAAGTGACTAATTTGATTGGGTTTTTATTTTTATTGTTAAAATTGAGACACTAAATATGATTATTGCCAGGATCTTAAGACAGCGTCTAATTCTTAGTCCTGGTGGAGCCGTGTAGGGGCTACACTCATTAAATCATTTAGCCATCTAATGTGTGGGAACTTTCTTTAGGCACTTTATTCTTATGAAACTTTTTCATGTGTTATGCGTAATCTTAAGTGTTATTGAAGATATTCTTGCATTAATGGAGTTTTCCACCGCAAACAAATATCTAATCATCTTCCTCCTCCTCTTCTTCAGATAACTAATTAAATGGTTATTATTAAGATTATGTCAACTTACAAGGAGTTTTAAATTGAACCTATTTGATAGGATCCTGAATTTAAGGAACAGTAAGTTTTAAAGCAGAAATTTGTTTTTTAATGGAGGATTACAAATCTTTTATAATTTTTTGTTCAATTGATTATATGATGCGATCTTATTAAATGGGTTAATTAGAAAATATTGTTGGGGATTGAGCATTATTTACGGTTAGTAGGTGATTTGAATTTCGAAGTGAAGGTGTTGAAGGTTTATTTTTTTTTTTTTTTTTTTTTTTCATAACATTAAATATTTGTGAGTTCTTTTGATAGATGAATAGAGGCTACTCATTCTTTTATATTGAACCATTTTAGGATAAAAGTATCCAGCATTTACAATTTCTATGCATAAGTTATCGTTGTTATCTTAAGCTTTCTAAATAATAGTGGATTTGCAATTCTGCAATCCAGATGATTCCTCCAAGATGTCTATTATATTGCTTTTCTATTTAGGTTGCAGTGTGAGTTTTTAATTCTGTTTTTGAGAAAGGTCATTATTGATTTACTCAATTTAAACGTTGAATTTCTATTCTAGCGCAGATAATTATGGTAATAGTTAATTCATACTATTGTTTAAAAAATTCAACATGGCAAAAACCCAGTGTGTTAAGTTTACTAGGATATTTTGTAAAGTTGGATCTTAAAGATTTTTTGCTTATTAATGGATCTCGATCAGTGCACTAAGTGCTTATGAGGGGGAGAATTATTCCATACCACAAAAAATTTTTTTAATATTAATTAAAAGAATTACATATATGTATATAATTTGAATAGATGTAAAGAAGCATTGGAATTATTTGAGGTATCAATTTCACTGAAACTTTTGAGTCTATTAAGGGTAAAGGGAAAAAATCGATATTTCTTAGCATAAACCTTATGCAAATTGAAAAGATATTAAGAAGCATTAGAGTGTTTATATTCAATTATTCAAGATGACCCAAATACTGTATACCTGAATATTGGTAAATAGATATTTGGAAAGCTTGAAGCAACTATTTTATCTTGTGTTTAAAGTTTAATAAAATATAAATGAATAGATTCGAGGAAGCATTGGAATTTTATGATTTAGCGATACAATATTATTATAAAATATGAAGCCTTATTTTATTTGATTTAGCAATTTCAAGCAACCCTGAATAACCAGACAGCTTTCCTAGCAAAGGTAAACTGTAAAATAAAATTTTTTGCAGCATACACTCTATTAGAAAGGAATGAACAACAAGAAGCTTTGTTTTATTTTGATCAGGCTATTTAGAATAGCCAGAGAAGTATTTTTTTTGGCAAAGGTAATTTAATATTCCGTATTTTGCAGCAATTGCTCTAAGAAGTTAGGAGAATATAATTATAGAACGAATGTATAAATTCGAGGAATCAATATGTTATATTGATTTAGCAAAACCCTGAATGTTCAAAATTTGATTCAAAAAAAGGTAAAAAGTAAAATCAATAAAATGCAGCAAATAATTAAAAATTGTCATAAGTCTAGCTGAAATGCATATATTTGAGGAAGCATTAGAATATTCTTATTTAGCCATTCAGAAAAACCTTGAAAATCCAAATAATTACATATTTTAACAGCAATAATTTGATTTATTTTGAACAATATAATAATTTATAAAAAATTTAAAAAAGCGAGGAAGCGTTTTCGGTTCATACTAAGGCTATAGATGCATTCTGAAGAACCATCTACTTTTTTTTAAAAAGGTAAACAATAAATTTCACAATTTGCAGATTTAAAACAACCCTGAATTACCATACAACTACACTTTGAAAGGTAATCATAAATTATAATAATTTGCATATGTGAAGTGTGATGCCATTATAATAGAAATTAATAAATTTGAAGAGGCCTTGTTCAATTTTGATTTAGCAGTAAAACTTCTACTTATGGAAAATCTGATATCATTATCAAATTAATTAAGAAATTTGAAGAGGCCTGAAAATTCAGGCAACTAAAAGGGCAAAAGATTGAAATTTCTCTTATTTAGGAAATACCTTATTTGAACTGAATAGATTGGAAGAGTCATAGAACTATTATGATTGAGCAATTTTGAAAAACCCTTAAGTTTCAGAATATTATTTTAATAAAGGTCGTCAAAAAAAAAATTTAATAAATTAAAGGGCTAATTGTATTTTTATCAGTATAGCTTTTATACTAAATAAATTGAATAAAAATGGAGAAGCTTTCAATTATTATTATTACAAAGGTAATCTCAATATTTTGAAATAATTTTAGCTAATTCATTATTCCATTAAGTGGAAAGATTTTAAGCAGCAATGTTATAGTATTTTTTAGCATTTAGAAAATTTTGGAAAATGGGAGAGTAGACCAAGGTTGTATTTCTCTAATTTGACTTTTTTAATTATGAATAAATTTACAATGATATGTAAAAAATAAATACAACTTTTTGGATTTGTCTTTACCTTCTTAATAACTCTGTTGAGGTTTTTGCCCGACTGTTTTGTTTGGCTCATTCTGCCTTACCTTTAGACCTCAATCTCCAATACCTATTTTTGGTTGCTAGTTAACTAGTTTAAATATTCCCTATGCTAGGGCAAATCTTTTGGATACTCTATATATTCTATTTATAAATTCTGTTTATAAAAAAAATAATGTTGGAAGCACAATTTTTCTTGCCAATTAAATAATATTAAGCTTTCTATAAATTTGAACTATTTCTTGCACTTTCTAAAATTCAATGTCAGTTTTTAAATAATTATTTCTACAAAAAATTATTGTTTGATGAATCATAAATTTCATTTGACTAATTCTTATTGTAATATGCTTAAGTACATCGACAAATGAGGTTCAAAATACTAAAACATACTTTAATCAATATTATTTAAAGAAATTATAATTTGAACACTGTAAAGATCAATAATCATTACATACATATCTAACCATTAAATAAATCACAGGTTTTGAACTGATGATTTTAATCTATAAAGTTTAACCTTAGGATCTATGTCAAGTCTAAATAGTGAAACACTTCTTCTTAATTAGATTTTTTTTCGAGTATGTTTAAAAGGATTCTCAGTTTTGACTGATATATATATAGTATTTCTATAGAGGGATATCGTGTGTATTAATATGTATTATATTAAGTTGTTTGAAACAAAATATTTCTTTCTCAGTTGAAGTATTTTTGCAATCAGGATTTACTTACAAATAATACAATACTAAATCATATCCTTTCTAATAAATAAATTCTCCTTTCAATATTAAAGCTCCGAAAGCCTTTCAATTTGGACTAAAAGAAATTTTAAGAATGGTAATCTAAGGAAAAAAATAATTTAAAATTGTTGAAGCTTAAATTATGCTAAAAAATACTAATCTTAAATACACGTTTCTCTGTTCGAAAAAAAGAGTTTAATTAATTCCAGTATAAAAAATTATGAGATTTTACAAGCATTTAACTCAAATTATAGCAATTAACATTTTAGAATAAAATTAAATTGATGTAATATATTTTATTGTTTAACAATTATCAACTTTGTTTCTATTTAAGTTCATTCTCTAAAATAAAACTTCCTTTAGATTTAAATAATTATCGCAAATCATATCCTTAATAATCAATAAATTCTCCTTTCAAAATTAACGCTCCTTCTATTTCCAAAATAGGATTTTTACATATTCTTAGTATTGTGTGATCTATTGTACCTAAAGAGTAATACATATAATTACAATTATATAAACAGAATTGATGATAAAGTGGAAATTTAAACTAAGAAAGAAGGTCTTTGTAACAATTATCT